TTGATCAAGTTCGAGAAAATTAGAGAGTGTTTACTGAGTAAGGCCCTCCTCTACGGATTATTCTGCACAGACAGGGGACCCCGTCCTCATATCGTTTGCCATGAACAAGGCGGCACACAACTAACAGTGGCACAAAATCGACACTTCAGGTACTCTGTACCAATCCAGTAATTACTCAGTACAATGCGTATGGAGATGGAACCTTTAAGCTTTTGTCCGCCATAAAGTCAGTTCCTGCATTAGTGTCAAATGTGCACGCGATGTGGTGTGCACGAATGCTGGTGGCTTGTGCGTTGGTGGTCCCCAGCTGCCGGGGTGTTGGGCAGGCAAGAAAAGGAGGCAGTCATGACCCCACAAACAGCGTGGCTGAGTCCAAAACAGAAACACGCCAGGCCTCTTGTCTCCCACCTCGTTGGCTCAGGCTTCGTCGTTCGACGTAGGGTGGTAGGTTGATCGTTTGGTCGTCAGCGCTTCTGCACTGCGTTTTTTTTCGGGGCCGGGGACGCCACGGTTTCAGATGGTTGCTTTCCGCGAGCGATCTTGTCACCCAATGGGCTTCTCACACTCATTATCTGCAAGCCGACATTTTTCTCACCGTTTTGACTCGTCGGACTGGTCTAGTAACGACTTACTCAGATGCGTTCCAGAGATCTAGATGCATTCTTTCGCCTTCGTTTCCGACAACGATGCCCTGACATAGATATGCTCGTATCCTGTGTTCGGTGCGCCCAAATATGTAAGAACACATTCATGTACACGTGTGCTAATATGAGACGGTGTGCTGTCATTTTCCGTGGACTCGGTGTTGTCCAGGACGGATGCAGATTGTGTCTTTTCCGTATATTTTTGAGTTGTGCGTTGTTGCACTACATATATGTAAGCGTATGTCGACTCGTATTTTCCTTCATCCGATCTCTTTCTCCCGTGGTGTAAGTACAAAGTACGCATTTTCTTTTCTCTATTTCTTCGGGACACTCCCGAACGGAAACATGCTCCCCTTGTGCCAACCCGTGACTATGGATTCCCGACGAAATACGGCTCCGTCTCGGGGATTTTTATTTTTGTTACTGTTGGTTTATTTTTATCATCCTGGACAACGGACTCCGTCAAATACCTGGAAGGCCGTCCTGTCGCGCTTTCGTTCACGCTGTCCCATTCATCCACACCCCTTGTTGCCAGCGTCCCGTTGACCAGGTCGTCCCCGGCTCGCAATCTATTTTCTCCATCTGTGCGGTAGTGCCTGCCCCTCTCTTCCCAGGAGAAACTACGACGTACGGAGTACGAAGTAATACTGCGGAAATGAGAGTGTGAGGCCCGCCCGGAGAGGAAAACGAGCATAAAATCAAATAAATAAAAAGAGGAAAAAAAGGTGGCCCGCACCTGAGCCAACCTCCAACAGCTAAATGAGAGCGGTTCTCAGCAAAATAAAGTAGTGGAGTCAACTTTAGCAGGTGTCATGAGTCCTCCGTACGACGGAAGGACTACGATGTCCATGAAGCCCGTGAACGCGACGACCGAGGTGCGCCAAGGTGCCACGAAAGGGACAAAGCGCAGTGTATTTTCTGGCCTCTTTTACCTACCTGTGGAGTATATTGTACCCGACTTGTCTTCTGTGCGGCTTTCATCTGAATTCTTTTGGACCGTCCTGTGCAGCCGTTTTGTCTTTTCTTCTCCTTCTTCTCTCTCGTTTTTTTGAGACAGAGTTTTCTGTCTTCCGTCTTCTCGTCGATCCTCCCGTACGCAGATTTGTCTGGCCGCTTGACACAGCCACTTGACCTGGCTGGGCCTTTGTAACCGCCTTGGACAGCGCGTGCATTGCTGTTGAATAGAAATAAGAATGATAGGCAGACAGCTCTCCGTCGAGAAATGAACATTGGAGAATGGACAGGTAGTGTTTCTCGTACAGGCGGTGCCCGCCCATATCTTCCTCACCACCCCAGCGCATGAAACAAGGCCGTTCAAAATGCAGATGTGTTGTCGTCCGCACAATACATGCAAATGAGAACAAACGTGCCGTTTTGCCGGCTTCGGGCTTGCTCGTTGACATGGGGCGCTTTGGTGACCACTTCATTTTGAGGCCAACCGATTTTGTTGTTATGACATTAACCGAGACACGAACGACCGGGCATACACAAAAGGAGAAGGAGAGACCAAGAAAGCCTGCCATGTCGTTCTCGGCTCACTAAGCCTGTCTAGGACAAGGCAAGTGCGAAGGGAAATGAGTTTGGGGCGGTCTGTTCTCTGTGCAGAACAGCACTGACAGACGGAAGGTGACAACGTCCGCGGAAGGTTCGAGCGGCCACTACGACGCGATTGGTCGGCTGATGGAGTCATTCGCAAGGTCCGATCCCTGCCAATTTCGCATAGGACAAGCACGGATATACACAAAGGCAGGAACGAGCGTACTCAGTAAACGCAACGAGAAGGTGCTGCATGGTGTGGTAGTTGAATATTCTTTCCTCAAAGGTATTGTTTGTATCTCAACTTTGTCTGTGAACGGAAGGGAAAGAGGTATTGTTGATCTCCTTCTAGAAGCGGTACGAGCAGCGCCAGGAATAGAAGAGCAAAGCGGCGAGAGTCAAAGAAGGCACACCCAACAACAGGGCAAGGGCGCCCGACAAACAAAAGAAAGCCGTTTCTAAAAGAAGGAACACCCCAGACCGTTTTCATGGATAGAGAAAGAGCGAAAGGCCTAGGTGCCGCCCGTTTTCTTGCGCTAATCCCGAATTGGGAAATGAGCGACCGAGCACCTTCTATTTTCCTTCTCTCCTGGCGCCAGCGTGTTTCTGGCGGCTGTTTGATTTTGGGGCCTCTCGCGAATCGCTTGCCCCTTTTACTTTGGTCCCCTTTTCTCCCCTCACTTCCCAGCCAACGACCCCGAGCACTCTTCACTGCGAGCCAACCGTTTCGACTAATAATCTTGCCCGCTCCCAAAGCAGTGAAAGGAACCCAGCAAGATGCCAGCGAACGGAGACAGTGGTGTCTCGCCTCTTTGTCATTGGAAAATGGAGCCAGACATCGTTAATGGCAAGCCCCCAAGTATGCCAGAAAGTCCAAGTGATTCAGACGGAGGAAATGTGGAGCGCAAACAGATGAGTGCTGAGACAAAAAACGGTCGAACTACACGGAAGAAAAAGCAGGCGAAGCCCAGGAGACACGAAGAGAGGAGAGACGACCCGAAGGTCAAAATGGCTGGGCAACTTCACTGGGAGTCCACAAGAACATGAGAGACAGCAACATGGCTGAAAATAGACTTGAAAAGGACAAGCAGACGAGGTCGAAGCAGCGGACATAATATGCACGCGAAAACAAGGTATACTTGAAGAAACAAAATCTCCACTGACCGCTGTTGACGCGATGCGCTGGCAGGTGAGTTGACACCATTTGGCAACATGCTGTCTTACTCTTAGGGGCGCTTCGACTGTCTGGACTTGGCTACGGAAATATGCACCTACTTGGAGCAGTTTTGGCTACATTTGTTGGCTAAGCATATCGTGCAGAACCTGGCCGGCGGTTGATGGCAACGTTGGCGATGCCCTTGACAATGTCTTGCAAACCTGCAGGCCAGTTCAGCTCACAACGCATCTGCTGCTGCTGGATCCCTCACCGCTACCTGGTCGATCCAGTCCGATCCGAATGCCACGATGCATCTCGTGGCTCTACAACACCCAAGAAAGGCCTCCTGCCCGCTCTTTGCCTGCAGCACCGCTGCCGAACCGAGCTGCAACATGCCGACTTTCACTGTCTATTTTTTTTCTTTTTTTTTTCTTTTGTTGACTTTGTATCCTTTCGGAATTGTTATTTGTCAAAGTTCTTTTATGTGTCCCTTCCATGCATCTTTCACCAACGTCGTCCTTTGTGACCAATCCGGACAGCAGCACATTCCGAGAGCCACAAGCCAACACGAGACGGCATGGTGCGAGTCTGATGTTGCATGGCAGTGCAGCCCAGCTTTTCTATCAAAGAATACGGCTGTTGTGCAACAGAGCAATTGTTCATGCTTGGGTCACGCCCTGGCCGGATTCCGTCAAGACGGCCGACTGCCTAACAAAGAAAACGGCCATTCCGTGAAAGACCCAAAGAGATCAAGACGGAGCAGTTCTCGACTCGTATGGTGCCCAAAGCAGGTACCGTGACTATTCCGAACGGGCTAACACCGGGGGTCAAAGAGCGCCTGGGAAGGCTGTTCTTTGAATTCAAAGTCTCTGTGACTTCTTTCTGGTTGTCGTTTTCATTCCATTCACCATCGACAGTGCCTTTCTTTGTTGTGCTGCTGTTCTTCCACCTCTTGCCCTTGATCTCCGTTCTGAACGCTCCGGCACCGTGGGCCAGAATACCACATCCTTGTCGCCCAGGCAGCTTCGCGGAGTCGCTTTCTGCGAACGACCAGGAGCCACACCCCCTGTTCAACTGTTCTGTGGTGGGCCGCATCCATGTTGCCCATCTCAACTGACTCTTCTCTTCTCACACCCCCCTCCCCTGCCGCGCACCACACTCGCCGCAACGACCTCCCGACCCACCCCGTCTTCACTTACACCCACTTACACACGCTTTGTCCAGTCAACATCGGCCCTCTTTGTGTGCACCGTCCACGATGCCCTGCTCTGGTAGCCCTCCGCCTCTCCACCCCATCTTCCCGCTTCCCTTCCCCCTACCCTCCTTTGCTCTATGCCGATGGAGTATATGAATCCTCTTCCCCCGGCACTCATGACTTCTCTTTCTTCTCTTCCTTTCCTCTTCATCCCCTCGTGCTACCGCCAGAAAAGCATTGGTGTTCGATCTCGGCTTCTTTTCTTTCCTATTCTTCATTCTCTTCTTGGTTGTCAAAGTCATTCGCTTCTTTGCTTCCACCTCTCGTTTTCATATTTTCCTATTTCGGTTCTCGATCTTGATCAGTCCACCCACACTCGCTATCCATTCATCCATTCAACTACTTTTTATATCTTGCCTCCGTTGTTTTCTTGTCATCACCAATCAACTATCGCTCTTCGGCAGTCAATATGAAGGCCGCCACCGTTCTCTCCTTCGCCGCCGGCGTGGTCGCAACCAACGTACGTTAAGGGTCACTCTTCCCTGGATGTCAATAAAACACTCAACTAACAGCGTCTTAGAACCTCTTCCCCTTCAACCCCAAGAACTGCCCGGACAGGTGTACGCCGCACCAGCGCACCGGTTTCCACTTCGGCGACCTTGGCCATGGTGAATTCTCCAACTACAATGACTTCAACTGGAGCGGCTTCACCTGCAAGTCGGGCAACCGCGGCCGCTCTCGGGTCGACCGCCGCACCGGCTCCAACTACATCGGCGGTACTTGCCACTCCGAGCCGTCCAAGAGCCCGTCGTTCGACTGCGAGAACAGCCGTTCCATTGAAGGCTTCTCCGTGACCGAGTTCCACATCACCACCGAGTTCGACTGCGACCTCGAGTTCCACTACCGCATGCCCGACGGCTCCACCTGCAAGCAGACCAACGCCTGCTCCAGCAAGGGCTCCGTGATTAAGAACGATAAGTGCGGCGGTGCCAAGGCCTGCACGGTCGTCTACCCCTCGCAGGTCCGGAAGCCCCACACCACGTGCAGCATCAGCATCTCGACCATCTCCTTCGGCTGCTCGACCACCACCCCGAGCAGCTCGCCGTCGTCTGCCCCTAGCTCTGCCCCTTCGTCGGCCCCTTCGAACAGTCCCTCGTCTGCTCCCAGCTCGGCTCCCAGCTCAGCTCCCAGCTCTGCTCCTGTCAGCGCCCCCTCGGTCAGCCCTTCGAACTCGGTTCCTTGCGAGTCGGAGAGCAGCGGTGCCCCTAGCTCTGCTCCCTCGTCGGCCCCGTCCAACGGCCCTTCGTCGGCTCCTAGCTCTGCCCCTAGCTCCGCTCCGTCGTCGGCTCCCTCGAACGGTCCTAGCTCGGCCCCGTCCAGCGCTCCTTCGGGCCCATCTGGCTCCGCCTCTAGCTCTGTGCCCTGCGAGTCGGAGAGCAGCGGCGCCCCTAGCTCTGCTCCCTCGTCGGCCCCGTCTAACGGCCCTTCGTCGGCTCCCAGCTCCGCTCCCAGCTCTGCCCCCTCGTCGGCCCCGTCCAATGGCCCGTCGTCTGCTCCTAGCTCTGCTCCCAGCTCTGGCCCCAGCGGCTCTGCTTCGTCTTCGGCCTCTGCCCCCAGCTCTGCCCCCAGCTCTGCTCCTAGCTCTGGCCCCAGCGGCTCTGCTTCGTCTTCGGTCTCTGCTCCTAGCTCTGCTCCCAGCGGTTCGGCTTCCGTGTCTGCTCCCAGCTCTGCCCCTAGCTCTGGTCCCAGCGGCTCGGCTTCCGTTTCTGCTCCTAGCTCTGCTCCCAGCTCTGCTCCCAGCTCCGGCCCCAGCGGTTCTGCCTCTGCCTCGGTTTCTGCTCCCAGTGGTTCGGCTTCCGTCTCTGCTCCTAGCTCTGCGCCCTCTGGCCCTGCCAGCTCTGGTCCTAGCGGTGCCTCGTCCGGCGTTGGCCCCGTCCACTCCTCGAGCGCCAGTCCTGTCTCTTCGTCGTCTGTTCAGTTCACTACGTCGACCATCTTCTCGACCACAACCTCGACCGTTACTGACTGCGCCGCTACTGTGACGAACTGCCCGGCTCACTCCACACACCTGACGACTGTTGTCATTGCCGTGTCCACCACTATCTGCCCCGTCACCGAGACTGAGGGCAGCGCGACCAAGTCCCCCGCCGGCCCCACTGGTGCTTCCTCGCCGGCTGGCCAGCTCACCACGTCGACCATCTACTCGACCACGACCTCGACCGTCATTGACTGCGCCGCCACTGTGACCAACTGCCCGGCTCACTCTACCCACCTTACGACCATTGTCATTCCGGTGTCGACCACCGTCTGCCCTGTCACCGAGACCCAGACCTCTGCCAAGGCCACTGGCGTTCCTTCGGGCTCCGTGGGTGTTGAGGTCCCAGTGACGACTGTGACTATCTCGTCCGGTGCTGCCACCAGCAAGCCTGCTGGCGGTCAGCCCGCCGAGTCGCAACCCGCCGGCAACAAGCCCACCGGCACTGGTTCCGGTAATACCGCTCCTCCTTACCCGACCAATGGTGGCGGCTCCGCGTCCCCCACGGGCACTGGTACCGTCAAGCCGAACCCGTCGGGCATTGTCACCGTCAACGCCGGTGGTCGTACCCAGGCCTACGGTCTGGCTGGTGCTGCCGTCATGGCTCTTGTGGCTCTTCTGTAAATGACAGAAGCTGCCTGACCTTTCTTTATGTTTCCTTATTTTCTTGTACTTTCCCCACCCCTTTCTTTTCTTCATCGTCAGAAATGTACTAGACTACATTGCGTGTACAATTAATACCACCTTTGTTCCCTTCCTCACTGAGCCAAAAATATCGTCTTGATTTTCGTCATTCCTGTTTTATTTTGTGTTTCCTTCATTGTCTCTGTATGTATGCTTTTCGGTGACCATACTTTGGTTGTGTTTTTCTCGACAGGCCACGACATGGGATGTGAACCAAAGCATTACAAAAACCACCCAAATCATTTCCTTTCTTACGATCCTTTACGAACGGCATTTATATAAACAAGGTGGTCTTGGGCTTTTATACTTCACTATTATTTCACCATTATTTCACCATGTTCCCTTCTTCCTACGCTACTCGTCGCATTTCTCTTCCAATTTTGCTGTATCGTTCATTTTCTTTTCCCAATCTTCTGTATGGCCCTTTGTCTCTTCTCTTTACTTGATGTATTGCTTGGGGGAACGGAGTGTGTCATCAAAGATCTGGTCTCGGGAAAACAGAAAACTGGTTGGTGATTTTCTCTCCAACCAATCGTTGAAACGATGCGATTTTTTAACAACTTGGCCCCCTAACAAAGACACCCCCTGGCGGAGGCATATTCGCTTCGCATAGTAATAGTTAATGTATTTAGACCAGACCACCCTTTTTGAAAGGAAAATACAAAAAAAAAGTTACAAAAAACTGGATTCACCGTACGTAAAAGTCTACGCAGTAGAACAAGGACTCGTAGATGTGAAAGATTTAAATCGACTGTTGAGACGAGGCTGCGCATTCGCCTAAATGGCACGTGCCCCTTGGAGCCTTCTCTGGCAGAAAATTTTTAGTGCCTCGCCGACAGCTCATAGTGCTGTGCTACAGTGGGGGAGCCCAAGTACACACTTTATAAACCCTCAATTCAATTCGTCACAGCTTTACGACACCAGTTGAAGGAACAGTTGCGGACGCCGGCATATACGAATTTGCGCTCAAGGTATTCGATTGAACGGCTTCGTTAAATACTTTACTCGATCTGGGCCCACCTCTCGTGGTGTAGTGGTGGCATAAGGCCAGATCCACTGCATGTTTTGGACAGCGCTGGCTGGGAAGGGAAAGATATCACACACATCCACACACATACCACGATGACGACTTCCTTACGAATACCGACGGCGGCAGGCTTGGCCGCAGCAAGGGAAGCCTGCACGCGAGGGGAATGCATGTTTGGTGCCGTCAGAATGCGCAGATGCAACTCTGCCACCCTGCCGTTGCGACGGGCCTTTTCAGCTGCTGCCGGGCCACGGCGAACCAAAGATGAGGCCTCGTCGGCGCAGACAGACGAGCCTCCAGAACGAGCATCTTCGTCCGCTTTCCCTGACTTCAAACCGCGCACCGTCTACGAGCCCTCAACAGGCGTGCCGCGCTCCTATTTTATTGGCCACCACCGCGCCGCGCTCGACAACATGCGACGCGTGCTCGCCACGGTCGGTCTTGTCATTGAGTGCCGCGACATGCGCGTGCCCTTGACAGCCTGGAACCCGCTGCTCGAGTCGTCGTTGATGGGCACGGGCGTCTTTACCGAGACCGAGAGTGCGGGCAGTGGTGGAGGCAATGGTGGCGGCACGGGCGTCAGCAGCACGAGCTTGCCGGGGCTGTCTGGTCCTGTGCGCTCCGCTGGGCGTGCGCCTCTGCCGTCCGCCACGACGGAGCGCACACGCATCGTTGTGTATACGAAGCGCGACCTCGTTGTTGACGGCAAGCAGGCCTCGGACTCGCTCTCACCCTCACAGGCCGATCTTCGTCGCCTGGCCGCGTTCCACGGGCGTGACGCGGATGCCGTCTTGTTCATGGGCTCCGACAACAGCAACGACACCAAGGATGCAGCCTCTGCCAAGACGAGCCGCCGCGAGGCCTCCAAGCTCGTCGCTGCCGTGCGCGCAGCCGCCAAGCGCCATGGCGAGCAGTCCCTGACGGGCCTGCGCGCCCTCGTCGTCGGCATGCCCAACGCCGGCAAGTCCACGCTGCTCAACCGCCTGCGCGCCCGCGGCATGGTCGATGCCAGCCGCCGCTCCAAGGCCGCCGCCACGGGCGCCCAACCGGGCGTCACCCGCAAGCTCGGCACGCCCGTCCGCGTGCTGGACGACGCCGCCGAGTCCGACCCGGCACTGCGCGGCAACGGCGGCGGCGTGCTGGTCATGGATACCCCGGGTGTCTTTGTGCCGTACGTCGCCGACCCCGAGGCCATGCTGAAGCTGGCGCTCGTGGGCTGCGTGCGCGAGGGCCTGGTGCCGCCCGTCGCCCTCGCCGACTACCTGCTCTTCCAGCTGAACAAGCGCGACCCTGCGCTGTACACGACGCTCTTTCGCATGGACGCGCCCACCGACGACGTGCTGGCGCTGCTGGACACGGTGGCGCGGCGCATCGGCAAGCTGGGCCGCGGCGGCGTGCCCTCGCACGAGGCGGCTGCGCAGCATTTCGTGACGGCGTGGCGGCGGGGCAAGCTGGGCGCGTTCTGTCTGGACGACCTGGACGCGGCGTCCCTGGCGGCGGCGCAGGAGTCGGCACGGCAGGGACCGCCGTTGTCGATGAACCAGGCGCGGAAGCACGAAAAAGAGCGGCGGAAGGCACGGTCGGCAGCACGGCACAACGGCGACGCAGCAAGCGCGACTACGGGCACGGGCACCGGGGGCGACGGCGGCGTGTCGGCTGCCTGAACAGCTCGGCCCCTGTTCTCATCTCAGCTCATGTACATACATACGTATATATATACACTCACACTCGACAGCGCATGTCGACCATCTACGATACCACTTGTTCAGGATCTATACAGGATATATATTGACTCGAATTCGAAGCAGTAATGAGTGTCTTGATATTTTATATTTCACACATAAACGTACACAGTGGCAGGAAACCTGTCCATACAACCCAAACGCCAGAATCCTGAATGGCGGCTCCAACGTCATGGGCCAACGTCATCCAAATGAAATAAGATAAAAAGAAATGAGAAGAACGCCGTGTAGTCTTGTGTCTCCATATCGGGAGAAGGAGAGTACTGCACTCATAAGAGTGGAAAATGAAAAGAAAAACAAGAGGCAGATGCGGAAGGGAACGAAAGAAGACTGAAACAGAGGAAGCCTCCCGCCCTAGGTATTCTCAGAAGGCCATACTGTTTGAATGTAAAACGCCGCCAATACGATAACCAGTCGCGAACCGCGACAAGCGAGGAGTGGACTAGACCCGGAAATTGCAAAAGAACAAAGACACGCGTTCCATTCAATTTCCGTACTGGTTCTGCCAGTGTATGATGTTCCGAGTGAGCGTGTCCATCATCTCCAATAGCGGGAGCTGTTTAAAGTCCTTCTCGTGCGCAACATCCAACGACACGCCGTTGCTGGTGGCTGGCTGTTGTGATGCCGAGGTGGACGACGGTGTTGTCGCTGCGCTGTTCGGGTCCGTCGCTGCATGGACACTGCCGGCCTTGCCGCCGTCTGGTGTGGCCACCGCCGACGCCAGGTACTCGCCGCTGGCAATGTCAATCTGCGTCTTGCCAATAAAGTCCGACATGGCCGAGACGCGTCGCCGCATCTCGTTGAGGCTGACACGACTGTTGCTGCCGCCGCCGCCCTTGGAGCGCGACCCGGACTTGTTGTTCTGGTTGCTGTGCGAGCCACTGCCGCTGCTCGAGCCCGGCTTGCTCTGCCCGTTGTCTGGCACGTCCCTGGATCGTGACCGGGTCATCGAGTTGAGCTCCTCGCGCGCGTCCCGCTCCTTGGTGTATTGGTTGCGGCCCTTCTTCTTGTGCGTCGGCCGGCCGCCCTTGGACTTGGACTGTGCCATGGCAGGTGCGGAGGTCGGTGGTGGCGTTTCGGGTGACGGCTGGGAAGGTCGAGGTGGCACTGAGCGCGGCGCGGTGGCAGGCGCCGGCGTGGCGGACAGCGAGGGGGCATTGGTCGGTGTTGTGGAGGTATTTCCACTCGCCGACGCTGTTGCTGGTGTGGCTGCGGGAGGGGCGGGGGCAGACGATGTCCGCGTTGCGGCCGTCGCACGCGTTGTTGCTAATGGCGCTTCATCTGACGGATCGGAATCTGTTTCCGAGTTAGCGGCGTGCCCTTCACTACTTGCACAGGACTTTCTACCCTTTGTCGTGTCCTTACCGTCGACTCTGCGACGCTCTGCGCGTCCGTTGCGTTTGCTAGCGGCCTCGGCGCGCTGCCGTTCCTTTTCTTCCTTCTCGGCCCGCTCGCGCTGTGCCTGTGACCGTGCGAGCGCTGCACTGCGCGATGCCTTTTTGGACGACCCGTTGCGTGTGGCCATGGCGTCGTCCGAATCGTCGTCCATTGCCAGCTTGTCGCCCGCTGGGGATACGGACCGGGAGCTTGTGCGTTGTCGCTTCGTCATGTCCGCTTTTCTGTTTACGAAATGGCGTCAGCATTTGTTTTCTTCGCGACTGTCGATGCATTGTTTCAGGGCGGTGATTCTGCTTACTCTTCGCTGTCGCTTCGACTGCGCTTTGGCCGTCTGGGAGTGGGGTCTGCAGGATCGCTCGCATCTTCTCTGCTGGCAGCAAGGGCAATGAGCAATTGTTCCTCGTCGTACGCCGCGTCCCTGCTATTCATCGTCGAGCGACGCTTGGCCGCCGCAGCCGACGCCCGCGCACTCTTGGACTCCCGCACCCCATCAGGCCCAGTTTCTCTGTCTCCATCTTTGCTGTCTTTGCTCCTGTCGCGGTGTTGCGGCGAGCGATCGCGGTTTTTGTTGAATGAGCCCGTACGCGAGCGTCGGCGATTGAGGGCGAGGTAGATTGAACAGCGGTGGCTTAAAGGAAGAAGAAATCGTTAGCAAGAGAACGCGTACAAGGAAGGCAGCACGAGAAGGACGACACAACAAAAAAAAAACACACCTGTTGGGGCCAGGAAAGATCTTGTGCAGGTCTTTTCTGCACTCCTCGCAATAGTACTCTTCGGGTAGGCTCGCGTCGTTAACGAGACCGACGCACGCGCCGTGCTGCCAGACCTTGCAAATGTCGCATTGGACAAAGAAACCGGCTAGGTCGTCGGTCACGACGGCCGGGAAGATAGCCTCGATGTCGTAGCCATCCTTGGCCGCCTGCTCAACGTCCTCGGCCGCCGGCGGACCCGGGTAGTCCTCGGAGCCGCATATGCAGCGGACCGCCTCGTCGTCCTCCTGGAAGTCGTCCCCGTCGTTGGTCATTTCAATCTCGCTGACAACCACAGACGACTGGTCCTGGTCGTCGTCCTTGACGACGTTGGGGTGCGCGGCGCGTCGGCTGCGTGTAGGTGGCGGCGGAGTGTTGTCGTCAGTGCCTGCGGTATCGTCGGGCGGCTCGGACGCGAGCGATGCAGACGACGTGGATTTCTGGGGCGAGCCGGTCTTGACGAAATGTTTGGGGTGGCGTTCAATGCGGCCAGAAACGCTGGATGTGGTAGACGATGGTCGAGATACGGGTTGGTTTGTGCGAGCGCGAGAAGAGCGACGGGGATCAGTTCCAGCCATTACTCGCAACCGCGGCCAAGAAGGAAAAAGAGAGTGGAGAGAGAGTGCGCGAAGAGGAGGAGGGGGAAGGGCGAAGGACGGGGATAAATAGGGAACGCGAACGGAATGAATGGCACAGTCGCGTGTGGGAGGTTAAAAAGGAACCAATGCGTCTTTCTGTTGTCGGATGGAGAGAAGCAGGGCTGGAGCTGTCGTGGAAGGAGTAAGGCAATCGAGGAACGAGTTCGTTGTTTCTAGTGGCGCGCCCGGAGCGAGATTCGATTCTGTGCCGCAACAGCGACTGACTTCGGTGCTACGAAGAAGGAAGAAGGAAGAAGGAGAGTCGAGATAGGAGACAACCAAAGGTGTTTCGAGCTGCGAGACAAAGACAAGAGGCTACTTCAGGGAAGTCGGCGCTGGAGAGGGGGTGCCTGGATCACAGTCGCGAGGCAAGAGACGAGGCGAGAGACACGGAGCGACTGCGAAACATGGTTCGGGAGGCTAGCTGCACGGGGAGGCTGAAGCGACTGCAGGTCGAAGGCAACGTCGAATTGAGAGGTGAAGCTGGTGAAGAAGCAAAGAGAGAGGTCGAGGACGAAGGAGAAAACGAGCGGGGAGAAGTAGGACAGGTGACTGACGGGGAAGGGCAGGAACGAGGAGGAGAGAAAAGAAAGAGCGAGCGAGAAGGACGAGCGACGCAGAGGCAGGGACGGCCGAGACCACACCAGCGAGTGGGTAGGAAAAAAAGGCTACTAATTTTCTTTGAGCGCTGGTACCAAGAAACACGCGGCAACGCCTAGCATTGTCAAGTAGCGTCGCCAGGCTCAGAAGGAGCAACCCCAGCTGGCGGCGCTTCGGGGCAGGGGCGAGCGATGGAAAAGTGGGACTCGCAGGTGCGTCGCGCAAGAAGAAAGAGCCATTGAGGGGACCAGTCCCGTCCAGTGCTTGTGATGATACCTGCCGAAAGTATCGTTGTACCTTTTCGCGCGGACGTGAGCCAAAATATACTTATGTAATGCCGCTTCCGTTGCCGACACTCGCCAACACTCTCTTTTGGTCAACCCCCGCACCAAGGCTCGGAGAGGTAATCCGTCATGTTCTTGATCGCAGCGTTGACGCTTTGCTTTGTTGCATTGCATTGAGCCGTGGCCCGGTTTCCCCAATCGAACGCGGAGACACCATGACTGCTGCCGTTGTTCCTTTGGCTTTCGGCCTGGTTTTGTCTACTTGCAACTCGGTCCGGCATTGTTGTTCCTTCCGTGGCAGGAGCATCCAGTTTCGCCGAGGCTTACCGCGCCTTCCCGGCTGGAATTGTGACGCCGTCTACTTGCAAACGAGGCCTATCGCGTGGTGAAGTCAAGTGCCATTCGCGCTTTCTTATTTCTTGTTGCATCTTGGTCGTTCTTGCCTGGCCAGGACAATTGTCATGCCATCGTGGCCGTGTCTTCGTTGCCTCATTAAAGAAGGAGCGCACCAGCCGCCCCGTATTTCAAAGTCAAAACAGTTTCTGTGTCTCTTCCAAATTCGGACCCCACTGTGCCGGGCCAATCAGTGCCTGCTCTATTGGCAAACTCAAGGCCACAAGGCCACCCTGCCGGCCCATTGTTTTGCGTTTGTGTGCATTTTGTAGTGCTCGTGTTCAGCGTGCCCTGGGCCCGCTTAGGTAATTTTGGCCCCTAAATTGGAGCCCGGACCACTAATCGAAGATCGATACCAGGCCGTCTATCAAAGTCCGTGGCAGGCAATTAGCAATCAGACCGAAGTCCTGGCCACATCAGCGGCTTTTTGCTCCTTCCAGTTCTCCGTTTTACAACCTTTTCGACCTCAGGACCCAGAACGTTTGTTTGTTTTCTGTTTGCCTTCTCCCTGAAGCCCGTTCGCTCCAGAATTTGCATATCATTTGGCCTCCACTTACTCTTTCTTGGTCCCAACGTCCCTCGACGTAGAGGCCGTGCCAATCGCTGATTTCGCTGTCACCGGGCCGTTTCAGCAAAATCTCGAGACGAGGTAGGTGACGAGAACAACCAACCGACCGCTTTTCCGCCCTCTGCAACAGCTTCTCTCCCTTACCACCGTCCCATTGTGTCTTCACGGATCTCCTCGTCCCATTACCATACCACACATCCTCTCCTCGTCGTTCTTTCTCGTGCCTTCGGCATCCGGGCTACACCCCTTTATTTTGGCCGACGGACTCGAATGGTGATGCCAAAGGCTTCGTGAGAGCTCTCCAGTGACGGCTCCTCGACTCCTATGAGTGCATGGGAGTTTCGGGTTCTCCTTGCTATATGGGCTTGACATTTTGTATCCATTTGTGTTTGTTGTCCGAGTCTAACGCACTGTCCCGTTGGGCAGAAATCTAGGGTCCTTTGACGCACCATTTTGCCGCTCCATACCGCTCCGAACGACTTTCCACGTCCTACATACGACGATCGAGAACAACCACGAAGTGACCGCCCCCGTCGACCCGACTTGCCAACATATTTTGGAAATTCGATTCGATACGGTCGCACTTCAACGTGCTGGGTGCATGGAACGTACTTGTGGTAGCTGCGGAGAGAGAGAGAGAGAGCATGAGGCGATGTGATGGGTATGTGTTCCCCCCTCCCACCGACTTTTGCATTTTGACTTCGGCCGTCCTCTTTTTCAGCTTTTTACACCACGTACACATATGTCACCCCCCATTGCTTGTCTGTCTTTGTTCACTATTACACTTTTACGCACCTGCGCGAGGCTGCTGGCAGTCTTCTTGTTTCGCCGGTGTTTTGGCGGTTCTTGTCGGCGAGGCATGGCTTCTTGCTTCGAGAAGATCTTTGCATGGCTGTTTGGCGTTGGCCACTTCTCCTTCTCTCTGCCTGGCACATCTCCTGTTCTTCTTTGGCTAACCGGAGTTGTTCAACCGTTCCGCGATGTAGAACCAGCCCGCAAAATGTCTCCTGAAACTGCCTCGCCGGTCTACCCAGACCGACTGATTCATCCTCTGCCAAAACGACGCCTTCGTGAGCGCCTGTCGTCCGATGCCGCCGACTCGATCAAGTATCCTCCGGATCAGACGCCAGGAGCACCTCTGTTCTACTACCCGTACAGTTTGAAGCAGGATGCAGCATCTGTCGAAAGGCCGATATTTGTTGGCCAGGCAAGAGCTGCAACCTTGACGGCCAAACCGACAATCACGGCTCCGACTGCATCCACGCCCACAACCACGGCTGCGACAACTGTTCCGGCAGCCACAGGCCCAAATGCAAAACCAGGGTCGGCCCCCGGCCGAGCCGCCCATCTTCCTTCCCGACCACGACGTAGCAGCGGCGAAAACGAAGCAGCGTCCTCTTCGCGCACAACCCGTGCTGGAAACCGATCCGGGCGGTCTTCACAGGCACTCCACATGTCACCTGCACAGGGCTATTGGACCTTGCCGTCATCAACGCTGACTGCCGATGGATTTGACTCCTTTGAATACACGAGCAATACCAAAAAGAGAAAGATACCGTCTGCCGGTGACACATCGCATACCGGAAGCTATACCTCGACGAGCCTTCGATCCACCGCGTCTGAATCCTCGACGACAACCTCCAGCTACGACAGCCTAGCTGGGAGTCCACCATTACTAGCCAACGTCAAACCGACCGGTTTTGTTGCGGCGTCAGTGGGCATTTCAGGACCGGGGAGGGGCCGCTACGGCCGCTCGCAACGGCATCCTATTATAGCAGCGGGTAGGAGCATTCTGGGAGGCACGGGAAGCTGTACAATCCAAGAAGACCAGGGCAACCCGGTACTCTTGATTGGTTTTGAGGGCGGGCGCCTGCTTTGTGTATTGCTGCTAACATTTACTGCGAGGCCCAGAACATACCAATAATGCCGGTATCATTTCCAGCGCGATTGCCAATGCGGAGCGACAAGGACCAAGAGAGAGCACCGACTTGGCCTCACAATTCCAAGCTACAGAGGCATCCGCCCAGGGTTCTCTCCAGTTCACGTTTACCTGCTCCTCAAAGGTGCCGGGAAATCTTTTGTGGTCTGGCTCTGATTCGCGAACATCACCTAGCTCTGCCAACTGGCAGCAAGGGCAGCAGCAGGGGCGAATCCGCGGCGGTCAAGGTGCAACTCACGCTTCCGGTTCTCATTTAGCTGGATCTGTGGATACGAACGGATCTCCTTCGAGTGGAAAAGCATCTAAAGTAGCGGATGGCAGCCGGTCAAAGCAACAGCTCGAAAAGGAGGAGAACTTCAAGATTCGCCAAGAACTTCGGAAGCAAGCCAGAGATCGGAGACGCCGCCAGCAAGAACTGAACGTTATTCGGCCCACGCCTGAATCTGAAATCTATATCTGCCCCTTTTGCGAGTACGAGAATATCACGGGCCACAAACCCCGGTTGATTTACGAGTTCGAGATGAAAGAGCGCAAGAAGCGACTCGAACTGGAGCGGCGGCAACGCGAGCAGCGGAACCGAGAGAAGGCTAGACATCGCAACCGCAAAGGTCGCAAGGCTGCCAAAGCAGCGCCCACCACTGCCGGCTCAAGCACCCTGCAAGAAAGCCTTGATGACGATCAACAATATGACGACATTCCAGACGATACAGGTCAAGGAATTGTCGACGACGACGACTATGAAGACGATGACGACTATGACGATGACGACGGTGCCGGGGAAGCGGATGATTTCGTTGCTGAGCTCCGGCTTGGAATTGGCGACGCGAACAATCCTCTTTTGAGAGGCCGGGGCGGGGAAAACATGCAGCCGATACCAGCTGGAGGCTAGTTGCCAAGTATCAATGAAGTTGGCCGTTGTACGATATGGTAAGCTACAACTTTGGGCTGACCTTTATTCTCATTCATTGCCCGCCCCCGGATCACCCTTCCTGGCCGATTGTCGACCCACGCCACTTATTCTGAACCATGGATATGCATTTTCCAACACCTCATCAACATGATTGTTTACAAAGCATCTTTTGCAGCCCCTCCCAACACCACTTTTTGAGATTGTCATTGGCACTCAGCACTGAATTTGGATTTTTATTGGGTGCTGATTTTGGACGGCACCATGATTAGCAAGCATTCAAACATTCATGGCGTCTGCATGAGATTGTATATCTAGCACCACTGGCATTGTTTTGATATTGGAAGATGGCTTGCTTTAGTCTTTCGGCCCCAATTAGACCTGTCGAGGATGTGACTATAGGCAACGAGTCATGTAAGGCATACTGCATCTACGGTAGCCAGGCACACATCTGACATTGGCAATGTTTAATTCACAAAGCCAGTAACCAATAGAAGGCAATCGGTTTCTTGCGCCACCAATGTTGCCGTCAAAAATGCATATTTGGCTGGCCAAGTCCCTGAATGTTTGTTTACCGACTCCGACTCTAGACAATTACACTATCAGGGTCTCGATGAGGTGTACTTGTTGAAGAGATACTAGATGAGGCGGCTTTTCTGGAGAGCAAGCCCAATTCTTCCTGGCCATTATTTCCTTGACGAGTGTTAGTTTCGAACGACTTGTGGCGATGGATAGTAAAAATCTATATTGAAATAAATGGTGGGAATGAATCCACCATAGACATTTGTTTCTGTCTTGGATGCGTGTCTGGTATCGCTTAACGAAACGTTGATGGACACCCCTCCTTTGTTGTCTTTTTCGATGTAAACTGGCGATGTGCCGCGATGACGTAGCTGCCTGTTCTTGCAGTCGTGTTTTGTGTGTTGATTGCGTTGGGCTCGAAAAGAGTGGGGCACTGGTTTGAGACAACACGCAGAGACACACTAGGCCGAATCAAGAGGCAGGAACAGCAAAAATGTGGGCCTATTCGGTTCCTGTCAAACAGAGCACAGAGCAAAATGACGACAACGAACAAAATGGATATGATGATGTGGTTGATCAGGGTACGTCGAGGCGAAACTTTGGAGGGAAGTCTCATCGAGAGTGTAATCGATACGAAGATCCAGATAGGCTTCAGACTGTAGACGGTCTGCGGATATAGAAATAAATCGAGGTGCTGCGAAGCCTCATATGCTTTACACAATAACCTGAACCCCAGCTCTCCTTGGAATGGGAGAAAGGTCTGTGGCCCAGCAAGAGGGCGAGGAACAACGGCAACATCTTGCGTGGTCTAGTCAGTTAAGAACAGCCTGTCAGCATACCGTCAGCTACCACTGTGAATTTTGAGTTACAGTGATAGCATGCCGCGAATCTAGCTGATGTAAGATGCAAATATGAGCGACGGATGACAAGTTCAACGAGTTACCATTCAACACGTACAATTTCGACTCGACATACAATGTAGACTCAGGATTGCAATAGACCGCCACGAACCCTACTAACCACTGCCAAAATAGTGCTTCATTGCTAGTGCGCTGGCGGCCTCGACTCGGTAGTGGGTAGTCATGGCATCGAGGGGGCCGAATTGAGTTAGGGATGCCCTGTAGGGAATTGTAGGCACTCTGTAGAGCAATGGTAGCGACCTTGTGGCGCGTTGAATGGCCAGAGGCAGCCGAGAACTGGTTCCACCGCCCCACTGGGCCAACAGTCAGACGTCACGGAGCTTCAATTCCAGGTTGGCGGCGACGGCGACCAGTGACTGCAGACGAGATGTTTCTTGCATCGTCGTCAGGATCATCCGCCCCCAAAAATACCGTCGAAATCGTCCTAGCATTGACGCGGCCGATTCTTGTCTTCTACCAGAGCGAGGCACCGCAGCTGAGCTCTTGTCTTTCTTCGCTTGTTTTTCAGGACGCTCGGGTTATTGCTTCCAGCGATCTCCACCCCTGCAAATAAAGTCGTTAGCGGGCCTACTCGTCTCCACCTGGCCTTCTTCTGCCCACTTCTTGTGGCATTGTCCTGCAGTGTTTTGGGCGCTGATACCGAGTCTGGGACTGTGCTCAAAAAGCCTCTGGCCACTCACGCCTGTTGCGTATTCTGAGCTGCCCAGTATTGCCCTAATGATGCTGGCTCACACCTCCACCCACTCGCTACTTCCTCTTTCGTGGTTGATCCCAGCGCCGAGACTTTGCACCATCGCTCTTTCCTGGCGAGATGAAGCTGTGTCGTCACCTTCTTTTCCGTCGCTTTCGCTACGACCCTGTAGCTCTTGCTGCGCATTCCCGTAGTTCTAGTCTTTCCCGTTCCCACCTGCGCCCACTCCCCCGGTCGCACATCGCAAAAAATAGAATCTTACGTCTTCCTTGCTTCCTTCCGTCCCGCGAAACTTTTCTCACTTCCTTCCTTGCATTCTTCAATCTCCCATCAACCCCTTTTTACGCTGGTACATCTCGCCTCTTCATCCACCGGCACGCGTACTTTGGCTTTCTTTCGCATTGATTCGGGAAGCGATTGTCGACAATGTATTTTCGCCACGGCGCCCAACAAGCTCAGTTTGACAGGCAGGAAAGAAACTAAAAGCGGGCTTTTCAAAGAGCAAGGCCCTTGGTCAACAGTAAGGGCCCCCTTCAACAAACACGCCGAAAGTCCACGCGCAACACGACGGAGGATCCGGAAATCGACAAACGCGCAATACTAGAACACGCCGAAAGTGGGAAACAATCGGCGTGAAACAAAGGACTGACCGCAAACCTGCAAGGCCCTTTGTGAGAGCCACAAACACAGTTGACGACTGCTTAGAGCATCATCCACATCGGAGAGGCAAGGGGGACGAGGAAGACAGAGAGGACCGAAGCCGAACAGTAATAGGGGAAACCGACGGAGGTACACAGAGGGCGTTTCTGACATTCGGACCGTTGAAAGTCGAACCGGCGACCACCGGGGGATTGAAGACGGCCTCGGCCGCATCCCATCGCCATGTTCGGCTCGCGCAAGAAGGCCAAGAAGCAGTATACGGTATGTCGACATGTTTTCTTTCATCTCTCATCGTGAACGTTTCACCCCATTTGTTCTATACCCTCTTCCCCTTCGCCTCTGCCACCTGCGACTGCCAAGAGCAGCAACAGACGGCTAGAAGTAGCTCCCATTCCTCGCTCCGTTCCTTGTACCAGAAGAAAGGGTCATGCCGAAAGAAATGGCACATCCCACGAGGCCGGCCCTGTTTCTATTTTCATACCATTCTTCAAGCCTGTCCATTGGCCCCAAGAAAGCTGCCAGACATCTGGCTGCTTAATATCCCAACTTCTGGCGAACCTAGCGCGTTTCTGCTGCGTGTTTCGTCCTCTTGTCTCGAACGTCGCGCGCTCTCTCGCCCAGTTTTTCTTGAAGGCGGCCACAAGTCGAGAAATCGACTAATGCTGCACTTACTGGACATGAACCCATCCACCACCCACCAACAAAACCTAAAAGATCGCGGGTGCTTAGCCGCAGGGACGACCGATTCAAAAGGACGGGAGAGGTGGCCTAGACGCAAAAGGCCGTCCGTCGCACATCGCTGAGGAGCCTGACTGATCGCCTCGTCACTCATCTGCACTGCGTGTCTCTGATGTCTTGTGTCTCTTTCTTTGCGTTGCCTGGCCTTGTCTGGTCGACCCGACGGACTAGCCTAAGCTTAGCTCTTCAGCTCAAGAGAAGTCCTCGCCACATTTCTCCCTGCCTACCTTCCCTTGCTTTGCTTCCCATTTGTTTTATTTTGTCCAATCCAATCACTGTTTTATTTTCTTTCTTTTTTTGTCTGCTTTTTACCTTTCTCTTTTCGGCCTCGTCTTGTGGCATCCTTGGTCTTCCCCGTCAACAACATCAGCATTGGCGTGCGTCGCTCTGCGCAATGGCCTGTTGCTAACAATGAACAATGTCTTCCCAGCCGCCAACCGCCTCCTCTGTCAACCCGAGCGCGGCTACCGCCGCCGTCTCGGCCTACAACCTCTCCTCTGCCGCCGCCGCCGCCGCCCTACGCGCCCTCCCAGCCGCCCCTACCAATGTTGGCGCCGTCCAGACCAAGCGCACCATGCGCCGAAGCGCCTCGGTCTCATCCGAGGGCTCGCGCCGTGCACTCAGCCCGGTTCCGAGCATAAAACGTGCGATGGGTATCGGTGGTGGCAACAAGGACACAAGAGAAGCCTTAGTTATATCTCCAACTGGCGCGCCAACCGTCCGTCGTCGCGGCAGCTCGTCGTCGATAAAGTCGATGTCGTCCATGACTGAGCGCACCTTCCGGTCGCCCAGCCCACACAATCCACGCACGGCAGCACTCGCCGCCGCCACTCCGGCGTCGCCTAGTGGAAGCGTCAACAGCAACCGCAGCCTCTCTATGAATGCGGCTGGCACGGCAGCAGCTATGGCAGCCCGGAGCCGGTCGGCGCCTGCGCCGCCGCCCATGCCCACAATTCCCAAGCACGTTATCGACAACCAGGTGAAGCAGCAAATGTCAAAGCCGCAGAAGGAGCAACAGGCAGAAAAGAAGAACCGGCGCGCCACCAGCCTTGGTCTTGTCCAGCAGCCACTGCAGCTGGCCTCGCAAAAACAACAGGGGGCGCGCGCGTCCTGGTTCGGCTCCGCGACAGTCGGCAAGAAATCGGACATTCGCACGTCCGACACGGCAATGGACATCAACGGCTACGCCCAGCCAGAACGGCCAGGTAGTCGCAGCTCCTTGCAAAACTTTTCCTATCCCAGCCGGCAACGACTTGGCTCACCACCGCCAAGCCCGACACATACGAGATCTACCGCCACACCAGCAGCTGCTCCCGTGGCTCTACCCCTTGCCGGGAAGCTTCCCCGGTCGGCATCGACAGAGAGGGGCTCCTCACAACCACAGTCATCACAGCAAAAGACGGCCACGGGCTCTGCTCGGCGGTCGGCGTCCACAAGCCGTGTCACTGGTCGCTCCAATCTTGGACTGTCCGACCAGACTCTTGTGTACGATGCCAACTCACGCCGTATGGTCCCTCGCGGTGAGCTTCTTATGCTGGAGCAGTCCATCCTCGATGCAGCAGAGCGCCCGCTACAGCAACAGCGAAAGAAGAAGCAACAGCGAGGCACAGCCGCCGCTTCGCTTGCCGGCTCACACTTGTCTCAGGGCACCATGACACAAGCGCACGGTACCGCCGCGCCTTTGAATCGTGCTGAACTGCAACGCATACAAGAGCCTGCGCCGCAACAGACGGTTCCGGTACAAGCCCCCCAAGCCCCCAAATCGCCCCCGCCGGAACGCGAGCTACCTCCGATCGCGACGACTGCCCTCGAGCCTCCTGCTGCACCGCAACCAACCGCCAGCGAAAGGGATACCGATGACGCGGGCGGCCAACCTCTGCCGGCGCTGTCAACCTCGGCCTCTACGCCGTCCTCATCTGCCTCGTCGCTTACGGCTCTGGCTGCGTCCCAAGCGGCCACAAGCCCTGTGACCATTCAGAGCATGTCGTCACCCGAGGACGGCAGCTTTGACGGTACGCTCTTGACAGAGGATGGGCGTCCCGTTCTCGCAAAGCGCCCTTCCATCGTCCGTGAGGAGCCAGATCGGGAGGAGGAGGCGGAGACACAGCACCGGACGAGCGCGCAAACATCGCAGCCTCAACTCGCCACTGCCGCCGCTGTTCTTGCCGCTGCCGGCTCTAGCTCAGCCCGCGATGGTCTTGACGGTGTCCCTGCCAAACTACTACCCCATCACGACTCAAATGCTGAAGCGCAGCAAGAGCACGCTACGGCTCAGTCGGCCGCCGCTAAGCCGGGCGAGGCGGAGCGCACCCGGTCCAACAGCCCCGTGCGCACTGCCCACTTTTCCCCCATTGTCAGCACCAACCTGGCCGTGCGCCGCCACTCCCCGCCACCACGCTCCATCTCGCCGCGCAAGTCTGCGCTCAAGCATTCGAGCTCACCACGCGATGCATCCCCCTCCGACTCGGCTTCCGATGCCAACAACGCTCATCCTGGCGATCTGCAGATGCCCGCCCAGAACCGCAAGAAGGCCAACCGCGTGAGCTTTGACGATAAAGCCGTCGTTGTCACCCAGTCGCCGATGCCGCCCTCACCACCCGTCTCGCCGGCTCTGTCGTCCCTGCCGGGTGCAGCGGAAGCACCTCCTAATAGCAATGCCGCCCACCAGCCGCCTTCGCGCAGCCGGTCTTGGTTTGGAAACATTGGCAGGAACAAGAAGAAGTTGGACCATGCGGCCAATGGCGACGATGTAGTCATGAAGCCCCGCCCCGCCCTACCGTCCTTTGGCAGTGTTCGTGATAAGCCGCAACCATCCCAGTACCAAGAGGAGCGCGCCCTGGTGCGCCCAATCAACGACAACCAGTCGCCTCACCGAGCCGCGCAGACGCCGCCGCCGACCACGTCTACGGCTGCGGCTACTGCCGCGCCTCTTGAAACACACCACACCTCGAGCGACCACGCCATTGGCTTCATTATTGGCGCTGGTGCCGCAGCCGCAGCCGGAGCCGCTGCGGGAGCTGCCGCCGACCGCCCGACGTCTGCGTCCACTAGCACACGCAACACCGCGAACACATCTCGCTATCGGGAGCCACTTCCGCCGGTTGTAACGTCCGTTGACGGGAGTGGCTATGTATCAGATAGCGGTGCCAGCAGTGACGGTGACGTCGAAGACGTTGATGAAGAGCATTCTCCCGTCCTTCGCTTCGATGAGGAACAGGACACCACTGTCCCAGGGAACCTGGAGGACGAACCAATTATTCCTCCTAGTCCTGTAGCAAACGATGCCGATCCAATTGTCGTCGTTCCTTCAGTTTCGTCTCCGACCCAGAAGACAGTACCTGCTATTTCCATCTCCCATCCCAGCCAAGAGAGCTTGACCGCGGTTCGGGGAACAGAGGACGACGACGGCGACGATGAGGAGAAGAAGGAGGGGGAGAAGGAGGTTGACACCGAGGACGAGATTGCAAAGGAGGACGAAACGGCAACGGCGGTCACACCAGGGACGGAGGCCACCCAGCCGGCTGTGAAAAACAGCCCGGCTCACGCCCCTTTTGACGTGCCAGGCATGTTCCCTACAGACACGGACTCGGACGGAACAGCTAAGAGCTCGCCGACCAAAGCTACGTTTGCAGCCAACAACTCTCCAGTCCCGATCCGGCAAAATGCATTCGAGCCCATCACCCAGGAGGACGACCATTCGTACTCGGCCCAGATGCCCGCCACCGTGTTCGCCACCCACATGCCGACGCTACACGAAGAAACGTCGCTACGCAGCGAGAAGGTAAACGACGATGACAGCGACAGCGAAGTCTTCAGCGACGCTTACGAGGATCTCTCGGACATTGAAGGCGACGGGTTCCTGTCCCTCGACGCCGTTGTCGATAGCCCCATTGTGCCCGACATGGTGAAGAGTCCCTTTGCTGCGTCGGCACTGGCTGGGTCGCCGTCGCGCAAGCCGGAGGTTCTGCAGCTTGGCCCGTCGCCATTGGCGAAAGAGACCGCGCCCTCCGCTCTTACAGGCGATTCGCCATCTGCCGGACCTACCGACCCCACCGCGTCTTCCTCGCCGACCGCAGTTGACGCTGGTGGTGCCGCGATTAGCATGGCCGCCTTGACGTCGGCTGCTATTCATAAGCATGGCAACAGCGACGGTTTCATCGGCTCTGGCGACGAGGAAGATTGGGAGAAGATCAAGGCTTTCTGGCGCGGGCTGACCACCGAGAAACGCGCCCAGCTCGAAAAGGAAGCCCTCCAAGATGCAGCGGATGAGGGTGATCTGGAGGATGAGTCAGCCGCTGAGAAGAAACCGAGACGCAAGAAGTCCGTCGAGACGCGTCTGGCAGAAAAGAAGGCGATCCAGGAGCTCACACCGGTCCAAAAGCCCAAGGCCGACCCGGCTCCTGCTGAGAGCCAACCCCAGAAGGCGGCTGCCACGCGTATCCGCCGGTCTATGCGTGACAACGCCCCCCGTGCCACGACTGCTGCTGCTTCTGCTGCTACTGCAGGCAGTGCTGCCGGTGCGGACAAGGAGCACTTCAAGTCTTCGCTGCGTCCCAACCCGCCGGCTCAGAAAGAGCGCGCTGCCTCCGCGTTCCCGCCTAAAGCGGCTGTTGGTGCAGTGACCCAACCCCGTGCGTTGGCCACTACTCTTCGCCGCCGAGGCTCAGACTCAAGCGAGAGCAGTTTTAAGCGCGTTCGATCCGACTCCCACGGTGCGAGCATCGGCGGTTTTGGTGCAGGTGCCGCTGCAGGCGCGGCCGGTGCTGCCGGATTCCGCATGTCCATGCGCAGTGATCCGAAGGGCGCGGCTCCCTCCAACAACGGCCTCAACAACCGCAGCAGCCGCTTCTCGCTCCGGTCCCTTTCGCCGACTGGATCGACCACGTTGCGAGGCTCGACTGAGTCGTCTCCCCAGTTCCGACGAAGCATGCGGGATGGCTCTCTGGGCTCCGGGTTTACGCCTGTGGACATGAAGCGTATGTCTTCTCCAGGCTCCATGGCCAGCTCTACCTTGAGAAGAGGCTCGGCCGACTCGGGCGGCGGGTTCTTCTCGTCGTTTGGCAAGAAGCGCGGCAGCAAGCTGCTTCAACGCAGTAAGAATCAAGGCGGCGGCAGTGGCAGCAAATCGGCGCGTAGCAGGTTCGGTGATTCAAGTGACGACGACGATGACATCTTTGGTCCTACGACCACAGCCTCTTCCGGAGGCCTGGCGGCCCACCGCCGCAGCGTCAGCACGGGCGGCGCATACACCTTCCGCAGCCGCTTTGTTGACTCGAGTGACGAGGACGAAGCCGTTCTGGATCGCCATCCGGTCGGCCGGAAAGACAAGGATCACGTTGTCCCCAAGACGCTGCGCACGGGCAGCAGCATGCGAAGCGCCAGCGCACGACCCGCGAGTTCGTCAATGCCCTTGAGCCCGCTGCAGCCCGAGGAGCTCGAGGAAGAGGAGGGCGAGCTGGAGGCCCGTCCCAAGACTGCTCCGAATGGGCTTCCTTCGTACGGGTTTGAGGGCGGCACGTCGTCTTTGGCCGGCAACGCCGCCAACAACAACCTTGGCACATCGACTCTGCGACGGTCACGGTCTGGCCGTGGCCAGATTGCGCCTGTCTCGCCCATGTACTCGCCGACCACGACGGGTACCGTGGGCCTCAATACGGACTCCAATGTGACACCCACACGTCGGTCGAGCGGCATCATGTCCGTGCTCCGGCGTAAGAAGAACAACGGGCCCAGCTCTCCAGGCAGCTTCACCAACGGCGGCAGCGCAAACAAGATTCAGCGGGCCGGTTTGGTGGACAGTGCAGCCCGCCGCGACACACAGCTCGAGCGTAGCACGGCCGAGCTCGCCGCCGTGCGCAGCAACAGCATCGGCAGCCAGAACCGGCGAATCCTCAATGGCGGCGCGTCTGGTGGCAGCACGCCGCGCTTTGTCCCGCAAAACGACGACAGCGACGACGACGATCTCGGTGACAGTGAGGACAGCCCCGGTGCTGCCCGGCGTGCCGGAGCTCCTGCGAGCGCGTCCCGGTCGGACAGCTGGCCCTTCCCCGGGCCCAACGGCCACGATGTCGACATCAGCGCCATAGACTTTAGCGAAAAGAGAAAGAAGAAGTTCTCGTCGTTGCGGCGCATGTTTCGGCTAGACGACTAGGTGTGGTGGTCTTGGTTGAAGCATTGTGCGCTAGAAAGAGGAGAGAAAGGAAATACAAGAGGAGGTAATGGATCGGAATCGGGGTTGGAATAGGATTGGGAAGGACAAAGTCTGGGATATTTCGGTCATTTATCAGTCATTTCGGTTTTTGAATTTTTTTCTTTTGTCAAGGACTACTTTTGGCGGACTCCCTCTCCAGCCATTGCACACACTCTGTCATTTCGTTTCTTTGTTTTGTCTTATATTGTACTTTTGTGTTCTTTTTATTCGTCACAGGTATACGATAGCTAAAGGCCGGAAACTAACACAGGCCTGGGAATGGAGGAGATACCAATATTTTGGACACATATATATACATTAGGATTCATGGCAACAAGGAAATCAGGAAACAATACCATCTACAAGTTAATTCGACACAGCAGCAAGGTGAAGTTGTCCCTGACTTGTGGTATAAAATATGTTTATTATAATATTGCACGTTTGTTGATGTTTTCAATGGAAATAAGAGGAATTCGATAAATACTGTGCAAAATAATACGTAAAATTCTATTGAGAAATTTTCGCTTTTCTTTTCTTTTCTTTTCTTTTCTTTTGCCGGTCAACACAAACACTTTGTTACGCACAATTCATTAATTTATATTTTCCAAATCAAATTCTATAGGCAGCGCTAGGATAACAAAAAAAATAAAATAAAATAGATGTCGTCAAACATTACATCCACTAGACGCCCTGATTCCTTTCTGAATGATGCTGTCGTTTCTCATCCTATATTAAATGATGGTGTACCCGCCGTCGACGCGCAGATCAGCGCCCGTTATGTACTGCGCGGCATCGGACAACAGGAACACAACGGGGCCCGCCAGATCCTGTGGCACACCCAGGCGGCCCTGGGGCACGCCGTTTGTCCACTGCTGGCGCAGGGCGGGCTGTTTGGCGAGGATGGCCTGCGTCAGCGGGGTCTGCATGTAGCCGGGGGAGAGGCAGTTGACGCGGATGCCGGAGGGGGCCCATTCGACGGCGAGGGACGCGGCGAGCTGGCGGACGGCAGCCTTGGAGGCGTTGTAGGGGCTGGCGGGGCGTTAGCAATGCGCGAACAGCGCGAGCGATGCGAGCAACGAACGGAGTGAGGCGACAAACAAGGAGAAACATAAGGAGAAACAGGGGCAAAACGAGCGACACGAGGAACCAACGAAAACAACCGTGGACGTACGCTTGCGGCTGAGGCACATTGACAATAGCACCGCTCATGCTGCCGATCAAGACCATGCTGGCCGGCGGGGTGGTGGCAAGCTCGGCGATGGCGCTGGCGGAGGCGTCGGCCGATGCGGCCGAGGCACGCTGCTGTTCCTGACGGGACTGGAGATGACGGGCGACAGCCGTGGCAAAGAGATAGGTGCCGTCGACGTTGACGGCCCAGAGGGCACGGAGGCGGGCGGGCGGGTAGTCGACGGCGGGCACGTTTTCGACGAAGCCGGCCGAGGTGACGAGGCCGTTGATGGTGATGTGGTTGGGGGAGACGGCGCCGGCCTCGGCCTGAGCGGCCAGGACTTCTTGGATGCAGGCGTCGACGGAGGAATCGTCGGCGACGTTGGCGTAGTGGGCGGTGACACGGGGGATCCTGTGGTGGCGGTGAGTCAGAACCGAGCAGCGGTCCAGCGGGCGAGGATGGTGAGAAGAAAAACGAACCGTTGGTCAGGGTACCTGGCCTTGAACGTCTCGACCATAATCTTGGCTTGGGTCTCCGTCTCCTCCTCTAGTCTGTCAGCGAGAGGACTGAAGCACGGGTTCAACAGAAAACGGAAACAAAAAACAAAAAGAAAACAGGAAATAGGAAGAGGGAAAAGGCGCACTGTTCAGATCGACCATGGCGAGGTCGGCACCGCTGGCGACAATGGCCTGGCCCATGACGAGGCCAAGACCGCGCGCGGCACCGGTCAGGAGAACCAGCTTGCCGGCGAGCGAGAAGACGGGTTGCGACATGGTGGGTGCAGGCGCCGGGGGCGTCGGGGCGGCTTGGGACGTTGTCGCGTAGCCGCGCGCCGTGGGAGAGGCCAAAGAGGCTGACGATGTCAGAGAAGTGACGATGAAGGGGCGGCTGGCGACGGCGCGGACGCCAGCAGACAGCGCTGCCTTGCGCAGGGCAGTGCCGACGGCAGGCATGGTGACGTTGAGCGAATGCGAATGGCAACGCAATGGACAAAAGAAAGAACAAGTGCAAACGACGACGCGACGTCGATGCGATGCGGCGCGATGCGGCGACAGTGAGAGGAAATGTTGAATTCCCCGCCTTTTTGACAAGATGCTCCGATGGCGCTCGGCCTAGCACCTTCCGGAGGGATACGCAGCAACGCAAATAGGGGTTACCGCCAAGCCGTCTCCCGTTCGCGCTCTTTCCTCAAGACGGACGTTTGGACGGCTGCGATGTTGGGACAGAAACGGAAAGCGCGCAGCGAATGAAAGTGGAAAGTGCGTCCGAAACTGCAATACGTCTAAAGCATCTGCACAGGAAGCTACGATGGAACATTACGGCATTCTCTTCTCCTCTTCTTTTCACGGGTTTCAAAGCCCTCCCTTTCTAGCCTGCCGACTTTTGAGGAGGATCACACGGAATTATCTCAGTGTCGTCCGTCTCCTCATCTCACTCATGTCACGCTCTCACTCACCCTTGGCGTGCCATAGCCATGAAGACGGTCTTTTGCGGGGCCCGGTGGAGTTTATCCTGCGTGGTGCGCTTGAAATGACAGCTTAGGTTTTTGGGAAACCATTGAAGAAACGGGTCTAGAACGCCCTTGAGACGCGGAGTGTAGAGGAGACGCCGGTCTGGGCTTTTCTCTGTTTGAGTGGTTTATTTGCTGGCGCTGTTATTTCCATTGAATTTCCAGACTGGTGCAGCGCGGATTTGCTGGCATTTCTTGGGATTCTCCATCTATGGTCTACATGGATCCAAAGTAAGGAGACAGTAAAGAGAAAATGAAAGACGAAAATAGACCGTGAAACATAAAACATAATGCATAATGCATAACGAGATGTTGGCCTTTCTCACCAAACCAGCTGTTGATTAATTGGCTGCAAGCTATTGACTGATGGGTAAGGTACTGTGCGTTTTGTCCGTCGGTCAATTCTGGAACTGTCTGCTGCAATGGAACACAATGACGGCAGTCTCGAGCCGCCACGGGCATGTTTATAAAAAGAAAAGACGTCGAAGAAACAAACGAGAGCGCTTGCACCCTCAAAAACGTCAGAAAGACAAAAAAATCGACCCCCCTGGGACTCGAACCCAGAATCTTTGCCACCGGAAAGCAACGCCTTACCATTAGGCCAAGGGGCCGGGATTGGTCGATGAATTAATTCTTGCCCGGCGCAGAGTCTAAGAAGTGGGCGTGTTCCGGCGGCCAGGGTGTGCGAAGCTGTATCCACCCAAACGCACAGCAAGCCCCACATCGTTGTGTAAGTCGCTTTCTCTCATACTTTGTGACCACAGCATCGACAACTGTTTTAGTAGCAACTCATGTCGATATTCCATACGAATGTAAATCATAAATAAAAGAACAGTTCAATTGCCATCCTCGCTCGCTGCCAGACGCGTTTTCCTATCCCATCCGAGTCCCGCTGTCATCTAATCGTACTCGATCAGCACCTTGAGCGCCTTGTGTTTGGCGGCCGCACCGAACGTCTCATACGCCTTCTCCATGTCGGCAAACTTGAAACGATGCGTAATCAGCAGGGACGGGTCGATGCGCTTGGCGGCCACAAGCTTGAGGAGCATCGGCAGCGTCACCGTGTCGACCAGGCGCGTGGTGATGCTTATGTTGCGGTCCCACAGCTGGTCGAGCAGCAGCGGCGCGCTCGACCCGTGCACGCCAATGTTGGCCAGCGTGCCGCCCGGCGCCAGGATGCGCTGGCACAGCTCGAAGCTGGCGGGCACGCCGACGGCCTCGAGGACCGCGTCGCAGCCCACGCCGCCGGTGAGCGCCATGATCTCGTCGACGGCCGCCTGCATGCCGCGGCCGTTGTTGACGGTGTGGGTGGCGCCGAGGCCCAGCGACACGGCGAGGCGGTTGTCGTCAAAGTCGACCATGATGATCTGGGCGGGCGAGTAGAGCTGCGACGTGATGAGGGCGGCCAGACCGACGGGGCCGGCGCCGACAATGGCGACCACGCTGCCCGGCGCCACTTTGCCGTTCTGCACACCACACTCAAAGCCCGTCGGGAAGATGTCGCTGAGCATGACCAGCGTGGACTCGTCGACGCCCGCGGGCAGGGCGTACAGCGACGAGTCGGCGTGGGGGATGCGCACGTACTCGGCCTGGGTGCCGCCCGTGGTGTTGCCGAGGATCCAGCCGCCCCCGTGGCAGTGCGAGTGCATGCCGCGGCGGCAGTAGTCGCAGGACGCGCACGACGTAATGGCCGGGATCAGCACACGGTCCCCCTTCTTGAACTTCTTGACCGACGGGCCGGCCTCTGCCACGATCCCAACACCCTCGTGGCCAAGGATCTGGCCGACAGGCACGGACGCAACGTTGCCGTGCCGAATGTGCAAGTCGGTGCCGCAGATGGTTGACCATTTCATCTTGATAATAGCATCGCCGGCGTTGACCAGCTGCGGTGCCGGCACCTCCTCGAGCCTGACGGTGCCCTTGCCCTTGTAAACGAGGCCCTTCATTGTGGCTCTGGGGTTGGCTGGCGATGAAGGCAGAGTAAATGTTGGATTGAAGTTTGATGGTTCGGCTTTGACAGCGTGATAGCTTGATAGCTTGATAGGGATGGTGACTGCTGGGCACTGGGCACGTCGATGGATGCTGCGACTGGGGAAAGCTACCGTATTTATAAAGACAAGCAAACAGTAGAAGTCACGCAACAGCTTGCCACCAACGCCCGTATGTAGGGCGCAAGACGGCCTTTCTCCATTGCGTCTCCATCCCAATTGCATTTTGCTCCCCACAATCACTCGACCGGTCCAAGGGACGGTGGATCTTTACCCCTCCGCAAACAGCCCCTGATAGTGTGTTGGTCTGGGGCTCGACAGGATAGCTCCAAAGGATGGCTCAGAGGTACGGACGTGAGGCTGGACTGGGCCCATGATCTTGAAGCCTTGTTGGTGGACAGAGACAGGAGCATCCCTACTTCAGGGGAGGAAAGGGATGATATGACAATGTGGACTTTGGAAGATGGAAGGAGGAACGAGAAAGAACGGAAAGAACGGAAAGAACGGAAAGAACGGCAAGAACTAGAGACCGACATTACAATCCGTGAGCAGACGAGATGCAGTTGCCTGTTACGGAACTGTCGCAATGCGCTTCTCGGTCATTGGCCCAAGATATGAGTATTGGAAGGAACGACCGCTGGCAACTCTCATGCGCGGTTCCGTCGTTGCGGCAGCTGCGCAATGGTGTTGGTACTGCGCATGGAAACCTCAAAATGCAGAGACGTCCAGGTAGCACATATTCATTCGCCTGGAGATAATCTTATCCGCGTCTTGCTGATGTCGTCGGAGAAACTGGATAAAGGACGCACTCCTCTCCTCAAAACACGCGAGTCACCTGAAGGCCTTCGCACTTTCCCCGCATGCGGCTATCCGCTGATGTTTGCAAGTGGCTCCTTCCCCACAGGCCGAGAGTCTCATGCGCTGGCCAGAGTCGATAAAATCACGGAAGGCACTTGGGCCAACACGAGGCAGGCGCGCAACAGAAGCACCGCAAGAGCGCAAAAGCGGAAGCCGGGCACCAAATCGGGCGCACAGGCGGACCCGCAATCTGGTGCTTAACGTTCGAGCTCACCAGGGAACATCGCCTCACCTTCTGACCCGTCGTCCGTTTGTCAACTTTCCGAGCTTGTAGCGTCACTTACGACTTTTTGTTTCTATATTTATTTCTTTTTTATTATTTTATTTTTATTTTTTGATTCTCTTCGTTTTGGGCTGTCTCCATAGGGCCTGCAAGTGGGCATGCCGTGCGTTGCCTCTGCGATATTTTGCTGGAATATCTTCGCTTTGACAATCCGCAGCTACGCCGTCCAGCCCAGCTCCAGGTCAGATCCAGATCCCGTGTTTATGCCTCATCAACCCCTATCCCATTTGGCTGGTCACATGCCATCATACTCCACCGTAGTACCTCCGTACTTGAAAAGCGGAGGCTCCAAATCCTGCACGTCAATCGTTTGTTGATCGTCTACGACAAGGTGTACGACGTATGTGAGCGAATTCTATGCGGAGCGTGTGGCCTTGCTTCTATTTCCTTCGTACTGCCGCTCTCGTTTATTGAGCATACTCTTTGTTGAATGCCCGGCCAATCACCATCCGCCGCACCTCACTCGTGCCGGCACCAATCTCATATAGCTTTGCACTGTTGGGTGTTAGTACGTGACATAAACCATGACAATGTGAGTGTGAACAAAATGAAAGGGCGCGGCTGTGTCTTACTCTCTCAGAATCCGGCTTGCAGGCATCTCCTCCATGTAGCCCATGCCGCCGAGCAGCTGGATGCTGTCCAGTGCACACTCTGTCGCCCGCTCCGCCGCGTACAGGATCGCGCCCGCACAGTCCTGCGTCCGGATCACGCCGGTCTCGTCTACCTGCCGTGCCGTTGCGTACGTGTACGTCTGCGACGCCCGCATCTTGGTGTACATGTCGGCCAGCTTGCCCTGCACGAGCTGGAAGTGCGCCACGGGCACGCCAAACTGCTTGCGCTGGTGCACGTACGGCAGCGTCACGTCGAGCGCCGCCTGCATCAGGCCCAGCGGGCCGGCGCTCAGCACCAGCCGCTCGAGGTCCAGGCCGCTCATGAGCACGCGCGCGCCGCCGTGCAGCGCGCCCAGCACGCGGTCGGCCGGCACAAACACATTGTCAAACATGAGCTCGCCCGTCGGGCTGCCGCGCATGCCCATCTTGTCCAGCTTGCGCGCGCACGAGAAGCCGGGCGACGTGGCCGTCTCGACCAAAAAGGCCGTGATGCCCTTGGACCCGGCGTCCGGCTTCGTCTTGGCGTACACCACCACGACGTCCGCGTACGGTCCGTTGGTGATCCACATCTTGCTGCCGTTGAGCACGTAGCCCGGGCGGCCCTGGTCGTCCGTCGCCTCCTTGGCCGTCGTCCGCATGCTGACCACGTCGCTGCCGGCGCCGCTCTCCGACATGGCCAGCGCGCCCACAAACGCGCCCGACGTCAGCTTCGGCAGGTACGCCGCCTTCTGCTCGGGCGTGCCGTGCAGCTGCAGCTGGTTCACGCACAGCTGCGAGTGCGCCGCGTAGCTCAGCGCAATCGACCCGCTCGCCCGCGACAGCTCCTCCATGACGATGCAGTGTGCCTGGTAGCCGAGGCCCAGGCCGCCCACGTCCTCGTCGGCCGTGATGCCCAGAAAGCCTGCCTCGCCCAGCTTGGGCCACAGCGCCGCCGGGAAGTCGTTGTCCTTGTCGGCCGCCGCCGCCACCTCCTCGGAGACCTCGCGCCGCGCAAACTCCTGGACGCGCTCGCGCAGCTCTTCGAGATCCTCGGGCGTCGGCGGGACAAAGCCCTTGGGGTGCTTGGACGACGCCAGGCGCGCCTGTTGGAAGGTCATGGCCGACGCGGCGGCAGCGGCGAAGGGGAGTGGTGCCGTGCCGCGACGCTGGGCGACACGACGGCAAGACGACGCGGCGGTCCGTGCCAACGGCCGGAGAGACTGCAGACTGGCCATTTGGTCGTGGTTGTGGTTGTGATTGTTTGTTGTTTTGCTATTGGAGAAGCTTCTGTAGTTGGATGGATTCTGTGGTGAGTATTTCGTGCAGTCGATTCGACACGTGCGTTCAATCAGGAACGACGTGGAAAAGGATGCCAAAGGTCGATTGACGACGCAGGCAGAGAGTAGTTGTACCGAGAGATGCGAAAACGATGAGAAATTTCCAAGAGACACAAAATGCCAAAAGTACCAGAACAGGCGAAGTATGAAATCTCCAGTAAATTTGAAAGTGTCGACGTACTTGCCCTCGATGTGTTTGTGTGGCATGTGTACACCTCGGCTTTAGGAAAGTACGAGTGGACAAGTGGGGGATAGTTAGGGAAGGTGCTGTCAGGCTGGGAAGCGGTCGTTCTGAAGACACGCTACAACCAACGGCTTACGACGGCTTTTCTCGGCAAAGTGCGCTGTTGGCAGCAAACTACATCAGCTGCTCCCCAGATTGCTCTGGGCCAAGACGTCACTCGCACCTCCCCAAACCGTCCAGCCAAGTAATTGGCGGCACCCAACGGCACTGAACGGCACTAGGAAAGGGCGACTCCCCCTCGAAGCCCGCAGTGCCTTGCACCTGCCAGGAACGGAATTGTTTTTACTTCTCAAAATTCGGTGTTTCTCACGATAGCTACCTTTGATCTCCTATTTACCTCCTTTCTCCCTTTTTACTGTTCTTTGCCATCCCTTCCCACCGACGCCTCAGCACACACCCCGCCCACCATGACGTTCTCCAGGAACGCGCGCGGCGCGCTTCGGCTCACACCGCAGCTGTGCAACACCTGCCGGCGGACGACGGCCACGACAGCGCCGGCGGCGACAGCGGCGCGAGCTCTGAGCACACAACTCAGCCCCGTCAGACCCGTGCAGAGATCATTGGCCCGGACAACCAATGCCCCCGTCGTGCCATCGTCACGCGGCATTGCTGCCTTTGCCGCGGCTGGCCCCTCCGACGCCACGCTCTCCCGCATTCCCTCGACCGTCGACACCACATCGGACATCTACCAGGAGAACCTGGGCCTCATGAAGGAGGCCATGGAGCGTCTCGACCGCCTGACGCGAGCGGCCCAGCTTGGCGGCTCCGAAAAGGCGCGTGCCAAGCACGTGGGCCGTGGCAAGATGCTGCCGCGCGACCGCGTGGCTGCCCTCGTCGACCCGGGCACCAGCTTTATGGAGCTGTCTACGCTCGCTGGCGAGAACCTCTACGAAGAGGACGGCGGCAAGCCCCTGGCGCTGCCCTCGGGTGGCATCATCACGGGCATCGGTGTCGTGGAAGGCGTCACCTGCATGATCGTGGCCAACGACAGCACCGTCAAGGGCGGCACCTACTACCCCATCACCATCAAGAAGCACCTGCGCGCCCAGGAGATTGCTGCCCAGAACCGGCTGCCCTGCTTGTATCTCGTGGACTCGGGCGGCGCCAACCTGCCGCACCAGGCCGACGTGTTCCCCGACCGCGACCACTTTGGTCGCATCTTCTACAACCAGGCGCGCATGTCTGCCCAGGGCATCCCGCAGCTGGCCGTCGTCATGGGGCCCTGCACGGCCGGTGGTGCCTACGTGCCGGCCATGTCCGACGAGAGCATTATCGTCCAGAACCAGGGCCATATTTTCCTGGCCGGTCCCCCGCTCGTCAAGGCCGCCACCGGCGAGGAGGTGACGCCCGAGGAGCTCGGCGGTGGTCTGATGCACTCGTCTGTGTCGGGAGTCACCGACTACCTGGCGGTCGACGATGCCCACGCCATTGCCCTGGCGCGTCGCAGCGTCGCCAACCTCAACTACCCGCAGCAGACGCCGAGCCTGGAGAAGACCACCGCCGCCGGCGCTGCCGCCACGTTTGCCGAGCCCGTTTCGGATCCCGAGGAGCTGCTCGGCATTGCCTCCACCAACCTGCGCCGGCCCATCTCGGCCCATGAGGTCATTTCGCGCATCGTCGACGGCTCTGCCTTTGCCGAGTTCAAAAAGGACTACGGAACCACGCTCGTCACCGGCTTTGCCCGCATCTACGGCCAGCGTGTCGGCATCGTGGCCAACAACGGTGTCCTGTTGTCGACGGCCGCCGTCAAGGGCGCCCACTTTATTGAGCTGTGCTCCCAGCGCGGCATCCCGCTGGTGTTCTTGCAAAACATTTCGGGCTTCATGGTGGGCAAGGAGGCCGAGCGCGAGGGCATTGCCAAGCACGGCGCCAAGCTCGTCAACGCCGTCGCCTGTGCCGACGTGCCCAAGCTGACCGTCGTCGTCGGCGGCAGCTACGGCGCCGGCAACTACGGCATGTGCGGCCGCGCCTACAGCCCGCGCTTCCTCTGGATGTGGCCCAATGCGCGCATTGCCGTCATGGGCAGCGAGCAGCTGGCCACGGTCATGGAGACGGTCGGCCGGGCCGATCCCGAGCTGCGCAACCGCATTGAGCGCGAGAGCGACGCCGTCTACTCGAGTGCACGACTTTGGGTAGGTCGAACACACGTTTCCCTCCGCATTCCCCCCCTCTTCCTTTCAAGTCCAACCGCTAACTGTCCAGGATGACGGCATTATTCCGCCGCAGCACACTCGCCGGTACCTTGGCCTCGGCCTGCGGGCCGCTATGGGCGGGCGCAACGAGGTCGAGCCGAATGCGACCAAGTTTGGTGTTTTTAGGATGTAAATGGTAGGAGAGAAAAGATCCTCGGAGAGATTTTATCATTGAACTGCGTTCTTCTTTTTTTCGTTTGATTTCTTAGAGCGTAGATGTGACCGGTTGTACACATTGAACTGATTTACTTGGTTTCTCGTCATGTTTGGTGGAATTAATACCAAAAAAAACTGTGCAAATGAATGGCTTATTTCGAACGCAAGGTTTTTCGTCGACAAATATACGAATGTGTATGTCGTACTAAAAGAACCAGACACTGCTTATGCTACAAAACGAAATACAACATCGAAGTGACAGAAGTACAAAATGACACGCTGCTCAACCTTATTGCCGCTGGACATTCCCTTAGGCGATAGCAGAAGACCCGTATCCCTGGGCCTCCTTTCAGAACGGTAGCGAACGCCTGAACGCCATACATGCCGAAATGATGTTTCTTTATTATTGTTCAATGCTGGAGGAAATCGATGCTGCTCGGTGAAAAAATGAGGTCGCTAAGATAAAAAAAATCTTGAAAATAAAAGAAAATAAAACAAAGTAATTAGAAATCGAATAGAAAAGACAAAGAACCGTGCTCAAGTGCCGCTCAAGAGTTGCGGTGCTCTCGGTCGCCGGTCTCGTGCTGGTCGCGTGTGCGGGACTCTTGCCATGACGCATAGCTGCCCTCGCCCAGGCGTTCCTTCTCGCGGTCCAATATGACATTGAGCTGGCTGCGGGTGCGCGCAAACGGGATGCGCGGTGTCTGTGCCGGCCGCGTCGGCGTGAAGAGCGGTCGGGGCAGTGCGGGCTGTGTGTCTTGGAAACTGGAAGAGGCGGCATTCTGGAAGCTCGACGGGGCCTGGAAGCTCGAACTAAAGCTTCCCGTTTCCGACATGTACGCCGGCAGTTCGCTGCCGTCTTCCTTGTCGTCGTCGTCGGGCTCTTCGGGCGGCTCTTCCAGTCCCGTCTTTGCGTACAACTCAAATGTGTCAGGGCCTTCGGCGTCCATAAATACACCCTTTGCCGCGACCATGGAGGCTGCAGTCACCGTGGACGACCGCATCGGCCCCAGAATGGGGGACTGGTAGCCGGGGACAAGTCGTGGGCGTGTTCCATAGCTATCTTGCGACATGGACCGACCCATCATGGGGGCCGCCGGCGCTGCCGCCGATAGACCGGGTGCTGCTGCTGAGCCAGGGCCCACGTAGGCGGAGGTAGGTGGTAAAGCATGTGCGGTGCCTCTGCTAGACGACATTGTCGTAGTTAAACCAATACGGCTCAGTTGCTGTCTGTGGCTCTGCCCGGGCTCGTATGGCATTGTGGATTGCCGTATTAATCCGCCGCCTGGACGAGGTATTGCCTCTGGCCCGCCGGGAATCTTAATCTTTGGCCGCTGTGTTGACTGCCTATTGCGAAAAGCAACGGGCACCTCGAGTCCACCTGATGAACCGCCCGAGGATGCCAGGCTCACAGGCCCTCCCGATGCGCCCGTCACATACTGGGCAAACGAGGACCGCTTTCGTGAGGCAGTTGCTAGTGTTGGTGCAGGTGCAGCAGTGGTTCCTGTGGCGGAACCCGCTACTGATCCCGATAACGAAGAAACTGCAGTCGATTCGGAAGCTGGCGAGGATGTCCGTTCCGGATCTGCAAGAGGCTGATGCCCGGCGGGTTGCTTCCCGGCTGACTTTTCTGTCATGGCGGCTAATTTCGGTGACCGCCGTTGTTGCTCTAAGACCCGTGACTTGGATGGCATCGGATTCGGGCTTTGTGGTGAAGACAATGCAGGAGGAAGAATGGCGTCCTCCAATTCTTCCTCTTCAACGCCAACAAGCGACTCGCCGGAATGGCGCGGAGGAAAATACGACGGGGTCTCGCGGGACCCTGGCCCTTCGGAGGCACCGGACGACTGTGAGCCGTGTGAACCGGATCGTTTAGATACCACAGTCCGTCGTTTGGAGGCGGATGAGTTGACGACAAACTTCTTCTTAGCTGCTTTGCCTTTACCGGACTTGGTGACTGCTTCGCGCTTGCTGGATGCCGGTTTTCTGCCGCTATTGTTGCTGCTATTGCTCGAATGTTTTATTGGCTTGCTCTCGCGATGGTCTGAGTGGTTCGTGTCGGTGCTTCCGTTGCCATTGCCAATGCTACTTGCACTCGTGACTGCATCTTCGTTGGCCTCACTGCTGCCTCCCAATTGAACGTTTTGTTCGTCCTCTTCTGCCTCGGAAGGCTCACTAGACGGTAGGGCGAACCGTGGCGTTGGGCGGGGACCCGACAACGACGGCCGAGGTTTCCGGAGAATCGATTGCGCCGGGGCTGGCCTTGTCGAGGAAGATGAGAGCAGCTTGACATGCGCATCCTGCTGAGCTTGCTTGTGATCAAGCGTGCCGGTATCTGCTCGCTCGCCCTCGGTAGTAGAGTCTGCGTTGTTCACTCGTTTGGGTGCCACAGCCGCGGCGTGCGAGGACGCTCCTGGCACAGGTGCATCCTGGCTTGGTCTTTGATCCTCACTCGCACTCTGTTTACTTGATCTCGGAGGATTCGATGTCCCCGTTGCCGTCGTTGCTGTTATAGATGGAGGTAGGAGCATGAAATTGATCTTTGAAAGAGAGGGACAGTCAGTGAGAGACTCAAAACGAAACAAAATAGTCTAAGTCGCGGGGCATTACCGTTGGTCCGTCGTATCGACTGGCAGGTGTCCGCAAAGGGACAAATGTCGGGCCCGTCGAGATGTTTTCGTACAGCTTTGCAACGATCTTGCCACTAAGACCACGGCGCTTGCTGCCCCAAACATGCCACCAGAAATTTTCCAAGCGGTTGGCGGTTGGATCGTACAACTTGCGATGCGTGATTGTGTACACTAGAGACCGTCTTGTTAGCTGTCCTATGCAGCCAGAAATTCAAGGCGGTGGGACGAGGGTACGCACCGCGCCAGTACTCTCGCAGCTTCTCTGGAGGGATGACATCAAAGCTAGCCACCTCGGCGTAGATTTCGGCCGTGTTTTCGACAAAGCCTCTTGGGAGAATGGGGAGAGCCGCCTCGATGGAATCCTGTTCGGCATTGTGAAGGGCCAAGGCGGCTGCATCCAGTGGAACGTGTGTCGGAGGATCGGTCTTGGACGCTGCCGCCGTCGCTTGTTTCACCAGGCCGGCCACTTGAATAGAGATGTCGTTGCTGCTGCTGGTCGGTTTCTCGCTCTCGCACAAACGATCGGCTTTCGTCGCTTTTAAACTCCCACGGTCGCTACCTGGTATGACGGGTGTCGCCATTTTGGAAGAGAGAACAAGCAGCTCTTGTTTCCTCTTTCAACCCAACAGCTCACAAAGACAGTCTGTTGACAAGAAACATATCCAGGACTTGCGACGTGTGTGTTGTTTGGGTGATTCGTCAACTTTGCGCTGGTTTAAGCCGTACGCATACAATAGTCGCAGAAATTGACCTTGATGCTTCACAGAAAGCTTATGAGCTCATATAATCAGAAATGTAGAAATGATGTGGCAAAGTGACAGCCGTAGCAAGGGCGAGGAGCGAGGGGTGCGGAGTGAAGATTTGCACGGAGGTCGCCAGGCGACTTGGACGGGCTGTGGAAAGGTCGATGCGAAAGAAGTCGGTCGGGATGAAGCGAGGGCGAAGGTGACAGCCCCTTTTCTTGGCCCCCCCTCTCAAAAATAAATAAACCAAATAAAAATAAAGAGAAGGAGGGGCTGTTCGTTTGACGACAAACGACTAAGATGGGAGCGGTGTGAATAATGGCAAAAGCCCGGGGGCGCTGCTACCCGCGACGAACGTAAACACAAAAAAATAAGTGACAGGGGCTTTGGGCAGAGCCTTGAGTTATTTGGTTCGAGTTCAGGCAGCGACCCGTCAATAAGTCTCCGTGCTCAGTACTTTGACTCGACAGAATTTGCAAACGAAATTAGAGTGAATGTGGAAGTACGGTGTTTGGGGTTTGGTGGACTAACAGGTCCCTCAACAAGGGACGTCGAATGGTGGAAAGTTATCGTGCCACTGGTTTCCGTTTGTTAGTTTCTAAAGGCGAGACGGGTTAAAGAATCATTTGCAAGCTGATGATCAGAATAAAATAGAAACGAGTCAATTTTCGAAAACACAAGGGGCCGCGAGAGCGAAGGAAACAAATAGGCGGTACGGTTTCCGGTCATGGGAAAGAAGGGTTCTCCATTTTGTCTGGAAGATGAAGGGTCCCCACAAATCAGAAACCGGGGAAAGACGAAATATATTATGGGAAAGTGAACGTCAGGTAGCCAGGAGTGTATGGAGAAATAGGCATCATAGTATTTAGGGCAGATGAGGGGCATTACTGAGGCGCAAAGAAGGACGGCGAAAAAAAAAAAAAAAAAAAAAAAAAAAAAAAAAAAAGAAGAAAGCAAGGTGAGCAGCAGGGAGAAAGATATGCCGGAGAGGTCTAATGCATGTTGCCCGCAGAAGTTTCGAGACTAACGAATGTGCCTGGTTGTACGGTGTACTGCGAGGTGAGCCTCGTCGCATCGCACGAGCACGGGCATCGTATGTGGGGAGACGAGACCAGGGAACGGGGGTAGAGGAAAAGGGGTTGGCACCAGAGAAATAGAGGTCAAACGTCTCGTGACTGGGCCTTATTTTGTTTGCACCGCGATCGTGTTCACTTTGATTCCCTTAAAAGAGAGAGACAGAGAGAAGACGTTGTTTGAATATGGACCTGGGACTGGTGGCGATGAGGTGCAGCCGGCCAACAGTTTTGGATGCAGTAATAAGAACTAGAAGCATCAGGTGGTGCCAGGTGCATGGGAGAGGTTACAGGATGCGCTAGGCGTGCGTGACACAGGCGGGGGACTTGAGGTGGCAAAGCGTGGTTCATATTGAGAACAGATGAAGAAACACTCATACAAAGACGGAAAAAAAGAAGAGATTAAAGTGCTTCACTCACAATTGCGCGGAGGCGGAGAGACCGGCGAGGCGGCTCTGTTGATCTTGGCGGGGAAGGTCGATCTAGTCGCGCTCTGAGATTGTAAATGTCGATATTAGGACTTGGCCTCTTGGCTGTGGAGTTGTGAGAGCGAGCTGGCAAGTAAGCTCAGAGCTGTGTATCCGGGCCCCGTTGAGCTAACAAGATCGTCAGAAGGATGCTGGCCAGTCGTGGCGGCGGCTGGCGGCGGTGAGAAAGAAGCGTCTTGAGAACTTGTGACGTTGCCGGGGTTTCGTCGACTCCGGGCACTGTAGAATAGCTTCGTGAACGACGGCCAAAAGGTGCCAAGTGGCCAGAAAGAGATATAAATAATAACTATCAGACAAACAGGCAAACAGGCAAGCGAGTGGTGCGGACTCAGATGTAGCGATTGTCGAGATCCGCGTTGGAATAAACAAAGGGCAATGAAGGAATTGGGATGCAGTTGGAATCCCGGACTTGGATTGAAAGCCGGGGCCTAGTGGTGACGATTCAGACCGGTCAGACGTTGTCGTCGCGGGCCGTGGTCGTAAGAGGAAGATTAAGGACGATACACCGGAAAAACAGAAGACATGAGGTCTTCTAGCGACAACTCGTATCGCACAAGGAAGAAGGGCAAACGATGTCGATGCCGGGATGTGGAGGCGGAGATGAGTCAGGTGGAGGTTTGCGTGTAGTGGCGCATATCCTACTCAAATAAGGGAGAACCAACGACTGCGCATATTGTAGAGATGTGGGACAGGTGCGGTGTTCGTGATCGGCGACAGTAAGCGTTGGAGTGCACACGGTCAACACGTCGATGGCGACGAAGCGAAAATAGTTGAAGGTAATGGAGGAGGAGAAAGTGGTTTGAAATTAAGAAAAAAGGAGAGAGCAGGAAGAAGATGGACGGAGAAGGGGAAGATGGGAAAAGGGGGCAGCCGTGGAAGGGGAGAAGGAAGAAGGCGCGATATGGATTAGCGATAGAGGGAAAGAGCTAGGTGCCTCGTGATCTTCGCCGGACAAAGAGGGAAAGAGCAGATGGGCAAGGGAAGAAAGAAGGCAGTCGCGAATCGCAAAAGCAAGAGAGAAAGAGACAAAAGAGACAAAAGAGGAAGGACGGCAGAAGAGCAGAGGAAGGCGCCGTCACCGAGATTCAGGGGAAGCGCAATTCAAGCTATCCATATGTCGTGTATCTTACCGTCCCAAAATCACAATATTGATCCCAAAAAGAAAATAAGGCCGGCTCCATTCTAGTTATCAGGCTCCTGTCTCAGATGCCAATGCAAGATAAAAATAAAATAACACAGGGAGGACGAAGACATGGACTGAAAAGGATGGGCCTAAGGGAGTAATACGGAGTATGCCACACTCCATAGAGTAAGGAAAGCACGATCCCTCGTTCCTTTCCCAGACCTCCCAGGTGACGGAGCTGGCCCCAGTTCCCAAAGAGGAAAGACGAAGCACCGCCAGAACATAAAAACGTGGGCGCTGCTAGTTGGAAGTTTAGGGATCTGGACAGGCGGCGCCCTGGCACTACTGGAGACTAGTGCTGTGACTTGGCCAGGCCAGGCCTCATTAACTGATGCTTAGGGGCCGTTACAGTCCCAGGGGAACACAGCAGGCGGCGCGACCGGTGTTCGGTGCGCTAAGTCCAAGAACCGACGGGCTGAAGTGGCCAATCGGTTTCGAGGGTGCGTTCCTCGTTCCTCGTTCCTCGTTCTGCGTCATTCGTTGTCCGTTGTCCGAATTTGTTATATTCATGTCCCACCCACATCAACGAAATGCAAAAAGCAAGTAATGTATGACGGCAAAGGCCCACGTTTCTGACATGAAAAGCAAGTTATGGAGCCTGTGAGACCAGTTTTGGTTTTGAGACAAAAAGTCGGCTTTATTATTTGTTATTTGTGGTCCCATGGCGTAATAACAGTCGAGAAAATGCCTGCCGGCGAGCTTTTGGAGACCGCACGGTTGGGAAGGTGCTGGTAACAAAAGACGACCCAGTGACGACGTACATGCGTATGGCAGTTCTGGGAGGGACCTTGAACAGAAAGGGTTTTACTTGGAAGAGGTGCACCTGCTGCGGGCCAGGAAAGCTTGACCTTGGAGCTGCCAGGGAGCCAGGCAGGAGTCAAATCTGAATCAGGGGACAAGGAGACGGGGCAAAGTGGGCCCGGCCTATTGCTGCCCTGTCACGCTGTCAATATTTCCATCTTGCCACCTTCCAGCTACAATAGCCCCCGTCGAGCCGTCCCAAGCCAGCCAACTGGGACAGCGAACATGGGAACGACCGTTCCTTTCTGTGGAGAAGAACGATTTTATGGAACCCGGTGATGTCCTATCCTCAGGGGGTTTCAGTACCGCTGTGAAGGAGTAGTCAACGTAGTTCTTCCGCTTGAGCTCTCGGGCACTCAAGGCGATGTACTCATGCAGGGGAGAGGGGGAAGGGGAGCATGAGACGGAAGGTTTTTATTTTATTGATGAGATAAAATAATAGGACCAGGAACAGGAAATCGACAGTCAACACTTGAAAGGTACCTCCACCTGGCCAAAAAACGCGTACACACAAAAGCTTTTTGGTGGAGTTCTCCGCACTGTTACCGTTCTAAATTAAAGATTTCTTGCACTGAAAGGCTGCTAGAACATTTTGTGCGAACGCCTTTTTTTGTCCAGGGGGAGAGTACGTGGCAGACATCAGAGGTGGCATCAGAAGCAGGCTCGGCATCGAAAACAAGTCACTTGACTTGCCACAATGGAGCCGTGCGGCAGCAAAAACAGGGGGAAACAGAAAAAGGAGGGAATGACCTCGGGACGAAAGCGGGACGATGAGAACAGAAAAGCCCTGCATGGGACAGGAAGCTTTAAGGGTCCAAACGAAGTCAAACCTGGGGTAAAAGTACGGAGTGGGCCAAGATTGTCGAGCTGCACCTGACCCACGAGCTGTCGGGCCACTATTACGGAGTACGTATCGCGCCTGGTCCGGTACTACGAACTGTTTCGAGTCCACGAGTTGGAATACACAGCGTAATTGTTCGCTCATAGCTTTACGTACAAACCGTAGATAGAGGCAGAACGAAAGAGACGAGAAATGGGACGGGCTCGTGAGATATGACAACAAAGCATGTAGGCGTGGGGAAGCTTGGAGAAAAGGACCGACGACAGCGTTTGACGCGGTTTAGAGGAATAGAGAATAGAAAATGCATAGAAATAGCAAACGGAAAACAAGAGAAATGCGACATTGCAGACAAACATAACACCATCGGATGGGGTGCATAGAGGAGATGTCGGAAAAGGAGTGTCGTTTCCGCTAGAGGCAGACATAGTTGGACAAAGGATGTAAATTGTATGCTAAGGAAGCATGGGAAACAGCAAACAGGGTCTGAGAAAGGGCCGTTAGTGCGGGATGTCCCGTGTCACATGTTGCGTCAGAAAAGGAAGGAAAGGAAGGAAAGGAAGAAAACGTAAGGAACAGGAAGAAGGGAAGGAGCTTCCAAGCTGTCGTTGTACTGGTGTCTTCCCTGAACGACCTTCTCTTTCCAGCCTTGCCCCCCATGGAGGCCGACAGCACAGTTCTGCGCCCTTTACCAACGACATTTCCCAATCGTTCGGTTGATTTGGGGGCGCATGGTCGCGAGGTGCTCGGCTCCAGCAAAGAAATAGGGTGTGTGGAGACCCTGGTCGCTCTCTGGGGGACCATCGCGACGCTGCGCGTGGGATGACGGTGGGGGTTCGTCCTTCCCTGGACGAAAAAGGTTGTTGCAACAAATTGTTGCAACGAATCTCCTTTGCACATGTTCGACGGCAGCACATTTCTGACTCGTCACGGGCATGAAGCAGAGGGGAAAAGCGCTCCATGGAGCTCGGTATTCTTGGGGTTGTCCAATTTTAGTTGCTCAACGTATTGCAAACAGCTCACTCGCTTCATTCTTCGGAGTTTTGAGACGGGGCTTACGGAGTACGGTGTACGGAGAGACTACAGAGTAATTACGGAATACATTGTAATGGAGACGTGTCTACGGTCTGCCACTTGCACCTGCCCTCTGCGGCGTTCTTTCCACAACAGGAGCTCTCCTTTGGGGCGGTTGTACCCTCCGCTGGTCTGCTTAGTGATCAAGCGGCAACAACGCCAACGCCAAATCCACATCCACCCATCAGCCCCAACGTCGAGCGATCACGTCGTAATTACTTCTGCTCTATTTCGAGAACGGATGACCTGGTTTCAAAGGCAAGGTATCTCGTGGTCGGCGCCCATTGTGGTACCAAGTCGCTGCAAGCAATATGAGGTGCAGATACGGACATCTAATTACAGAAAAGGGAAAAGGCAGTTGCAGCGTGTCGTACAAAAGACATGGCGTGGCCTGTTATGCTCGCACCTGGCTACCGATCCCATTTTCGTCTGCATGAGCCGGAATCACCGTTTGGCTTTAAATACAACCGCATATAAACTCATTCGTTTACAACACGATGCAATTTAAAGTATTATTTAATAATATTCAACCAGTGTGAATTACTACAAGCAACGCCTCCATCATAGTCTCTCTCTTTTCCCTTTCAATTTCCTGTATTCTTATCAGACACACACATCTCTCACCCTGGAGCACCTACCGGAGGTCCCTTGCAACAGCCGTCTCGTCATGCCAATGTCGTAGTGGACACCCCGTCTAGACGGTCTCGGCGGTGTTGACCATGCAGTAGTCGAGGTTGTGCAGCGAGCTGTCCGGGTTGCCGGCCCAGATGGGGAAGGGGCGGGTGGTGCCGCTGCCGCCAAAGACGGCAAAGGTCAGGATGAAGACCATGACCTGGGTGCCGCCGTCGAGGGCGGCCGAGGTGATGTAGTTGTACTTGACGAAGAAGGACGGGTACTTGCGCCGCAGGTACCACTGGGCAATGAAGCCGAGGCCAAAGAACATGGTGATGGCGGCGTTGATGCCGACAAACAGGTAGCCCATCTGCCAGAGAATGATGGACGTGTTGAGGTAGCGGAAGGCCTTGTGGGGATAGAACTTGTTGGCGATCCAGAGCGGGAAGGGCGCCAGGAAGCCGAGCAGGTAGGCAATGGTGACCCACTCGTACTTGGCGCCGATGGAATACATGTCGGAGGCCATGCTCCAGGAGATGGCGAGCGTGTTGAACTGCTGGACGTTCTGGCCGGACCAGATGTTGGAGCCGACGATGCCCGTCAGGATGGGGGCCTGGTTCTGGACAATGGTCAGCATCATGACCCAGTTGAGGATGGCGCCCACGACGCAGCCAATGACCTGGATGGTGAAGGTGTGGCGCGGCGGCAGGTGGACGTATTGTGCCAGCTTGAGGTCGCGGGCGAGCAGCTGCGCCTGCTGCATGGAGTTGAAGGTGAAGCAGGTAAAGTACATGTTGGCGAGGGGGCGGCCGGGGAACATGTAGCCGGCCAGGGTCTGGCAGATGGGCTGGATGTTGTACTGGAAGCCCGTGATGCCGTACTGGGCGCCGAAGAAGAGCAGGAAGATGGTCAGCATGATGGTGCTGACCAGGAAGCCCCACCAGGGCAGCGTCGACTTGAGCGAGTACAGACAGCCGAGGCCGACGGCCCAGCAGATGACGAGCACGGCGCCCCACCACCACAGCGGCACCTCCTGGTACAAGTTGGACAGCATCAGCTTGTAGTGGGGGTCGAGCTTGGGGTCGTTGGCCTTGCGGTCGAAGCGCTCCTCGGGGGTCTCCTTGGGCACCCAGAACTTCCAGGTGTCGGCGCGCAGCAGCTTCTTGAGGTTGGCCGGCTTGGCCCAGGACCAGCCGGACTTGATGTCGTCAAAGTTCCAGAGCAGCATGTGCACAAACGTGGCGGTGAAGCCCATGTTGGAGGTGATGAGGTAGCCCAGGTACGAGCCCGTGAGCCACGGCGTGCCCTGCTGGGCGACCAGCGCCGGGTCAATCTCAAACTTGTCGTTGAGAATCGTCGTCTGGTCGTACACCTGGTAGACGGTGCCGTTGGACGAGCTGTTGAACAAGGCCTGCGCGAGGAAGGGGAAGTCCTGCGAGCGGTAGGTGTTGCTGTAGTACAGGCCCATGAAGAAGACGATGCAGCCCATGTATCCAATGTATTCGTTGACGAGCGTCTGCAGCGGCAGCCAGAGCGGGCTGCCAAAGGGCGCAATGTAGTTCCAGTCGAAGCTCAGCGCCAGGAGGCCCATGCCCTCGTTGCCACTGGCGCCGCCAAACAGGTTGGTGAAGACGAGGCTGTCCTGCTTGGCCAGGCAGAAAATGGAGACGCCCTCGAGCACGGTAAAGATGTACTCGGGGAAGATCTCCCAGACCAAAAAGAAAAAGAAGATGATGTAGAAGATCTTGAGGCGCTGCTTGGCAATGGCCTTGTCGCCGTGCAGCGACTCGAGCAGCGACGTGATGGGCAGGTTCATGGGCCACAGCATGTGCGTCGGGTAGACGAGCACCTCGCGCAGCAGGCCGGCCAGGCCGAAGCCGATGAGCTGCGACGTGATGACGATGAAAATGCCAGCGGCCTTGTTGGGGTAGCCGCCGTAGAACAGCTCCTGGGCGGCCAGGGCCTCGGTGGCGAGCGCGGACTGCGACGCGGCCGAGGCCATGAGCGTAATGGACGCGTGCTCCTTCATGTGGAAGGGGAACGGGTTGAGGAAGCGGCCAATGGCGCCCTTGCGCGGGATGGCGTAGGACATGGCCTCGCCCAGGATGTAGGCCAGCACCGTCAGGAAAATGACCGACACGTAAATGGTCTGCGGCTTGAAGTAGAAGATCTCCTGCAGCACGGCGCCGAATGTGGAGAGACCGATGCCTGGCAAAGGAGATTAGGTTAGCTGGGCGCTCACAAGCGTACTCGTTGCGACAATCCGTCCCCGGTTCCATCCCCGGTTCCGTCCCCCTGCGGCCTTACCTAGGAAAAACACGCGAAAGGTCCAGGGGTTCTGGGTCGGGTCGTCCTCGAGGTCAATGACACGCGTGACGAGATCCTCGGCCGTCGCCACGACGCCGGTGCCAACATCGTCCGACGACGACTCGCCCAGCCGCTTGCGAGCATCTGCCTCGTACGACGGCAGATCGGCGCCCGTCGACAGAGCGAAGTCATGGCCGGCCTTCTCGGACTTGACATCGGCACTGGCCGGGTGCTTCTCGTCGACGGTGATGCCATGGTCGTCGGCACCGCCGCTGGTGCTCTCAATATCGCCCACTGTCGAAAATGCTGTGCGTTTTGTGGCCATGATGGGCAAGAGAGATGATGAACATAGAAAAGAGGGGGAAAAAGAAAGGGAAAGGGAAAGGAAAAACAAAGGAGAAAGAAGTGGAAAGGGGACGGGGGCCTATGGGGTTAAAAGCGTCGTCCCGTGTCACCCATACCGCCCGTGTCTCCTTTGTGGGTGATCCTTGCGATGCATGTCGCCTCGAGTTCGCGTGTAGACCTATGAGCTTCACTCTGGGTCTCGGTCAAACAACTGCATGTACTGAACAAACAAAACCCCGCAAATTACAGTCGCGAATCGGAACGCTACGCCCGACATCCTGTGCAGCTGTGGCGACAGTCTTATCAAGGTCAGATGGGGACAATGGAGACAAGCAGAAGAGGGCATCAAGCGGGCATGCATTGGGAACGGAAAACACGCAAAACAGTCACAGAAAAGGGCGTAATGACATACGGTCATAGCATGCCCTCTTACACACTCAAACTCCTATCGCCATATCGCATGCCTATTATCGTTAGGACGAACACACGACACAAGCACGACGTGCACCTTCCTAAACAAGAGGCAGGCCCGTCTGAGTCTCACCAGTAAGCAGACGAGTGCGGAGTACGGAGGACCAGCACTCTGCGAAAAGACTCGAAGAGGGCAAGGAATATCAGCGGAATAGCAGCCCTGGGAGACAAGGCGGGCGCTATGTGGGTGATGTGGACTCCTGCCAGGTGGCGAGGAGCGATATCAACCACATGATAAAGCGGAGCAGGAATGCGAAATTACTGGAGTAAGAGTCCAAAGTGTAGTGAAACGCAAAAATCTAGGGAAACACAAAAAGAGGGCGCCGACACGGGACACGGCACAGGCCGGCAGTGGTGGTGGTAGGCCACCTTCTTAAACAAGGTTGGCTGTCGTCGATGTAGTTGGAGACGGCATACAGAGCGGAGACCTTGGATGGGTCTTGAATAGATACTCGATGGGTACTCTTGGGTCGTTGTTAGCCTGTAGTTATAAAAAATAAATAAAAAATAAAACACAGCGTAGTCTCGTCTGACCTCGCTATTAAGACAAGACTGCAAGGCAACGCAAGGAGTCCAGCAAGGAATACAGGTTTTGTTTTGGGGAGCCAAACTGGACAGGCGGAGGCAAACAGGGATCTAAGCACCTTCCTAAACGAGGGACTATATCCAGACTCCAGCGTCCAGCCTCCAATCTCTACCATCAAACGACTATATCTGGACTATCCAATGATTCATCTCGGATAGTTTGCTTGCAGTATGGGGGAGTGCAACATATTAACGCGAAGGCATGGCGTGAGATCAGACGGGAAATGCGGCGCAGCTGACTCCTATCAGCACCCAAACAGAACGTCGCAATTTATCGGCCAAGTACTACAGCACCAAACGAGATGGACGATCTTGCATGCGTTGGCAAGTGCGCCAATATTCACCGAGCTGAAAGAGCTGCCCGAAAAGACAAAGCGTGAAGAAAACAGACCATTCTGTACATTTGTTGTAGACGAGAAACGAGAACATAGGCAGTAAAGAGTTCAAAAAGCCAATATTTCCGGAGGGGAAGAAGGATGAACTGGGGCATGTATGCCGTTGTATCTTGGGGTATTGTGACCAATGAAATGAGGACGTATCAATGAACCCAGGGTTTGCTGTAGAATGTGACACTGTCAGAAATACATGACGTCTTGAGTACGAATGTACTGCGCATTGTCAAAAGCTGTTCGAACATCATAAGATCCGACAGATGACTTCACATTCCTTAGGTTCGATGCGCGACGGACACATTCCGCATGCTTTTTCGGCGTACCTGTTTTGTTTTATCAAGTAACTTACAGAAGTACTCGCACGCGCCGATGCCGCGGAGACGGCGATTTCTTTTTCATTTTACGGCCGACTCCCTCTCAGACCTGCCTAAAATGGACGAATACGAGCGGACAGAGGTGGATCTTGCTCTCTTTTTCGTATTTTTTTTTTTTTTTTTTTTTTTTTTTTTTTTTTTGGGCTACCTCGCTGTCGGGCCAGTGGAGAAGTGGCACAAGACAGAGCGACAACGGACCAATCGCGTCGATAGGCCGAATCTTGTCCGGGGTCCCAGAGTATGAGCGCACATGAAGGCCGATCTGAAGGGAAGACACCTTCCTTTCATCTGCCATGCGATGCAATCCGGAGAGAAATGGTCACAAGTTTGATGGCGATGTTCGACATTGGACGTTCGACGTTCGACGTTCGACGTTCGACTTGAGACGTTGCATCCGCCAAGAAACTCCCGATGTACGGTGGCGTCCAGCCAAGGAGCCAAGCACAGCCAAGGAAAGCTTAACTTTCCTGAAATATTCCATGAAACAAAATGAAAACACCGCACTGCTTGTCGTTAAAATTTGCCGGTAATTCAAGCCCAGGATGAAATATATCCTCGCCTTCCTGTTCCGCGAAATGGACTTATATTGTTCACATCCCCGCCCAGATTAGCGTTCGTTATCTTTGCGGCATCTGTCGCCTTTGTTGCCGTGTCCCCCCTTTTGCCCCTTTTTTACGTCTTCGCTTTGGTACTTCAAACACATTTCATTCGATTGGCTTTCGTCCATGTAAAATCCGGTTACATTCCTAATTCAGTCTAGTCTAGCCTACTCCTCCATGACCCTAAGGGCCACTCTTGCCGACCCTCTGATGTTGGGGAACACACTGGACAAAAGCGTGTCGAAGGAAGTGAGATACGCCTACTTCGGCGTAAACGCCCGGATCGCTCCTTCCTATTGCTACTTCGATTTAGAACTGGATCCTTTTGGGAAGGTGCATCCATTGTTGCCCCAGGAAAGTGCCATTGAAGAAATGACCAACGACGTGTAAATGAAGTTTCGTAGAACATTGGCGAGGGTCCCGACGATTGCGCCGACCAAACGGGCCCAGATTGCAATTTGCATGTGTAAAATATTGCCAAGGTCCCAGCTCTCTCTTGTCTCTCCTGCCAAGCAAGCAACGGCAACAGCGGGATACGTTAGGAACGTGCCGATGGCCCGCGCGAGGGGGATACAAATGACTGAAGACATAAAAAAAGCGGAAGGCGCGATGGGGGAAGGGATGGGCAGTCCATAAAGCGCCTTGGCACCAGCATCTGTTAAATGGAGATACTTGAAGCAAGTGTAGAAAGTAAATGTGCAACACGCATCACTTCTTGGCAAATGGCTCTTCAACATTCACATCGCAAATGTACAACATCTCTTGGATTTCTGCATTCCTCGTATTCGCCGAATCTCCTCGATCTCCTTGATTTCTGGGATCTCTTCGGCACAACTATGCCTATTTAAGTCTAAAAAAGCAGAGCCGCGTCCACACCATTCCACCAAAAATAAATGATTATCTCATCATCCTTCGGTCCATCCAATGACGATACGATTCCTCTCCCGGGATGACTCACATAGCGAGTCCGTGTCTACAACGATCATTGCAGCCTTATATTTTGCATGACATGGAAATGAATGTCCGTCCAGTCTATAACAACATTCCGCCAGCCTGGTAACTGGAAGGATCGGCTCCATCATGTCGTTACCCTTGCTACGGGCTGATCTGCAAGAAGACCGTCCCGCCATCGTCCCGGAAACTTTAAAACGCCAAGAGGACCAAGGTTATGAAATGATCTTGCGTGCATGCCACGCGATACAATGCAGCCTAATATGAACCCTGGATTTTATCTACACCAGCCGCGGCTACACTGCCGAGCGAGCGCACAGATGCGCCTAGTGGTGTACACGACTGCGTTGCAGCCTTTCCCGCACCTGGGGCAGTATACAGACTGAAGTGGTCTCGCATAACAAGCGAGGTGATGCCGCAGACATAAAGCCTGCCACTATATTTCTATTTCATTTACTATAAAGGTTGCTGTCACTCCCTGACCTAACGGTCGCACTGCCTTTCTTGCCATCCATATCTTCTGCACACGCCGACGGCCACGTATACGTCTTCACTCCAGACACACAAAGCTCATTCGTAACTCTCGTGGGCTTGATGACTATATATGGAAAGTCAGACCTATTGTCGTGTTTCGTCTTCTGTTTGATTAACATAGGAAGGATCATACAGCAACGTGACGCCCTCATTCGTTCGAATCATCCTTTCCACCATCCACTTGTCCTTTTGCCGTTGAAGCGTCGTGTGTTTCCTCTTCACTCTTTTCACCAGGTTGGCGCTGTTTTCTTCTTTTGTCGCTCATTGCTTCCCCCCGTTTTCCTCTGATGCCCGTTATGCAGCCTCCTTTTCTGCAGCATCTTTTATCGCCTCATCACGAAATTGGTCCATAAAAGGGACCAGCTCGTAAAACACGTCCACAGTGTGCTTGTACTCGCACTTCCAGCACTTGTAGATGATGTCACGAATCAGCAAGTCGTCGGCGTCGGCCGGATACTCGCCGCGCTCAAACGAGGCCGTGATGTCGTCCTGAGGCGCGCGGTCCTGGTGCGGCCGATGGCCCGTCAGGATGTGGTAGAAGGTGCTGCCCAGAGCAAAGCGGTCGGTGTCGGGGGTGCACGGCCAGGGCGCGGGCCGTGGCAAGAAGTAGCCCTCGGCCTCGGCGGCCAGGTTGGTCTCGCCGTCAATGGAGCTGCCGCCAAAGTCGATGATGCGCAGGCGGTCGTCGTCGCCGATCAGTAGATTGTCCGGGCGCAGGTCACAGTGAAGGACACCGTGGCGGTGGAGGTGGGCAAGGCCTTGGGTGGCGTCCACGCACCAGAGCATGCGCCACATCAGCTTCGTATCGGGGTTCTTTTCGAGGTGGTCGTACAGGTTTCCTTTTTTGCAGTAACCGAGCGTGATGGACACTGACTCCGGCGTGGCCGTGCTGCCGTAAAACGGTAAGAGACGCTCATGCGGCGGCAAGTACAAGTACACCGAAGCCTCGCGTAGAATCGTCCGCATGCTGAACTTGTGATTATGCGGCGATCCCCCCTCGCGAGCCGTCTTGACAATGCGTGTACCACAGGGCATCACTGTGACAGAGCCGAATCCACCGCGGCCGATCGACTTTTGGAGATGGAATACCGGCAGTGTTAGCGCAAGAACAGGTATAGTTTCGTGAAGGATAGTGTGATGACGAACCCGGCGCGACGTGGACAATTCTGTCGGTTTCTGCACTTTGCCCTCGCCGGTAGCGCCTGCACCGTCGGCATTCTGAGCATCGCCACCTTTGGGCGAGAGTAAATCGTGTTCGGGATTCATTGTTTGTTCTATGCGAGCGCAAACATGAATGGCGTGTCGTGAAGGTGCCGCATAGTCGTGGAGTTCGCCGTAGATGTGCGAAACATGAGTTTGATCTGATGCAGGGCAAAATGCGGTAAGTGGCTGGGCAGTTTCAGGTGACATAAGCAAACCATGGGCTGCAACTGTAAATCTTGACGTCCATTTTGCGTTTGCACATGGTAAAATATCGGACAGAATTGGCGAAATATTTCTAACTGTATAATAAAATCGTAGTATGAAAATGCACACGCGCTGGCCAGATCGCGATATACTTACCTCCGTTTTGATGGACGAGAAAGGTGCTGAGAAACTGGAAACCAGTATGTTGTCTCGTAATGCTTGCACGATGTATTACTCTCCACATCTTTGCGGCACTGGACTGCAGGAACGGGCCGCCCCTGGATGCGGTTTTAGGGCGTCGCCTGAATGTTGACGGATGCACGACATACTGTGAATGAAAAGTAGTAAAAAGAGGCACTTTCTTCGCGCACGCCAGTGACCTTCACGTGTGAAAGAGCAGCCTAATGTACCACATGCTCGAGTGCTTTGCTTCTTGAAATGAAGTAGTGATGCGATGTGGTGCGTTCTTTTTCTCTCATTCGATGCTTTTCGACCTCCTTTACCGACGTTGCCACTGCAAGAAAGGCCCGAACAGACATCATGAGCTGCACATTGGTCGTCTCGACGAGCCATTCCATAAATGACATCTGTAAAGAGGACGGTTAATATAATCACGTCAATCACAGCACCCAAAGACACAAGGAGAAGCCTACGAGGCAAGAGGACTGCCGGCGTGAAGATTGGCATTCCATGTACATTCTGAATAGGCTGCGTATTTGTACAAAGGCTTTCACACACACCAACATACAGCCATACCCGAGGAGACGAGTCGCCAGCCCATCTTTCTAGTCGGCAAAAAGAAAACAAGGAAGCAGACGGTTGGGCATACATCGATGTGGATGCGTCGCCATTCGAAATTGGCGAGATGTTGCATACATCATACCGGTTTGATATTGGAGTGTTCATTTGCATTATAGCGTATTCTTCAGCCCGCTGACATATTCACCAAAGAGCTTACCTGTTCGACATTTACATAGAGTCGACAAACGACCAAAAAATAAAAAGAAACGTACAGCAGCGGGTATTCGCTGGTCGTCACCGACCCAACTACTAATCCGCCGATTATATGTTTGACTAGGGGAGAGCGGACGGGATCCCGTATTTCCATGTATCTGTGGCCGTACGTAAAAGAAGTGAGTTTTGAGAGTGGTTATATAATGTTAACGTAGGAAAACATTATTAATAAAATAAAAATAATTATAATTACGACGCATCTGCTCTGCACATTGTGCCATACATGGGTCAGTCAACCTTTACGTCGCTTTCTACCCTCATGCCCATCCTGGAACCACGGATCCTGGAGAAGCTCTTCCGCCGTCGGCCGTTCCTTGGGATCGTACTGCAGCATCCGGCGGATCAGCTGTTGGACCTGGCGTGCTTGGGCGTTCGTCATGTCCATTGGTGCCAAGCGGACAAGTTTCTCTTCCATGGTCTGCAATGCCCAGGGATGCATGTCCTCGGGGCGCATAATATCGTCGTCGTCCTCGCCCTCACCCTCGTCCTCGCTCTCGTCCTCGCTTTCGCCGACTCTCATATTAAACAGAGTCCGTTGTCCTTCCTTGTCGGCACGAAAGTAGTGCGAGGACCGCGTCCAGCGCGCCCAGTCGGCCGCGCGTAGCGGCCCGAGTCGAAGCACCATCTGCATGAGATGCTCGTCGTCCTCCTCCTCGTCGGTTTGGCCGGGCATCCACGGGAGGAGAAAGAGAGATTCGCCGGTGACGAACTCAAACACGAGGCAGCCGAGGCTCCAAATGTCGAGAGCGCGGCCGTCCAGTATATCAGTGGAGGATTTCAACACCAGTTCGGGGGCTCGCAGTCCAGTGGGCGTGACAATTTTGGGTGGTGGGTTGTTCAGCGGGTAGGCTGGTAGTGTTAGTGGTCTATATAGAGAGGGTGGACGAATACAGTGAATACAGAACGCAACAGAAACGCACCTCCACCCAAGTCGGAGAGTTTCACAGAAAAGCCGCGGCCGTAGTTGGCCCAGTCTGCCAACGGCTGGGGAACGTACAGCCGCCTCGGTGCCCAGGGGTCCACTTTCCCGTCCAACCGCTCGAGAGGCTTCGAAGTAGTTAAACCGCTTTTGGGGGGGGGTTGGTTGCCTGGGTGCAGCAGCTCGGCTTCAGGCACACTGTCCAGATTGATTTTTAGATTGAACAGAAAGTTTCCGGGCTGCACGTCGCCGTGGGCCACGCCGTGGTGGTGAACAAAGGACAGCGCTTCCAGGGCGCCGCGTACGATCTGCTTGGCCATCCAGAGCGGATAGCGAGCTTTCACGAACAGTGGCCGGCGCACAAACTGCGGCAGCTGCCCGACCATGCTGCTCACGGTCGGCCCCATGGGCTCAAACACGAGGCAAGCATGCGTGCCGTTGGGACCGGAGATGTCAAACGTATCGAGCAGCTTCGTGACGTGTCGATCGAGGTCGGCCCTCTGGGACACGGACGCCAAATGTTTGTAGAGCTTCACTTCCGGGAGATCAGCTGACCGACCGGCTTTGGCAATCACAACCTTGAGGGCGACAAAGCGGTTCTCGGCGCCGCCGTCCTCCTTACTCAAGTCGCGGGCTAGCCACACAGTCGAAAACGCCCCGTAGCCTAGCTTGCGGAGGACTTTGTATCGCTCACCATCGCCCAGAATGTCGCCAACGTCAATCGGGTGCAAGTTGCCTGGGTAGTAACTCTCCGACCACTCGCATGCTGGTCCAACACTAGGAAACCGACCTTCATCCGATCGCGGCAGACGCGAAGGAGGCGTCGGGGGTCGAGAGGTGCTCATCGCGCGGCCAAACTGGTGCTCCGCCACACTTGCAAAGAGTTGGATCCATACGTAAGGAGAATGGACCCAAATGCGACCGGCAGAGACGGTGGTAACTGAAATAGCTGGGGATGTTGAAGGCACAAAGAACCGGACGCGACTTTATCGTTGCTAGGTTCATAAACGGGCTCCTTATCCTATATTTAGTTTTTGGTACTGGTAGTCGCACTGATTCCTGACGGTATCTCAGACTCACCACAAGCGATGCAAAGCAGGTGTCGTCTGGTTTAACCTTTGAGGTTGCACGGAGTGTGCTTCAAGCTGCTTCTTTTTGCGCTTTTTGAGCCGTCCGTGAAGTGCGGGAAACGGCCTTGCGGTGACGCTCGGTTGGAAGACTCTCATGTTGGTCTGTATGCAGGACGCCTCACATCACCTTCAATAAGCCAGTGAGTGAAAATGTGGGTATGATTACCTAATTTACATGCAGCGGGAGACTTAGGCTCTCATCATTGGCTGGATGCACACTGAATTGTGGGGCTTTTACGCCTATGGAGACCACCAACACAAATTAAGTTCAAATAAAACAAGGCTGACAAGACTGACAACACATTCCCACAACCTAGGACCACCCTATGTGGAAACGGACAAAAAAAAAAGAAGAAAAAAGAAAAAGAAAACGGTCCGAGACAAATATACCCGACAACAAAACAGCATTCGAAGCAGAGCGCAAAGAGGGCCACCAAAATGGACGCGGCGAGGTCGGAGCCGATGCCCTGGCTTTCTTTCTGGTCTCCCGGGCAAGCCCACCATTCATGAAAAATAAATCGCAGACAGGGACGAAGGTGATATTTTCACTTAGGCTGAATCATTTTGCGCGCGTTGTAATAGTCGACGGTACAGTGAATTCGATGATCACTGCGCCTGGTATGTCAGCCGTTCCTAGTGAGTAGATGAGCAAAATGTTGACCATTTGGTCTGCAGTACCAATAAAGGAAAACTGAATAGACCTACACTACAGTTGCGCGAGTAGCGTTTGCAGGAGCTTCTTCGACCACGGGCCAAATGATATTGGCACGTATATCCGGATCACTTTCATACAAGTTGCGTGGCTTGAAGGAGACGTTTTCGGCTTCCATGCTGTCGAGGATTTTGGTATGTGAAGCAAAGGTTAAAAAGGAGAAGATGGCGGCGTGCTAGGCTGCGGGGCACCAAAGGCTTTATGATGTATATAAATTTCCCTCGGACTCGCTCACATCAGAATATGGCAAAAACAGAACATGATGCTCTTTCTCAGGAAACAAAGGGCCTCGATGAAAGGTCAAACATCAAATTTGCGAGACGCTCAACAACTACGTGAATTGCCTCGCGCCACCATGCCAAGAAAGTAAAAAGAAAGTGCAATACCTCCGGGGCCGTAGTCCTCATCAGCAATTCCTTTCGCGTCGACCTTGTTCTTCCCGACACATTGACCCGCCGCATTTTATATTCTGCTTTCTTTGTAGCAGAAAACTCTGGGCAAGCAGACAACAAAAATGGGAATAGAATGCACCAGCGTCGACGAGGCCAACTGCAAGAGTGCCGCGCCGCCACTATCCACATCGACGGCATCCCCGTGGGCGAAGAGCAGGTGGCATCCCAACGAAGCCACACAGGCGTGTGGCGCACGACATTGACATACATCGTAATATGAAATGTGTGCAGCTTCTGCTAGCTTTAAATGTACTTTTTATATTATAATATATCCAACGCCACAAGTACGCCAATTCCTATCAAATTGGTTAGCACCTCGGTGCATTCACCGCTTTACTCCGGTCATTTTAAATATATCTAAAAAGCATTATATTCAAGAATAACAAGACGCATTCTATCACGCATTCATTATATACATCCTCCGCTCTCTATACACACCCATTGCTGCCCCCCCCCCCAAAACACCTAGTACTTAATCTCAAAGCTGTAGGCGTCCTGGTAGTGCATCGCCCAGTACTCGTCCCAGATGGCCTTGGTGATGGGGCCCACCTTGCCGTCGGCCACCGGCTTGCCGTCCAGCGTCGTGATGGGCATAATGCCGCCCGCCGTCGTGCACATGAGGATCTCGTCCGCCTGGTACACGCTCTCGATCGGCACGAACTCGAGGCGGAACTCGTAGCCGAGCGTCTTGGCCGCGTCGATGACACTGCGGCGGGTCACGCCCTCGAGCACGCCGCGCGCCGGCGAGTAGAGCACGCCGTCCTTGATGAGCACGACGTTGAAGCCGGAGCCCTCGGTCAGGTGGCTGTCGCCGTCGGTCAAAAAGGGGTAGGTGGCGCCGCGGTCCTGGGCCTCGAGCATGGCGCGCGTCAGGTCGCCCCACTGCAGGTTCTTGATGGTGGGGTCAAAGGAGCCCGGGGAGATGCGGCGCACGGTGCGCGCGACGACGGCGGAGCCGGAGCCGTCCATCTGCACGGCGGGGTCCATGACCCAGACGTACGGCTGGATGAACATGTAGAGGCGGTTGACAATGTCCTTGGGGTCGGTGCCGCGCACGCCCTTGAGGCCGCGCGTCACGATGATCTCGACAAAGACGTCGCGGATGCCGCTCTGCGCAATCATGTCGACGAGCGTGGCCTTGACCTGCTCGCGCGGCATCGGCATCGTCAGGCGCATCTTGCCGCAGCTGGCAATGAAGCGGTCCAGGTGGTCGTCCAGCCGGAAGAAGCGGCCGTCCCACACCGACGGCACGTCGTACGTCAGGTCGCTGTGCATGAAGCCCTCGTCGAGCAGCGGGATGCGCGCCTCGTGCAGCGGCACCAGCTCGCCCTCGATCCACGCCACGCCGCGCGCGTACTTGTTGTCGCTCTTCTGGAGCGCCGCCGCACGCTCCTCGTAGGCGTCAAAGATCTTCTTCATAGTCGCCATTGTGATGGTTGGGGGGTTGTGTTGGGTGTGGGAGTGTTGGTAGTGGAAGTGTCGAGAGTGGAGGAGGAGAGGATGATGAGGGTTGGAATACAAAGCTGAATATGAACTGAAAGGGAACAGGATTGACACGGTATCGTCAAGATAAATAGTGTTTAGGAAATATATGGGTGGATACGTCACGGCTCGTCCTTCTTATTCAAGCAGTGGTGTTTTATGTCCTTTTCAAAAGAATAAAACAAAAAATAACTGCCTGCCGTGCCCCTCGCCGACCGCGTTCACGCGTTCATTACAGTGAGAGCTGATTTCCATTTTTGGAAGAAGTGCGTCGAGGGGCAATACAAAATGCGATATCCGACATCCGATATGTGAAGCCATAAAATTGCCACGGCGTTAGTTGGTGAGAATAGTGTCGTTGGTGCTTTCCGCGGGGTGTCATTGGAGGTCGCATATCTCCTATTAGGGTAATTCCTATTTGGACTAGCGTAAAGTGGCCAACACACTCCAAAGGCAGGAACCACGAGGCACACTCGCACAGTTGGACTGCCACCCATCCACTAACATACACTAAATCCACTGAAGCCACTAAGCAAACTACGCCCCACGTTCCCTGGCTAAATGACCATAGTTTCCGACGTGGTCGGCATTGTCCACTTCTCCAATAAGCTGCAGCAGTCTCCAAAAATACCACGTCACAGGGACAGCTCGAATCATGTCGACAGCTTATCGGCCGTATCAACTCCACGTGCATGTGAGCAGAGGGCGTAATCAAAAAGGAAGAAAATGCATGGCATGACAGATCTATGAGTAAAAGCAAAGCCAGCTACAAAGCAGCAACCCCAGCGGTTCTTGCACACCCTACAGAGACGCCGTCACAGTCTGCGCCGTCGGCAGCAGCGCCTCAATCGTCCGCACCGCGTCCAGCGCCATGCCGTAGCCCGCCTGGTAGCCCGTGCCGCCGGCGCCGTAGTTGTGCACGAGCGCCCGCGCCCGGCCGCCCACCACCAGCTCGACACGCTCCACGCGTGCACCGCCCTCGCGCGAGGGCCGCAGACCCGACGCCACAGCCAGCACCTCGGGGCCCTTGCCGCCGTTGCTGCCGCGCAGCTCGGCCGACAGCGCCGTCGTCCGCGCCAGAATGTCCTGGGTCTCGTGGCCGTAGGTGGCGTGGTCGCCGACGTGTTTCTGCAGGTAGCCGCCCAAAATCACCTGGTCGTTGGACAGCGGCCGCGGGATGACGTAGGTGATGTAGCCATCGCCGTAGCGCATCATGTTGCGGGTGACGCCAGGGGCGCGCACGACGAGCACCTGGCCGCGTGTCGGGTAGCACTTGGGGTCCTGGACGCCCGTGAACGTGGTGGCGGCGTTGCCGATGCAGTTGAAGACGATCTCGGTGTGGGGGCCGACGACGGACGGCAGGTCGGCCACGCTGCGGCGGACAAATGTGACGCCGGCGGCTTGCAGCGTGGCGTGCAGCCACAGCAGGTGCTTGGGCGCATGGATCGTCACGGTGTTGAAGGTGACGCCAAACGCGGCGCCCTCGGGGAGCTGGGCCGGGGTAAGCACCGCAAACTGCCAGGTTCACGGTCAGCATGGAAGGTGTGCACATTTGCCGAGGCACGCCTGGGACACTCACGTTCTCCAAGTACTCCGACATAATCTTAATCTTGTCGTTGGGAACGACGTCGTCCCAAATCTCCGTCGACGGCGTGCGCGTCACGAACGCCTCGTCCGCGTGGTGTGTCGCCAGCTGCAGCAGGTGCCGGTACCCGAGGCGGTCCCACCGCAGCGCGTTGGCGTCGCTGCCCGAGATGGACGAGTAGTTGCAGCCCGCCCACGGCGATGTGTAGTCGGGCGCCGTGTCGCCCGGCATATACTCGGCGACGATCGTCACAAGGTGGCCGAGGCCCTTGCGCGCCAGCACGAGGGCAACATCGAGGCCGATGATGCCGGCGCTGCCGTCGTGTTAGCTGTGGTGTTGTGTGTCATATTTTGGAATGGGAATGAATGCGGACATACCCGAGGATGACAATGCTGTCTTTGGCTGTCCAGGTAGCCATGGCGATGGCAAGAGAGTGTGTGTGGGAGCGTGGTTGAGAGGATCACTGTCGAGGTGAAGGGATGCTGATGTGGTGGAAGAGAGTGGAAGCTCGGAAAAGTTAAGAGGTCTTGTGGGCCAGACAGGGGGCGGGGTCTTTGAAGAAAAGGGAAGGAGAGAAGCAGTGCAGCCGAAGAGGGTTTCTTTCCTTTTGGGAAGTATGGAGTTTTGTTTATTTCGGTATCACTCTAAAAGTTCTTTGCAACGTCTTGCGATGTTTCTGGGACTCAGCAATGCGGAGGACCCTCAGGCATTTTGAATGGGCAAGGCGCACCGTACCCACAAGACTACGGCGGACTTTAGAGCCTGGAAACGGACTGACCCAACACGACGCAGAGATACATCGTCAGATGGTTCCTTTCCGATTGGAGAAATGAAGCAAAAATAATAAACAAAAAAATTAGACAAAAAATAAACCGATAGCTATTGAGCCTTCCTAGACAGGAAGTTCCTTGCGTGGTTTTCGTTTTACACAAACCGACAGTCACCGACCGCTGAGAAGAAGGCGACGCAGTAGAAGACAGCCGACTTGAGACCGTATCGGCGCTAGTCCCAAACAGGAGATGTTGATACGGAATGTGGGGCAGAAGAACTAGTTGAGAAGGCGGGCAAGTGCTGGGCAAGCTGGCTGGCAGGCGCGATTCAGGGCAGGCGGGTCTGGGATGGGTCCTCTTGCCCGATAGGATGGCCATGACGGAGAAGGTGCGATCGGATCCTCGACACAACGACCTTCTTCCTGTTTGGGTATATCATCCAGGGGGCACTCCATGCGGACGGTCGTGCCTGCGTGTGCTGACATCTGAGAGATCCGATCGCCATTCTCCTTTCCCGGTCATATCAAAAGCTCCCGCAACGGATGAGATGCCAGCGACGAGGGAGACGGCCCATGTCCAGATCGGTTCATCACCGCATCTGTTGATATCCATGATCCACTTCGCCGTCGCAATTCCCTCTCCAGGCAGCTTCCACCGCTGAGACAATTCCCTTCTTTGGCAATCAACACTGCGAAGAAGCAACGAACTGCCCTTTTGTCTGGAGCCTCAGATCGTCGCCACCATGGCACAGGTCCAGACCCCCCGCGAGTTCAAGTTTGTTGGCGGTCCCAGCCGCAAGAGGCGCCGCAACGGCACCGCACCCGCTGCCGCGTCGAGCCATGCTGCCTCGACGTCATCGCCGTCGCCCACATCCTCGTCCAAGCAAGCAAAGCGATCACGCGGACCCTCTGCTGCTGGCCCTGTCCCGTCTCCGCGGGCCGCGCCACAGGATGCCCCTGCTGTCCACCGTCCGCTGCCGTCCAGTCCGCTCCCTCTGTACGATGTCGATCTGCTGTCAGGGTCGCCGCGGTCCGTCTTTGCGCGGATGCCAATGGCCGGCGACGGCGGTGAGGGCGTCCATCCAGACATCACCAACACCATTGCCGCGACTCTGGCCGGGCTTGCATCGTCGGGCCACACTGCACACGGCCTCCGGCAGACCCAGACTTCGCCGGTCCCGCACTACTCGTCGTCGCCTGCAAGCACGGACAGTGGCTGCGCAAGCATCCACAGCTCCGCTCCAACCAATGCGGAGCCGATTGGCTCGGCTGGAAATAGAAACAACCTCCACACAGCCAACAACAGCAACAACAGCAACAACAACAGCAGCAGCAGCAACAACAGCATCCGCTATGGCAATCATACACCCACTCCCGGCCTCGATGGCATGCTTGACTGGCCTGCGGAAGAGTTCATGAACCCCTTCTTCCCTGCTGTCACTCTGGATGCCGCCATGTTCGGCGGGAACAATGTCAACAACGCCAACAACGATAACAATGCCGCCGCTGCCATGCAGTCGACGCCGGCTATGATGCTGCCGCTGCCGTCGCCGTCGCCGCCCCAGATGTCGTCTCTCCCTGCCCTTGCTCCTCCCCCCCACACTACCAACACACTCGCCGACGATGTCGAGGAGCTGCCCTCACATCTCGACACGCTCTCGGCCATCCAGCTGCCGTCGCCGTTGTCCGCCTTTTGCTTTGACGCGAGCGCAAACAATGGCAAGCAGGTGCAGCTGCACCAACAACACCAGCAACACCAGCAACACAATCAAAACATGACCATCCCTGCCGATGCTCTACTCATGGCCACCTCGCCGCGTATGTATGCACAGCCATCCGCGCTCTACGACGCCATCTCGCGCATCTTCTTTCAATGTATGTCTTTTCATTACTTGCCGCACGTCTCCCATGCTCTCTCACCGTCCTCCTCTGACCATACAGATGACCAAGAGTTCTGCATCCTCCCGCTCACTTGCGACTTTGCCGCCAACCCGTTCCGCTACAACATGCAGGCCATGCAGCAGTCCAGCCTGCTGCGTCACTGTATTCTGGCTCTTTCCTACCGCCACGTCGACCACGACACCGGCGCCTGTACCAGTGAGGCCACTGCCTACAAACGCCGCGCCACCCAGATGCTGCAAGACAGGATCCACACCGAGGCCGCCGGCGAGAGCCCGCCCGATGCGTCGCTGCTGGATGCCTCTATTATCCTAATGACCCTGGATGTGCGTTGCCTCCACCGCATATGTCTCCTTCTCGCCTAGTTCTCGCCTCCCTACTAACCCTCTTCTCACGTCCCAGTGCGCCACGTCTGCTCTCGGTCCATGGCAATCTCATTTGCGACGCGCCAAACGCCTTATCCAGAGTGCGCGTCCAAACCACACTGCTGCCGGCGCCACGTCCGCCTCATCGCCAACGCCTTCGAATGCGTCGTCCGCCTCATCCCCGTCTTCAGCGTCCTCGACCTCCTCAGACGCTCCGCCACGACACAGCTCTCAGCGCTTGGCCCAGCTGGGTCTGCTCGTCTGGTTCGACGTCACCCTCGCTCTCACCAGCCGCAAAGGCTGCATCTTTTCCGAGCGTACCATTATGAGCATCTTTGATCCCCCCGAGCCCACGCCGGGACAGGAGAAGCGGCCCGCTTCCGCTGCTGGCGCTGCAAGCTCCCCCGCTCTTGATTTTTATGCCATCTCGGGCTGCCCCCGCGAACTCTTTGAGTGCATGATCCGCCTCGCTGCCTATGCGCGCGAGATGCAGATTGCGTCCACGCTCTCCTGCGTCCGCTTCGACATGGGGCCCGTCCTTCGCCTCGAGCGCCGCATCGCCCAGTGGCGGTCGCCTGCCTTTGATGATCCCGCCGGCCACCACCTGCGTGAGAGCAACGGCGGCATGGGTGGACAGGTCCACAACCCCGGTTTTGGGGGTTCTGCCGACGACGCCGAGTCGGCGGCGGCCGAGCATTTGTGGCGCACCCGTAACATTGCTGTCGAGGGCCAGGACGACGGTGGCAGCGTGCTCGACTACCGCCTTGACCTCTACCACTGTGCCGAGGCCTGGCGGTATGCCTTGCTGATCTACATTGAGCGTGTTTTCAAGTGGCAGGACCGCAAGGCCGCCCAGAGACGGGCCGATGAGGCGGGAGACGATGCGGCAGACGGCAACGCAACCCGAAAGCCCACCGCCACCGCCGGCAACGGCGACCTCCTCCAGTTTTTGGCCCGCCGCACGCTCAACCACGTCACGAGCTGCCGCCGCACCACGTTTGTCCAGAAACAGCTGATGCTCCCCGTCTTTCTCGCGGGCGCCGAGCTCCGCGACGCCGGCCTGCGCAACGACGCGCGCGACTACTGCGCGTGGTGGGGCACCAAGACCCGCTACAACATGTTCATCACGGCACGGGCCCTGCTCGAAGACGTGTGGCGCCGCCGCGCGGCGGCCGGCGAAGACGTGGATGTGTGGTGGGGCGAGCTCTTTGATCAAAAGGGCCAACGGGGCGACAAGGAGTACTTGCTGGGTTGAAGCCGACGGTGAGACCAAGTATTAATGACGTGACGCAAAAATATCATGATGAATGCATAGAAAGAAACTAGCCTCTATAGACTGAATAAAGGGAAGAGACGCTGGCTTGTGCATGTGTGTGTTTGTGTGTACATATACAATCTGGAAAGACAAGGCTAAGCAAAACAACTAATAATATACAATGTACGGAAAAGTACACGTTCAGTCTCTCACTCCACGACTCATCATTGCTCACGGTCCGTTACACTCCCCAAGCTGCTCCCTACAGCCGACGCGGCTTCCGTCGAGATCCCGCCGACCGCCTTGCCGTTACCGATTCGGATGCTGCCACCCTTGCCGCCACGGCGCGAGTCGATGCTGAACTTTTGCGATGACGTCTTGCGTACCGAGTGCGAGGACGATGGGCGGTCGCCTGCACCATCACCACCTACTGGCGTGTTTGTCCGAGTCGGCACTCTGGACGATGACGCGGATCCCGATGCTGACGCAGACGCATCGACCGGGCTGGATACGGATCGACCGGCAACGTTGTGCGGTCGGTCGGCAGCTGGGAGGGAAGCTGGGAGGGAAGCTGGGAGGGAAGCTGGAGCGGCCGCATCGAGAGCAGAAGACAGGGCGCGCGTTGCAGACTTGCGGCCACCGCTCGCTCCGACCAGAATGGCTGGCTCGGACTGCGGCGGGGTACCAGGCTGGCTCCATGTGGTATCATCGTCGAGCAAAAGATCGTCTTCGGATCGTTGTGGCCGCGGCTCGAGCTCGACGGTGGTGGCCAGAGCCTGCGTAGACGGCAAGCGGGACGAAGCGGCCGGGTTGGTGCTCTGGCTCTGGCTCTGGCTCTGGCTCTGGCCAAAATCGTGGCTGTGGACCAGGTTATCGCTATCAGAAGTGACATCGCTGGCGTGCTGGGCATGATGCGACTGGGTCTGCTGCCCTTGCGACGGATTGTTGCTGCTGGCTTTCGGGACGTGGAACGAGTTGGCCGCGCTGAGGCTTGTGTGCCGCGCGCTGCGGAACCGCGCATACTCTTCCTTGGTGTGCTCAGCGCCCGTGAAGCTGTCCAATGCATCAAAGACGTGGCGGAACACCTGGGTGTCAACGTCGCGCGCCCACAGGAAGTCAAGATGCTCGTAATGTGGGATCTCGGTGGCAACGGTCTGCGCAGGCAGTTCGCGCATCATGGCCTTGATGTCCACCAAGGAGTCACTGCCGCCGTAGACCAGGATCACGGGCGTCTTGATATTGCGCGTGGGGTACTTGGCTACCTTGGTGTGTTTGGAGTGCGTCGCCAGCAGCGGGTGCACGTCGTCGTCGTACATCTGGAACGACTTGGTGCGGATGATCTGGAACCAGTGGACGACAGACTTGGTGCTCGTGTACGAGTACAGGTGTGCATAGGCCGCAAGCTTCTGTGAGATGGCAATGTTCTTCGTCTTCCAGCCAAACAGAAACGAGAGTCCGATATCGATCGTGCGCACAAACACCGGCGGATACAAGATGGACTGCCACATCGTCGCCGAGCTCAGGATCGAGCGGCGGCCAAAGAGCAGGTACAGCACCTGCGGTGAGGCTTTGACCAGGGCGTCCACGATGCCGTTTGACAGACCGGCCGGCGACATGGCTGGTGCCAGCGCAATGAAGACATTGACCTGGTCGTTGAGCTTGGGGTGGATAGCCAGTGAGGCGAAGGCCTGCGCCGTGCCCTGCGAAAAACCAATGTAGGAGAGCGACTTTTGGCCTGTCGTCTCGAGGATGTAGGCGATGCTGTTGGGGATGTCGTGGAAGGCGAACTCGTCGATGGAGAAGTTCCAAAAGTCGATGCTCTTGGACGACGCCTTGACAGACTTCTTGGAGTACTTGTTGCCACGGTTGTTGCCGAACCAGACGTCGAAGCCGCGCTCGACAAGGACAAAGGGCAGGCAGCGCTCAACATCGGTCGCACAGACCCAGACTTCGCTGTTCATGAGCAGGCCGTGGTGCATGTAGATAACGCGCTTCTGCAGGCTGCGGGGCCCCGCGTTGACCTTTTGATCCTCCTCGCCACGACGCCATGCAAGTCGGTGCAGGCCAAGGAGGTAGCCGTCCTTGGTCTGGAAGACATGCTCTTCGGCGGTGTAGCCAAACAGGCGACACAGCTCGACAAAGTCGGACGCGTCACGAATGGACGTCGAAATGGCTGCAGGTATGAGTTAGTTCTGCAATTGTCACAGCACGAGTGGCCGGAAAGAAGACCGTAAATACATTTCTTGCGCTCTTCAGCTCGTTTCTGGGCTGGACTAGCGAATCTGTTGAACAGCCGTCTAGATGCGCGGTAGAACAGGCTGATGAGAGAGTTGGCTGGTCACGGATGTTAGTACCGGAAGCGCACGGTCGAAGCAGGCCACAGGCAAACGGTTTCGAAATGACATACGCAAGGCCAGAGTGAGGATGCGGATGATAGCCTCAAACGCAACGAGGAAGAAGGAGCTGACGAGTGCCGTATACTCGGTCCTAGAGAGAAAAGCACCGTGTGAGCAGGAGTCTGTGAAAGAAGAGGCCGGCCAATCCAAAACGGGCTCAGAAATAGTAGCAGCATACACGTTAAGACGTCCTATGAATGGGACCGGCATGATGGGCAGTTGTAACCACGTTGGCCAAATCTCGCAGCCGGGCGGGTGACGCTCGAGCCGATGCAGTCGACTCGAAGGCAGTGGCAGCGAGAAGGTATTTCCTTTTGTTCTTGTATTTCCTGGGCGGCGCGATATAGTCGTCAGATTGACTTTGGGTGTGTCTCGCTTTCGCCCATGGCTTTTATTTTCGACTTTCCGCCTGACGTCGAGATTGGTAGCTTCGGCGGCTGGGATGGACGCGCGACAGTCGGCGAGAAGTGCGGGCGAAATGGTCTTCGGTTGAAGAGTCGGCGCAGGGCCAAGAATCAAATGTGTTGCGTAAATAAGGGGTACATCACAAGATGTAGTGAGGCGTCGGTGTCGTTGTTTGGTTGCTGAGGACAAGAAGGAGTCGAGGACACGGTGCAAGCGGGAAGGTGCGATGGATTAAGTTCTGGACCTCAAGGTAGCCAACCACCAGGGGTGATGTCACATGCGAATGGCAGGAAAACAGTGACGACAGGGACTCTCACTAGCGCAGTTTCCAAAGGTGCAGAAGGCAGGCACGGCGACCCGAAGTCGAAATAAGTAGGCGCCACACGTGGCGTCGGCCGCTGTCCAATCAGATGCTGCACAACTCTACGAACAAGCTACATATCTTTTTGGTGGGCAGATTTTCTGCTTGGTGATCGAGAAACGAGCAAAAGATCAGACGATTCCGGACGACTTACCAATTCCACCTCTACACTTGCATAGCGGCTCTCTGCAGGCAATTCAGTCACCATGCCGAGCTCATGTAAAGAGATTCGTACGTTGCGAATGTCACGGGCTACGTTTTCTCTCCCATTGTCCAATGGCGGCAATCTGCTAACAGCTTTGCACTCCAGGTGCCGCTCTGGCCCAGTGCCTCCAAGAGTCCGACTGCGTCATGGTCTACCGCAACTCCGCAGCGGACTGCCTCCGCCCACCACTGTCCGACACGCTGCCGGTCAAGTGCCAGCAGCTCCGCAAAGGTTTCGGCGAGTGTCGACGCGGCATGATCGACATGCGCAAGCGGTTCCGCGGCAACCAGCCGGCATCGGCCAAGATGCTGCAGACGAACCACGACGACTCGTCCGCAAGCGAGCAGAAGGACAAAGAGGGCTACCAGCTGTATGCTGGCCGTACGGCGTTTGGTGGCATCGTCAAGGAGACGTCGGGCGACGAGAAGGAGGCGCCGGATTGGCGCGAGTTGGAAAACGAAAAGTACCGGAAAGAGCTGGCCGCAAAGAAGCCATGACCGACAGGGAGCAACGGACGATAAGATCCGCTGCACGGTATTTCAGGTACGCACACGGCAAATGGTTGCAAATATGGGGGTGGAGAGCTGTTGCACATGAGACACAAGCACGTCACGGCGTTGTTGGATTTATCATTATCTGGGCGTTTCGGTAAATTTTAAAGTTTGAGTGTATAAAAGTACCTCTGGGATTCAATATACCATCTTTTCTCTTCACGGGTTGGGGGGATGTGTATTGTTTGGCTGCTGGCTACTCCGTTGTTTCGTTAAGAGGCCTTCAGCATTCTCCGGACCTGAAAGTCAAGCCGTGGAGTTGTTTCACGTTAACACAATATGTGTCGAATGGCAGCAGACACGAGAATGAGAACAAGACGCCAGCTGCCAGGGTCTCGGGCGAGGGGTACTAGTCATGGGAAAGGTGTTCTACGATGTATGCACTTCTTCCAAACGGGAAATACGAGGTTCGTTGAGTGCCAGTTGGGGAGGAATGCGAATAAGAGAGATCAAACCACGCCACAGTTTAAGAAACAGGGGTCTTCGTGATCCAGCCTTGTTCTATTGCCTGACAACTATGTCTCGACCTCCGGCTTTACAGCCTGGATTTGACGCCCTTAATCCAGCTTTTCGTTCAAGTACATCATCCTCCGTACGTCGTAAACGCCGTTGTTATTTGTTGCCTGGTGCAAGTCTCAATACGAGGCATCTCGGTGCCTACATAGCATAAAATAAATTGCACGTCTTGGCATACCCGTTTTGATATCCAACAGGATCAAATTTGCTGTTTGCTTTTGCTGTCTGCAGGCAGGAATGTCTCTTCCTGCTCAGCACCCAGGGTTAGCCTCCCCACGCGGAACTGACAGGCGGGGGCGTCCCAAGGGGCTCAGTCGAGGACAGCCGATGGTCTATGATGTATGCTGTACTTTATAAGGGGCTCGCAGATATGCCAGGTTCTTGCAGCCGACTGACTTTTTGCGTACTAAAGTACATTTGTTGTACGCCTCGTAGTTTGTATCCCGGCGGTCAAATCGAGATGCGCAGTGGCCTGGAGACTTTGACGAAGGTTCCAGGGAAGAGAGGATTGCTTTGCCTCCGCAAATTGAGGCTGTCCCCAGAAGACTAAAATGCAGGGCCAGATAGTGTAGCCAACTCTTTCTTCCTTCCAGTTGCCTCTTTGTCTGCAAGCGGCAGCGCTCTCTATCAGGGCGTTCCATATTTTTGTTATCAAACTCTTTCCCAGCAAAGGACGACGCTGGCGGCGCAGGAATGACTCGCAATTAATGCGACGCATGTTGTGGGCCGCTGGCGGAACGAAAGAGCCACCAAATGTCACTGTCGCGCGCACACCTTCTTTTCTTGGTCTACGGCGAAATCAGTGCTCGCGTGTGTCGTCAGAGCTAGCTCTGTAGGCCGACGGAGTCGCGTGCCGACTGCATTACAGCGGCCAACGATGTGCTAACCTCTTCCCTCGAGCTTCATTACACTGCTCAAGAAAGGGACCTCAAACTTGCCCCCCGGCGGTTTCGTTCCCCACATTATTGCAACTAGGGTTGCGTCCCGCGGGATATGAACGGCCAAAGTGACACACGCATACGTAAGTGATCCACATTATATAATTTCTCGATGTTTTAATATCTGCTTTCTCATGTACTTCGTAGCCATCCGACTCATGCTCGCCACGGTACGTACCGGCTTCACAGACTGAATGTTCGAAGCAGCTGCAGGAAGGGATATCTTGCACTCATCCCCCGGCATTCTCGAATGCTTTTTCCCAAGTCAGAAATGGTGTCATATGTGTTCTCGAGATAGAACGCACAACCAGCATTAAGTGCATTAAACACGAGGCGTGTATCAACGACTTCGCCAGTGGGATAAACGGTGGCAGAGTGGGCAAGCCCAGCCAACACCAGGTGGCAAAAGGGCGTAATTATTCAGTAATACGGACTACGTGCAAAAGATCAAAACAAGATTTCGCATTGCGATTTTAAAATAGAGGTTAAAACTCTAACATCAGACGAGCACGCGAGCAGTTTTGACGCGCCTAAGGGCAACCGCCTTTTGGCAAGAGAGGTATCCACGTCATACACCGTATTGACAAAAGTCGGACAATTAGCCTTTTGCTCCGGACTCCGTCTCGCCAAATTGATGCCGCGTCAACCGTCCGTTAGCGAAACCCGTAGGTAAGGGGGTTCGAGGGGGATCGCTGTTGCGTTGGCCGTTGGTGGAAAGGGAACAATGAGTACTGACAGGAACTTGCCCGCGCTAAAGAGAACCCTGCCTGCCAAGAAAGAGCCATTCCTTGGTAGAAACGGGCAAGTTGTTGCCCCCGTCACAAAGAACGAACCTGCAAGCTGTAAATGCACACACACCATGCGCGCCAGCCTGCAACTGCTGCATCTGCAACGTTTGTGTCCCCTTGTTCCTTTCATCTTCGAACCATCGCAGACGGGCATCAGAAGGACAAGACAACAGGCATTGGTAAAGCCTGCTTAGCCGTTGGACGGAAAGACCAGCCAGCCTTGCTAGAAATATATAAAGAACTGGTCACTTGTAGAGAACATGCCAGTATGGAAGATACGCGAACAGTACATCACAATACTCTTACAGGAGGACTATTTTGCTGTAGTACGTCATGGCGAAGGAAGAGGCAGAAGTCAGCGTGGAGCAAAGCATCGTGCTCCTGGGCAAAGAACAGAAACGAAAGACATAAGAAAGCAAAAGAAGTCGGAATCAGCGAGGTCCTGCCGCCTACTCTCCCGTGGCAATCCTGACACCCATCCAACTCGACACTTTGAACAAAACAGTCCTTAGTCTTGGCGGTACTTTCTTTATCTTGGCGATTTTCCCACTGTTCCTCCTCGTCCACGTCCTGCCCTGCCCTACTTGGCAGTAGTTTGATCTATGCGTGGGCGTTCATTCTGTTCAGCGTGTTGTTCTGGCTCCTTGCTAATTCCCGTTCTTTCTGCCTCCCTTGAGTCTGGTTAGTTCTTTTTGTGATCTTGTCTCTATCTTGTCGATGTCTCTCTGTTCTTTCGTTTATTCTTCGTTGTGGTATTCACACTCGCCCAACGCTCTTTCCAATCTATTCTCCAACTTACACGGAAACTACCTCCAGGGTTCTTCATCTCACCTTCCCGCCTTCCTGCTCCGCATGGCTATCTGCATCTAACGACCGGCGCCACATCTTACGCCTCATTCCTATCTGGAAGGTGCGCACGAGACCAAGCTGGCCATCGTCGCGTGCCTTCCTTTGTTGCTGAAAAGAGGTGGACAGCATCGTGCAGAAGATATTTCGAGCTTTCAAAACAAGAGCTACATATCTGCAACATTGTTGTTATCCACTACCAACGAATCGGCCGCCCCTATCAACACGATTCTACTGCGTCGTAACGTCACCCAAAACAACATCAGTCGCAGGCGCTACTTTGTCCCAACCGAACAGAATCACGATCCCAATGGCCGACAGATAACGCAGCCTCTATTTCAACATATCTCGACTTCCGCTTAAATTTCCACATTTTCCTTTTCCCTGGCCGGGGCACAACGATTTCGACGAGGGCCGCAGTCGACGGGCCAGTGTAATACATCGGCGCCCAGTAATTCCCCATCGCAACACCACATTAACGAGACATTCGAGACTTGCAAGACATCCACGGGGCTTTTGACATATTGAACGACAAAATTGCGAGACGCAGTTTGTGGCAATCCCATTGCGCTTCACTCAAACAAAGCCGCGGCTAGTTATAGCGACGGGGGCTACAAGCCCCTCCAAAGCTCTGCCCGCATGGTGGTTCCCGTTTTTGGGCGGCTGCGCCGCCGGCGTTTGCTAATTATTTTTACCTTTGCCATATGCTTGACCGTTTACATGACCTACTCGCCCGAGCGGTCTGAATATGAGGCGACATCACCGTATATGTCGTCCAGCACCCCAGACGACAAGGTCGACCCTGCAAAACACAGAGCCCACCCCGTAGCAGGAGCGGCAGGACATGGGACACCAGCCGGCGACGACTTAATAGCAGGCGACGAAATAATATTCGGAGGGAAAATCCAGAAACAATCCGGTTTAGCAGCAGGAGGCACCGGCATAGCGACCGACGCCAACCTCCCTTTCGACACTGACCTCGAAGACGAAGAGGCCGCAGAAGAGGCCGAAGAAAAGGCTGAGGCAGCAGCATCTGGAGACGTCCCGAATGCGCTGAAGACGGAGACCCATCTGAAAGCCCAGAGAGAGTACGACGCAAAGAAAAGCAAAAAGGCCAAGGCCAAGGACGAGAACAAGGTGGAGGAGGAGGAGCCCGCGAAACCGAGGAAGCTCACGCTCGCTGAGCTTCTGGCAAAACCGATGGATGCCATGGAATACGGCACCACCGCCCGCCCGCCCATCAAGGGCCTCACCAACGTCATTGCCGACCTGCCCGTCGAGCTGATTGTTGACGGCAAGGATGAGGGCGGTGTCCCCACGCTTTCCACGCCCGCAGGCCTCTTGCGCCGCCGCCGCTTTGTCTTTGTCGGCGACGTGCACGGCCAGCGCAAGCCGCTCGAGGAGCTGCTCGATAAGATCGATTTCAAGGTTGGCAACGACCACCTCATCCTTGTCGGTGACCTGATCAACAAGGGTCCCGACAGCGCCGGCGTTGTGCAGCTGGCCATGGAGCTGGGCGCCAGCGCTGTGCGCGGCAACCATGAGGACCGTGTGCTCGTGGCCTACCAATCGCTCCACGCGTCCGATGCATACCAACCGCCACTGGTCAAGCCAAAGAAGGCGTCTGCCGGGATCGTCGACACCACTGAAACTGAGACCGTGATCGAGGGCGAGACCGAAGCGGAAGCCGAGCGGACGCGTCTTGCGGCTCTGGCCAGCATTGAAGCCGAGGGGAAAATCGAGCGCGCCGAAGCTACTCTGCAACGGGAGGTGGACCTCAAAGAGGAGAATGCCAAGAAGGGCAAAGGCATTCTGGCACTCTTGGGCCTCAAGAAGAAGCACGAGAGCGAGGAGGACACGATTGACCACGACAAGGCGGTCACCGAGCTCAACATCGACCCACTTGAGCAGAACCCCTTCTCGCACGGCGACTCGGCCGAGCGCGCCACCGCCGCCACCCTGACGCACGAGCAGGCCCAATGGCTGTCGGAGCGGCCCGTCATCCTGCGACTCGGCTCCATTGCGCCCTCCGCCGCCGTCCCCCTCTCGGCCGCCGCACAGCAGGCCAACGCGAAGTCGCCCTTTGCCAACAACGACGTGGTCGTCGTCCACGCCGGGCTCGTGCCGGACGTGCCCCTCGAGCAGCAGGATCCCTATGCCGTTATGGTGATGCGCAGCCTCGTGTACCCGGCCGACGAGGTGCGGCACGAGCGCGCCCGCCTGATCGCCGAGGCGCGGATGCGCACCAAGGCCCGCGGCCGCTTCATGAACACCGACCACATCAGCGTGCCCCACGGCCGCATCGAGGCCGAGTACCACCGCCTGCAGAAGCTTGCGTACGGTGCCGACCCGCACCACCCCCGCCGGCCCAGCCCGGTCGGCAGCACACCGCGTCGCAGCCGTGCCGGCGACGGCCACCCGGAGCCGGCCGATCTAATCATGCTGCCCATTGAGGGCCACTTCCGCGAAGGCACGGATCGCGTGCACTGGGCGGCGGTGTGGAACCAGGCGCAGCACGCCATTGCGGACCCGGCGAACCGCACGACCGTCGTCTACGGCCACGACGCCATCACGGGCCTGTTGCTGCCCGAGACTGTTCCTTCGGGCCTGTTCAGTCTGTTCAGCAGCAGCAGCAGCAGCAGCAGCAGTAGCGGCGGCAACAGTGGCAGCGTGATTACCGAGGAGGACACGGGATACACGTTTGGCCTGGACTCGGGCGCCGTCTACGGCGGCAAGCTGACGGCGCTGGTCGTGGAGGCAGACAAGGACGGCGTGGTCAAGCACCACATCGAGCAGGTGCCGTGCCCAGCCATTGCGCCCAAGAAGTATGCCAATTAGAGAGCACGTTTCTCAAATGGCGTCGACCTCTCGTTTTTCGTTACATTTCAGCATTGGATGGCCTTTTCTCGAAAGCAGCATACCCTCGCGTTTATGTGTGGCATCTTGCCATCATTGTTTTTGCCTATATTGTTTATTTATCGACCTCCTGATTGGGTCTTCTCAAAAATGGCCGCTTTCTTTCGGCTCAAAAATGGCCGCTTTCTTTCGGCTGCATATTCTTAAAGCGTCGACGACCACCGTGCATCTCGTCAAATATCAGACACGTACGGATTTTCTTTTGTTGCTACTTAAGTTGTATATTCGGCGTTGGGATTGGATTTTCGGGATATTTAAGGTCTACATAATTTTTGTGCCTTCTGAATAAAAACCTCTAGGGACCAAAAAGGCTCTACGTCACACTGGACTAAACGTTCTCTCGGCAATTTACGAGACGATGACGCCTTTATTCGCCGCCTTGGTTATGTTCCATTCCAGTCTTTATTTTGGGTTATGTAATGTATGTACCGAACATACCGTGTTCCAATTTTTTTTTGGTATGTGTATATTCCGCCGCGTCGCCCGTTTCTGTCACCACCCCTACTCAGAAACCGCCAACAAAAGTTAGGCCGTCACGCTTATTCGCTCAGCTTGGTCTTGATGATTCCCTTGAGCGTATCGGCGTCAGCGGCGAACTTGCTGATGCCCTCGCGCAGCTTCTCGACGGCCATCTGCTCCTCGTTGAAGTCGAAGCGGAAGGTGGCCTCGTCGGAGATGTAGGTCTTCTTGGGGATGTCGAGGGAGGCGGCACCGGCGGCGTCCAGCTTCTTGGGGACAGCCTCGTTGGAGTTCAGGAGCTCCTCGAGCAGAGCAGGGGAGATGGTCAGGTAGTCGCAGCCAGCCAGCTCGGTGATCTCGCCGGTGTTGCGGAACGACGCGCCCATGACGATGGTTTTGTAGCCGTACTTCTTGTAGTAGTTGAAGATGGCCTGGACGGACGCGACACCCGGGTCCTCCTCCTTGGAGTAGGTCTTGCCGGTCGAGGCCTTGTACCAGTCGAGGATACGGCCAACGAAGGGCGAGATCAGGAAAGCACCGGCCTCGGCGGCGGCAATAGCCTGGGGCAGCGAGAACATGAGCGTCAGGTTGGTGTTGACGCCGTGGTCGCGCTGCAGGATCTCGGCGGCCTTGATACCCTCCCAGGTGGAGGCAACCTTGATCAGGACACGGTCCTTGGAGATGCCCTGGGCCTTGTACAGCTGCAGCGACGAGATGTGTTAGCCGTTGTCGCCTCGAGGTCAAGTCAAAATGTCAAATGCAGCGCTCGAAGCGTGTACGCACGTCAATGATGTGCAGGGCCTTGGCGACGGAGGCCTTGGTGTCGAAGGACAGGCGGGCGTCAACTTCGGTGGAAACACGGCCGGGGACGATCTTCAGGATCTCACGGCCGAACGCGACCAGGATGGCGTCGAGGGTCGCATCGACCTTCTCGTCGAGAGTACCGTCCTGCTTCTTGCCGATGGCAACAGCCTCGTCAATCAGCTTGGCGTACTCGGCCTTCTTGGAGGCGGCCAGAATCAGCGACGGGTTGGTGGTGGCATCCTGGGGCTTGTACTTGGCAATGGCTGGGAGAAGAGTGTGAGCGTTCAAAGCGTCCTGTGTTGTAGAAATATCAATTGCGCATTATAGGAACGGGAGACACGAACAAGCAAAGTCACCTAGAGGAGAGCGTTGTTAGCCAATTGCGACATAAAATGACATCAGAGCCAACGGCAGAACAGGATAAGGGACGCAACCTACCAGAGTCGGAGACGACGACCTATGGCCACAAGTAAAAGACTTCGGTTAGCCAAGAAGCTCTCACAAAAGACAAAAAGAGAGGCCCGACAGAAGCATTGCCGATCAAGCTGAAGCTCCAACCACCAGGAGGCGTCTGCCATGTTTCCATAGTTTCCCGGGAGGAATTGGTGTCGATGGAGCACAGCTACGACCATGGTGGCGATAGTGGAAATTTGAAGGTGATGCTGTTGCTTACCGTGCCAGCGGCCTTAAGCTGGTCAAGAGAGCTAGACATTGTGAATCGTGGGAGGAATTGCGGCGGTGGGAGAGAAACCTGGGGGAAAGTTCGTGATTGTTGGATCTTGGATGAGAAAAAAAACAAGGAAGAAAGAGGGAAAGAACAAAAACAAAAGAGGAGTGAAAGAAAAGAGAAGGAAGGCCTGGGAAAAGCTCACGAGCTTGGCCTTGCGCTGTGTGGGTAATATAACCGTCGCTGTTTCCTCCGGTCGCCGCTGGATTATTTCTCTCACGCTGCTGCCGTATCGGGACGAGGGTGGTGTCGCAGAAAAAAGGAGGGGCGATGGGCGTCATGGAATTTGCCCCTCTCTTGTCTTGCCTTCCGGCTCGCCTTCTGGTTTTCCATGAGACGGCACCAAGGCACCTTCTAAACTGCACCGTTTGTGCCCTTTCTCCAAAATTGGAGTTTGCAACTGCCTTTTCCGCGGCAGGACAGAAACAGAAAACAGGTGACATTTCTCTTTTTGTTCACGTTGGTGCTGTCCGTCCCCTGGGGGAAAGAGCGCCCCAGTGCTCGTAATTTCAGACTTCCGAACTGAGTCCGAAGATGTCCACCGCGACCGGAAGTAGCTGTTACGGTATGCCGTGTGCTGTCTCGCTGGGGAAAGAGCGATCAGAGGCAAGCCGACCACCCATTCCACCCAATGCGCCCACGCCCCCAAACACATTGCGCGCCTCGTCCCGCGACGTCCATGCTACGGATGACCTGATTAAAATTTCCGGATAAAACCAAAAGGCTACCGTTTTGTCAGAATTGTCATTGCTTAGCAAATTCGTAAACGGAAGCTTTGGCAGCCTCTTCTACGCACCCTCTCATCTTACATTGTAATTACTGACGCGTCGGATGTTCGTTCTTTCCACGGCTTCGTCCAACTATGGCATTCTGTGCCTGGCTCCTGCCTCCAATGGCAAGTCGTTTGCCTGTGTAAGTACCTCTGTTCTTATTCAGCTCCCCACAGCTGTCACGTATGCATATACGTTGTCTGCGTCCTGCTTGATAAGCTGTTCAGATATAAACAAACGTAAATTGTGTCCAGTAGATACAATATTTCTGGACAATAGGCCAGCATGGGCATACTGAAGATGCAATCAAACCGGAAAAGAGGCCCATGCCAAACAGCTGACGAGCTCTGTAACAAATACTGAAGCATTTTGCGGAGCATTTGCCTTGGCTGTTCGGGGTCCATCCGACATCAAGAACTTCCCTCGAATGCGTTACCATAGCTGAAGCATGTCGTGGAAACCGTCGCTGTAAAGCCTCCTATTTGAGGCCTTTTCGCAATCCTTGGCCAGCGCGCTACTTCTGTCATACCTGTTCCTTTTTGTTGGGAAGGCTGGTTGGCGCTTTCCTTATTCACCTGTGGTCGGCTGCGCGGAAAGTGTTTGGCGGGGGAGGGGTCAAACACTATTTGGCAGGACCCATTGCGCTCACACGCCCCCTCAAGCTCTCCATGGCGCCTCCCCCCACCTTCTTTTGATGATCTCCACAGAACACCGCACTATTCTGTAGAGTTGACAGCTTATGTCAGCTGCCACGAGCTCTCTGCCAGGTGACAATACAAAACTAGCAGGCAGGTACGACTACGGACCCACTTTTTGTCCCAAGAAAAATATCGGCCTGTGCTCCATTTGCCAACATCGCGTCGTTGCATAATACACCGTTCGGCGCAAAAACGGAAGCATCCTCACCTCCAGGCACGACGACACCGACACCTTTCTATTCACACCGCCCATCTGCCTTCGCCTCCGCCACCGCCGCCATGAGCTTCATGCCCGTCAACCCCCGCCCGATGCTCCAGGAGCTCGTGGGCAAGCCGGTCGCCGTGCGGCTCAAGTGGGGCGAGACCGAGTACAAGGGCGCGCTCGTGTCGATTGACAGCTACATGAACCTGCAGCTGTCCGACACGGAGGAGTACATTGACGGCGAGAGCACCGGCCAGCTGGGCCAGGTTCTCATTCGGTAAGCAGACCCCCTCCCTTTGTCCATACGGAGGAGCAACGCTAACAAACAGGTGCAACAACGTGCTGTGGATTCGCGGCGACGACAAGGACACGAAAATGGAGGACTAGGCGCGACGGGGGACAACATACAAACGGGTGGTGTGCGGGCGAGCGAACGAGTTGAGCCGAGCCCACGCCGGAGCAGCCACGGGCGCGATCAACGCATGAACGGGGCGGCCGCCCGGAATGCAACCGTTGCTGCGGCCGTTACAACTGTCTACCAGGCGCCCCGACGCAGATCGTGTACACTGCAGTGGCCAATGCCTCGATGGTGGTGGGCGACACATGCGCGGCTCGGGATGGAACGACGAGATATCAGTTCTTTAGAGAACAACTGGCGTTATTTGTTTTTGGCAATCCATGTTTATTTGCCAGGCTTTTTGCTTGTCACCATTTTGCCCCGGCTGCATTGTTGGCTTTCTGTTTCTTCGTCTTCTTTTCTTTGCTCGTTTCACTACAAGGCAAGGCGTCAAAAAAGGAATCGTTACTTTGCATCTTTATTTTATTTAGCCAATTGTCCACGTAGGTCGTGGTATGTGGTGTTTTACAGATGCTTGCCAGTGATGGCGATGTGATATGAGACGGGACAGGGTGCCCGATTCTCCTCAAATCTTGACCCCCTTTGAGGCACTCTGTGTTGCAAGGTCTACTTTCCCAGTATTGCCAGTCTCAGATGTAAACGAGTCGTGAGGTGAGATTCATGAGAACGGCAATCGGCAAGCGGCAAATGCGACAACAGTCAATAATATATATGGCAATGTGAGAGACGTGGATTTCTCGGCCTTGTCGTGATTCTCAATCCACATTCCACTCACAATGCATGTTATTCTGTTGAACGTCGTCTCATATAATCGTAAGTTTTAACCATCACACTCATCTCAGGCACGTGGAATGGTAGTATGTCCTCTCCGAGCACAGACGGCCAGGCTTTCCTTCGTTCGTCTGTTGTTGTTTTTTCGTACCATCCTGCATCTCCAATGCTCTCTCTCTGACAACCGCATCATGCCTCATCTCTCCTTTTAGTCTCTTCCTTCTACTCTCAACGTACTCTCTCAGCCAACGTCTCCAAGCATCCACTTCACCTCCTCTCCTCTTCACATCTCTCTCTCTTTCATTCGATGTCTACAGGCATCACCATGGACGATGACGACCACGACTACATGCAGCTCCACCCGGCCATTGAGGTGTCCTTCACTTGTACCTTGGACGAGCTTCGTAGCATTGCCCACGATGCCACTCCTCTGCCCCAGGACCTCTTTCATGCCCAACGCTCGCTCTTGCGCACGGCCACCGCTCGCATCGCCCGCAAAGGCCTCAGCACTGATACCGAAACTTACCGCCGTCTCGGCATCCTGATCCCACATTGGAAGCACCCAGCCCAGTTCGAGGCCGTGCTGCACGCCTTGCGCGATTACTGGCAGCACCACAACACGGCTGCGTCGCTGGGTGCGTCGACGCCGTTCCGGCGGGTCCGTATCAAGGCAGCCAACTACCTCCGCAAGCTTGCTCGTGCCGAGGAACATGACGAGGTCAAGAACGAATATGACGATGGGGATGAGGACGCAGACAAGGAAGACTGCAGCCTGCCCTCGCCCACAATGATGCGTGTGTTCCGTCTCGTCAACGGCAACCTCGAGATCCCGGCGACACTGTTCAAAGCGCTGGCCATGGCCGGGCGTATCCAAGACGCCTTCTTCCCCGACGAGCCCAGCACCTGGGAGCGAGGGCCCAGCGGCCAAGGATCAGATACAGACGATGGTACCGATGGTGCAAGCGAGATGTCTTTCAATGGAACCGAGACGGGGTCGTGGGCCTCGTCGTGGTCGTATGGCGGCGGAGACGACCATGGAGACGACGACTTCCGTTGCGACGGAGATGGTGTCGTCTTTGCTGAACATGATGCTGTCGAGGTAGCACCGCAGGTAGACAACCAGGTACGTCAGGCAACGGCTCAATTTCTGCAGAAATTGCAAGTGGCTGGCACCGGCAGCTGCAATAGCAGCAGAAACAGAAACGGCAAACTTGGACATGGCGGCAATTCGGGCGGCGGCGCTTTCGGAGGCATAGACTTTGGCTTCCTCCCAGAGGTGATGCGTCGCATGATAGGCTTTGGCAACTGCCCAGCCTCACCATCAGCTTCGCCGACGCTGCCTGGACCATCCAATATTGTCTTTTGTCCCATACCCGTCGTGTTCATGCCAATGGCGATGGGACAGGGAGACATGGGCCAAGCAGGCATGGGCCCGGCCATGATGGATGCGATGCAGAACATGATGAAGCAAATGTCAGGGGCGAATGAAGGCCGGGGGAAGTCTTCACTACCCGGTCCGAAGCTCCTTCCCGGTGTCGAGATAAAAATAGAAGGTGGTGCACCTACCAAGCCCATGATGACTCTACCTCCGGCAGGTACGATTCGCACCAAACGGCCCGTCCCGTCCAGTGCAGCTGCCTCTGCAACTTGCCACAAGAAAGCCAAGACTATCAAGTCTGAGGACTGCGGCGCCTTGTCTGCTGTTTCGTCTATGGCACAGTCCGCCCGGCGCTCTCTCCCAACAGAACGAAAGCCGTCTACTGCCAGACCAGCGCCCAATACACCGACTCGTTCGCCTTCAGCGGCAAGTCAGACATCAGCCCGAGTGGCATCGCGGCCAGCACCGTGGCCATCTGCGACAACAGCCCCTGTGACAGGCCGTAAGCCTCTGTCGCGGAATCCACAGGGTCTAGCACCTCGGCCGTATCGTCGTTCAACATCGGCCGAGGACCCGTTGCTCAAATTAGTGGAGAAAAGCAAGAAGGAGTATACAGCTTATCAGGAGAAATGCATGCGTCTGCGGAACAGCAGGCTCGAGAGGGCCGCCGGGAAACAAGCGAGCATGTTAATGCTTTCGTCATTGGCCAGAGGACAGGATGAGAAGTCGAGGAGAGGAGCGTTTCAACAGTGGCCAAAAGGAACATAAATGTCGTGGCACATGGGTCCTTGTAGTCATGTTCATTCAATTGTAGTCTTCTTCTCTTATTTTGTTTTCGGCAATTTACCATATATCCCGTTCGTTTGCTAACGACTAATTTCTCTTCGAGATACTATTTTAAGGGGCCGCTTTAATTTATTTTCATTATTTTCGTTGTTTTTTGATGAAATTTCATTTCTTTTTATTTTATTTTTAACTGCTTCTGGTTCAATTTTAACTGAATTCTTTTTATTGCGGCGTTGATTTTATTCCTTAACTTTTCCAGTCTTGCCACGTACTTGGCTCACACAACGTTCATCACGAGTCTTTTTTTATGGGGCACCGTTATAAAAAAAATAATAATGCTTGCTTCAGAAAATGAGTTTTTGCCTGCTTTGAATCGTGGACCACCAGTGGTCTTCTTTCCCTGCAACTTTTCGCCAGCCTTATTTTTTACGAATCCCAATCCAGAATCAAAACAAAGTCAACCAAAAATGCCCCCAAAAAATGAAGCAAACAGTGACCAATGCAACCGGAATTGGGAAATAGTCAACCAATGTCCCCTCATTTTCTTCGTAAATAGAAACGACCAAAGGCAACAAAAGTAAAAGAGACAAAGGAGAGATGTAGCTCATCATCGGACAACATTCGCCCACAACACTTAATCCTCAGTGATGTCGCCGTACTCCCACATGCCGTACTTGTTCTCCTTGGCCTCCTTCTCGGCCTCGCGCAGCGCCTTGAGCGTCGGCTCAAACACACTGCTCCGCTCCCACGTCTTGAGCTTGCGCGGCACCAGGCCGTGGCCGTTGAGCAGTACCTCGCGGTTCAGCGACGCATTGCGGTCGCTGCCTGTCTTGGGGTCGTAGATGGTGATGTAACTGAGACCCTCCTTGGCGTCCACAAAGTCGTAGCTGCCCACGAGCGGCTCGGCCGTGCACTCGGCGATGAAGTTGACGGCGTCGCGGAAGTAGTCGGAACCTGTCGGCAGCTGCACAAACGACAGCACAGCGTCGGTGGCCTGCGATTTGAGGCGCTGAATACCAAACTTGGTCTGGTCCAGCGGCCGCAACTGCGACCAGGGAATCTTCTCCGAGTTGCCGTAGTCAATGTAGACGACCTCGGCAACCTTGGCAGTGCGGTCGTTGGACCGGATCTTGGCACGGTACCACTGGCCGTCCTCGGAGAATTTAGCCGACACAAAGTCGCCCGCCTTGGGGCTGGTGCCGATGGAGACGTTGTTCTTGCTGTCCAGGTGGAACTTGCGGAACTCACTTGTCAGCGTCTCGAGCGCCGCAGTGCCCTTGCCAATCTCTTGAATCTTCAGCCGTCCGTTGGCATCAATGTTCGTCACGACAATGTCACGGTAGTCCTGCGGTCGCTGCGTCAGGGTCGCGCCTTCGCTGCTCGCCGCCGCACCACCACCGTTGGCATGGCTACTGGCCTCCTCGGCAACCTCGTCCTGCGAAGGGTCCCAGTCGTGCCACAGGCCTTTGCGGGCCTCCTTGGCGCGCTTCTCCGCAGCATTCAGCTCGGCCGCGTTGCCCGACTTCTCTGCCGAGTACTGGTGCACCGACGCCAGACCCTCCTCAACAAGGACCTTGGCAAAGCTCTCGCGGTTGATGAACAGCTCGCCGATGAAACCACCCGTCTTGTCGACGTCCAGCACATCAATCTCGCAGTCGCGCTGGTTGCACCGCCGATTGGCCAGCTCAAGCGCCTCCTCACCAAACGGCTCGCCCTTTTCCTGGGAGTTGCGGCCGGGGGCGCGGGGCGCACGGATGCCCGCGAGCACCAGGGTCAGCTTGATGCCCTCGCGGGGGACAATGACGGTGAACCGCGAACCAGACTTGCAGAAATCGACGATACCAGGGACCTTCTTTTGCCGCTGCAGAGCCGCGGCCTGGATCTTTGCGCGCTGCAGGGTCTCGGAAGCGTCGGTGTACTGCTTGACCTTTGGTGCTTTGCCGGACCACATACCCTTCTTCTCCTCCTTGGCGGTCTCCTGTGCTGCGAGCAGTTCGTCGTAGTTAGGCGCACGGTCGGTGTCGTCCTTGCGGTGGCGGATAACGGAGGCGTAACCCTCCTGGACAATAGCCAGGTTGATGTTCTTGCCATTCTGTGTCACGGTGGCGACGTCCTTCGCCTCGAAGCCCTCCGTGGCTGGCCGCGAGCCATCAACCGTGACACGGACGTGCTTGCCAATGATCCTTTTGCGCAGGAACTCCTTGGCCTCCTCCCGGAACGGTGCCTCGGAAGCCTCGTTCGTCCGCGGGCCGCGGATGCTACTCAGCTGGACGCTATACATTTTGTTAGTATGTGACTCTCAAGGGCATGCAGTGTCGGGAAATGTGTACAAACGCACCGCTTTTCGGGGCCGGATTTGTCGCGAACGATAATGGTATCGGCACCAATGACCTTCGTCACAGTCACATCCAGGTGGCCCTCCGAGGCTTTGGCGACGTGGTTCTTGTGGAGACGCTTCTTCCCGTCCTGAGCCTGCTTCTCGGCAGCGCGCAGAGCAGGCATGCCCTCGCCGAGCATGGTGGAGTGGAAGTCGTTGCAACGAGCGAGACCCTCTTGCAGCAGGAAGACGGCAATGTTACCGCGCGGGTGCAGGACGGTAGCGACGAGCTGGCCCTGGGGACTGGCGCCGACAATGTGGATCTTAACTTGGCGCTGCTGTAGCCGCTGCTCAACAAACTGGTGTGCCTCCTTGCCGTACTCCTCCGCCGGCTGGGTCTGGCCAGTGGTCGGATTGCTGCGCTCGGTGGCGGGGGTGCGGATGCCGGCCACGAGGGTCACGACCTGCGCGTGCTTCTTGTCGGACAGAAGAAGGCGGACAAGCAGGCGGTCGCCCGAGTAGACGCGCTCAATGATGCCGTCCACGGTCTTGCCCTTCCACTCCTTGAGGAAGTTGGGGCCACCGAGGTCGTTCTGGACCTCAATGGTGCCGTCGGCGCCGGAGAACAGGCCGAGACCGCTGGCGCGCGCCTGGGACTCGAGGCTGCGCAGGTTGCTGATCTGCTCGACGACCTCCTCCTTGTCCTCCTTTCTGCCGGCCTCCTCACGGACCTTGACCCAACCAGCCTCAACCAGGGCATCGGGCAGCTTGGGGCCATTGGCAATCACAGCACTGCCATATTCGCGATTGGAGCCGGGGACGGTGTACAGCACGGTGCATTCGACTTGCTTGCCGATGACGAGAGAACGGAGGTGCTCGCGTGACGCGAAGGCAAAGGGCTCCTCGTTGTCTCTGCTGAGGCGGGGCGCGGTGACAAAGGCAAGAGAGAAGGTCCGCTCGAGGTTCGGGTTGTTGGGGCTCGTCAGGACGAGGGTGTCGCCGCTAAGGACGGTCTTGACGTTGGCAATGAAACCCATGGTCGAAAGTGTACGGTGCGGGGAGAGCCTCTATTTGACCAAGACAGATGCCGTGGTTAGCTTGAAACAAGGCAGACAAAAGAACGAACAATCTCGAGTGCTCGCGTCTGTGCAACCATGACGGCAGCGGACATTGTGGTCGAACCAGAGCTGGTGGTGGCATCGTGTTGCACCAGCTCACCGCCATTGATGGCAGAGCTCTTGTGCAAGGGGGAGAACCGTTTGGCAACCCTCGGAGACGAGACACAGAACAAGCCACTGGGACAGTCCGTTCCCGCCAAATTCGAGGAAGAGTCAAGCTGTGACGTGAGACAAGGAAGATGTTCTGGGACTTACAATTGCTCTTGAAAGGATGTCAACAAAAATGTTTAGTGTAAAAAAGCAAGACGATCGACGAGGATGATCAGACGAAAACGAGAAGGGGACAACGAGGCAAAAAAGAAAAGCCAAGTATTGGTCAAACAGGAACCGACAAGAGGGACGGAGGTTGCGGTGAAGACGACAAAAAAAATAAGGTTGTGGTTGTGGTTGAGAAGAGGAAAGGAAGTGGAAGAGGGGCCACAAAGGACAGACGTTCCAAAGTGACGTTCGTGGAAGGAAGTTGTTGGCGTGGAGTTGCGGGAGGCAACAGCTGTTTCCAGGGTGCGACAGGGACCTGCCACAATCGACACCTTCCCTCAATAGCGACTACCTTGTGTTGCTTCTGTCTCCCTTCTCTCGTACCTTCTTCTACGTTTACATAATTACTGGGGTTCCAGATGGCACTTGCCTGTTTCTGTTGTGGACACAGTTCCCAATGGAACGAAAGGGGAGGAAAGAGCAGCCCCGTTCGCGTGCCTGGCCCTGAAGGACGGCTGTTGAGGGGAAGAGTCAGTTTAGTATTTTTTTTTAGATGATTTGCTCGTGCCTTCTTCAAAAAGAAAAGGGCTTGTTGGCCACCAGCAATGCATGGAGGGGGGTTAAAAAGCGTTTTGTGGGGAAGCCGCGACCAAACTGTCTTGCCTTCAGCAACAGAAAGGACAGTGTGCTTTACAGTGGCCGCAGGTAAAAAAGTGGATCCTACAGGCTAGTTACGATGTAGCTTGCTCTGCCTACCCCACCATAGACGCAATGCGACCCCTCCCTCTCAATAGCTTTTCCTTCTGGCAGTGGCCAAAGAGTGCTCCTACTGTGTACACGGGACGAAAATGATTGTATCATTATATGACCCCGTCTTTTTGTTAGTCTTGTGATGGCCAATAATGTGCAGCTGAGCCTTGAGCCTGTCTGGATATATGATGACAATTGGAGCATTGCGATTGCTGCACAAAGAGTGGCCGCGTGACAGCGTACCATGAATTGGACTCTTGGTCATACTATATGTTAGCAAGCAATGGAAGCCACAATGTCCGACGTACGTGACAGCTAGTTGAACTGCTCCTGTGATGGTTCGGGAAAGACATTCGCAATAGATTCCTAATCTGCGTAGAGACTGCTGACGACAAGCTCTCTGTCTCAAGAGCGCCCGCCTTGCTGCTGTTCCTCTTTGCCCAGACAACCTGGTTTTCATTCTGATTCGTTTTCCACTTCCATTTTTTTGCTTGTGTCTTTTGTCATCTTTTTCTTGCTATGCCGACTCGGCTACACGACAATGACAGGACGTGATAACTTAGTTGGAGATGCCAATGACGCCGCAAGCGGGGCGGGGACCGGCGTTGCCAGTCTTGAGGGACTCCTCGTTGCCACCCTTGCCGAGGTCGTCGGTGCCGGCGTGGACAACGACAGTGCGGCCGATGACGCTCTCGGGGCCAATCAGCTTGACGAGGGAATCTTCAAGGGTACCCTTGGCGTTGCCCTGGCCGTCGGTCTTGACGTTGCCGAGGTCGCCGACGTGGCGGGCCTCGTCGGTCGGGGCACCGTGGGTCTTGCCGTGCGGGTTGACTGGTCTGTTAGTGGCGGAGACGAGGATGGTATGTGACGGCAACTACTAAAAGAGGCTTACAGTGAGGACCGGCCGACGTGCAGCCGTTGGTGTTGTCACCAAAGGTGTGGATGTGGAAGCCGCGCTCGGCGTTGGCGTCGTTGCCGGTCAGGTCGTAGGTGATACGGGTGGGCGCGGACTCGGAGTCCTGCTCAAAGGTGACGGTACCCGACACCTTGGCATCGCCACGGAGGACAGCAACTGGCGGCGGTGTTAGTACGGAAGAGTCGGGCCCATTGCATAGATCGGGTCACAAAACAAAATGGATGCGCAGTCCCCAGCATCGAGGACGTGTTGGATGCACCCCCCTCACGCTCAATGCAATCCATCTCCCGACTACCCGGATGGGCGGCCACCTGCATATGGCAAGGCTGCTATCAGGACGTAACGAGGGCACGACCCAGCAGAGTCAAAGAGGCAAGGACACCCACAGTCGTACAGCCGCACACCACGATGCAGTGGAAACTGTCCATCAAGGTGTTGTCCAGGCGGATGGTGGACGGATGATGGATCGTCGGGCCCGGCCGCACGCCACTTGGAAGCTTAAAACTTGCTCACTCGAGTTGCCGGACACGGTAACGGCGCAGTTTTTGAGGGGAGTTCTTGCTCATAACGTGCTCAGGTTGGACGGATTGACAGGGATCACATTGGGCCGAACGTGGGATTGTGTATGGCCATTTGGGATATATAAAGCCCAATACTGCCCTCCCCATTTCCCTTTGCCTTGTCAAGAATTGGCTTGGAGGCAATGGAGGCAATGGTTCAAGAGCTTTGGGATTGACGTTCGGAAGAGGCGGAGCAAAAGAAAGGGAGGGGTGCAAGCTTACCAGCCTTGACCATTTTGACGGTTTAAAGGTTATGGATTGGAAGAGAGAGAGTGTGGACAAAAAGAATAAGAGTTGGTTCCAAAAGCGAATTGGAGTTCGAGATGATGCTTTTCGAGGAAGGAAGAGGGAGGGAAGAGGAGAACTAGGAAGGAGAGAGAAGAGAGGCAAGAGCGACTGGGAAATAGGGAACCGGCGAAGAAGTGGGCGGGGATTGGGAAAGCCAACGCTCGTTACGGACGAAACAGCAGGGAAAGCGAGGCTAACGGGCCAGCATCGGAGATCCGAGGTTGCCCAGCTTGCCCAGGCGCGAATGGTAGCTCCTGCTGTTTCCCTCGACGATTCGCTGAAGCTGCCCGTTTTGGGGCCATTTCGGCGCCCTTTGGGGGCAAGAGCTTCCCTCCCCGCCCAAGATGCCGCCCACAAGGTGCCCCTCGTCGCGTCCGTGGCGCGCACGAACAACGGCAAGAAAGTGCGTGCTTGGGGGGCCAGTTGGGCCTTGCCGTTGTCGTCATTTACGTCAAGGCGGGGCTTCTATGGCGCACTTATTTGTCAGCGGCAAAGACCGCTAGACAGCGCTTTACACATCGACTGCCATCGGGTAATTGCACTGCAGTACCGTGAATAGGTGCCGAATCACAGCTGCTGTCTATTCAAGCCATGGGCTTCAGCAAGATGTGTAAAAGTGGTTGATTCTGTCTTGACAGCTTCAATTGGAGCACCAAGTCCATCAACGGGTAAAGAAGATGTTTGCTTTCGACTGTAAGAATACTACGACGTACACCATATATGCTAGCTACCTCGATCTACCTGCTGGAGAATGCTGTTGGATGTCATGAATTCGGAGCGATGAAAGCGATCAAACGGCCAGACTGGGTACTGAGTGAGAATTATCATTGAAGTCAGAATTGTCACTTGTCGAACCAAACCATGTGCCTTGAAGCGAATGAAATATCCAAAGATGACGAGGGTTGCGAAGTGCTTCGTAACTTTACGGAGTATCGAGTTTGTAATTTTTGATCCAAGACTTCTCTTAGCACAACCGCCAGTAACAGCACAAGCGGAAACGGCCAAGATTCGTTTTGGGGATGGTGTGCAAGGACAAAACAGCTCGGCCCCTGCTGATGTGTTTGATGTTTGATCCTTTCTTTTTCGGCAGGAGAAGCGACTCCGTATGCAGCTCCGTATTCTGTAACATGTTTGCTGTCAGTGTGTAAAAAGGAAATAGGGGGCTTGACATTCTTGCAATGACCACCACTGGCCTCAAGAACTAGAGAAAGCAGACCCGTTCCTGGTTTGTTCGATATCTGCAGCGGAATATTCGTTCGTCCTGGTTGCGTGACGCTTCCAGCCCTACGAGCGGCCGGTCGTGGGGTGCTTCTTGCAGAATGGCGAAACAGCATCGAGATGGAGTGAGTCGCCGTACCGCGGCCAAATTGTAGTTCGCAGAGTCACCGGCAAAGGGCTATTGTTCACATAAGCCCAGGACGGGGTTCGGTGATGTTTCTTTCTTATTCTCGCCGCCGGAGCAGTGGCCACCTTGCGTCTACAACATCGTACATCGCTGCTTCCTGCAAATCGCGTCGTTCTTTCCTTCTAGCCGAGTGAACAAATTGACATGTAAGGAAGGTGCTATCGTCTCTTGGACCATGCCGAGGAAATGGAAGGACCGCCTACGTAGGAAGGCGACAACGGTGGCATCCACTGAGTCGCAAAGCGGAATGCGCCAGTGCTCCCGGCTGGTACGGAGAAGCTGCAGGACGAGCGACTTGGTTAGGCGGTGACAGACCTGCGCAGGCTTGTGACAGGGCTGGAAGAACTCAACTTGGCCGACGTCCACACGCTACGATTGGCTCACAATGGCCTCGTGTTGTTTCCTCCCTACTTTGTTTCCTTCCGTCGTCCGAATCCCTGGCAGCCTAGGCAGGGAAGGAACCACCAGAGTGTTGAGGAGTGGTCCTTCCACTTTGATTCCTACGTTTCTTGCAGCTAGTGGAATTGCAAACACTGCGTCTCCAAATTTGAAAATGGAAACTTGTTGATATCTACAACCTCAAAAAACCTTCCCTTGGGACTGGCGATTCCATGTCACGACCCGGCTGTCGTAATTACAACGCCAACGACCGCCCACACCGCCTGTTCTTCGCCGTTTTTACAGGACGTGCCCCAGAGACGTTCTCTACCCTTTCTAGCGCGCTTCTCTCGCCCTTCACATCTCAACGGCTTTTTGTCCCTTTCTCAGGGGCGTTCCGGCTAGCGGACCAACAACTTTACGTCGTGTGCACTCTTGTATTCTCGGTCGAACTGTCGTGCCCCAGAGGCCGCCTGGGATAAGGAAACGTCGCCGCTCGTGACAGTCAGACTACACCAACGGTCGCCAGCAATGCGCCTTGTCAAGTAGTCGTCAAAACGTCAGAACCCTCGATCCATTTTTGAGGGCTCCAGTCCTTTAGTCGCATCAGCCTACTCACTGCCACTGCTAGACCCTCCCGAGCCTCTTCCTTGAGCGGAGCAATACTCCGTCAGAAAAGTTGACAGCCCCTAACGGCGGCGGACCCTGGAACCAAAATCAACGGAAAAAAGCGACCAAAACAGGCCATCTGCTACTTGTGCGGCTTGGCAACAGCCTAGCTTTCCTCCGCCTTTTTGCACATCTTGTCTGCTGCCAACATTACCACAGCTGACCTCATGCTCATCATCGTCTCGGCCTGAGCCGCGACCTCTGCTTTTGCCTTTTCCCCCTCTTCCATTTCTTCTCGTTCCCGCTCGCCCTCGACACGACTCGCTTTTACCCTGTCTGTGCCCTCTTTCGACGTTCGTTCCACTCGCTTTGTTTGTTTGTCTCCTTGTCCTTTCTCGCCCGGGCGTCCTTGTTGCGCGCGCTTTTGGTCTCCCCGCCTCGGCTCGACAAAAACGCCCTTCTCGTCCAACCTCAGGGGTGGTCGATGACAGCGATACGACGATTACGGCCCTACCATTGCTGACCGAGCGTTGGGATGATCTGGCCCGCACAGCGAAGCGGCCGCCACTTCTTTGCATCCGACGACGACGACGACGACGAAGACCACGACGCTTCACGACATTGAAAGTCGATTGTCAGCTAACGTATCCACTCCCGGGTTTTTTTTCCTCCATTCACCAACACACTTTGAGCCCCCTTTGGACCTCGACCGAACGACCCATCTGTCACATCCGTGCCCCGGTGTTGTCGCCAACATGTCGTTCCGCGGCGACGATCAGCGCCGTTTCGGCCATGTGCCGCCTGTTCAGTATCCTGTTGCGAATCAACCGCAGCAGCAGCAGCAGCAACAGCAGCAGTACGAGTATCCAGCGCGACGGCCGAGCTTCAACAACGGTGACGACAGCTCGTACTTTGACCAGAACCGCCAGCAGCCGCAGCCGCAACACCAGCTGCATCATGCACAGGCCAGCATCCCCAGCCGCGGCGAGGACGAGCTCTTTTTGACGAGTCCCGTCGACAGTCCGGCTCCAGCGCCGCCCATCCCTGCAAAACCGGCAGCCTATGGGGGGCCTGTATCCAACCCCGCCACGGCTATGTCCGGGTACCAGCATCAGTACCAGACAATTGCGCCCCAGTCGTCGTACAATCCTCAGACGTTTGCACGCTCGCAGTCGCAGTCGTTGCCGTACCACCCACACCCCTCTGCCCGCTTGGCCTCTCCGACCATGCCCTCCTTTTCCAGCTTCCAACAGCAACCACAACAGCAGCAGCAGCCGCCGCCGCCGCAGCAACAACAACAGCAACAACAAAGCTACACGCCAGTCGCATACAACCCGGCAGCATACGCCAGCACACAAAGCGCCGTGCCGCAGAGAACTTCGACATACGCCGGCTACAGCAGTTACCAGCACCAGTACAACTCGCCGGCTGCGCCGCCCCCGCCAGCACCGGCTGCTACATCGCCCTACACACAGCCGCCGCAGCAGACGAGCGCTGCCATTTACACACCTCCGCCTCCAGTGCACCCGTCTCCGACACCGTCGGCACCGTCTTCCTACCAACCCGGGTCCTACTACGATACCTCGCCTTCGACAACGGGTATCTCTCCCCAACCGGCCGCATATAACCAGGAACAGTACCAGGCAAACTACAACGCCAGCAGCAGCTTCATTTCTCCTCCGAACACGACTGCTGGCTATTCATCGGCAAACGGAGTCAGCCCCATGCCGTCGCCCGGTGCCATTCCCAGCACAATGACCTCCCAGGCACCTTACCCGACCTTTTCGCACACCCCCGCAACCAGCAGCTTCCCAGTAGATCCCAACGCCTTTGCCAGCCGCGTATCACGGTCAAACTCGGCGACCTCCCCCGTCCCATCGCCGCCCGCGCATTCTTCGTCCCCCGCAGGCCTGCAACGACACCCCACAAACGCTCCCCTGCCCAGCCGACCGCCCATGGACGACGTCGAAGAAGAGGGCTGGGGCAGTGGCGGCGGGGGCGCGGCTCTTGGCATCGCCAGCAACCGTAGCCATGGCCATAACCACAGTAACGACCGTGTGACGCAAGACAATCTTTACCACGACATCGAGGCTGACCTTGGTATCACAAACCCGAGCAACGGCGACGAAAATGGTAGCCTGCAGCTTCCGCCCGCGGCTCCCACCGACGAAGTCTCTGAAGACGACTTTTACCGCCGCAACTCGCGCGCATCCTCTACCCGTCCTAGTATTAGTGGGTGGTCCAGTGCAGCATCTGGCGTGGGCCGCGCACCGTCGTCGGCATCTACAACGTCCGGCGTCTACCCTGGCAGTGTCGGCGCTGCTGCGCCCTCGACGTATCGCTGGGAGGACGATAGCGACCCTGAAGGTGCCTTTGGTGTGTACGAGATGCAGCAGGCCGACTTGGACGAACAGCGCTTCAGCATCAGCGGTGCGTCCATGGCCTCTGGTATGAGCAGCGCCACAACGAGCCACTACAACTACAGCGGCCAGCAGCAGCACCAACACCACGACGATGGCCAGGGCACCGCCGCACGCACAACAACACCCCTGCCGCCCCAGCCGGAAGAGGCAAATGTCAGCGATGGCGAGTTCGTTGGTATGGACATCGGACTGTTCAGCGGCGGCTACGCCGGCAACCTGACATATGGTGAACCTGTGGAAGGTGGTCACATCGGGCGGAGCGCGTCTTCTGCAATGGCGTCTCACGACCGTCCGCCGCAATCTACGACACCGCGACCTTACGAGAGCGAAGCACAACAGTATGCACCGTTTGCGGAAGCCGAGATGGACTATGATGGCACCGGCGGCCTGCAGCCTCCGACGCTGCACCGCCTCAGCTTCGATGAGGGCGACGAGCGCGTGTCCATTCACTCGGGCCGCAGCGGTAGCGAGTCCCCGACCAAGGATGAATATCCAGACATGTTCTACCACCCGGGCCTCTCGAGCCGTCCCCTACCGGCCCTTCCGCAAGGCCTTGCTGATGTTAGTCGCAGCGGTAGCAGCAGCAGCAATCTGCTGTCGGCCACGCCCTCCAATGCATCACGCTTGTCCTACCGGCAGCACGCCTATTCACACAGCTCGGACTCGCGGTCGTCCACCTACATGTCTGTCCAGGATCAACAGCAACAGCAGCTCTTGATGCAGCAGCAATACCAACAACAGCTGCAAGTTGAGCGATCGACATCCATGTCTAACCACAGCACGACACCCGTGGTCCAGGTCCCCGGCCGCTCGCGCACCGATGCGGCCGAGGAGCGACGAAAGGCTCAGCGGCAGGTGGCTGCGCAGCAAGGGCTTCCCTACGACGCCGCCAATTACGATACGGCCAGCACCGCGTACGATGTTATCACCCTTCCTACCGGCCGGCGGAAGAAGTTCGTGCCGTCCAAGCTGTCGTCCAACGACTTCCGCCGCTGTCATGAGCCCTGGGCTCTCAGCAACATTGCCCGCTGGGTGCGCGAAATGGCCGACGGCGAGCCAGACCTCAAGCGTAAGACGATCGAGGAGGGCCTGGTCGCGCTGTTCACCACCAAGGTGCCCAACATGAACGTTGCCGACGCCGAGACCCTGGCCACCAACGTGGCCGACTCCATGTTCACGGCCGGCATCCTGATCCCCGAGGAAGAATGGGTCAAGTTTGGTCCTGGTGAGATCAGCGGTGTCCTGTGGCAGCTGACGGATTCAGGCTGCTACGCCCCGTTTGTGCATGCACACGAAATACCCGGACGCTGTTACTCATACTACTGCACGCGGACGCTGAAGAAGGCCAATCTCGACGAGTTGATGTCGGAGGTGTCGACCAAGAAGGAGGACTGGGTGACCCACTACAAGATCACCAAGGAGATCATCGAGAGCAAGCCCCGCAAGGAGGTCGAGCGCCAAAACGTCTTGCACGAAATCGTTACCAGCGAGGAAGAGTACAACAACCAGCTCGACGTACTGCGCGTGCTGTATAAGAACCAGCTCCGCCACTGGCAGCCGCCCATCATCCCGCCGAACCGGCTCGACAAGTTTATCAACACAGTCTTTGGCAAAGTCGAGTCAATGCAGCGCGTCAGCAAAGACCATCTGCTCGCCCAGCTCAAGTACCGCCAGAACGAGCAGGGCCCCTGGATTGTCGGCTTTAGCGACATCTTTCGCGAGTGGATTCGCAAGGCCAAGGACGAGTACATTGCATACTCGACCGACTACCCCATTTCGTCCTTTACGGTGCGCAAAGAAGCTGCGCGCAACGTGCTCTTCCGACAGTTCCTGGAACACGTCCGCAACCACAAGCGGTCCGACCGTCTGGGCTGGGACACGTTCCTCAAGGCGCCCATTACGCGTCTGCAGCGCTACTCACTTCTTTTGAGCACAGTGCTCAAGAACACGGTGCAGGACAGTGAGGAGAAGGCCAATCTGGCGCGGGCCATTGAAGAGATTCGCCTCGTCACCAAGGACTGCGATCGGCTCGTCGACGAGATGGGCAAGAAGGTGTCTCTGCAGGAACTGCAGAACCAGCTGGTGTTCCGCCAGGGCTCCCAGACGGTGCTGAATCTCGACCACCTGGGGCGCGAGCTGCTCCTGCAAGGCGAGCTCCAGCGAATGGGCTCCAAGGGTGTGCGCTGGGTCGATACGCAAGCGCTGCTGTTCGACCACTACTTTATCCTGGCCAAGGCGATCCCCTCCAAGGACGGCCGCGGCGACAAGAAGTACGACGTGTCCAAAGAGCCTATCCCCATGCCGCTTCTTCTTCTCGAAAGCATGAACGACGATCCCATCTCCAAGCAAAAGGGCCTCGCAGCACCCCTGGCTCGCACGACCACGGCCTCGGCGTCCGATATCCGCCTCAACAAGGTCATGTCCAACGGCGCCCCCGGCCGGCCCGAACTCGAACACACGGCCACGGCCAGCTCCACGGGCTCGAGTGTCACGCGGCTCAACACTGGCACGCCTGCAGAAGAGGGCAAAATCCTGTATCCCTTCCGCGTCAAGCATCTCGGCCACGAAGTGTACACGCTGTATGCAACCACGCCACAGAGCCGCCAGGAGTGGTGCAACAAGATCGTCGAGGCCAAGACGCGGCACGCGCGTGCACTGCTCGAGCAGAATGCCGAACCGTTCCGTCTGCGCGTACTGGCCGACAGCGCGTTCGCGTACGACTCCATGACGGCCATTGGCAAGCACGCCAGTGTCTCCATCCGCGGCACGCCGCTGGACCGGTCGATCCGCGAGATGGAGCAGGTGTTTGGCCCAGGACGTGGTCCAGCGCCCGTTTGCCGCGCTTCCGTGAATTGTGCGACGGGCTTCACGGCCTATGGCAAGTCGATTATTGCCATAGGTACCGACTTTGGTGTCTACATTTCGGACGCGTCCAATCCTCGCGGTTGGACAAGAGTAAGTGTTTTTTTTTTTTTTTTTTTTTTTTTTTTTTTTTTTTGTTCTGCCACTGCAGTCTGGAAGCAACGTTTTCTAACAGTACCTTCAGTCCGTTCAAATCAACAAAGTCACGCAGATCGCGGTGCTCGAGGAGTTTTCGGTGTGCTTGGTCCTTGCTGACAAGGCTCTGATCTCGTACCCGCTGGACGTCGTGGCGCCCGTGTCCAACTTCCCTGCGCCGAACAATGACAACGCGCGACGGGCGCCGCAGCGGCTGGCCAAGGACGTGTCGTTCTTTGCGACGGCGCGGATGAAGGAACGCATGCTGCTCTTCTACAAGCGCAAAGAGGGTTTGCATAACACGTTCAAGGTCCTCGAGCCGGTGTTCCAAAAGGCATCGGAAAAGAAGTCGCGATTCTTTGGCAGCAGCCGGCGTGGTGGCAGCAGCGGGAGCAGTGGCGGCACCGAGTCCTTCCGCGACTTTGACGAGTTCTACCTGCCGACCGATTGCTTCTCGCTCAACCTGTTCCAGACGTACGTGGCCGTCTCGACGGCCAAGGGCATCGTGATGCTCACGCTGGACCGCAAACAGACCATGTCGGTGCCGCGCGACTTGGCGATGCCGGCGACGGCCAACATTGCTGCACGGATCCGCGACCAGCGCCCGCTCGGCATGTTCCGGCTCAACGACCAGGAGTTCTTGCTCGCGTACGAGGACTGTGCCGTGTACTCGGACAAGCACGGCGAGGTGTCGCGCACGCTGATCATGGAGTACTCGGGCAAGCAGAAGAAGGCGCGCGCGGCCACCATGTTTGGGCAGTACCTGCTGCTGTTCAACGAAGACTATGTCGAGGTGCGCAACGCCGAAAACGGGCGGCTGCGGCAGATCATTGCCGGCAACGACGTGCGGTGTCTCGACTACGGGTTTAGAGGCCCCACGGGCGGAGACAATGCATCCGCGACGGCGGCGACACCAGCCAACAATGCGGCGGCGGGCGGCGCGACGGGCACGGCGGGAACGGGCCAGAACTCCCAGGGCACGGTCAAGATCAGCATGACGCACCCGGAGGCGGGCGGCATGCAGATTGTGCTCGAGCTCCTCTTGAACGACGGGCATTCGGAGAAGGTATAGGTTCGCCGCAGCCGAGTTCTTTCGTCTGTTCAGGGTTGGCGGGTGGCAGGCTAATTGGACGGGATTCAATGAGGATTTCTTGTTATGTTGGAAAATTTCTTTTGTAATCACGTCAAATGGCGGTAGGGATATACAGTGATTTGCATTCGCTGTATTCCTTTCTTTGCTTCCGTCTTTTTTGGAAATGATGCCAAAGGGACAAGGAGACCGTTCGTTCCTTTTATCTCGTTTTTTATTTTACTTTTCGCACATTTGTCCCAACGTCGTTTCGTTCTCATTTCTTATTTCTTACGTTCCATTGTACGATGTCCATTTCCTTCCATCGCTTGCAAGCATGTTTAGTCCATCTTTCAGGTGAAACCCGAGATACCACAAATACATTATGCCATCCTTCGTGCCGCTGTCCACATTATCGTTCTCGTCTTGTTTCCCGATGGGTTCCGTTTTGTCGTCGTTGACGAGAAGTCGTGGAGTCGCATAAGCAGAGGACAAAGTACCAACGCCGGGACTAGCCGGATAGGCCGAAGGCTAGAGTTGCCCAAATAGGAGAGCTGGAGGGGACCTTACGGGGGGACTTACTGTGCGCGGGCGGTCTTTTACACCGTCTGTCCGGGAAGGGTTGGGCGCTAATCCAGTACAGCATAGCTATTGGTGGCGCACCTGACCGCTGACCTCACCACGACTTCACTACATACAAAAAATTATCCACACAGAGTGTCCGCTGTAGGCACATTTCGCGGCGTGGGATTTGTGGATTATATGCAACACATCGTCATTCTTGCCCGTCGCGTCCCGCCTTTGCCTCGACTCTCAGTTCGTGCTGTTCAGTGTCGCAGCACCATACAGATCCTCCTGCCAATGGGCGCTCTTTGTCGATCGACGCCGTTTCCTCATCGACGGTGTTTATGAGCTTTTGCCCACCTCTGGCTATTTGCTCGCTCTCACTCACATATCAGGGATATTCGATATCCCCCAACCGGCGCCATGTCCAATGGCTCGTCCAAAGCGCCGTCCAAGACCAGTATGTTCCTCAACAGGTTTCTTGGTCGCTGTCATTCTGATATGTTAGGACCCGCTAACAATGCCACAGCCTTCCATCTTCTCGCCGGTCTCAGCTCCGGTGTCCTGTCGGCCGTGCTGCTTCAGCCCATTGACCTGCTCAAGACCCGTGTCCAGCAGTCTGGTCATAACAGCTTGCGCCGTGTGCTCGCGGACCTGAGGACGGCGGCCCGTGAAGCAACATCAGCGGCATCAGTACGCGGCAGCACATCCCCAGGCGCCGCCGCTGCCGCTGCACCGCGACCTCGCAGTTTCGTCGCTAGCCTGTACCGCGGCACCGTCCCATCAGCGCTCCGCACGGGCTTCGGCTCCGCCCTCTATTTTGCCGGCCTCAATGCCATCCGCTCCAGCGCCGCCAAGGTGCCGATCCTCGCTGCCTCTTCCACCAGTGGCGCCGCGAGCGGCAGCGGCAGAGGGAGCAGTGGCCTCGTCAAGCTGTCCAACACGGGCAACATGCTGGCGGGTGCCGTCGCGCGCGCCTCGGCCGGGTTTGTGCTGATGCCGCTGACCATTATCAAGGTGCGCTACGAGAGCAGCCTGTACAACTACCGGTCGCTGGCCGAGGCCGCCACGGACATTGTGCGCAAGGAAGGGCTGCGCGGCTTCTTTTCGGGGTTTGGCGCCACGGCCATCCGCGACGCGCCGTATGCCGGCCTCTACGTGCTCATGTACGAGCAGATCAAGCGGCGGCTCAACACCCTGGCGGAGCGCCGACAGAGCACCGCTGGCGGCCACCACCGCGCCGAAACTAGCATGGGTGTGTCGCGCGCCGCGGCCATCAATTTCTCGTCGGGGGTCCTGGCGGCGGCGACGTGCTCCGCGGTGTCGAACCCGTTTGACGCGGTCAAGACGCGCATCCAGCTGCAGCCCGCGCGGTACCGCAACATGCTGCACGCCGCACGCCGCATGCTGGCCGAGGAGGGCGTGCGGTCCATGTGGAACGGACTGGCGCTGCGCATGAGCCGCAAGGCCATGAGCTCCGCACTGGCGTGGACGGTGTACGAGGAGCTGATCCGGCGGGCCGAGACGCGGTGGGCGGCGGCAGCGGCGGCCAACGGTGCCAGCGAGACGGAGGCGTTGTAGGTGATCTCCCTCCGTTTGTTTTCTTCTTCATGTGATTCGTCTTTTGTTGAACGCCACTCTTTTCTTGGCTGTGTATTGTATGCTGCGATGTGCTGGGTTTCTGTCGGGACTTCACTCATTCTTTCATTCAAACGGCGTCAAGGGACGACAACGGAGCATAATCGGGATGGCCAAACAAAGACACAACCTTCCTCCTTGTAGATTAGCAGGAAACTGGAATGAGCGGACAAAAATGTTGGGATATAATAGATACCAAAACAAATACAGAGCATGACGAAATTCAAGGTACGGAGAGAAGTGTCTCTTGTCTTCTTTTCTTCTCCTCTTTGCCCGCCTTCTGGTCTCGTCATCGCATCCTTGGGCATTCACCAAAACAAGAAAAAATTGCATAACCATGAAAGGGGCAAAAAAAAGACAAGTAAATTTCCCGTTTAGATCCTGGATAATCCCTCCCTCCAAAAACGTTTCCATAGTCACAAAAGAGAAGGGAGAATACATCAAATACGACCAAAAACGAAATAAACAAGTAAAACGTAAAGGCAACCAAAAGTGTAAAGACGTAGATGACAACGCGACGTGGATCCTGTGGCCCATTACCGGCTTTATTTTGCACCGGCCAGGTACATCAGCAGGCCAGGCGACTTGCTGCGGCTGCGTCTGCGCTCCTTCTTGCGCACCCACTCAAACTCGGGTTCCAGATGATGGTGGTGATGGTGCTTGCCGCCGTCCTCGATCTTGAGCACGACCTTGCGGTTTTCGCGAATCGTCTTGGTATGCTGCCACCAGAACTGGCGCTCGTCCTCGGGGACCCAGCGCTTGACCAGGATGTACTCGGGGTCCTAGACGGTTAGCAGCTGGTTTGTTTGAAAAACAGAGAATCAGGAAAAGAGAGAGTCTCTGCACAAACATACCTGATCGTAGTCAAAGTCAATGTGGTAGTAGTTGAGCGTCTCGATGGACAGGTGGCGACGAGCCATGCGGGTATACGTGGGCCGCTGCGCCACGGGGCCGCCAATCTCAATGTTGATGTCGGTGCGCTTCTTCTCGGTCTTCTCGGGCTTGACCGACTTCTTATCGAGAATGGCCTTGATGTCCTTCTCGTCGACGCCCGACCGCAGCAGATCCTCTTGCAGGCGGCGCTTGTACTCGCGCTCGTTTTCTTCCTTCTCGGCCTTTTCCTTGGCAATGCGCTCGGCCTCCTTGACCTTGTAGCGCTCAATGGCCTCCTTCTCCATCTTCTCGCGCCGCTCCTTTTCGTCCTGCGCCTTCTTCTGCGCCTCCAGCGCCTTGAGCTCCAGGTCCTTCTTGATGCGCTTCTCCTCAAGCTCGCGGTCCTCGCGCCGCCGGATGTCCTCCAGCTCCCGCTTGGCCCGCTCCAGCTCGGCGTGGCTCTTGTACTCCTTTTCGCGCATGCGCTCCGAGCGCTCCTTGTCCTGGGTCGCCTTGATCGCGTCCAGCTCGCGCTTGGCCCGCGCCATTTCGACCTCCTCTTGCTGGCGGAGCTTGCGCTCGCGGTCGTGCTCCTCGGCACGGTAGTGTGCCAGCTCGTGGCGCGCCTGCTGCAGCTCCCACTCCTCACGGTCGTTGCGGCGCACGTGCAGCTCGAGCTCTTCGTTGGCATGGGCGTTGCGAATCTTCATCTCGTGCAGCTCGCGGCGGGCCTTTTCGAGCTCGTACTCTTCGCGCGACATAAAGTCGCTCGAGGGCGCGCGCGAGTGCGAGCGGCCCTGGCGGCGGGGCACGAGCTGGCCATGGTGGCCCGAGTCGGAGTCGTCGTCCGAGTGCTGGGTGTTGTAGTTGTTGATGATGACGGGTGGTGGGCTGGAGCGGCGCTCGCGGGACCGGGAGCGCGGGCGCGTGGCCACGGTGCGCTCGGCGGCCAGGAAAGCAGGGCCGGTGGCATAGTAGCCTTGGACGGGCGGCGGGCGAGCGATGACACGGGGCGGCGGCGGCGACGCCTCCTTGTTGCGACGGAAGACCCGGACGTCGATCTCGTCCTCGTCGTCGTAGTCGCCGCGATGATATCTGCTCATGGTGGGCGAGTAAACGGAAACGGGGGTTGGGTCTTGGTCGATCAAAAGATGGCAGTGTTCGTATCGGTAGAGGGTGTACCTCGTTGCAAGAGATGGTGTTCCTCCTCGGACAACGACAACAAGAGAACAAGACAAAAATAATATCCAAAAAACGACGCAGGACGTAGTCAGAAGCGCGCGTGCTACGCTTTAATCGGGATTGTCAGACGTGGGCGATAGGCCGAGGGGAGGAAAATATAAAAGAGGGGGGGTGTCCTCTTTGCTGTTAATAGGAAAAGAGGGGCGAAGGTAAACAAGACTAACAAAAGGCGCGATAGTAAATAAAGTGGGAGGCGGGAGAGTGGAAAGTAGCCACAGAAAAGGTCTGGAGCGAAAAAGAAGAGCGAAAAAAGAGGAGAAGAAGAGAAGAAAAAGCAAAATGTCAGGATGCAGGCAAAATTTGACACACGCTACGACATCGAGGGGCCTTTGTAAAATGTTGACTGGGAAGGGGGAAGGAAGGAGGGAGGAAATCGAGGACAAGGGAAGGAGGGGACGAGGGGTGGGCAGAACGAGGGAAGGAAGGCTGGGAGGCGGGGTGGATGCGGCGCAACTGCCCCATTTATTATCGTCAAGCGGGCAAGCACGATCGGAGGCTTTGCAGCAAGAGGGCAGGGCCTGCAGCACATAGGGCAGGAGGTGCAGCAGCGTGGCAGTTGGAAGTGCGGAAAGTGGAAACAGAGAAGGATGGGAACAGAAGGTGCATACGCGATCGATGTACAAAGTGGGAAAGCGCAGACAGTTTGGCGCATTCATGTGCCACCTGGCAAGGCCTGATATTAGGAAAGAGCGCATGGGGAGCCCACGGAGAAAATGAAGGCGCATCTTACAGCGGGCGGGAATATTCTTACGGGGGGGAAAGTGGCATGGAAGGTGCGAGGAGGTCACCGAAGGCGGCGGCAATGCAGAGGGGCAGAAGAGGAAGGAACAAAACAGAGACTGTGTGTAGGCCGCTCTTGTTAAGGCGGGACATGACGGCTTCACAGGTCTTGGCGGAAGGATCACACACCTGCTCTTAGCAATGGAAGGATGCGTGGGCGGAAAGAGCAGTGCATCTTCGTACCCGACTAACAGACGCGAAACGGATAGACCAGACAAACAGAAAGACGGCGAGCGACGACTCCGTTTTGGGCATGATGCGGGCTCGTGTCAGAAGTGTGCAGTGTGCGTAACAGAGCTGAACAGCCAGACGGCAGGAGAGGCGCAGAGGCAGAGGAAGATGATGGGGGCCCCTTGTCATTTTCTGTTTCTGCCGGTTGTCTACTCCCTCCAAGTTCTTTCTTGCAGGTGACTTTTGGCAGACGGCAACAATCTGCAGCACGTCTTACTGCATGACAATCTAGAAGCCGAAAGGCGACAAAACGAGAATCTACACTCAACAAGGAGCATAAGATTTCTATTTGCTGATGCCACTACCGTGACGACTGCCAAATGGTCAAGGGCGGCGACGAACGGCTTCGGCTGGCCTTGGCCAGGCCTTGGAAGTCTACATGGCGAGCCTGTGAGTCGTCGAGGTGCTTGTACGTAGTCTATAAAGGTGGAGGGGACTAGCCAATACAGACGACGAGTTGGCGACGAAGGAGGGACAGGTGACCAGACCACACGATAAGGTTGTGGGTTGAGCGACTCTGTCCTCATGGACAGCATGGCTGGGCAGGTGCCTTTAGCAACAGCAGCAGCAAGGAAAGACACTAGGGGCCGAGTGCACAGAAGAGAAAGCCAGAGGGCCAGACGGACAGACAGCAGGGGAGAAGTGGGAGGGATGACGAGTGATGAGGGGCGGCTCTTCGCTTGCATCGATTTTGGGAGCGCGATGATGGTGGGGTGGAGGGGACACGATGGCGGAAGAACAAGAACAGGAAGGAAGAACGGGAAGGAGAGCAAGGAAAGAAGGCTAGGTGAAGCATGCTGGTTGGCAGGAGGCTTGAGCCGACGGGCAGTCCGGTTGTCGTGGCTGGTCCGGAGGAGGCAAAAGGAGAAAACCAGAAGGAATATAAAATAAAAATAAGTGACTGTAAAACGACACCAAACATGGTTGCAGGTGCATATTTGCTGCAGTCCAAGTGGGGGGAGCGTCAGCAAAGAGTACTCCGGACCAGGGCCTGGGCTTTTGGGTGCCGTTATTGGATATTTGGGGCGTTCCAAGGACGACACATCTACGAAGTATCTGTTATTTACTTGCAGGGATGCGGCGACATGGAGGGGTTGGAGCGGGTGGTCGAGAACGGACAAGGACCAGGCTCAGCCCGACGAGAAGAGGGGACTTGGAGAAAGCAAGGACGTGGTGTTGGACAGCGACCCGGCAAAAAAAAGGAAAAGAGAATGCAAAAGCAGGGATTGCCAGAGTCAAAAGTAGCACGCGATGAGAACAGACAGGACTGGGTCTCAAGGGCTGTGGACGAGATCATCCTGGCGTAATTTGGTATCATACCAATAGCACGCGCTGGGCTTGAACTAATATGGGTGCAATAGTCGAGTCGAAATCGCGATGCGTGATGCGTGATGCCCCAACGCCCAGGATGTGGGAAATTACGATGCAGTCTTCGAAACGCTGGGGCCACATCAGAATGGTCGAATGGTCAGAATGGGACAGGAGGGGCAGGGCGGTAGGGCTGATGGGGGGCTGCGGCTGATGTGACATGCAGACAAGTCAGTGGCCTGTGAGTGGTGTGTGAACGATGTTTGAATTATCTTGTTCTCGTGTATCAACTGCTTCTTACTCTTGTTTCTTTTTTTCCTCTTCGTTTTTTCCATGTCTGATCCTTTTTAGTTGACTCTGCCGTAAAAGCACACTAATTCGGACCGTCCCTTTTCTTACATTCCTGCCTCTGAACCGCTCGCTTTGTCTCGACATCACTAATTTTTTTTTTAAAGATCCATTCCATGAGTAGGACGAGTTCCCAGTTGCATTGCCGTTGCTGCGAACAGCGCCTTACGACTGTATCCCAGACGCCTGCCTGGGCAAGAAGCCGAATGAATCCTTTCTGTTTCACCGCACCTTGTCCAACCAACAAATGGAAAAAGACCGACAGGGCCTGAGGGCATAGCCAGACCCTGCCACGCCGCTTCCTTCACATCAAATGTCATTAATATGGAGACAAAACATCATCCGTCAAACCGTCAAATAGCGGGGGCCAAAGGCTCGTCTGTGCCGCTGATGCAGGCCGCCGTCCCTGTATGCAAAATACATGTGCGTCGTACACCGTACCCTGCATTGTCCTCCTGGCCGCCGAGAGCCTCATGTGATGAACCGACAGAGTATCCGTTTTCCATTCTGTATCCTTTTCCACCTTCCACCTTTTTGACCCCGTCCCGCTGTGTCCCCTTGTATCCCTTTCTCTCATAACGGGCCCGCTCCGGCCTCCACCAGCTGTATCTCTGGACTGGGCCTTGGGACAGTTGGTGATGACGGCGTGCACAGGTAGCGAACGGAGACATGCTCTCCGTTTCTACCACCGATTTGGTGAGGCAGGCGAATCCGTCTGTATAAAGGGAACCTGTATACGGTAGTGAGAAAAGGTTGGCAGTTGATGATGCAGGTCGGCTGCGTGGCGTCACGTGTCGAAACGGGCCCTCTGTCATCGTGCCGAACATTTCAGAGGTAGGTTTCGCCTCCTTCTCGCTCGCCCGTCCGCTCTCCGTCTCGGCCTGCCGTTCATTTGTCTCTCATCATTGTGGGCCACCCTTCACCACCACCACTACACTATGCCGACTCTCCGCCCCGCCGCAGAATCTGCGCAATGTGGTCCTGGCTGTTCTTGGCCGTCGTCTCCAGGTAGTGCAGCCGCTTGCCCAGGCCCTCCACATCCGTCTCGAGCGTCTTGATCTGCTTGCCGAGCTTGTCGTTGAGCGACGCCACGGGCTCCGCCACAAACATCTTGCCGACGCCCTCGTAGACGGCCGTCGATGCCGGCAGCGACTCCATCTCCTTGAGGGTGAGCTGAGCCAGGCGCATCTCGCGCTGCTTGCCGGCGACCTGGGAGCGGGCAATGGTGATTTGCTGCTGCGCCTGGACGGCCTGGGTCTCGATCTCGTGGACGAGCTGTTGAAGGAAAAACACAGAAAGGGGAGAGGGTTAGCTGCGGTTGGGTGTATGCTTCACTTTTCTGTTGGATCATACCTTTTGGAGGGCCTCGTTGGAGAGCGACATATCGGCGGCGGCGAGAAGGCCGTGGACAATGGTAATTCAGAGCAAACGAGTCGAGAAGTGAGGAGCGGCACGTCGGGAACGGAGAGAGTGAAGAAGGGGAGATTGAGGTCGTCGCCGAGACAGAGGTCGGAAAGAAGCTGTTTGTCGAAGAGGACCCCTTTTTGAAGCTATAGCCGGAGAGCTTCGCGAATAAGCCCCGCCAAATGGGTTTCGGTGATGCCTGCCCTGAACAGTCAGCAAAATTCAACGCCAACCAAGCCCCACCAAATTCTGTAGGCCATGGCGCTAGTACAGTGCGGCAACACTTAAATGTTAAAATGCCAACAGTCCGAGACTTTTTGTATCTTGCTCATGTTCCGTTCCAAGCACAGTCTATATGACTTCTTAGACAGGACTCCAGCCATCTCGCATGCGTGTCTCACATTGTGTCACATGTTGAAAAATGGCATAAGATGCGTCTCTTGCCTTCAGAGCCTCGCTTATTCGAACTTGGTATCTTATTTCCAACGTCTTGCTGCTTAACAACATGCAGACCTCATCTACAAACATCTAGAACGTCTGTCTATTCTCTGAAACAAAGCTCCAAGAAAAAACTCCTATGCAAAATTAAATACCCAAGAACAGAACGCCGGGCTATCAGAAAGCTCCAAAAAAAGGAATACGTGTGGCCAAAACAGAATATAGATCAAAGACTGCCTCATGGCAGTGGGATATATAGACCTTCGCAGTTGCTTGTGGTCTGTCAAATAGTAGAGGCCATCGTGTTGGCTTAATCGAGACGGCGTCCTTTATACGCGGCGTCAGACGGTTCCATGTCGGACACAGGCACAACCCGTGGGATCGAAGTCAGGGCCGTCTTCCACTGCAGCGCAAATTCGTCCTCCTTGCCGTCCAGGCACGTATGCAGCCACAGACGCCACATGATGAAGTAGTACGCTGTGAATTGGTTAGTCAAAAGTCAAGAAGAGGGGGGGGGAGACGGCTTGCTTCCCAAGTGAACGTACATCCTATGCATCAGTTAGTACGTGGTCGACAGGCAAGACAGAAGTAGAGAGGGAGAGGAAGAACGTACCGAGTCCAGTAAGAATATGCCACCACGCATGACCCTCGAGCACGACCGCCCACGGCAGCAGCAAGATGTCACGCCACGAGCGCAGGTACAGACAGAAGATGTTGTCCATGTTCCAGATGAAGAAGCCGACCAGAAACAGGGCAATGCCCGACAGGCACATCTTCCACATCTGCCGCATGAGGCCGCTCTCGCGCTCAGGGCTCCGAATCTTGAGGGCCGGGCGCAGCGTCTTCTCCATGTCGTACATGCTGCGGAACACGACGGCAATCGTCAGGCAGGCAAACGAGACCTGGTGGAACACGGGCTCCTTGGTGAAGTGGTAGACGACGGTGATGAGCAGGCCCAGGCTGAAAAGGCCAAGGCCAATCAGTCTGGAGACGGTGGGTGATTTGCCGTAGGAAAACGTGGCGTGGCCAATGATGCACGTGGCATAGATCATGGGCAGCTCGTCGGCGAGTTGCATCGAGTCTGGGGGGTTAGCATAGGACGTCACAAGAAAGCAGTCAAATAGACCGCGAAGGGGGGCAGGGGATCTTGCACCCACACTTTAATGTCGTGTGGAAGGCTATGGAGCCGAGTCCGACGACAATGTAACCGATGCAGGCCACGACAAAGACGGGCCGGTGCCGGAACCGCATGCAGTCGCGAATGCCCCGGATGCCCAGCCATATGAACATGAGGTTGGTTATGCTGTTGACGAACTCGGCGCAGTAGTATGTGATGTTGTAGTCCTGTTACATCGCAGGGTTCGAAGTCAGCAGCTGTCGTCGTGTCGCACAGGATTGCGAACCCTGTTCGATAACGGGGCCGTTCCACAAGGTACAGGATGTTTTGCCAAGACCTGGACCGACCCGGGTGCGGCCACTGCGCCAGGATCGACTCTCCAGATCGCAGACAAGGCGCAAAATGCAACATCGATCGAATGGAAGGCAAAGATCCCTCTCGGAACAAATTGGACTCGGAAACGCACCTCTTCACACCAGTTGAGCGTCGACGTCTGTTCGCCCCAGAGGCCATGACGGGATTCCCGGTACGGGATCTGCAGAAAGGAACCCATGGCGTGGGTGGGCGAATGGTGATGGAGGATGGTAGCTCGAGACGGGAGACCGGCAAATGGCGATGAGAGGATTTGGAGCTATGCAGAAGAGTGTCAGCAATATGTGTGCACTCGAAGGCGGCGCGGCCCAACAAAAATAACCAAAAATTCTGCGTAAATGTAAGGTAGCAAGAGATGTGCAGTAGAGATGTGGTGACGAGAAGAGGTGACGTTGGATGCGCACACATGGACATGGCCTCGCGGTGGCAACGTCCAGAAATGGATACGTGGAGCTGGGAGGGCAAAGCTTGTGAAGAATGCGACGTTGGCCAGGCCCAGTCACGGCACAGGCGTGTGGTAGCGGCCAGAGCTTGGGGTGGCAGGCTTAATTAAGCTCGAGACAGCAGCCACAGCTATGAGAGGGCAGCTCCATGTGGATGGCCATTTGCCAGACGTGGGAAGGCACATGTATTTCGCTACTCACCAGGAGAAAATCGCAGGAAGGAAGGACCGGTGACCGAGTTCCGATTTCAAAAGGACGAGGCGGCGGGGGGGGCAGGAACGGTGAGGACGCACTTGCCGTTTCGGGTCGAGATGTAGAGCCTCCGGCGGTCTGGGAAAGAACGAGCGAAGCAGAAACGAAGGGCAAGCGCAAAAAAGAAGGAGCAACAACAAGGAAAGGCACAATCTGATGGCTGTGTGAGGAAAGAACAAGACGGGGTAAAAAAAATAAAAAGAGAAGGAGAGAAAGAAACGGACCGGACAGGGAAGGAGGGACTGCACAGATACAAGCTTCGCGGACTATCCTCTTTCCTATTTTTGTCGACTTTTCGCACATACTTTTACACTATTGGATTCTCTCTTCGATTTGACAAACCCACATCGACTCTCTCCTGCAACAACGTCCCAGTCTGGCTGTGTCGTCGCAGGTAATGCACCGCTCGGCGCTGACTGACGCCGAAGTGTTCGCATGCCGCTGGAATGGGGCGCTTGTCCTCGCCCCCGACCTATCCGGCCGGACGCTACAGCAGTTCTTCTGCGGGAAGGCGACCCCAGGCGGCTCTAGGCACCTTTAGGGGACCATTGCTTAACGACTTGCGATTTTGGGGTCTCGTCAGCGTCAGGAACGAAGGACGACGAGCTGGAGCGTTCCTTCCTCCACTGGAATGGAGCTTTGAAGCAGTGTCAGACCATTGCTCTTGCCGTGTCTCTGAACTAGCCTCGTTTCGGCAAGTACAGTGCGTGCGCGGCCGCTGGGCCGCTGGCTTACTGTGTCCAGGTCTCGTCTCGCCTGAGCTAGTTCTCAAATGTGCCTTGTTAAGGGCAAGAGCAATGCGTGTGCAACGCGCAACGAGTGGACCCACCAGCGTCAGCCTGAGCGCCACGGTTGGCGCCCTGTCCCAACGTCTTCATTGGTGAACTTTCGTACTTTCGTATCGCTGCAGAGAGCAGACACAACATGACACCACCCACACGACGCCGCCTCAGTACGCCCTAGAGCAAACCCCATGTGCCCCAGTGCCTCGTTGCCTCGTAATCGCAACGTCTCCAGATATCTGAGGTCCACGCCATGATTGTTCTATCGACGTGCTCCATTCTGAACTTTTCTTCCACCAAAACAGAAGAGACGACGAGCCAACGGGAAAGGGGACCCAGCTAGACGACAATCGACACGGCCATCGACGACGAGACCGGCATATCTCAAGATACATCATTCAAATAGGGGCTCTCACGGCATCTTCATTGGTCTTGGCTGAAGGCTCCACCACTCGACTGCACGCTGTGCACCTCCTCGACGTCCTTCCCTCACGACCAATGCTCTCACCATCAAGCAGAAAGCAAAGATTGACGAACCCCTGACGACCCTTCTCGTCGACAACTCGACGGTCGAGGAGGATCACACACAGACGACAACCCCCTCCTCCCGCCCATTTGCGCCATGGCGTCGTCCACGCCTGCCAAGGGCGGCGGCGGCACACGATGGGGCTCGCTGCTGTCCCAGGCGGTAGCTGGAGTCGAGGCCCGTCTGGATACGATCCTGTCCGATGCGGACGACTCGACCAAGCCACAGGAGCAGAAGCCTCCAGCGAAGCCAGCAGCCCCAGCAAAACCAAGTGCGTCACCTCCGTCTGGTGTGCCTGCCGTCATCGCTTTTGAAGTCCTTCATGAAAGCCCTTTCTAATTTGCCCTAGATACAGCACGATCCGGCTCGTCGAACCGCGCAAACGACCGCCTACAAGAACGGCTAGCACGAGCCGTGGCTGCCAAGAGCGGTGCACCATCACCAAGCCTGGGAAGCCCTGCAGCATCTGCCTCGGCGGCCAACAGCCCACGACAAAGCCTCGATGTACCGAGCCGAGCGTCGATTGACAGCACCGCGAGCGGCTCAAAGGATGCCCCAGCGGGTGACATAGCCGCAGCCCGCAAGTCTACCGACGGCAGCAAACGGCCATCGTTCGAGGCGAGCACCGAAATAAAAGACGAAACAAACGCCGAGGCAGCAGCGACAAATGGAGACGGGGCAGCTGCAACAGACGAGGCTAGGGCGTCGACAGAATCGAGCACCGCCAGGGCGAATCATGAGTCGACGACCGACAATGCAGCCGCACCATCGACACCGAACCCGACAACAACACTAACAGCAACGGCAGCCGATGCCGCATCAACATCAGCAGACGATACGACCGCTGCTGCAACACAATCCACGGCGGCCAGTGCTGCTGCCCTCGACGCGGTCCGCGAGTCGCGTATCAAGCAGCTTGAGGCCGAGCTGCTCGAGCAACGACGCCAGCACCAAGACGAGATCCACCACCACACCGAAAAGACGGAAATGCTGCAGGCCAAGGTGCAGTACCTAGCTAGCGAGGCCGCCGAAGCCGCCAAGAAGGCGGTCGCCGATGCTGCGCCGGGCAGCCTCGAGAAGAAGGTGGCCGAAAAGGACCAGAAGATTGCGCAGATCATGCTAGAAGGCAAGAACCTGAGCGTCATGGAGGAGAAGCACCGGGCGATCCTCAAGAAGCTGCGCGTCAAGATCAGCGACGACGAAAAGGAGATTGCCGAGTTTAAGACGGCGCGGACCAAAACCGAGGGCGAGCTGCAGACGCTGCGGGCGCGGGCACGGCGCGCCGCCGAGCTCGAGCGGGCGCAAGAGGAGGGCCTCAAGCGGCTAAGCCAGGTGCACAAGGAGCTCGAGGGCCTGCGGTCCGACGCCGTGTCCAAGGACGCCACGATTGCGGACCTGCGGCAGCAAGTGAAGACGGCCAACGAGCACGCCGAGGCGACAAAGGTCGCGATCAACGATGCGGCCCTCGAAAAGGAGCGCCAGCGCGTCAAGGAGCTCGAAGAACAGGTGGCCACGGCGCAGCTCGAAAAGTCGCTGGCGGCGGACCGCGCCAAGGCGCAGATCAAAGAGTGGCAGGAAAAGGCGGACAAGGCGGCGGAGCGCACGCGCACGGTCGAGCAGGAGCTGCAGAACGAGCTGCAACTTATGGAGAGCAAGCTGGAGGCGATGCGCGGCCGCGCAGAGGAGGCGTCGTCGGGCGCGACCGGCGACTCGCACGCCAAGCTGATGCGGCAGGTCGAGACGCTGCAGTCGCAGTACTCGATTGCCAGCGACAACTGGCAGGGCATTGAGACGACGCTGCTGGCGCGCGTGTCCAACCTCGAAAAGGAGCGCGACGAGGCGCTGCAGCGGGAGTCGGAGATGCGCAAGAAGGCGCGCGAAGCGGCTCTCCGGGCCAAGCGCAACGAAGAAGACCTCGAAGAGGCACGGTTCAAGCTGCCCAAGGCGCACGAAGACGCCGGGGCGTACGAGGCGCAGATCGAGGCCCTGACGAAGCGGGCCGAGGAGGCCGAGGCCGCGCGCGACCAGCTCAAGACGGAGCTCGACGAGGCCCTGCAGCAAAAGGCGGCGGCGTGGAAGGAGGACAAGCACCACCACGGCGAGCGTGACAGGCGCGGCGACGCCAACGACCGCGGCAACTGGCTCGAGAGCCTGCCCAACATCCAGGGCCTGCCCCCCATGTCGCCGGTGCCACCACAGCTGCGCGGCAGCAGCAGCCGGCCCGAGACGCCGCTGCTGCCCAACCCGTCGCGCACCTGGAGCTCTGAGCTGCTGGGCTTCCAGGGCCTGCCGAACAAGCTGCGCAAAGCGTCGGCGCCCTCAAGCCAAGACGACCCGACTGAGCGCTTCTCGCTGCGCAGGCCCTCGGGCCAGCCACCCGGCAACCGGCCGCTCTCGAGTTTGCTCGGCAGCGGCAGCAACGGCGGCGGCGGCCTGCCGCTCGTGTTCAGCCCAACGACCGAGACGGGTCCAGGAGGCGCCGGGTCGCTGACGTCCTCGGTATACCAGCAACCGCGCCACGCGTCCGTCGTCCACTCCAGCTCTGGCGGCGGAGGTGCCGGCGGTGGTGGTGGCGGTGGTGGCGGCACCAGCACCACGGCTGGCAACAGTACGACGCACACGACGGTCGACCAGGACGACCCCCTCGAGGGCATGGAGCGCTCGGCGTCGCCGCAGCAGGCGTTGATGCAGGACATGGTGTCTGTGTCGACCGTGGCCGCGGGGCCGTCGGTGCAGCTCGTCGAGCGGATGAGCGCCGCGATCCGGCGGCTCGAGAGCGAAAAGGTGGCGGCGCGCGAAGAGCTGGCGCGCATCTCCAAGCAGCGCAACGAGGCGCGCGCCGAGGTGCTGCAGCTGATCAAGGACACGGAGAGCGGGCGGGCCGCGGTGGCGCGCGTGACGGAGCTCGAAGCGCAGGTGGGCGACCTGCAGGTGCGGTACGACACGACGCTGGAGCTGCTGGGCGAGAAGAGCGAGCTGGTGGAGGAGCTGCGGGCCGACGTGCAGGACGTCAAGGCCATGTACCGCGACCTCGTCGAGCGGACCGTCCAGTAGGCTGCCGTCTGTGGGCTGTGCTTGCGTGGTGCCTCTCTTTCTTTGTCTCCGTTCCTCGTCCTGTCCTCTTCCTTTCTCCTTCTCCTTTCTCCTTCTCCTTTCTCCTTTCTCGTCTTCTTCTCTTCTTTTACAACACCATGCAATTAAGAGCATAGATGCATGGCCTTTGGCCATTTCTTCAGCATTCGTCATTTCGTCATTTCTTCACCCCTATATTAGTTGTCCTGTTATTTCACCATCTTCTTCTTCCCTGTCACCATCTTCGTCCTTTTTTCCGCATCTTGTATGCACATTCTTTGTATATATGTACAACATTAGCGTTCGTGCGAGCTGGGCACGCCGGCCTCATGAAGCGGCCCTGCCCCTTGTTTTTTCTTTGCCTTTTTTCTGGGTAGAATCGATCACATTATCCTTCTATTCTGTTTCGTTCAAGCTGGCCTCCATTGCAAAGTAGGGTATCTATCGTGCTATGTGCATCATACGTCATTCCAACGGCATATGCTGTTTCGTCATCTAGATCATGATGGCTTCTCGTTTTCGTCGCCTTCGCCGCCGCCTCCGTTTCTGCGACCTGCGAACAAGTCCATGCCCAGCCCGTCCAGGAAGCTGTCTGCCTGTTTCTTGGCCTTCCGCTCCGCCAAGGCCGCCCGCCGTGCCGCCATCTCTTGTTTTCGCGCTTCCAGCTGTGCGCTTCGCTCCGCCCGCGCCGCCTCCGTCTTGGCCCGCTCGTCGGCGAGCGCCTGCATCTGCTCGGCTCGCTTCTTCTCGTCGTCCGTTGCAAAGGCATAGAAGGCAGCACCCCGGGTGCGCACATCGTCCTGCGGGCGGTAGTGTGTCTCAGCGGGAGCGTCCTCCTCGTCGGCTCGCAGCGGACGCGGCGGCAGTTGGTCGGCCGCCGCCTCGATGGCCTCGGTCTGGATGACGTCGCCAAAGATGAGCCGCGATGTGTCGGGGGGCGGCGCGGGTCGCGCACGCATGTCTGCCAGGTCTTGTGCAGCTCGCCGGGCGCGTTCTTGGCGGCGCAGGTCGCGTTCGCGGCGGGCTTTGGAGACGGTGCGCGTGCGGCCAAACTCGTCGACGTACTCGACCATTGTGGTGTCACCGCTGTCTTTGTTGCCGTTGGCATCATCCTCGTCCTCGCTGCTATCGCCATTATCGCTGCTATCGCTGCCATCGCTGTGACTGTCTCTGCGCCGCTTCTCGGCCCATTTCCGGTCAAAGTCAACGAGCGACGCCACCTCGCCCTCGCGCGGCAGGTAGTCGCCGCGCTGCATCTGGGCATACCGCTTGGCCTTGGCGGCCATGTTGCGGCGGATGCGCTCGCGCTCAGCGTCGTCGAGTTCGGCGTCGACAGCGCCTGGAGGCGGTCGCTTGTTCCAGGGCGCAGTCTTGCTCTTGCTCTTGCTCTTGTCCTTCGTCTTGTGGTCGTCATCCACTCCCGAGTCGGTCCTGCTCCTCTTGGACGGCGACGGGAATAGTGGTAGGTTCCTTCTCTTCTCCCCGCTGGCTGTCCCCGACCTGCTGGTGGCGCTGTTGCTGCCCTTCGCCTTTGGTTTTGCTGTGATGAGCGATTGCAGTTGGGACGCAAAGTCGAGCGTGTTGGACAGGCCCAGCTCTGTCTTTTTCTTCTTGGCCGTCCGTTGGCCGTATAGGTCAGGATCTTGCGGCATGGTGGGCGTACTTAAGCCGGCCCGAGGATGTGGAGGCGGTTGTGAGGATATTGTTGATTTGGTTGAAGTTGAGTAGAGGCTCGAGATACTGGCTTTGACTTTAGTGTGCTTAGGCCACTAACGATTAGTGGGTTAAGCCACTTTTCAGTGTACTGCATCCCCCCACACCAACACCTCGCCTTATCGATAAGCATCGACCAAATAAAAGTGTAGACAATTCTGATCTGGACCAACGCTTCATGGTCTCGATCACTCAGAGCAACCACAGGATTTGGTTCTGTCTGCTTCGTCCTCCAAAAATCCCACAACATGGCGAAACGATTAAAACGCGAGAGCTACCTGCTCGCACAGAAGCAGCCGCGCGAGGACGGCTCGGCGCCAGAGCTGCCACAGAAGAAGTTTTATCGACAGCGCGCACATGCGAATCCCTTTTCGGACCACAACCTGGTGTAGTACGTGCCGCCTTCCATACTTGTGTTCCCAGCTTCCCACTGACAGGTCTAGCCCCGCGAGCCCCGAGGCGATGGACTGGCCGTCGCTCTATCCCGACTTCTTCCCCTCTGGCAACGAAGACGCCGCTTCGACCACAGCGACAACGACGACGACGACGACCCCCCGCGTCGAGGTCGCCGACATTGGCTGTGGCTTTGGCGGCCTGCTCATCGGCCTCGCACCCGCCATGCCCTCGACGCTTGTCCTGGGGCTCGAGATCCGCGACCACGTCACCGAGTTTGTCCAGAACCGCATCCACGCCCTGCGCGCACAGAACCGCGAGGCCTCTGGCGCATCGGACGCCGACGGCCAGCGCAAGCCCACGTACGCCAACATTGCCTGCGTGCGCGCCAACACGATGAAGTTCCTGCCCAACTTCTTCGCCAAGGGCCAGCTGCGCAAGATCTTCCTGTGCTTCCCCGACCCGCACTTCAAGGCCCGCAAGCACAAGGCGCGCATCGTGTCGCCGACGCTGGCGACCGAATATGCGTACGTGCTGCGGCCGGGCGAGGGGCGCGTGTACACCATCACCGACGTCGAGGACCTGCACAAGTGGATGGTCGGCCATTTTGCGGCGCATCCGTCGTTTGAGCGGGTGCCACCAGAAGAGGAGGCCGCTGGTGAGGACGAAGACGATACGGCAGAGGGGGGCGCGGGACGGGCGACGGGCGACCCGTGTGTGCGCATTATGCGGACGGCCACCGAGGAAGGGAAAAAGGTGTCGCGCAACGGTGGCCAAAAGTTTGTGGCCATTTTCCGGCGAATCTCCGATCCGCCATGGCCCGGCGAAAGCGGCGACGAGACAGAGAGTTCGTAGTCGGTGGGGCAGAGGCAGACACAGGCTTTCTCAACATTTATTCTTATGTACAACTGGGCGGCTTTATTTGTATATGTTCAAATGGAGTTTTGCTCTTGCGTTTCTCCGTTCGCTGCCTTTCAAATATCATCAAGCCATATATCCTCATATCAAATGCTCATATCATATGCTCACATCACATCGTTGTCTTGTCCATGTTCTCGTCTTCCGGTTCATAGCAAGGAGAATGTATTGCTGGCACCGTCAAAGCCAGAAATCGACCCAATCAGCGGCTTCGAGTCGCCATAGTACCGCAGCCGGTACGTCCCCGCGTCTGCCGTCGTCTCCGACTCCCAGCTAATCACGACATCACTGTAGCCCAACAACTCGTTCGTGCGTGTCCATGTGTACACCAGCGACCAGTCCTCGTCGTTGCGCACCTGCTCCCAGGTGCCCGCGCTGTTGAGCTGGTCGACGGCCGCAAACGTGCCCTCCAGGCGCAGGTTGTTGCGTGGGTTGGCGCCGACAAACGTTGCATTGATCACCTGGCCCTTGCTGTACGATTCGGCCGGCTGCGCAGTGACCTGGCCAAACGACTTGCCAATCGGCGCGGCATCAAAGACGACGGGTGCGATGAAGCTCAGCGATGTCTTGCGGTTATCGGGCGGCGAGGGGCCGGCGGCCGGCGCACCCGTGGCATCGGGCGCCAAGTACTTCAGGTTGCTCACGGTCAGGTTGATGTAGGCGGGCAGCTCCCACTGGCCGTACAGCGTGCTGGCGCCCTCGTAGCGCTGGATGCTGTATTCTTCGGGCGTCGCGCAGTAGTGGGCGTACACGTTGGCAGGACCACCGAGCACGACGACGGGGTCGGCGCCGCCCTTGAGGAACGTCGCGGCCGCCTCGTCGCGCACGGCGTTGCGCCAGCGGCGGCCGGCCATGGTGGTGGCCTCGGACGGCGAGATGATGATGAGCAGCTGGCCAACGCGCAGGGCCTGCACGTCGACAATGTTGGGCGACCAGGCGTATGGCTCGTTCATCTCGCCCACGTCCAACAGAATCGGCTTGGGGTGCTGGCACGCCGTTTGCTGCGGTGTCGGAGTGCGCAGCAGATCGGACACAACCACCCACAACGGGTTCGCATTGGGTTTCCCGGAATCGGCCTGGGTGAAATCAAAGGCGCCGGGACCATCGGTCGTGCCGGCAGCAAACGAGTACCCGAGAGCAGCCGGACAGGTTTGCACCGAGGTTCCGTTGGGCAGCTGGAACTGGAAGAAGGACATGTCGTTGTAGAAGTGGTACGACTTGACAGTTGAGCCAACAACCGGCGTCGAGGACGTAGTGAGAGAATTCTGTAACGTCAGGCAATGTACAAACAAAAACAAAACAACGCGAAGGAGAACAACGAGAACCAGGCACCTACATAAATATTGAGAGCGCCGGCGTATTGACGACGGCCCATCTCGTAGCAGCTGGACACACCAAGATCGAGCTTCTGAAATTCAGGTCCGCGACCGTGGCACGACTCGGACTTGCCGTCAGCGCAGGTGCTGTTCTCGAAGCTGCACATCTGGCCCGAGCCGTCATCACAATAGGCGCCGAGCACATTGGGCGTCGTGTCGCCAACGTTGGCCTGCGAGAAGCCTGCCACAAACCCAGGTGCGGCGTTAGGATCCGAAGCCATGTCTTTTTCAAAAAGATACGCAGCCACGCCCTTGTTGTCGCCCGTAACATGCGTGTTGTTCTCGAGCATCGACGTGCCGTGGACCGGGAACCACGACAGCACGCCAATGTTTTTAAGGTCGGATGCGCGCTGCAGGCGCACGAGCGTCATGGTCGTGTCGGTGCTGCCGTCCGTGGCGCCGGCGTACTGGGCGCGCTCGGCAGCCGGGTTGGCCAGGTAGGCGTAGAGACTGCGCGACAGGTTGCCGTCGGTAATGTTGGTGGTGCCAATGTCGAGGTAGCCCTCGGTCAGCGATGCGTGTGCGCGCTGGATGGCCAGCACGGCGCCCGTCACAATGGCCTGGTAGCTCTGCGTGCTGAACCCGAGGCTGGTCACCTGCGGCAGCAGGTAGTTGAACCAGGCGCCGGGGCCGCTGTGCTGGTGTGTGCCCGTCACGGCAATGTTGGACGTCCCGTACATGGAGTAGCCCGAGCCCAGAGCAGCGACGCCCTCAAGGATGCCGAGACGCATGGCGGCGTCGCCCGACTGCGCGTCCAGGACCAGGTACACAAAGCGGTCGGACGGGTTGCTGACGTCGCCAATGATGAAGGCGCGGGCGTAAAGCCGTTGGCGCAACCCCGTGCCCGTCTGAGCCAGGCTCGCATAACCGGCAAAGTTGAGCTCGACCACAGGACCAGTGATGTCGGCCTTGCCCACGCCAATCAGGTACTTGTCGCCCGTCGGTGTGGACCGAGCCAGTGGTGGCAGCTCGTCATGGGGTGCCTTTGCAGCACCGTCGGCAGCCGGTGATGCGGTCGACGAGTGCGCACCAACGCCAAACGACGGCTTGCCAATCTGCCAGACGGCAAAGATGGCCAAAATAAAGAAGGACACGGCGGCCACGGTAACCATTAAGGAGCGCCTAGGCAGCGAGCGCCGGGACGGCTGCAGCAGTGCATCCTGACCGTCGTCTTCGACCTCCTTCTCCTCGTCGCGAAACTCGTTCTGGACAGGCCCGTAGGCGTGGCGGTTCGGAGCCATAAGAGTGTTGATGTTGACAGGATAACTGATGCAGTCAGGATCCGAAAAGGGGGCGATAGCCTGATGCCTTTATTTAGTAGGGGAAGCGGCGACCCTGCCGGAGGAAAGTGCGATACACGATGGAGGTCGACCAGATTAGGTTGTGCAGCGCCCTGGGAAAGAGCGAGTGACTGTCGAAGACGGAAACAACGGACGCTATTTATTCAGGAAGGAGCAAAAGGAACGGCAAGAGGGAGAGGGTGCCCCGTGGGCGTTGCCACGCGCCGCATCATGACCTCTTTATAACTATGGCGATGATCTTGTGAGCGCTACGTCGCAATTGAGAGACACCTGCCCCATTGTCTCTCCTCAACGACGGCGCGCGCGTGCACCGGAGATTAATGCAACCGTATCCGACCGCATCGACAAAGATGCAAACTCTGCCAAACGAGTGGCCGGTCGGCGAATGATCTATCCTCGGCCAGGGGCAGAGAGGCCAACAAGGTTTAGTTGAGCGGGGGTGGGCTTGGACGATCTCTTGACCACCTGTACGACATACGACATATTCCCTCGACTACGTACAGCATACTCCGTCGACCGAATAAAAGTTGGCAGCGGAAGGTCGTCCTGTCGCAAAACAGGGGTACAGAGACGGAGGGGAGGAGGGCAAGGAATGGTGGCCAAGCAAGGCAAGTCGGTTGATTCAGCCAGCCTCCAATTTGCAAGTGATCAGCGTGTTGTCGATGCGGATTGGCTGTCGCGAGTAGCGGCGACAACGGCTGGCAATCTCCCCTCTTTTTTTCCTTCCTTTCAGCGATCTACCCTCTGCAAAGCTCCAAAGAATTCTCGTCCCGTCACATGGCAAAGAGGGCCCCTTTTGTGGTTTTGTGTGAAGCAAGGAAAGAGAGACTCTCTCTCTGAACGGCGTTTTGGTTGGGCCGCGGCAGATTGGCAGGGTATATGTGACACGGACTAATACAGAATCGACACGACCAAACAGGAGGCCGGTCGACTGAGAGGCGATGAAGCTATTGATATGAGTGGCCGACCTTGTTTTCTCAAGACAACGTGCATGTACGACTCTACGATGTGTGATTCGGCCCAGGCTCCAGGGTTCCATCGTTTTATTACGCCTGGGATCCAATATTTTAATACCGGCGACGAGACGGAAGAGGACGTCGTTCCTGGCAGGCTGTTGAGAAAGAGCCGTCCTGCAAAATACGATTGGTGCTACTGATGACGTCGGAACCTGAGCCTTTATGAAGGATAACAAAGACTCGGGTTTACTTTATTAGTAGGAAGAAGGCTGGAAAAAGTAAAAATATCCTTATAAACTTGTTGGATAAGAAGGCTTGTCTTTTGTTAAAAGAAAAAAAGGAAAATACAATTAATGGAACCCTTGACTGTATCGACTCTCTAACGGCATTCGGATATCTTGCCAAAATCTCTCGCAGGGCTCGCATCCAAGATGCGGCGGTGATCGTCGAGAAAAGCGCCCCATCTCTTGGGGAGAAACGGCCGTCTGCTTCCAAACAACGTCATTCCCAGACTACTCCAAGACGGGCAGGTCCGCCGTGGTCGTATTCCTTTTTGGCTGCATCTGCATCTGCATCTGTCCGCTCAGACTGCCATCGGGCCCAACAGTTAAGCCGTCTTTCCTCGATGTTGTTTGCTTCCGATTTCATGTGTTTTTTATCTTTCTGTACTTTTTGTTCCTGCCATGTTTGCAGCTGTCCTCCGTCCTACTTCTTTTACAAGGCGATGTCGTATTAGAAGTGCAGAGTGGATCAGTTTCCCCGCAAATTCATATCCTTTGCGTGGACGGATTGTGGCCTGTGCAATGTCCCATGCACTCATCATGTCGGACGATATGCTCATGGGTGTTATGTGCTGTGTATGCACGGAGTCACAGGATTAATTCAAGAGAAGCAAACCATACTGACACTTTCAAATGATGGATAAAATATAAATGACTAAAATACGTACAGGTGATAGGTAAGAAAGGGCTATGCAAAAATAATATGCTCATAAATTAACAAAATAATAATAAATCCCAGTATGTTTGTCTCGTTGCAAGACATGACACGATCCAATTTTAATATCCAGTGCACGTTTGCTCTTTTCCACTTGTTGTCGTCATTCTTCTCATCATAGGATACTTAGACAGTACCGCGCTCGACAAACTTGACCGGGATATCGACCGTCTTCGCACGCAGATACTCGAGGCAGTTCTTGCCCAGCGTGTCGTACGTCGAGCACGCGTCGTAGCCACGGTCCAGGTGGTCGTGCAGAAGGAAGTGCACAGCGCGGATGTTGGGCAGCTCGAAACGGTCAATCGGCTTGCCGTGATCCTCCTCGGGACCCAGCAGCTCGCGCACCTTGGCCACCGTCATGAGGCTGCGCAGCCAATCCCACTCGTCGTCGTGGCGCACAAAGAAGCCGACGTTGCAGTCGCTGCACTTGTCGCCCGAGCGGCCCAGCACGATACGGCCCAATGGCATGCGCACTGTAGGGCCGAAGCTGTCGAGCGCCACGGGGTTCTTCGTCTCGTACGTCGGCTGCTGGCGGTCGTACGTGCGGAACTCGGGCGGCGGCGGCAGATCAATGACCGGCGTTGGGTGGTCGAACAGCAGGTGAAGCCGCTGCTTCATCGCCGACTGTGGCATCAGGGACGGGTGGTACTCGTAGTACGGCTTGCCCTCGGCCTGGCGCATGTCGTTGCCCAGAGACGCACCGGGGCAGCTCTGCAGAAAGCAGGTCATGCTGCGGCGGAAGAAGCCGTTGGGGTTGCGCATGCTCAGCAGCTCGTGGTCCTTACTCTGCGCAAAGATGCGGAAATCGACCGTGGCCACGTCTTGGTTGCGTGCATCAACCACCGACGACCCGTTCTGCATAAACTTCAGCACGTCAAACTTCTTGAGCATCTCCTCGCCCAGCTCCGCCTTGATCTGCTCCTCTGTGAATCTGCACTTCTCCTCGATGTCGAGACCGCACAGGTACACGTGGTACTCGGCCTGCCAGCCGGCAAAGCCCGTAATGCCAACCTTGGTGGTGGGCGGCGGCGGCAAGCCCTTCACGCCCGACACCTTGACCTGGTCTTCACCAATCTGTTCAAACTTGATGTCCTCGAGCCACGCGGTAACGTCGCAGTTGTAGTACTGCGGGCCCTGGATCTCGTACAGAAGCTGCGATGTGCACGAGTTGACCGTCATGACACCGCCCCGGTTCTTCTCCTTGTACATGATACCCTCGCCCTTGTGGTCGATGGCGCAGATCGGAAAGCCCATGTCAATGTGCTTACCGGCCTTCATGATCGACTTGAAGTCCGAGCAGTAGGCGCCGACCACGTACGAGCCGCACTCTAGGAGATGGCCAATAATCAGCGAGCCCGCAAGCTCGTCGAACTGGTTGGCCTTCCAGCCGTGCCACCAGGCGGCAGCACCGATAATGGGCGAGGCGTCCGAGACACGACCGCAGATGACAATGTCGGCACCCTCGGTCAGGGCGCGGGCGATGCCCAGGCCACCCTGGTAGCACTGTGCGCAGACGGGGTCCAGGCCCCACTCCTCGAGGGACTTGTTGTGCATCAGACTGCGGAACTGCTCGCCCTTCTCAATCAGGTTCTTGACTGAGCCGGTGACGTCGTCACCCTCGATCCAGGCCACTTTGAGGTTGCAACCCTTCTCAGCGACCTTGGCCTGGACAATCTTGGCCAGGATTTCCGTGTCCGAGGCACCGGCATTGACAGCCAGGCGGACCTTGTTCTTGGCCAGGTACTCAATGGCGGGCTCGAAGCAGTCCAAAAAGTTCTCTGCAAACATGGCGTTGCGGACCTCCTCTTCCCAGGTCAGCTCCTTGCCGGCGTTGGCGTTCTGGTTGCGCACCCTGGCCGTGCCGTGCATGGTCATGGTCATTTCCGAGAGCCAGTCACCGACAATGACGTCGACATCCTCGAAGCGAGCCAGCGACTCGATGGCACGGACACGATCAGAGAAACCGCCCGACGCACCGGCCACGCGGACAGGGCGCTTGGGCTCAACAGATCCCATTGTGATAGGAGCGCGTATGCGGTCGAGTTTGGTGGTTTGGTGAGAGGAACGGAAAGGAGGCTTCGTGTCGTGAGGTTAGGGTATATAATATTGTCCTGAAGGGAAGAGCATCAACATAAACAAACAATACCGTACAGAGCAGGATGGCACCTCATGTTTATACGTGTCCTCCCATCATGACTTCATGAACTTTAGTACCCGCCGTCTCCGCGTCTTCTTTACCCCCTTTTCCTCCCTCCTCCTTCACGAAAGGTCGTTTCTGAAGCACTTACTTCACATACCCGCTGCGCCCGCCTCCACCCCGCTAGAGACCTCCAATTCCCCTTCAGAAAGCCCATTGTCTTGGCCCGAAATGGTCATTGTGTTCGGTCTGGGGGGCTCCGATACGCCGGATTGCCGCTAGGGCCTGCCTTTCGGTCAAACATATCCGGGGTTGACGTGAGTTTTGGGGTCGAGCCAATGGCCACGCGAGTCAGCAGCGCTTTCAGTTGGTGCGTGCTAGCAAACAGCTTTGGCGGGGCGTCACATATCGACAAGTACCGAAGATGGAGTAGCCTCACTTGTTTTTGACAGTTTTATTTTCGCATTGTGTAGCGGGAGATCTGTACCGCGGAATCCCTGACCAATGCAGGCAGTTTGGCACTTGCCTTCTCATAACTGACAACCTCGAAGTCAGAGTCATGGGATGCTTCAGGGACTTAGAGCGGGACTTGGAGCGGCTGTAGTGGCAGGTCGGAATCTCGGCCTTGGCCCGGATTGGCCAGTACCCAGAGACACAAGGACGGAAAGAGCGCTTGATGGATGCGATGCATGCTTCGTAGACGAAGAAAGTGTAGAACGAAGAGGTCTTGCGGGCGAGATGCTGTGTGGTCCCTGAAGTCTCTTCTCAGTGTTGGTGTTTTCCGTTTGCGAAAGCATTTCGGGCCCTGGTGTGATAGTTGGAGGTGCTTGAATGGCGTGGTGCCGGATAATGAACTTCCTGGCGCCATATAAGACGGAAATATCTGCTCCACCATCTTTCCGGAAAGGACAGCTAGTATCCAAAGCCTTGTGGTCGACGCCGGAGGAGAGTCTCGTGGTCACAACCCAGTAGTGTCGAGTAGGTGCGGATGTTGTATATGCTGGGCTTGCCTTTCAACGTGCCAACACAACCATGTTTGCCAGCCGAACAGTCGTTGCTCTCATGGTCGGTGTCCAATCTCTTGAAGACCAGCAACGCATAATATATTAGCTTTCCTGCGAACCTGCGGTATCGTCAGTATGTGTGCAAGTAGGACAGCTGTGCAGTCATTTAGGTCATGTTCACCTACCTTTCGGCCTCCGCTATAGGTCAAGGTTGCGGCAGTAGTTCCCAGCCGCCTCATTGATCAAGAATGAGTTTGTGACGAAAGATGCGAAAACCCGAGAAAATCTACGGACCAAAATATTCAGGGGCATACACGTCTACTACTCGATTTCTCTTGCGGAAAGAGCTTTCAGTAGACTGGCACCTAATTCTCTAAGCGGAAGGAGCTATCTTTCAACATCGTATTATCGCAAGCACACCCTGAAAACACATCCAACGTAAGTCGAGGCAAGTGCAACCAACATGGCTTCGGTCATTCCCACGTGCTTCATTCGCACATCATCTTATATGACTACGCAATAGCTTACTTGCTTCAGACCAGCTTTAACCTCACCCTTCATCTGCGTGGAGTTCTTGGCACAAGATGTAGCCAGACTATGTTGTCGCTGTGCGCACTCGTCTGCGTTTTAGCCGTGGAACGCCAAGACCAGCTGTACGCTCCCCTGATCACCACGGCTTCACGTCAAATAGATATAAGGTTTCTGTCACCTGTCAGTCTGCGGTAGGCATTTTGGACCTCAAGATAATAGTGCCCCACCGTGGCGATCAAAGTGACGCGGCTCGCATTGGCCTGCCATGTAATTGTCTCTGTCGGTAATGTCCGCAATGTCTTCACGATGCTGCACGAAACGGCCAGGGGCTGATAAGGACGACCAAATACGCACGAGAACCCGACAACGCAATAGTCGCTTGTATGTCGTTTGCCTCCTGGTTTATGCTGCGCAATGGCGCAACGATGGATTTCGTCTGAGGTTTGGAGCAGTGTTTCTGCGGCTCTGCCGCCCATATAAACGCAGTTGCGGTCCAGTTTTTCATCACAATGGTTTTCTTTCTTTCTCCTGTATTCCTTGTTTTTGCTCATTTTCTTCAGTCTCTACCTCTTGTATTATTATACTTTTTTTTAATTTCATCTGCTCGACAGGTTCGACAGTCATTCCATTCCTTCAAGTACTTCATTTCTTTCACTCTTTACAATGCTCGCCAAGACCATTATTGTTGCTGCCATTGCAGCCATTGTCGAGGCCCGTTTCGGGCAAGAAGGGGCCATCCAGGCCACCATTCAGGGCCTCAGCACTTTTGGTCAGCCCGGTCAAGCCGCCACGCTGGCCGGCCAGACCCCGGGTGTCCTCCTCGCCGGCGCCAACGCGTGTGCAAAGGTATATTCCCGGTCCTATTAACAGACTGTTGTAATGTTCACTCTGACAATGGCAGCTCGACCTCGCCGACCAGATTGTGACGGCGCTCGGCACCGACGCCGCTGTTGTCGCGGCGGCGGCCCAGCTCGTCGGCGCCGAGAAGAACTTCAACCCGTCGGCCCAGTCGATCCCGACACTGTGCTCGGACGCCACGCTGCCGGCGACGGAGGCTTTGCGCGGCATTGTGCCGCTCGTGGATCCGGCGGTGACGGGCTCGGAGGTGGAGAACGCCAACGCGGCGAAGTCGCTCCAGACGCCGTTCAACGCCAACGGCCTGAGCGTGGCCGACGTGGCCAAGGCACAGGGCTTCTCCAACTTCACCGCCCAGGCCAACGCCTAAGCGTGCCGCCGGTATGGTGAGAAGACGTGCCAAACGGATGAAGCTGCTTTTGCTGTATACCTAATTTGTGCGGAAGCTTTCTCTTTGGGCGTTTCGCACTGTGGACATCTACGTAGGAAACGCCATAGCAGACCATAGTCCTGCCAATAAATGCAACTTCTGGAGACAGAATATGACTATTGTTTCTTTTATGAAATGAGACACGATGAATTTGTATTTGCTCATTGTCGGCTGTTGCCGCCGTGCTTCAATATATCTTTCGCGGTATTCAGACCCATTTCCAGACTTCGAGCACAGTGCTCCACCGCCCAAATAGGAAATTTGTTGATGGCAGCACCGTGTAATGTGGCAAACAGTTCTGACGTCACAATAATCCACACTGTGTGAGGTGTGCCTTCCCAAGTTGCGCAAATCAGGCCACAGGGTGCCTGCTGTCTGCGTCGTACAAACAGCAAGGCACGTCGTACTTTGTTCTTTCCCCCACGTGTGGGAAGCCTTGATGGCTGAACTGTTTCTCAATCTTTTGACAAATTTTTGCCATTTCGACACACCTCTTCACTCTCCCATCGGTCCCGTTATTTCGCCCTCTCGATGAATAACTTGTCAAACCTCGACAATACGACATCGTCGTCAATTTATCGCTTCGCTGCTTCCCCATCGACAGGTAAAGCAGCATCGAGATAATCTTCCACCAGAATATCGATATCGTCAATCAACCCTTGGCATTGACGACTCGCCGCATCGCCCTTATCCCGACATGGTCGCCGATACGGAGCTCTACGAGCGCCTCGGCGTCACGTACGATGCGTCCGCCGACCAGATCCGGCGCTCGTACCGCCGCGCAGCGATGCTGTGGCACCCAGACCGCAACCCCGACGACCCCGAAGCCGCCGAGAAATTCAAGGCCTGCCTTGAGGCGTACGAGATTCTATCGAACCCCAACCAGCGCACGCTCTACGATACCTACGGCCTGAGTGGCGTGCTGCGGACGGCCGCCGACCCGGAAATGTCGCCCGAGGCGCAATACGCACAGCCGCCGCCGCAGCCGGCATCGTCGTCGGGCCGCCAATACCGGCAGCGATCGCGACCACAACAACGACCACCACAGCCCTCGCCGTTTGACGACTTTTTCTCTTCGCGACGGCACTCGTCGTTCCACGACATGTTCAACGACGACTTTTTTAACGATCCCTTTTTCTCGTCCACACGGCCGCCACCGATGCACTCTGACTTCCCCCCTTCGCAAAGGTCCTCCAGACAGGCGCAGTCGCAGTCGCAGTCGCAGTCACAGTCGCAACAGACACCCCGATTCAGCTTCTCGAGTAGCTTCACGTTTAGCACCAGCAGCAGCAACGGCGGCGGCGGCGGCGGCGGCTCGTACACGACGCACACGCAGTCCTGGAACAGCCGCGACGGGCACCAGAGCCGGCATACGTCCGGCACGATTCGACCGGACGGCGTCCATGTCCGGCACGATGATGGCATCGACAGCAACCGACGGGTGGACAGCAGACGCAGCTCGCATCGGCCCACCTCTGGCGACGTCTACACGGACAATGACAATGTGGTCCCGCAGGCGCGGCAGTCTCAAAGTATGCAGCAAGGCATGGAGAGTCCTTTTAACATGGGCGGTGGGTTCTTCAACCTGTTTGCCAACATGAGCAACATGATGTCATCCTCCTTTGGCAACAACATGTTTGGCGATCGTGATCCCCCTGCGAGACAGCAGCAGGGCAGGCAGCGGTGGCAGTAGTACAATTTGTTGAAGGGAACTACTTTTGGACGGGCGATGCACGGTGAGTTGTGGGACACGGTGGATTTGTTTTCTTTTTCATATTTGGAGTCCCGTTTCTATTTCTTCATTGTAATGTGACAACGACTGGTGTTTTGCATTTTTAAAAGTCAATCTAGCTACCTTTTCCTCCATGTCCCCTATTTTATACCTTTTTTTTGGGGAGTGCTTCGTATGGAATCGGACCAGCGCAAATCAATTTACATTTGCTTTTTGAGACAAACCGAACTTGATGACTTGGCCACCGGAGAAAATAAATGGTTAAATGGATACGGCGATGGACACCCGCCAGGTGGAGCCTCTTTGGTGCATGAACTCCTCTGCCTCGTCGCGTACTCTTTTTCTCTCATGACTCGTCACAGCCCGCCCTAAACCTGTCCTACCCATGTCAGCAAGCCGTGTGCCAGGTCCTTTTACGTCAACAGAATTCCGTTTTTGGCGGTCGTCGTTCCGTGTTGCTGAGCCGTCTTTGCCGCTTTCAACGTCTCTCGTCAACTTCAGCAAGTGCTCTAAGCGTTGTAGTACTGCTGCTTTCAAACATTAATCTACAGTGGCAATCTTTGTTTTTTTATACTTGATTCTTTCTGTATGAAACAACGTCTCATTTTCGTCAGCGGCTTTCTAGCTGCTCTACTGACCTCGAAAGAAACGGATGAAAATCACCATGATGCCAAGTTGGACATCCAAAGATCCAAGAACCTTGGCAGGTCTTGGGGACCTGTTTTCACGACGGCAACATGAAATGTTGACACATAAAAAGGCGCCTGCACCAGTGAAAGAACCGCTAGACATCAAAATAACAAAATGTCATAGGCAACTCCTAGCCCCCAAACCGTATCTTCCTCACAAGACCCACAGTCATATGGCATCACGGCACATCCGCATAGTTGACAGCAATAATATGGAGACCCACCATGGTGAAGACGACGTAGACGGTCGAGGCAGTCTGTAACGAAGTATTATGTGGCATTTTCGGCGGCCAGTTGCAAGATGGACGTGGACTGAGACGGTAGCCGGTGTTCTTTTCTCGCTCACAGCAAATGCATCGCATTCTCAAATCAACAAATACGCACACCTCCTCCTGAAACAGAGACAGAAACAATAAACAATGTTGACATGGCTTCTTCTGCTCTCTGCCCTCTCTCGGGAAGGAACTGCAGCCGACCCAGCATCATCTTCGACCAGTATTCTGATCCCTATGACGGCCAACAGTCCCACAGCGCCGTCTGCAGCACCCTCGATCCCTCCTTTTCCCACGGTCCCAAATGTCCAGAGACCGACACTGAGGGATGTCTATGATGACGGCAACCTGACGAGTCCACGGCTTTGTCGTAATGTCGGCGGAAAGTACAACAATGCTCTCCTGCGCGCAATGAGTACGCAGTGCCAAATACCTATTGGAAACGACGTCATGCAGCTGCCACCATCTTCGTGGTCTCCCTGGAGTCATCCACCGGCATGCTCCGAAGTCAACACAACGGCATCAACGCCAGCTAGCGATCCCTTGCAGTTTTGCGTCTATACACACGCCAGCTACGGAGGCGGCATCAGTATTGTGGCAACTCCCGAGACGGCGGCCGGCCTTGCGGCTGTTCTTGACCAAGCCTCCGTCGCCAAAGCGGCACCGCCGATCAATGGCCCCCATCTCAAGATACAACATATTCCGGGGAAGGGCCTAGGAGTGGTGGCTGGACAAGCCATCCCACGAGGCACAGTCTTCCTTCGCGACCACGCTCGTGTTCTCGCTGATGTGCGATTTCCGCTGCATGTCCGCCGCGCCCAGGGCCAGACGCTGCTGCACAAAGCCGCCGGTCGTCTCCCCGATCCAGACGACGTGCGGAGCCTCAGTCGCAGTGTCAAGGCTAAACCGGGTGAGGCACGAGGCGTGCTCGAAGAAAACGTTCTGAGCACCAACTCGTTTGCGGCCACGGTCGAGGGCTTCGCCTACATGGCCCTCTTTCCAGAGATTGCAGTACGTGGGGGAAAGCACCATCAGGTTTCTCAAGGATGACGTAAATACTAACGCCGTCTTCAGAGAATCAATCATGCGTGCAAGCCAACGTGAGTTGTCGACAACGTCCTTTTTGCTGAATTGTACACCCTACTCACCCCAATAGTGCCCTGACTCGCTTCAACAACAAGGACTTGACACAACAAGTCATTGCTTTCCGTGACATTGAGCCAGACGAGGAGATCACCATCAGCTGTAGGTCCACCGTCTTGCCCTTTCGTCTCCTTCTCACTTAACACAACCTCCACATGCTGACAACAGCTTCGAGACACCGACTTTGGCCTTACCCACGACGCCCGGCAAGAAACGCTAAAGCGCCGCTGGGGCTTTTCATGTACGTGCGACCTCTGCAGCGGTGGGCCCGACGCCACGGCCGCATCGGATGTCCGCCGCCGCCGCGTGACCGCTCTTCGAGCGGAGGTGGTCGCGCACCTCCAGCAAGGCGCCTTTGACACGGCCATTGCCGCCTACGAGGGCGAGCTGTTGAGCCTCGTCCGCACAGAACAGCTAGCCGAGCACATGGGCGAGCACTTCGAAGTGCTGGCACGGCTGCACCTGGCCGTGGGAAATCGAACGGCCGCCGCGACCTACGCACAACGGGCGCTGGACGAACTGGAGACGTTTCAGGGAGCAATTGATCCTGGTTCGGTAGCCCGGCCGTCGGGAAACTCGTTGGAAGAGATGAAGACATTTGTCAAGGCCCTCCGAAGACAGGACGAGCGGAAGAAGAAGCAGCAAAAGAAAAAGCCCAAAACGAACAAGAAGGCAAAGCGACAGCAAAACAAACAGAATCAAGGAAAGGGGGGCAACAAGGGTTCACCATCAAAGAGTCGGAAGCAAACAACCAAGGCGCGTGGCAATGGATAGAAGATAGACATCGTACGAGAGTGACACAAAGGATCAAAGCTGACGGTAATTTCGTTGAAAGCTGCAGAATGCAATTGTTCGGTCCACGTACTGGAGGTCCATCCTAGGCAATGACCTCCCCTACTTGCTCACTGGCGCCGCGGTCTTGGCCGGAAACCGCAGCGTGTGCTCATAGTGCCAGCCCTCGCGCTTGATGTCCGCCCGCACCTTGTAGTGGTTGTCCGCCACGCGCAAATAGTCCAGGTCCATGTCCAGGATCTTGGTCTCCGTCGCGCCAGGCCGAATCTCGCCCCGCAGGCCGAGGAGCGGCTGTGCCAGCTGCGACACGCCGCCCGTGTTGCAAAACGCCACGGCCACTGTGTTCTCGCTGGCCCGCGCCGCCAGGCACGTGCGTATGTAGTCCACCTCGCACTCGGGGTTGACGGCCAGCGACTCGGCGTCGACGTCCTCGTACGGGTCCCAGTACGAGGGGATCAGAACCAGGTCGACGCCGTCGGCAACAAGCGCCCGGAACGCCTCGGGGAACGCCAGGTCCCAGCAGACCAGCATGCCGGCCCGCACAAAGCGGTCGCCCCACCTGAGGGGCGTGTCAAACGCCTTGTGCGGCGGCCAGTCCGTGGTGCTGCCGGCCGACGAGGCGCTCTCCAGCGTCGGCGCAGTCAGGTGGCCGCGCTCCGTGTGCCACAGATTCGTCTTCTGGTAGCGGTTGAGCACCCTGCCCGTGCCGGCCTCGACAAAGAAGGCCATGTTGCGCAGCTCGAGCGTGCCACTGCTCGTGTCGTCGGGCGCCGTCGTGACGAGCGTCGTGCCACTCGCAGGGTCGGCCGTGGTCGCGTGCGCCTCGACAATGGTGCCGGGGACAATGTTGATGTTGAGCTCACGCGCGAGGTCCTGGTAGCGGCTGAGAATCGCGCCGGACGCGGCGCTGGCACTGACAAACTCCGGGTGGTTCGGCACCCACGAGGTCAAGTGGAACTCGGGCAGAAGGGCAATGTCCGCGCCCGCAGCAGCGGCCTTGCGGATCTCATCGGCAGCATACTTGAAGTTGGCCTCGATGTCGATAGGCTGGAAGGGCCGTGAGCATACTGGATGACAAATACGTCATAGGAGCGAGCTCACCTTTGGCTGGAATTGGATAATGGCAATCTTGTAGATGGGCGCCATGATGAAGACTCGGACTGGATCGTGTTGGGAATGAAAGATGGTCGACGTGGATGAAAGCTACAATGATAAAATGCAGACGCTTGCTGTGGCCGTTCTTTTTGACGTTGGAGATCAGCGCTCTTGCCACTAGTAGTGTTGAATGACGCTGGTGTAATACCCCACGAAGAGATAGTTTGGGAAGGTGCCGACCGTGCGTTCTTGACAAAACGAACCGGTCTTTTCTACCTCCCTTTTGTACACAACAAGATGCCCATAACGGAAAGAACACCTCGCCGACGTCGGATGAGAACACAACACGACATACGAAGGCAAGGCAAGAGCCAACGACACTGTCTTCCTTCCTCGCGGATGCACAGCGCACAAGCGGCGCAAGCCTTGGCATCGGATCTCAGCTTTCTGCCAATCATCTCGTCGTGCAGAATTCTTCAATGCAGTCGCGGCTTTGTTCACGACGGTCGTGGTACCCCTCCTTTGCTTGCTTTTCCAATCGAAGGCTTTTCAGTGCGAGTGCCCGGTCACTCCCAGACCGCGGCTGAACGTGATACGACTGCTGCATGTGGAAAACTGGATAACAAACGCATTCTATGTCCCAAACACCAAAGTGCAAAACAATCCAAAAGATTGACGATGCGAGGAACAAATACGGGCAGAACGGAGGACAGCGTCAGAAACGATTGTCGATGACATTGCCTGGGCAGGCAATCCAAGCCAGCTACGATCCGCTCCTCGTCCGGCTCAAACGTTTAGCGCTGCTCGTAGGCTGATATCAAGATCGCATCACTAATCACGGTTTGTCTTTAACTGTAGTCCTAACACTGTTTATCATTTCTATCGTAAATATCATGCAACTCCTGGACCATGCTGCGCTCGAATCGTCTCTCGTTTGAAATTGGAGACAAACGAGTCGCCCATGCATCGTCCGTCCTCTTCCCCTCTCACAGTCCATCTGTGAAAAAAGCAATTGTGTAAGTTTTGTACCGATCGCCCCATGAAATATGCAAAATGCGCAAAATGCCCCTCCCAAATAAACGCCACGGATCTTACACCGGAATGAAAAGGGGGACACAGAGACAGAGAGAGAGAGAGAGAGAATTCGGGCAGACGGCTCGAGAGCAAGAAGGAAAGCCCTTGACGGGAAGATCCTTCTTACAGGATCGTGCCGAAGCCAAAGGTCAGCTTGATGCTGCGCACATAGTACTCGCTCCAGTTGCGCTTCGTCACCTCCTCCTGGCCCACGGGCACGCCACTCCACTCGACGCGCATGACGGTCACGCTGTCGACGTCGTTCTGGTCAAAGTCGATGCGGAGCGTCGAGTAGTGGCCGGCCGGCCACTGCTTGAGGCGCCAGCTCTGCACGATGTGCGTGGGCTCCTTGAGCTCGACGTAGGCGCCGGCGACGTTGCCGTCAAACAGCTCAAACTTGCCGCCGACCTTGGCGCCCTCAAACAGGCGCGGCGGGGCGCGCGTGAAGGCGGCGATGCGCTGCGGGTCCGTAAACGTCTGGTAGAGCTGGTCGGCCGTGGTGCGGAACTCTTCCTGGTCCGTGACCGTGGTGGTGTTGATGGTCTGGCCGCCCGTCGTTTGGGAGACCGACGACGACGCATCCGCTGATGCCTTGGCGGCGCCGGCGCCGGTGGGCGGGTGGTACTTGGGGGTGGTGAAGCCGCTCGACGGGTTGGCGCCGGGGGCGTGCTGGATGTCCTTGCCGTGCTCGGCCACCAGAGCGCCGGCCAGCTTGATCAGCGTCGTGCGCAGCTGCGGCACCAGCTGGCTGCGGACCAGGTCTTTGACGGGCTGCTTGCCCTTGCTGTCCGAGTAGATGTCAATCTCAAAGACAAACTCGTCCTCTTCGGTGTCGTGGGCGACCTCGGGAATCGTGATGGAGCCGCTGACGTCGTCTTCGCCCGGCGCGGCGCCCGTGTATTCCAGCACGAGCTTCACGTCGTAAATCGTAATGACCTTGCCCTTGCGCTGGCTGACGTCGACGTCGCCCTCGGAGCTGATGACCTTGGAGATGCGCGCGTTGACGTCGCCCTGCTCGGCGCTCAGCTTGGTCAGGTTCTCCTCGAACCACTGCTTGGCCCACGGCGCAGCATCCTTGTTGACCCAATGCCAGTTGTTGGGGTTGTGGAGGACCATGGCGACGGTAGGAGAGGGTATCAAAAATGAGAGTGGTTGTCTGTGTTTTTGCAAACGGCGGTTAGCTCGGTGAAGCAACACAATGGCAAACATGCATGAGTTCGATCGAGGAGGGTCCAAAGTGCAGGGAAGCAAAAGTTCAGAGATGGCCTGGTGGACCACAGCAAAAGTTTGTCATCAAAGGAAGGGAGTACAAGTCGCCCTATGACTGGTGCCAGCTGATATTCTCATCATACAGAATTGCATTGGAAGGGATGGGCGGTCGAGGGCAGGAGAAGGACGGAAGACGGTGGGATGGGCGAGGCTGCTGGGAGCTCTGGCAAGCTCCGGGTGAAGAGGGTGTCTGCCAACTCACAACTTTGGGTTTGCTGTGGTTTCAAGCCTCAGCAAAGGAGATATCAAAAGAGCGGAAAAAGTCAAGGAATGGGAACGGCAAAGTCACGATGACAGGACAATGAAGGCGTCAAAACGACGAAGCAAGGACCGAGTGGTGGGTGGAGCAATGAAAACATGCCTGGGAGGAAGAGAGGAAGAGAAAGGGGGGAGGGAGAAGGAGAGAAAAGGAAGGGATTGTAGAGAACTGGTGAGAGGAGGAAACCAGACAGCGACGGAGAAGGACAGAAATGCATGGAACGTCCGCGAAAAGTTTCCATGGTCTGTTTTTACAGCGGGGGCCCGGACCCGCGCAGCCAGACTGCAAATATCTTAGCGGGAATTGGCACCAGATTGGGGCATTTTGTGTGCTGGCAGAATTTCGGTGGGCCGGACCCCACATTCAAGCTGTGTACACCGCCTTCTACTTTGGGCCTCACCCAGCAACTGCAGAGGAGCTATCAATGGACCAAAGATTTGGCGAGTTGATCTTGGCGAGCTTGACGACGGGAGAAACAGCTCCTTTACGCGTTCGTTCGAGGCATTGGAGGCGGACGGTCAGTCGATTCTAACTCAAACGCCGAATGGGCGCGTCCGACTTTACGCAGCTGGTGGAGATGGATGTCAATTGGTGCGCGTGACCGTTCTCACGTCAAGCGTCAGAGACATGGAGCTCCAGCAGCTTCGTTTGAGATGCAATTGACCACGTCCAGTGGCTGTAGAAGGACTTCTTGTCGAGGAGATGGAATTGATGTCCGGAGCGGTCGTCTTTGTGAGCCTCGGGCTTGCCTAGTGACACCTATTTTGACTCGAACACAGGTCAGAAGAACCTCGACGATTGGCCAAAGTGAAGATAAAGTCACAGAACCATCTTCAGCTTTCGGTCATACCTCCCCGAACTCGACTTCCATTGGACATTTGAGGATTCTATGTCGAGAAGCAGATGTTGGGAACATGCACTCTACTCTCGGGGCGGCATGTCGGGCGATGGCTGCCTGGATATTGCTCTCTGATGAAGCCAAAAATAAGACATGAGCTGCCAGGTGTAAATACAGATACCGCGGAGATTACGGCTGTCACCACGAGGCCCTGTGGTGACCCAATATGAGACCGTATGGTGGTTTGGTCGGCCTGATCGGTGGCCGTCTGCGGGTTGTGCCGTGTCGCGCGTAAGATGGCCTCAAAAGCGGTCGGAAGACAAACAATATGTGGAGAAACTCAGGTTTAATTCTGCTGCTATTTCGAGACTGTCTTGATGGGCGTGTAGGTCTGTTATCCGTAGGACGGGCATATGGCCAAAGAAATATGCGTCCTATTTGTTGTACGCGTGGGTGAGGAAACAAAGGTGTTCATAGCACGGCTGTCTTGTTTTGTTTCATACCATTTTGTTTACTTCAAGAACTCGAACAATCATATTCGTTTTGAAAACAGGCGCCCGTTTCCTAAAATATATGCGGGCCCGTAATATGGGATGACTGGGAAAGGAGCATGTAAAGGCCAAGGGAAATAACTTTCTTTTAATATTGTTCGGCCATGCTTTTGACTTTTTTTTTTTAAATATATATATATATATATATATATGTATATATATAAAATAAATAAAATAAAAACCAAGACAGTACAGTTGCACGTTTATTTTTAAATATACATATATGTACGGGCATATTATCCCATCAAGTTGAAGTCATTTCCTCCTTGTTTCCATCGTCACATCCTGCACTCATCACCAGGATGGAAGCCAAGCCGAGGCCACACAGCATTGCCGTCAGCTTTTAAGTTTTTTATTTTTATTTTTTTTATTAAAAAATCACCTCTTTGCTGCGGGACCATCTTGAGCCATCCAAATGTGGCTGCATCCGATGGCCGTCCAACCCCGATCCTTGCAAGTCGGCTGGCTTCTCGTCCTAATTGCCCCCAACCACTAACATGCCCTCGTTCACATTCTTTCGGAATACCACCAGCTCTCCTGATACAGGGCCCGTCAACGCGCCTCCACCAGGACTACTAGATCGGGCCTGGCACGAGGATGCTATTATTATCTCGCCTGTCACCAACAGGGACCCCATCCACAGAGTCCCCACGCTTATTGGGGGCGTCTTTAAACATCCATCGCCTTCCGAGATACAAAGTAGATGCTCGACGTATGCTGTATTACATTCCACTCGTCGTGACTGACTGATTGACCAGCTCTGGGGCCGAGCTCCGGCTGAACCCTGTCATCACACCGATGCCGCCATGGTAGCATTGTCGCCTGAATGCCTCTTTGCTGGAACAACGTAAGATAAAGAAACCCGTCCTGAATAAAATCGACCTGCAAAGAATCATACCAACTCGGCCTAGCACTCTGATCCTTCACAACACAGTCCCGGCTAGCGCACCGCAAGTGGCGATGTGATGAAAAGCAAGCAAGCAGAGCAAAGCAGTCAGGCAGTCTCTGAAAGCAGAAAGCAAAGTCGTACCGATAACGAGCACACACCCATCGTGAGCAAAAGCAATCACATCGCCTGCAGCGTGCATGGCTGGTTAAGCGCCGGGCAGGCATCGACCCCACTCCACTGTCACCCACCCCCTACCTCTTCCAGCAGTAGCCTGCCCGCGCCGCCAGCCAATCGTGCTGAGTTCCGCCCACTCTTTCTGAGGATGGAGAAAATATGCATGTCGTGCTGTGTTCTTTTGGCAGCAGTTTTCGACGATATTGACGGCTCTTGCCTGCAGTTCTCGCCCGCTAGGGTGACCCAAGAATAGATTGTTGGCTCTTTCCCCGTGGCGTCGCCAATCAGGTGCGGGCTTTTGAGAGAAGTCGCGACCCACTTTTCACACGTAAATGTGCTTTGCTTGTTTGTTCTCACTTCTCTGTTGTGCTCCTCTTCATCTCTCCACCAATATTGCGTGAGCATTAATTCTTATTTACAAAAAGTGATCATGGGCTGCAAGCCCAAGGTATGCGGGATGCAGACTCCACCCTTGCTTGGATTACAGACAATGTACGACGTACGCCCGGCTGTCACCACAAAGGACGAAGATTGACGAGATTTGTGAGCACAGATGCGGGAAAAAAAATAATAACGAGAGCAAGACGAAAGCAGAGCTATCGGCCAGCTGTGAGGGTGCGGTGTTGTGTTGCACCACAGGTACAAGCTCGGCAAGGGGTTATGGGAGGAGAACAAGAGGACTGGAGGAAAAACATCATTGCGCCGTAAACCTTCATCCCGTCTCTTGGGCGAGACACTTGAGACGGGAGTAGTTGGGTGTATGTAGAACGCCGTGCCAGACACTACAAAATCGGCATGAATGGGACTGGAACGCACAGTCAAAGGTGTAAACGAGGCAGAGACGAAGTGGCAGCAGACAGAAAAGAGGCTGGGAAGAGAACCCGGAAAACGAGACAAAAGCAGTTGTGCGGCCCGCCGCCAATCGCGAGGTCCAAGCAGAAGGCCAGGGCCATCGGCCGTGAGCCTGAGGACGATACCGAACACAACCAAATACACCCAGGAAACTGGACGTTCAGTCGAACGAGAGGCCTGCAAGATAGATTTGTTAGAGAAGTGAGCGACAGATATGCAATTCTCCGTCCAGATAGAGCAAATCGACCCGTCCAACATCACTAACACGGCTACTTCGTTCCAACAGCCAACAACCGTCTGCTTGATCTTGCTGCCGGCCGTCGACGGCAAGAAAACGGTCCACCCAGGAAACAGACCCCTGTCATATTGTCTGTGGCCTTACTATTCTTTCTTTTCTTTTTTTTAATTTCTCATTTTTGGTCACTCGTCTCCCATCGCGCCTGCCTCGCCGGCCTTGTTCGTTCCTTCCCTCCACCCTTCGTCCCCGCCTCCACCTCTGCCTCCTTCCTCGACGGCGTCCCAACAGCATCGACAGGGGTTTGGCAGGCGGCCACTATCGGGGCTTTCATCCCTCTCCCTTTTCTCTCAACTTTCTGCTTCTCCTGTGTCTTTTGGTTTGTCGTCTGTCGCCTATCGCCTGACGACTTTTCTCACAATCCCACGTCTTCTCCACTCCGCTCACTCGAACGCACCCAACCTTACTTGCAACATTGTCCGTTGGCCTCGCCGCGGGAACAATAAGCGGCCAGCCGTGTTTGCTCAACAGCCCCCCCTCCTCCTTTATTTTGATTTATTTCACTCTTCCTTGTCTTTTCTTGGTTCTCTCTTCCCTTGTCGTTCGTCCCCCTACCCCAACCCTTGACCGCTGTTGACTTGTGCCGCGGAGTAGAGTGACGGAATCGACCACAGCGGCCGCTGCGTCTGTGGGGTCTCAATTTGGGCCAGACCCTTTGCAAAGAGGCGTTTTCCTCTTACACCCCCGTCACTTTCTTTCTTGGGTTTTATACTCATACTTTCTGCTTTCATAGAGTCTCACAAAAACCACACTCAGTTGCATCCTGCATCCTCTTTGGACCTTGGACCGTTTTTGTCTGTCGTCTTTGCGTACAGCATCGTTTTCTTCTGTTTCTGTTGTGTCTTCCCGTGTTTGCTTTCTTCCTGTATTTTCTTGTAACTTCCCCTCCCTCCATGTCTCGCCTGACCTTGGTGTCGTCCTCTGTCTTGTACGAGACCATAATCTCCAACTGTCGCGACCTGGCCGGCTGTTTCTGATCTCGCCAGCTTTTTCACGACCGTTCATGACCTTTTCTTTGCCCAGCCTCTTCCTCTCCCTAATCCTCACCATTGCTCCTACCACCTCATATACCCACCCCAGCTGAACCTCTCCCCTTGCTCCCATCATCATTGTCTTCCGCATGGACCGGTGATCGTCTCTCCCTCGCGGAACCCAAGCCGGCGGGTGCACTGCCTCGATTTCCTCGAAACCGACCTGCATCGTCGACCCCAATCTTCGCCTCTCCTCAGCGGCCCTCTCACAGCCTCATATTAGACTCATACTGAGCACCACCGCCTTAAGATGAACGCCGGCCGCGACCCAACATCGCGCCTGCGGGCCAACCTCAACCCGCTGCGCACTACGGCCCTCGGCAATGGCTTTCACGGTCCCAACACCACGCCTCTGTCCGCCGTTTCCATGAACCAGACACCTGCCAGCGCCATCCAGCCCTACAACCCACAGCAATGGGCACCGTCACCGGCCCCGGAACGGCATCATTACCAAGAACAACCGCGTGAGTGACTGGACAGACGGGATATACAGCATACGCTTTTGTTGACTAACATAAGATGCTCGCATCTAGAATCACCTCCTCCACCACCACCATATTCACCTCCACGCAGCCAACGGCCCTCGAGCATGGTCTTTGAGTCTTCGCCCGCCAACATATCGGCCGCCCGGGCGCCACTGCCGGGCACCCCGAACAACCACCATTTACAACAGGGCCACCAGCGCCCGTCGCCAGAGTCTACGACCAGCCAGACGTCGTTTGCACCACCTCCGGGCACAACGCGCGGTGCTTCACGCGAGCGGAGATTTGGCTTGCCGTCGTTTGGCCGTCGGCGCGACTCTGACCAATACCAGCAGCAGAATATCACATTATCACCGTCAGATACCTACACGCACACTCATGCTCACCAGCCCATACCACCACCACCAGCATCTCGCTCGCCACAACCGCCTCTCCAACATCAGCCACAGCCACAGCAGCAGCAACAGCAACAGCAACAGCAACAGCAACAGCACCAACGGTCGCAGCCTCCTTTGCAGCCGCTACAGACCTCCAACTACCACCAGCAGCACCAACAGTCGCAGCAGCCCCCAGCCGTGGCGCCTGGCTCCCGTCGTGCCGCTTCTGCCGGTGCTATCGCCACCCCGACGTCGGCAAGGTCACGCTCGTCCTCCCAGGTGCGCTGGGAGGCGGGTATGCCTCTGCCGCCGCCACCACCTGGCCCACCACCGTCTGGCTCACGGTCTCAGAGCATGACCCGTCCTCACCATGGAAGCGATCCTATTGTATCTGGCCCAACGCGTCGTCCGCCGCCGGCAGGTGTCGCTGTCTTGGGCCCCGTTCCACCAACGCCCGCTGGCTGGTTCGACCATGACCTTGTCGAGCCGGAAAACGAGAACACTGCTGTCCGTGATGGCGATGTCGACAATTATAACCACCTTTACAACGACAATGCCACGCCCCGTCAAGTACCTGATTCGGTGGCCGCCGCCGCCGCCGCCGCCGCCGCCGCTTCTGCTGCTGCCGCCCGCGAAGACCATTCGCCGAACCGTGGTTCGCTCGTCGAGAGCACATCTAGCGCCGCCAGCTCTTCCGCACGCGATCTGGCCGAGTCGGCTCCATCGACCAACTCCACCCATAGCTCGCATTCGCCGTCCGCGACCGTCACCAACGGCACAAATAGCTCGAGTGGTGGCAGCGGCTCGAGCAACTACAATAATATGACGCTCGCACGGACAGGTGCCGTGCGCGGCGGTGAAAAGACGCTGCGGGAACGTCGCAACGAGAGTCGGAACCGGGGCGCCAACAGCGTGCGCAACTCAATCGACGGGGCCGTGAATGCAGGCATCAATGCCGACAGCTCGTCTGGTCCTGGTCACGGCCACGCTCGCCAATTGTCCAACATTGTCATTCCGGCCGCCGCGTCCGTGGGCAGTCTCATGCGCCGGCCTACCATCAACAAGTCCACACCGCGCAGTGGGGGCGGCGGACCGAACAGCGGACGGGCCCTCCTGAGCCTTCAACAACAGCAGGCTTCACCGCGCTCGAGCGATACTGTCACGGGCGGAACCGCCACACCCCCGTTCTCGCCGTACCCTCATTCATCGTCGCCCAACATGAACCGTCCGCACATGGGAAGCATTGCGAGCGGCCTTGCGAACGACACCAATGCCAACGCCGTCCCGAAAGCGCTCCCCACCCCACCGTTGCGCAGCCGCGCCTCGTCGGCTTCGTCCCAGACACGTCGCCAGTCTCAGTCGCCTCCCAACGCCTCTGATGCCACGACGGGAGCAGGAAGTGGTGACACGCTTACGCGAGAGCTGGCCGTCAGTCAGTCGAGCGACCAGTTCTGCCAGGGGTCCGTTGACCGCTTTCATGCCTTTGCCCAGCGCGAAGCGGCCGCCAGTTCCGATGCCGAGCGTGTGCGCCTCTTTGCCGAGTTTATGGTGGCCGAGTCGCGCGTGCGCCGCGAACGGTACGCCGCCGCCATTGGTGCCATGGGCTCCGAGATCTTTGACCTGACCCGCGACTTCTTCCGCCCCATGCTACCCGCCGTAGCCACTGCGCCTTTTGCAGCCGGTGGTAGCGGCCGTCGTGAGCCCGTCGCGTCTCAGGGTAGCGCCGATGACAGTGCAGGGACCAGCGCCGTCGAACTCACGCCACAATCGTCCGAGCCCAGTCACTCGCACCGTGGGTCCGTGGCCTCTGTGTTCCGCGAGGGGCCGGCGTCGGCACCGCTGGTCGGCCGTGAGACGGCCTCCTCGCCTGACGACAACGTCAACTTCGACTCGGCCATTGATAGCAGCAGCACGCCAAACAGTGCCCACCTGCCCATGTCGCCGTCGGGCCAACCACCAGGCTGGGGCGCCCAGGCGAACTATATGCCGAGCCTCTCGCCTATTCTTAGCATGAGCGTCAGCGAACACCCTGACGACAAAAGTTCCCGTGGACGGACGGCCAGCCGCTGGTGGGAGTCGAGCGACAACGGAGGCGAGGGACGTGACGGGCGCGGTGGTCGGCGTGACGACTCGGGCGACAGGCTGGCCCGCTCCAAACGCGAATCCAAGTACATGGGCGTGCCCAAGGAGGCGCGCGAGGCGCTGCAGTGGACCGACGATCTGCACGAACCATTGAGCGGCCGCAGCGTCCGGAGCCCGCAGTACGTGGACCCGGGCATTGGTAGTAGTGGCAACGGCGGACCGGTCAACTATGCCGCTTACGAAGGATCGAGCGAGTATCCGCCTGAGAAAGTCCATCACCACGCGCAAGCCGACTACATGGCTTCTCCCGACCCTGTGCGCACGCCACAAGCACCGCCAGCGCACTTCCGCAACTCGTACCTGTCGTCGACGGCTTCTTCTTCGACACCAGGTCTGTCTACGCCCAACACACCCAACGCGGGCTCGGCATTCCAACAGCCAGGGGCACCATCCTTGCATCAGAACTCCATACCGGCTGCATTGGACGTCTCGCGCCTCGTTACGCTGCCGCCGCCGTACCCACGCCACCATCCAGCTGTCAACAACAACCACCCTGACCTCAGCGAGACGCGCGCTGCTGTGCGCACACTTGCGAGCCTTGGTGATGTTGAGGCGGCCTACGACCAGTGCAAGCGGGCCACAGAGGCTGCGCACATCGAAAGCGACCGGGCACAGCAACAACAGACGGCCACAATGCGCGCCAACCTGCAGGAGGAGATTGCGAGCGGGCGCATGAGCTATGCAGAGGCGGCCGCAATTGAAGCGGATGCGGCGGCCGCCAACGAAGCGCGCCAAAAGGAGAGCCTCAAGGCCGACTTTGACCGGTTCCAGACGATGGTTGTGCAGCCGGTCAATGAGCTGCTGACGGGTCGGATCGCGCACGCCACTCAGCTGTTTGACGAGCTGCGCAGCCGGCTGTTTGGCGAGACGCGGCAGCCGAGTCCCAATCTGCCGCAGGAAGAGGGTGACGAGCAGCCCGAGCTGCTCGAGACGCTGACGCTGCTCAAGTGGGTCTTTGAGGCGCGCGAGGCTCTGCACCGGGCCATCTACGATCTGCTGACGGAGCGCAACAACCGCTATCGCGACATGGTCCTGGCGCCGTACCGCCGCGCGGGCGACACGGCGGCGGACAAGTTGCGGGACGCCGAAGCGTTTTTCGCGGGCGACGCCGCCACGCGCGCCGCGGCCTTTGCGGCCGAGGCCCTCCAGCGCGCCGAGGCGTTCCGCGACGTTGTCGAGGCCAATGTGGTGCGCGGCGTCGAGGTGCAGCTGTCGGCGTTTTGGGACATTGCACCGCCGCTGGCCCAGCTGCTCGACCAAGTGCCTCTGGATCTCACCGGGTTCACCGTGCAGATCCCCGCCGCCGAGTACGAGGAGACGCCCAGCTACCACGAGCACCCGCTGCAGTACCTGTTCTCGCTCTTGTTGCATGCCGAGAAGAGCACGCACCAGTTTATCGAGTCGCAGACCAACCTGCTGTGCCTGCTGCACGAGGTCAAGGAGGCAGCGCTGACGGCCAAGGACCGGACCACGGGGACTGGTGAAGCCAGCAGTAGTAGTGGTACTACTAGCCGTGACGTCGAGAGTGCGCGCCTGACTGACGATCTCAAGGACAAGGTGCGCGTGGTGCAGGGCCAGTGGCGAGCGGGTCTGGGCGAGACGTTTGAGCTGGTCAAGGAGCGTGTCGGCGGATGGCTGTTGGAGACGGGCGGCTGGGACGAGAGTTTGGAAGACGGCGGCGTGGGCGGTGTTTGAGGAGGAAGAGGGAGGTGACTGTGACTCTTCGTCGCTATTTTGTTTGTTGTTTATTTCGCCGGTCTGTTGATACCCTTTGTCAGACGATTTTCCATTCTTCTTTTGGACAGCCAATCTCTTGTTCTTCTTCTCCCAGCACATCATAACGAGTAATGGACCCGTGGCGATTGGAGAAGAATATTCACTGTTTTATTCTTTTCGTTCCTGGGTATGTGGAGAGTTGTTTCCTATCCCTCCCAACTATGTACATAGTTCCTATATACAGTCCAAACCAGGTCGTAAGCGATTCTGTTTTGTCCTACACTCGCATGTCGACTTTGCTGCCGCGGCACGGCGTTTGTATCATGTGGCTTGTATTCATGTTGCCATGTTCTCGTGGCATTTCTGGATGTGTCCTTCGCAAGGTTAGGATAGGGGATTTGACGGCCGCGAAAATGCCGTGTGTCTAAAGGAGCGCACCTTGTCGAAGGCTTTCCTCGCTTGTGGCGCACTTTGTCGCAGTTCTTGCTTGGCAGATCTGCTCTTCGCCACCCTCGACCTTCACTTCGTCTCGCCCTCGCCCTCACTGCCCTCGCCGTCCTTGAACTCGACGGGTAGGTTGATGCCCACACGCCGCGCCGTCAACCGAATCCGCTCGGCCTCGTCCATGTCGCCGGCCAGGTTGGGATTGTAGCGCTCGAGTAGCATGGTGTGTGTGCGCTGGGCTTGCAGGAAGGCGAGGTACTGCTCGCCGTGGAAGGCCGACTGGGCGGCCGGAGTGGGAGTCGGTGACGACGAAGAGGGCGCAGAAGACGCTGAGGAAGCGGACGGAGCCTCAAACTCGGCGCGCAGCTGAGCATGCAGAGGCGATCGTGGGCCCTTGAGGAGTGGGCGGGGCGGCAGTTCGCGGAGGAACGCGCGATAGAGGGAGCGCAGGTTGTGCGTCATTGTGTGTGCGTGCTGCTGTGCGTGGGTTGTGAAAAGAGTAAAGAGTAGAGGACGACGAAGTGAGGTTTAAAGTCCACGTCAAGAGCGACAGTGATTGGCCCCACTTCGCTGGCGAGAAGAAAAGTTCAATGGGAGTTGCCGCCTCTGAGCGCTAAAAATATGGGGCACAACGGCCCTCTATCGTCTAAACGTCAGTTGCTAAATTCTGCCTGGAAAAGGCTTCACTTTCCAGGAGCCTCTGCATCGCGACGGCTCAACACACTCCCACCAAGTCGTTCTCGAGTGGCTTACCGCAATGAAGAGTCACTTCTGGCACGACCGGGTTGCGGCGCTGTCGCCGCAGCTGTGGCAAATGGTGGCCAAGACCGTCCGCGCACCGACATTTGCTTCCACTTCGGCGCGGTCCTCCTCATCAGCCACTTCAACTCGGCCGTTCTTTCACGCAGGCGCGCCCAACAACGGCTGCCGAGCCTTATCGTCGTCATGTCGGAACCTTGTCCTGGCCCAGCAGTACCAGCCAAGGACAAAACAGGCGCCCAGGCCCAAGGCTGCGCCCGTCGCATCCTCCAAATCACGAAAGACGACGCCCCCAAAGACGGCCGCGAAATCATCCTCAAAACCACCAAAAGCTTCAAAACCGGCGCCGAAAACGAAGACGACACCCAATGCCCCTCGTCAGCTCGGCACAAAACCCCACGTAAGCCAAAACCACGGCTCCGCGCGAGTGGACCCGTCTCACCACATCCGCGCCGTCGCCTTCCTCCCACCACCGACCGATGACGAGGCTGTTGCAACGGAAGCCGCTGCCGCTGCGGTGCGCCTGGCGCCAACACCGACATCCGCCGTGCTCGACCGTGCCTCGTCGGTCTTTTCGGTCTCTGAGCGCCCCGGATCCGGATTCTTGTACTCGGCGCCGCGTTTCCTCCACATGCCAAGGAACACGCGCATACCCGAGATTTGCATTCTGGGCCGCTCCAACGTCGGCAAGTCGACACTCGTGAATGCGCTGGCGGGGCTCGAATCGGGCGGCAAGGCCGGCCGCGCCAACGGCTCTACAGCGGGCCGCCAGGGCCTGGCCGTGACGAGCGCCCGCGCCGGCTGCACCCGCATGATGAACGCCTACGGATTTGGACCGCCGCTGCGTGCCGCGCAAGCACAAACCTTTGCACGGGTGCAGGAGGAGGAAGAGCAGAGACGGGCGAGCCGCGTCCCGGAAGCCAGCAAGAGCGGCGTGCTGTCCCGCTCCCAGAAGCGCGCGCAGACGCCCGGCGAGCCCTCGCCGGCGCACAGCCTCATTCTGATTGATATGCCGGGCTACGGCTTCATGTCCGAGGCCGAGTGGGGCACGGAGATTGCCAAGTACCTTGAGCGCCGTGTCACGCTGCGGGGCGCCGTCCTGCTCGTGGATGCCGTGGCCGGCCTCAAGGACGGCGACCGCCAGGCGCTCGAGATGCTGCGCGACGCCAACGTTCGCACCACCATTGTCCTGACAAAGGCCGACAAGCTGCTGCTGCCCAAGCAGCTGCGCAGGCCCGCCACCGTCGCGACCGCTGAGCCCGCCTTTGACTCGGGCACGTCCACGGGCGAACAAGCCCTGCGCGCAGGCTGTGTGCGCATATGGAGGATGCTGCGCCGCGTCGAGCGCGAGTCCCTGGGCACGGTGCCGTGGATGGAGGGCCAGGGCTGGGTGCCGGAGATTGTCGTGACAGGCGCGGGTGACCCACGCGGCGGCGGATTCGGTGTTGCCGGTGCACGTCTGGCAATCTGTCGCATGGCCGGTCTGATGTCGCAGCATGAAAGCGCCGCGGCCGCGCCCTCGTCGTCCAGGAAACAGAAGAAGGCCGGTCATGGTGTGAGCGCCACGAACAATGTCGGCGCCTCCTCCGGCACTGTCGTTCCGTTTGACCAGATCCGGTGGTCCGAGAAGGTCACCGAGGCTGTCATCGACCAGACAGCCGAACTGGCGTACATTTCAAGACAGGAGGCGGAGCGCCAGGAGCGCAAGGCATGGAGAGTCGCTGCAGCCTCCGCAGCAGAAGCCAAGGCCGAGAGTCAGTCTGCACCGGCTGGCAGGACAAAGTCTGCGTCCGATGCTGTTGAAGTTGGGTCGAAGTCGCCGCTTTCTCGTGGTCGCAGACGGAGCTGGAAGCGGGCGTGAGTGTGGTCTTGCTGATGCGTTTCGTGTAATATCATAGTCCCTGTACCACCACCACGTCACAATCAAATAGCGACATGGAAACAATCATAGAAATAATGAAACATGACGTCTATATATCCGAAAGAAAGAAGAACATAAACGAACAGCGAAAGTACACCCAAAACCCCAAAAAGTCTATTCCAAAATAATAAAGACTGCTTTTCCCATCATGATGCTGCCCATTGAAGTAAACGCCGGCCGCTATCTTGTGTTCTATTGCCTTTTTGGCCCTCCTCCCCCTGCCTCCCCGTCTACTTCCGCGGCACCCGCCTCCTTGGCCGGCCCCGTCGTTCTGCCGCCGGCAGGTCTTTTGTATTAAACTGGTAGTTCGGAATAAAAATGTCCTTGAGGTTGCTCCAGAACCCCAGGTCGTATAGATTCTCGGCATCCCGCAGCGTCCACACCCGCTCCCAGTCGCCCACCCCAGGCAGGTCCTTCTCGTTGGGCGGCGGCGGGTTGCCGTCCTCGCAGAGCACAAACACATGTTCTGGCACGAGCGGCCAGCGGGAGGACGAGGCAGACGCGGACACGGTGGCCGCCACGTCCAGCCGCCGCTTGTACACGAGCCCGTCCTCCATGTCGCACTTCATGTCCGACCACTTGAGACTCTCGTTGGTCGTCTGCCCCGTCCACACGTTCCACAGGTTGTATGCGAGGAGGCCCCAGACCAGCGGACTGATCAGCAGGCCCAGCAGGCTGACGCTGCCCAGCTGGATGTAGTTCTTCATGCCCCACGACAGAAGCATCAGCCACGTTTCCAGGGACATCTGGCGCGTCGCCAGCGGCGTGTTGGCCAGGGCCCCGCCGCTCACCTCGTACGCCCGCCACGGCAGCATCGACCACGACGGGAACCGCTCGACCACGCGGTCGCGCAGGATGCAGAGCCCCGTCCAGCCGCCGAAGGAGGCCAGAAAGGCCGTCGACAGCAGCAACAGCAAAAACCAGTGGTGGTTGCCCACGCCGACGCAGTTGTTGATGAAGATGCAGTGGTGGTCGAGCCGCCCGATGCAGCGCTTGCACACGGGGCAGTGCTTGCTGCGCGGCGGCTTGAGCAGGTTGCACGTGTAGCAGCGCGCGCCCGGGTGGAACAGCCCGTAGTCGTACGGGTACAGCGACAGGTGGTGCTTGAGGCTGCCCATCGACACGGTGCCCGGGTCCGTGTACGCCGCAAGGTACAGAAACACATACGGCAGCGCGCTGGACACGACGACCGCCATGCGCTGCACGGTGCCCATAAACGCCCACGCCGACGGGATCGCCATCCATTCGGAGCCCGCCAGCAGCACCAGAAAGAAGATGAGCACCGTTGGGTGCTTGTCGTTCATCATAAAGTGGCCGAACCGCTGCAGCGACGACGTGAACCGGCCGCCGGTCACGGCCCGGTCGACCGCCAACGCCCCGCCAGGCAAATTCACCACGAAAAACGTGTAGAGCCATGCGATGGGAGTTCGCCTGTTGTGCGTCGTATGTTAGCCGTTGTTCCTGCTCTCTGGCGCCCCATCTCGTCCCTACCTAAATATCGGCAGCCGTCCAAAAAAGATGATGAAGGTCAGTAGCGAGATGGCCAGCACGATGCCGGCCATCTTGGCGATGACTCCCATCGTGGGTGACTGAATCGAAGCGGCCTTGGATCGAGGAGTGTGATACACCGTCGAAACAGGTGTCAGCACGGGAAGAAGCTGCACAGTTTAAAGCTGTTGTCGTGCAGTCGCGGTCATGATCGAGATCGAAGACGACGGTCGGTGCGGTTCGGAATACGTCTGGCCGGATGAGTAGGGAGCCGTCAGGTGAGTCGTCGGAGAGCCGTCATGAAGATCCGTGGACGGGGTGTGGCCGTCTTCACGCAAAAGGGGAAGCTGAGGCCGAATGCCAGTGTTTGCCTTACTCACTCTGTTGATTTCCAAATGCGTCAGCCTTGCGCCTCATTGGATTTGGGCCTAGCGGCAAGAGCTCCCTGCTCTTGCCAACCTAAATATGGACCAACTAAACCACGTGATTCGGTGTTTATGGGGAGCGCTCCTACCAAAACTAGTCCAAAGGGAGTGGGTCCCCTTCGTCACGTCTCTTTCCCCATTCACAGGTCCTTCACGCGTCCCGCTGTGTCGATAGTACCTGCCTCCGGGTTACTGACCTTTGCCAAACGGCACCTTCCTTTCAACGGCATAATTACCCCTATCAACAGAAAGAGTTGGATTTTGGAGAGCCACCGAATTGTCAATCTTTCACAACACAGCACATCTACGTGACGCGCATGCACCCAACACCAGCCAGCATCGCAATGTGACGCGACCCCAACCTGACTCTGTTTGCCACTGTGTTGTTTTGCGCCGCGTGCGATCCAGCTGCACCCACGCGTGTCGCCGCCCCGGACCCTCAACGGCTGAGCGGTCCAAGTTCTCGACGACTTCATTCTGCAACCCATTACCATTACACTCCCTACTCTTAGAAGCTTGTCGCAGGGCTAGGCCTTTCGGCACATACCAAGGGCCGGTGCGACTGCAGCAAACCGTTTCGCAGCCATGGCCTTCAGCTTCGAGGGACTTAAGTTTTATGTCTCCATCCACACGCCCAATGAGACAAAGAAGATCATTCGGGTGGGCCTTCCTCTCTGTCTCTCTCTCTCTGATTTGTGTTTGCATCCTCCTTGACCTTTTGTCTAACATCTAACTGCAGAGCAATGGCGGCATCGTGGTCGCCAACGAGAATGATGCAGACATACGCATTAGAGACCCGTCTCGCGGTCCACCAAGTTACCGTTCTGGCGATTACTACTCCCACAAGTGGATAGTGGACTGCATCAAGCAGAAACGGCAAGTCGATGAGGCGCCGTACCTCATACAACGGCAAGCCCGCCCGTCGACTACACCTGCGCGGCCTGCGCGCAATGAGCGGACCGAAGGCGAAGGCGAACGCGAACGGTCTCCGCCTCAAAGGGAAGAAGAGGATGGTTTGGTCTATGCGTCGGCACGGTCTCAGAGTGTCGTAAAGACACGCAATGCATTCACGCGCGAAGACGACCGCATCCTGCAAGATTGGGTCATACAGAAGGCGACACGGGCCATCGAGAAAGATGAATATTTCCACGACCGCGGTAACGAGATGTACAAGAAGCTGGAAGAAAAGGTACTGCGCTTCTGCCGTGTTTCTGTGGTTTCCCCCCCTTTGCCTTTGACTAGAGTCGAACTCTGCTAATCAGTGATTTTCGCAGTACCCTCAACATACCTACCAATCGTGGCGAGACAGGTGGGTGAAGAAGCTGTCGTTGACAACGAGAGTACCTGTCGCAAGAATCCAAGAACGACCACAGAAGAAACCTCGAGGATCGGCCCGAAAAGGCGAGGAAGTTCGGGCACAAATGGAAAACGGGCCCGATTCAGAACGTCGGCCACCGCAAGAACGGCCGCAGGAACCACCACAAGAACCACCACAGGAACCACCACAGGAACCACCACAGGTGCCGCCACAAGAGCCACTACAGGAACCACCCCAAGAACAGCGACGCAACGAAGCACGAGACCAAGCACTGCAAGACGAGACGCTTGACAACCATTCTGGCCGGCCCGGCGACCTGTTCTTCATGGACTATACAGATTATTACATTCTCGCAAAGGCGCATTCGTTTTGGAAAGCTGAGAAGCGAAAATCTGGAGCACATGCAAAACCAACAAACTCCTTCTTCGAATATATTCATTCACAGGTAATGCGCATATTAGCTACTAGCTTGTGTTCCGTATTCCGCTTACGTCGGAGGTTCAGAAAGGTCGTCGGCAACTAACAAGTTCTTTCGTCTGCTGTTTAGTTCCCAGATATATCTCTGAACGAATTACGTAGTCGATACTACAGACTCCGGAATATGTACACAAAAGGGGATGCCGCACCAGCAGCTGCACCCGGTACGATTCCTCAGAGCCAAACCCAGAACGGCACGTCGAATGGAGAACAAGGCAACCCGCAAGAAGACACAGAGGAGAACGACGGCGGCGACGACGGTCTTGACCTTGACGATGATGCTATTCTCAATGGCGTCGGCGACCATGACAACCAGCAGCAAGTGTTTCAAAAGTGCCTCGATGAATACAACGACTACCTTGGTGTGTACGTCCCGCCATCCTTTTTCATTGGTGGACGCTTCCTCGACACGTACTCGCTCTGGACAGCGTTGCAGGATGCCGCAGATGACGGTGACCGGATCAACTGGGATAGTGTCGTCGAGACGCTCGGGCTCGACAGCACCAAGTATACGCTCCTGGCATCGCAGCTTGCTGCATGGTACGATTTCAACCTAAAAGAGTTCCGGTCTTTCTGGATACGGTACAAGGAAGTCACCGAAGCCAGTGGCAGCGATGAGGAGGGTGAAGATGAGGAGGGTGGCGAGGAGGACGAAGGAGAAGTAAGCGACGGAGAGGCGGAGGCAGCAGAGGCAGACGTGCAGGCACCGTCTGGTAATCCAGCGCCGGGCACGGCCAGTCGCAGCAGGGGCTTAGTGGACGTCGTCCGCGGGCTTTTCAGAAGCAGCGAGGCGCATCCTGATGCACCAGCGCCTGAAAGTCCCAGTAAGCATGTTCGGTTCTCAGGTGCAGAGGGCGATGGCGGTGCCGGCGATGTCGGTGGTGACAGCAACGAGGAGGAGGACAGTGACGAGGAAGACGACGAAGACGGTTTCCAAACACGCCGGGGTACTCGTTCTGGGGCACGGCAACGGACGCCGACAAAGACAAGGACGGTCGAGCCTGAGACACAGGACTTTGCCTTTGGTAATGAAACACAGGCCCCGACCGACCTTGGCGGCGATGGCGAAAACGAGGACGACGAGGGGGGCTTTGATGAGGTCGACGCTCAGATGCGTGGTGCCCCTGGCAAGGCAACACCGACACGCCAGCTGCGGTCCGAAGACCGCGCCGTGGCATCCGTGCCCCGGTCACTACCGGCTCCAGGGTCTACCAAGCGAAAACGGACAGCAGCGGCGCCGTCCGCCGCATCCCCGTCAAAGCGTCAACAGCGAAAGCCTACGGCTTGAGTGGTAGGGATCATAAAATATGCGTTGTGAGCCGTGAGGCCAAGGTGGTTTTGTTTACTTGTTTTTTTCTGGTGTTCTACGCACGGCGTTTCTGTAGGGATATCCAGACGATCTTTGTTTCCTTTTCGTGTCCTTTTTCGTACAGTGCAATTTAATACGGCGTACTTCACGACGCATGCCAGAAGCGAGCATAAACTGGCGGATGTTCATGTTTACGTGATGCACTTGAATTGTAAGGGTTGTGTAGATATTGGTGTGGATGTTTGGGGTAAATATTACTTTTTTTGGATTTGATGTGGTGATTTGACATATTCGTTGTTTTTTTTATTCTGTATCTTTAAATCCTTTTTAAATTATTCCAGCTTATTTCAAGTTCATTGTCTATGTTTTACTTTTGTACATAAATGCTTGCTGCGCGTATTAGGTGTATTACATATGGATGTCGAGTTTTTATTCTTAAAAGGGATTTAGAATATGACAAAATGGCATGCTCAGCACTTTGCAAAACTAACCCAACATAAACAACAAATAAGATAAAAACACACCACATGCATAATTCTAGTTCCAAGAAGCGTAATAGCGCATTCTCCCCTTCTGCTGAGACGTCCATCTAAACACGGGGTATCCCTATGCCGACTGAGGCCGGACCAGTTCCCGGACCTTGAAAGTCGTCCAGAAGTTGGTCTGCTTCACAAACCAGGCGTTGATCAGCTTCCACTCTTGCTTCGGGTCAACGAAATCAATCTGTCCAGTTAGTGTCAAGCGGCCGCGAAATGACAAAGACACAAATGGCAAGTAACTCACTTCAAATCTCCGCAGAAGACTGGGAACAACTTTGTAAATCTCGAGCAGGCTAATGTTTTTGCCGATGCACGTCCGCGAGCCCATGCCAAACTGCAGCATCATGCCGTTCATCTCCTTGATGCGCAGCTCTTCGCGCTCACGCACCTCGGCCTTTTGGTCCTCTTTGGCGGCCGCTACCTTGGACTCGTCGACCAGCCAGCGCTCAGGCCGGTAGGTATCCGAGTCGTCACCAAAGACCTCCTTGGTGTGGTGCAGGACCCAGGCCGAGCAACCGACAATGGTGCCGCCGGGGATGAAGTGGCCCGCGATCTCGGTGCCGCCCGGTGGGACAATGCGCTCTAATGGCAGGCCGGCCGCCGGGTGCAGACGGAAGGCCTCTTTGACACAGGCGTCGAGGTACGGCAGCCCTTGGCTCTCGTGCCACGTCACCAGGCCTGTTTCATTGTCGCTGAAATGACCATTGTGGGCAGCGTTGTCCAGCTCCTCGTACAGGCTTTTCAATGCGGCGGGGTTGCGCAAAAGATAGTAGAATACGGCAGAGAGTGAAATAGCCGTCGTCTCCGAACCGGCAAAGGCCATGGACACAGCCATTGTCTGAACAAGCGTGTCAGACATGAACTCGGGGCGCGCCTCCTGGGCTGCGAGGAACTTGGAGAGCAGATCGGCCGCTGGGCGTTTTTCGGCCTTGGTCGGTAGAATGGGGCCTTTGCCCTCAACAATGTCCGGCAGGCGCTCAGCCATTCGTGCGCGCGCAAACTTGGCGACGGGGAATGTAGAGTCGATCAGGCCATACTGTGACAACTTCAGGTAGATGGGGTTCTTCAGGAAGAGAAGATCCAGGAATGGTATTTGTCCGACCTTTGTCCTGTTAGCAACAATACGGACAAGACACAGATAGTTGTATAACTGTATGACGAAGGTAGGGCCTTACCGGAGCCACATAGAGGAAGAGCCATGACAGATACGCAACGATCCCGTCTATGTCCTCGTTTTTCTCAATGAACCCGTGGCGTTTGGTATATGTAATCTCTCCAATGACGTCAAAGGCGTAGAACTGCAACCAGCGTGTAAAGTCGCAGCCCTCAGGATTGTTGACAAAGAATTTTTCGGTTTGTTTGAGGAACAGTTTTGTCGTGTTATCCACAAACGGCTCATATTGCACGAGCTGTGACATGGCAAATGCGCCGTTGACACAACGGCGGAACTGAGCGTGGAAATCATTGTCGGTCGTGCTGAACAGACTGGCAAGCCTGTGGCCATTGACGACAGATTGTTGTGGGAGATAAAAGTCTGACTACACAGGTGTTAGTGACAAGACGTTACACAAAGGCAGGGGATACGGCCCAATGTCGCGTCAATGCTGTGTAGCCGCAGAGATCGAGCAACGTGCCTTTATAAATCCCTTGTTCAGGCCATAAATAGTCTTGAGCGCTTTGGGATCTGAAAACGTAAGAGTGTTGGGTCCTAGGCGGACAACGGGACCGAGCTTGTCGTGGAGGCGCCGTTGTGTCCGTTCCGGTCGCTGTTTGTACACATCATAGAATCGCCACCAGTCTGTCAATGACGCCAAGAAAGGGCCTGGATACTTGTTAATGCCCTGCCCGTAACGGTTGTTGGCTAGATATGCCAAGACCGAGGCGACGACGACGGACACCCAGTGGTCGAGGAGGAAGGCCAGGAGCTGGCCGGCAACGCCTTGCATCTTTGCAAACTTTGTTCCGTCTCTGTTGCGGTGCCTCCTAGGATGTGGCCGCTACGGCTCTCCCCTGTTAAGACAGGTTTTGTTTTGTTGTTGCAATCTGTCGTGCTCGTCTTCAGCGGGTATTTTGCTCGACTGAAAAACTATGTCGGTTTGATAAAGATCGCGAGGCTGCCGTCAATAAGATCAGTTGTTAGACAGGCTGCAGACTGAAAAGACTCGATGGATTCCAAGAGAATGCGATCTTCCCAAGCTGGCGAAATATCCCCAGTTCTGTTGTCAAGGATATAGAAAGGGGAGCGAGTGATTTTCGAGTAGATTATGAAAGCATGAAAGTAGCCACGAGGTTTATGTGAACACCAGGAGACCCGGGAGAAGGCAAAGCGTATGTGGATGGGGTAACAAAACGCAGGTAAAGACAAGAGTGGTGTATATGGGGGCACACTGACAAAACAATAAAAACAGTTACATTAATTAAGAGGAGGTGAGCAAGGTAAAACATAAAACCTACCGTGTCATATACTAGATCCAGGAGGAGGGGAATGCCCTTGTGGAGGGCATGTAAAGACTCTGGTCTCGGCAGGTGGTGCTTAACGTATTTCAACGGAGGTAGTATAACGCCGTAGCGTGTCTCTCTGGAGGTCGAGATCAGTGTGCACCCGTTGCGTTCATGAAGCTGGGTGCTGAGGGGATAATTATATGCTTGCTGACGGCGGGTTGTCTTTGCCGCGAAGTAATAAAGCTTTTCCTGGTTGGAACGACGAGGAACAGGGACCCGGGATGATACAACACAACTCGAATGAAGGATACGGGAGTCACTTTGGTTTCGCTTCAGAGGGAGCACCGGGGCACGGCGCGAAGCATTTCGCCCAGCTTTTTCACGTCTGCCGTGCTGCCAGGGGTTCCTGGTATTTGATGATTTTGCCTCCACATCGCCTTCAACGTTGTTGTTACTCCACTCATATTCGCGGGAGTACCTCAATTCAACCACCGGAAGCCGATGCAGACAAGTAGTCCTATGCCATTTGGATGTGAGGAGCAAGCGATTGGCCGGGATGCCGGATGCGAATTTAGATGACTGGCCGTGGAGAGAGGGGAAAGGGGAGCTCGGCAGGTGGAATAGAGCAGAAAACTGAGCTTAACATAAAGCCAGACCTCGTGGGTCAAAACCAGCATGCTTCCCGCACCACGCAGCATTTTTGTTGCATGACTGACACCCGTATTGCCGCTATTTGTAGCGGGCATTGTTCACGTTAGGCGTCAGGATCGTCGCTCAATAAGACACAAAGCAACCGGGGATGGCTCAATGCTAAAGTCTGAAGAAACGTTCCCTTGGTGCACGAGACGGGCATGGCCTCCGAGCGGGAGAATGCTAGGACCCAGTGCTGTGGCAGCTGTCTGCTGTTGAACGGACGCCAGGGAAGTCGGGCGAAATATCCGGGGGTTTCCCACTCTGTCATCCTGCGAGTCTGTCGACGGGTTGGGGTGCAAACGTATCAACGGACGAACCCACGAGCTAAGCGGAGGAGGGGAATTGATGGGCTGTCAACTGAGGGGAAACGGACAGAAAAGGGTTGGCAAGCTTCGCCGGTGGCCACAAGTGGGTTGAGTGGAGAAGGTGCGTGTAAGAGGACCATCGGCAGATGCAAGATCCAATAAACGGCACGATAGCCAAAAGGAACGCCTCGTGCACTCAGGCGAACAAAGGGAAACGTGATTTCTTGGATTTCTTCCGCATTCTTCGTATTTGTCCTATTCCATTCTTATCAGTGTGTTCATTCAATAATGCGAAAAAACAAATGCTGCCTCTTTTTTTGCGGCGGCTACGCCGTATGAATGGCAATAGGTGCAAAAACAATAGTGTGTTCAGCTTACCGCAGCAGTTTGTGCCGTGATGCAGCATTCGAAATCACCTCCTTGTCATGTAGCAGTCTTGGCTGCGATCCGTTGTGCCGCCTCAATCTGCAAGAAAGGGCTGGCGATGGTTTTTGGATCCCAAATTTAACCTTTCCACCTCTGCCTGGGGGTTTCGTATTCTTCCTCTGATATGTTTACTGTGTGCTGTTCAGAGGAAGACTGTAGCGGTTACGGAACAGCCATGGTTCCAGTCGTGGCTCTGGAGCGAGTGGGCAACATTGTTACAATCTCTCTGGCTGTGCTGCCTCATTCTTGTCAGGGAACCATATCAACCTAAAGAGTATATCCGTTATTTGGTCTGGACTGAACGCATCCACACTCACCCGATGGCCCGACCATCTGGCTCGCTGTACGGCGGATTGGCTTTCGTCATCTCCTGATACCGTGACCAGGAGCTGGGTCTCCCTCTCCTCTGCCGCTCCGGGACCAGCGCCTCCCACCCTGTTCAATATTGAAAGGACTTTTCAGGCTGGCCGGTTTCCTGTGAGGAGGTCCTTAGAACAACTCACTTCCTGGCGGTGTCGCATTTCGCGGCGCAAATATGCTGCTAGTGATGCTTGTGTGTCGTGACAGTCTGTAACTGCAGCGATACCAGCCTGGCCGGGGGTGTCTGGACAGGTCCTGTCCCTTTGTCCAAAGCGGTGTAGTTTGCAGGCTGTTGTGTGTTGTCCGTTGGGCGAGGCTTTCATCCTCCTTGTCCGTTCCTTTCTCCAGGGGGCGTCGGCGACATCAGCCCGGTTTGGAGAGCCGCCTGGCTTTGTTAGTTTGGTGGTTTTGTGGGCTTCGCTCTTCGCAGGCTTGTTTAGCGTCTCGAGGAGAACATCGGTGGATTTGTCGAATTCCATCTCGTGCCTTTGTGTCTCACTTGTCTTTTCGAGTTCTCGCATGATGTGGACATGTTCGCGCCCGAAAAGAAGCGAATGACGGCGGCTGAACGAAGGGTTCGTGCAAAAAGCGAAATGCCGAATATCCCGCTACGCGGGACGGAGTGCAGTTGCAGTGGAATCTGACGTTGTTCTGTGTCAGTCACAAAGAGGGCATGTCAGAGAGATACGAAAGTGGGCAGACCATCCGAGAAAAGGGGAACATAAAAAAATAGGCAAAAGGTCAGACCATAGAAACAGAGAATTCTTCGGCACTTAACTCAAAAGGAAACCACGACTGTCGACACACACAGGGTGGTTCAGAATTTTGGTCGCATTTGTAGATTTAGGAAGGCACGAGCGAACCAGCGGACCACCCTGCAAGAGCAACTTGGAAGCACCTTCCGGCCCGCCTGGTGAAAACACATATGCAAACAACACAATTCCATCATAACGGGCAGGAGCAAGTTAGTGGTGGTTACTCGGTTGTCGGTGATTGGCCCCGTCAGAACAGGAAGGCGCAACGGAGAAAACAGCTTGGTTGTGATGGGCGAATAAGAGAAAGAGCTGAACTGCGACGATGAAGTTCTTACCGTTATTCTGCAAAGGGCGCACCAAAAGGTAATATGAATGCGGGATGGAGGCACTTGAAATGTCTGTTGGCGCGAAAAGGTTGTCTTTATTACAGCAATATTTAGAAACAGTAAGAAATAAAGAAAGAAAGGAGAGAGGCCTCGTCAAGGTGTGAAAAATGTCGCTGTGCCTTACATAAAGCAACAAAATAAGACAAAAAAAGGGAACAAAAAGACAAAACCCATGCAGCTCGCTCTCTACAGTCTTTCGCATATCATCTGTGGTGTCACCTTCTCGTCGTATTATGCAAGGATGAAGACAAAAAACAAAAAACGCCGCAAAGCAACCCAATACAAAACATGTTAAATATACATCGCGTCAGTGTCGGCTTCGGCGCACTCGTCAATCGGTGGCAAGCGGCACATGAGGCGATAGTTGCATCCGTTGCTCGGCTGCTGCCTTGCCTTGACTCGGAGCCGCCGCAGCGGATGGTTGGCTAGGCCTCGTTTTTGCTGTCGTCCGCCTGCTGGTAGCCGGCCGCCCCGTTCCTAGCTGACGCCGCCTTCTGTTGATTGTTCGACTGGTGTACTCGTCGCCATGAGATCGTGGGCATTGTCACTCGTACTATAGCTGGCTCCCACACCGTAGTAGTGGTATTCGATACTGGACCAGTCGTACTGGTGAAGACCAGGCCGTGCAAGGCTGCGGACGGCAAACCGTCGAGCAGGGAGAGGCTGCTCGCTCTACAACAGGCCATCCTCGTCGTCCGACGTGTCCTCGGCGTCGCGCAGGCGGCTGGCCAGGTCGGCTGGCAGACCGCCCTCACCGTCAGCGTCGAGGTACTCGCGGCCGCCCGCGACGCTCAGCGCAACGGGCAGGAAGATTAACGCGTGCGTCGAGGCAAAGGCGACGAGCGCCACCCAGACGCGGAAGTAGTAGATCTCAAAGATCTTACTGCGCGTAAAGGCAAGCACAGTGACGCCGAGCAGCTTCGTGAGCGTGATGCCCGAGAACACGGAGCCGCCCACATTGACGAGGGCCGCCCAGGCGCGCTGTGCGCGCGCATCCGGGAAGCGTGTGCGCGCGTTGTGGCGGAGGAGACCTGACGGGAACGTGAAGGCCCGTGCAATGTGGGCACAGAACTCGACCGAGATGCCCACGCAAATGACCAGATTGACCAGGGACACGGCATTGAGCGACACGCCCATGACGGCCATGGCGCCGACAATGTCGCAGATGGTCATGGCCACCGTGCACGCGACGACGGCGGCTGTCATAAAGGAGCCGAGGATGAGCCAAGAAACGGCAAAGATGATGGCCATGGCCGAGCCCAGCAGCGTCGCCGAAAGCGACACGATCGTTGCATACTGGTCAAAGAAGACGTAGAACACGCTGTAGGGGAACACCTCGACGCCCGTGGACGCCGTAATGTCCGAGGCCACCCGCCGTGCCGAGGCATAGGCCTGGATGAAGTCGTCCTGGCTGCGGAGTGGCGTGTGCATCGTGCGGAAGTGCGTGGCAGGCAGCGTGTCATGCTCCGCGTCAATGACCAGCGCCTGACCGTACGTCGCCTGGCCGCCGAGGGGGCAGTCTTCGGTGGTTGGCGCGTTGATAAACTTCTCGAGGTAGTGGACAAACTCGTCGCCTTCTGGCATGCCGGAGAGTGTCACGTTCCAAGGCGGGGTACGGCCAGCGAAACACGGCTTGCCATGCTCGACACAGCAGCTCTCAAAGTCGGGGTTGAGCCACAAGAAAAAGTCGTCAATCCAGCTGGCCGCGGGCGACGCAATGTAAGACACGTTGGACCGCTTGCGCTCTTGCTCGAGAATGCCCGTCAGGGACGTAAGCTGGCACGATGGGAAGCGCGAGCAGAGCTCCTGCTGGTGCGACCGCTGCGTCGCATTGAGGTCCTTCGTCACAAAATAGACCGGGGGGCCAGACTCGAAGTAGTCGTACAAATCGTTAAAGTAGGGGATGAGGTAGGAGTCGTCGGGGATCGCAACCCGCTGGTCGAGGCCAAGCTCGACGTAGGGGAGAAGGGCAATGCCCGCAGCAAACAGGCCCGTGAAGAAAATCAAAACACCTGCCTTGACGCTCTTCTTTAGCAGTGTAGGCGCATAACGCTGGCGGATGAACCGCTGCAGCACGCTCTCCCGGGACAGATCGTCACTGTAGCCGTTTGAATCGTTGTACCGGCCGGCGTACTCCTCGTTGAGGTGAACCCGCGCGGATTTGACTGGGATACAGAACAGGATATCGGCACGGTTCTCCTCGACGCGAATCTGGTTCAGGGCCAAAACGGACACGAAACCAGTCACCTGCAGGATGGCGTTGATGAAGACGGCACCAGCTGCGTAGATGGCAAAGTTGCGGACAGCAGGCATGCCAACAAACGCACCGAGCGCAAACGACGCCGTCTCCGTAATCGCCGAGAAGAGGATGGACGGGCCCATGCGGCCCAAGGCCAAGGCCACGCGATGTGCAACCTCTTCGTCCCGGTGGCTGATATTGACACGCTCAAACTCGTGAACGATTAAGAAAATGTTATCCACACCGACAGCGAGGACAATGAATGGGATGACGTCGACGATAATGAGTGTCGCCTTCAGGCCGGCCCAGGAGAACAGACCAATGGACGCGGTGATGGACAGAACGACAATCAGGACGCCAATAAAGCCGAGGCCGAACTTGGACTCGACCAGGAACACACCAAAATGGCGAAACAGGTCGCCAAGGGAGAGCGTGGTCGACCCGAGCGCGATCGATGCGTACAGGAACATGATGACATAGCTGATAATGATAATCTTGGCGTCGGTGTTTGTCGACTTGTTGAGCTCCTCTTCCAGGCTGATTTCGGTCGAGAACGACAGGCGGAGGCCACGGGAGGAAGCCTCTGTCTGCACGTCGAGAAGGCGCTTCTTCAATGCCTGCTCCCAGTCCATGGCCCGTTTCACCTCGGGCGTGTCTTCGGCATAGTTGTTGACGACCCAGGTAACCGTCATGCCGGCAGCTTCGTCAGCGTGCGCGGCATCCGGGAACTGTCCTAGAATCGACTCGGGATCGAGGGGCTGGCCGTAGTCGGCGCGGCATTCGACTGGACGCTGTGCGCACGACCGGACCGTCTGCTTCCAGTACTTGTCGACAAGCGACGGCTCGTTTCCAAAGTAGGTCGCGACGGACTGCACGACACAGGCAGACCCGGTCGGCTTGAGGCAGACGTCGTCAAGAGTCACGCCGTACTCTTGTCCCTTGAGCTCCCGGATGCTCTTCTCCACGCCCATCCACCACTGAAGGGTGTCCTGGCTGAGGACAGGGCCAGGTCCAGAGGGGAGGGTGTCGTTGACCAAGAAGGCCTGCTCGGCACGGTAAAATGGCCCGAAGTTCGTGTCGAAGAAGGCCTTCTCCTGCGCCGCAGCAGACGTCGGGCTGACCCACAGCCGCGCCGGATCGAGCTCCAGCTTGAAGCGGAAGAGGCCGAGGCTCAGCACGGTCGCAACGAACAAGCTGCATCCAATGCTGAGACCGGGGAATCTGGCCGCCCAGTGGCCCAGCTTCCGGAAGACCTTGTTGCACCAGATGTTCAAGATGTAGTCGGTCGGCGCGTCTTCGGCGGCCGCGACGTCCGAGGTCGACCTACGGATAAACCCATAGAGAAAGGCGTGGTGCTCGTCGTCTTCGACATCGTCTTCGTCGTCGGCGTCGCCATGGGGGTCGTGCAGCAGGGGCAGGCCCTGGCTCCGGTTCTGCCTGTACCAGAAGCGCAGGCCGGCCCAGACAAGGACGAGTGCCGCCAGCACCGAGTACGTGAGAATCGAAGCAAACGACAAGCACGGGAGGAGGCCCACATGGCACTCTGTCGACTTTTTGAGGGCGGGCAGCTCGGGGCACACGGCCGGACAGTCCACGCAGGCACAGCGGAAGTTGGGGTCTTCGTCGTTGCACTTCTTCGGGACCGATTGGCGCGGCGACATGCCCGGTTCGGGGTACGCGAGGGGAAAGTTCATCTGGAAGGGCGAGCCGCCGAGGCGCTGCTTGCCCAGGAAGGTGAGGAATTCCGTGTAGTTCTTGGCGCCGCCGCCGATCAGCGCCATGGCCTTGGAGTTGGTCGGGCCAAACTTGACCTCCTTGCAGCTGTCGTAGAAGCCGGCACCGTATTCTTCAGACACAAGCTGATCGAGCTCGGTGACGAGAAGCTTTCCGTTCTTCTCGGCGGCGTCGGTCACGTTGATAAAGAGCGATTGGTCGGGCGAGCAGGTGAACGAGCAGAAGAGGTTGTAGAAGTTTTCCTTGCAGGCAGGGCAGGAGGAGATGAGCTGGTTCGCCGTGGCGAGGTTGTCTTTGAGTGCTTTCACCTAGAGGGGGACAAGTCATGGTCAGAATGAGTGCTCAACGGCTAAGAGACAAAAGTCCTCCTGTCAACGTACTTGCTCGCCATCGCAGCACACCGGCCCGGACTTCCACTTGGGCCCACACAGGCCGACGAGCTGATCCCGCAGCTCTTCATCAGGCTCCGTCGCAAGGCCGTTGTCCACACACGGCAGATCGGCCCCGAATATACTCCGCTTTCCACACTGTCCACGGATGGCACATCGGCCCGCTTCGTGCCTTGCTGTGAGGCCGGTGATGGTCGCCGCCGCTTCTCCCAGGCCGGCTAGGAGGAGCAGCGCGCAACTGCCGCCTGCAGCGACGGCTCGCGAGAGCCTTGTCATGCTATCAAGCGAGGCTCTACACGCATGCAAGGCTGTTGACTCTGCTGCAACAATGTGTTCGAAGCTGTTGGTGAGCTTGTTTGTCGATTCCGGTGAGTGGGTATTCGGAGTGGCTGGAGTGTTTGGTCGTGTGATGCGTCAAGGCTCGGTCGCACAGCAACGTATCAAAGCGAAACCGAGCAGAGTTCGCAGTCAGGACAAAGAAGCGGGAGACGCGACAAAGGAGATGCGAGGCAAAAGAAAGGTGCAAGTGTTGAGTGCTGTGACAGAACATCTGACGAAGATGGGTGAGCTCGGCGCGGCAGGAGCAATGGGCAGCTGCCCGCTAACAGCCAGTCCCGTGTGGACCCACAGTAGTCGCCTGCGTCATCGTCACTGATTCCACACTCCACAGCAAAGGCTTGGCGTGTCAGCCGGATCGGAAAAATATAGCCCCGCAAATAGAATCAACCAAAGGCTACGAAGTATGCTCAAAGCCGTAATTACATCTTGGCATCAAAATTCACTTTGCCCAGGAGATTCTTTGCGAGAATGCATTGATCTTATATCATATGCAAAATCGACGTTTGGTTCACACCACGGTCGACGCCGATATCCGACTCTTTGTCCGGTTTCAGCTAGTTTTTTTTTCGTTGACATTTCACAGACTTCAGCCTTTCCTCGTCGACATTTGGTTGCTTTGCCGCTGCCGATGCTCTCATGCGAATGCACCATACAGTTCCGTCGCCAGCCACGATAGTCTATCTATATGCACCGAATTTACCTCGGAAATAGGTCCTAGAGAGAGTTCTCTATTGGCCTGCTCCTGTGGCTGTTCCGAGGGCGCGGCGGGCTCGTGGTGCTTCGCAGCCAGTTCCCCAGCTTGATCTGGTAGTTGACGAGTGTTGACTTGCCCTGCCAACGCGCATTTCGCATTGCGAGTCTCCATCGTTTGATTTATATTTGGATTTCCCTATATCTGTCCGGTTTGTCGTCCCAAACAAAGGCGGATCGTTCCTTCTCTGTTTTTGTTTGCGGATATTGGATCGCGGCTTCCGCATTTGGATTTTATGACACCTTCTCCACGCGTCGTCATCCTAGCCGTTTCCTGTATTTTGATTCCTTTCTGTTACCACTTCTGTTCTCGTCCTTTGGACAGGTTGCGTTTCTCTCTTGCGTTTGTTTACGTCCCATACCGCGGCCACTCTACGGACCATGGCCGCATCACCGCCCTCTTCGAGTGCTCCTGACGTCGCGATGGATGGCGATACCAAGCACCAAGCCAACCGCCAGGAAGACATGTCTGCCTCGAAAAAACGCAAAATCACTGGCGACGATGCGTTTTCAGATGCAGATGCAGCCTTGAATGCCACAAACGGACTGGCTGCTCAGTCAAAAAAGGCGAGGCTGGATGAATCCAACCGCCTTTCCATGGATAGATCACTACTACCCACTGAGATCTGGCACCACATCTTTTCCTTCTGCCCCCCCAGGACGTTGGGGAATTTGTTGATGGTCAACAAATTGTTCAACTCCTACCTAGATCCTGCTTCGCCTGTCGTGGTGGAAAAGCGTCCACCACCGCTGGCCAAGTCTGTCGTCAAAGTCATAAAGCCAAATGATATTTGGCGCAATGCTCGGCGCACCTTTTGGCCAAAAATGCCTGCCCCTTTGAAGGAAAAGACGGAGCTGGACATGTGGCGTCTTGCCTGCTCATCGACCTGCCAGTTTTGTGGCAAGCGGGACACGCGACGCACGTTTCCTGCGACGGACCCTCTTCGCGGACCAGGCCTCGATGGTGTGGCCCGTGTCTGGGAGTTCCGAGTTCGTTGCTGCGGGTTTTGTCTGTCCAAAAGGACGGTAACGGTAGGTACATTCGTCCATCTCTGGAGCCATTGTTCTGGATAGACGTTCGGTTCTCCCGTTTCTTTGTGTTTCCCGATCAACTAACCCTCGCCACACAGGAAATGGACTTGGTCTTGTCGGCTGGTTCAACGTTCCTCATTCCAGCCCTTCAATTTGTGTTTGTCACCTCACTAGCCTGTGTTGTCCCACTTCACGTTATAGAACGAGGCCAGCTTCCGGCTTCGTCAACATTGACAAAGTTGTTTTGGGCGGCTGACGTTGAGAGCCTACGCGAGGAGTTTGCGTCGGTGAGAGAGATCGGTGCTCCTGCAGCGGAGGAATGGCAGAAAGGCTTATCGAAACGGGGCTCTGACCAGCGAGTTAATATCGCAAAATGGGAAAAGTATGACGACTCTGGTGGTGTTGCCAACATGAGAATGCTTCTTCATCCAGATGTCAAGGGCCAGCCTCCTACTGTTCTGGAGCCGACTCAGCGTACTGAGCTCACACAATCCCCAATTAAAAGTAAGTTTAAACGAACAACGTTGCAATTGCCTTCTACTTCGTCTAACAAGATCAAGATCTAGAGGGAAAAATTATGCCCGCGTCTGCCACAGCTGTCGAAGGACAAAAGCTGGTTTCGACTTGTGTGGCAAAGCCTCCCGATGCACCGGCCAAAAAAGAAAAGACGTCCGAAGAAATTGACGCTGAGTGGGATCTGATACAAGGTCCTGTCCGACTCAAGATCCTTCGATATGCTGACGAAGCAATCATTGGTGACTGGGACGATGGTGATAAGGTGACGAAAGACAATGCTCCGGCGTTTGCTGCCGATGTCCTGCTTCATGTACGAAAACGGTTCTACACGGAAGTCGAAAACGACGCAAAGGCGGCACGGGCGTTCGGTCGAGAGCCGACCGTTGACCCTGTTGGCGGACCCTTCACCCAAAAGCTCACGTTGGAGAATCTAAAGTACGTGTTTGACGTCAAAGTCAAGCCGATCACGTCCAAATTTCGCACCGATTTGTTCCTTTGCCCTGTTTGCGATACAAGCATGAAATTCTTCGGGTTTGAGGGCGCCATTCAGCACTACGCAGCGAAGCACACGAATATCCTTAGCGTTGGCAATATCGTTGTTTACTGGAGGGCCGAGTGGCCAGAGGATCCTCCGTTCCGGCCAAATCCTCGCACTGCTAAAGGCACAGGTCTGCCGGTGCCACTACCTCAATCTCCGACAGCAAAGCTTCCAATTCAGCGAGGCCCCGGCCCGGCGGCTAAGCGCTCTGGCAAGGACCATCAACAATTTGGTGCTGCACAGACTCTGCCATACCAAGGAACAGCGACTCACTTCCCACCGCCACCATCACAATTCCAGTCTAGTCATGTCCAACCGACGCAATTCCATATGCAGGCCAATCCAGATGACGGTAGTCTCTACAGTGGAACATCCTTTGGTCCTAATTCGCAACAAGGTGGTTTCACTTTTGGCGCTCCCTCGTACCACAACCCAGTCGGACAACGGACGGGGCCAGGTTCGTTCCAACCGCCGCCGGTCTACCAGCGTGCATCTTATGAACCACTCGCTGGAGGAGCTAATCAAGATGCTCGTTCTTTCTCCACTGGACCGCCAGCACAGCCTTCTGTTTTTGAGGCTCCGGGACCAGTTGTTCCCCCTGAACATCAAGCTTTGAACCCCTTCATCTCGAAAGAGCCTTATCAGGCCCATTCTTCTGCTGTGGTCCCGTCCAATCCGGTTGACCAAGCTCCGAAATCGCCCTACCAAGAACGGCTTGATGAGCTTGTACGATACGCACGTGTACTGTGGAAGGACCTGCTGTCTCTCCCTCGCATCCCTGATGTTGTCAGAATCCAGACTTTACTCTTTCATGCAAACAAACACTACCATCAAATGTTTGGCGCACAGTTGCCATTGACCCTCTTCAAAGATAGAATCTTGAAGTCCGTGGGTATGGCACCCATTGGCATCATTCAGAACCTGCGTTGCTTCGCCTGTACTAGAGGCCTTGACCCTGTGCAGCACAACAAGAAAGGACAAATTTTGTTCACATTCGCGGAACTTATCACGCATTTTTCTCAAGCACACATTGAGGGTCGGACAAAATGGTCGAACCCATTCAATGTGAATCCAAATGCGGCCAATCTGCCTCGTAACTGGTTGACTGAGATGCTGACCCTTCCTCCCAAGCATGAACTCGCTAATATGGCCAAGGCACCGCGTGGAAAGGCCATCCGGCTTGTCCTGGCTGAAGCAATCCAAGATGCTATCAACCATCAACAGGACAGCGTCACGGAATCTGAAGCGCAGAAACCAACCCCAGAACCTGCAGTCGCGCATACAGAGAACGGCGGCCCTACTTGGAGACATGCAGATGGCGCTGCAAGACCGAAAGCGACCGGACTTTCACGTCTATCGAAAACTTCAACAAGTGTTGTCCTGCCTCGCGAAAATCGAGTGCCGGACGTCAATCTTAAGCCGAAATTCCAAAAGGCGCACAAAAAGGGAAATGGTAGTCAACCTGTGGAAAAACCTGCTGAAAATTCAGTGGAGAATCTTGCAGACAAGCCTGCAATTACTATCAAGGAAGAAGTGCAAGAACATAACCATGTTCCACTATCCGTACGTGTTCCTGCCGCACCAGAAGGCAAGCAGGATTTATTGGGGGCACTTGAGGCGCACTTGGATGGTAAGCCATTCACCCGTACGTCGGCAGCAAGAGAGCCGCCACCGCCTGTTCATCCCCCGGCCCGTGTGGTGTACGTTGACGAGTACGGCCGCGAAGTCGTTCCGAGACACGCCGACCAACGCGACTTGTATCGTGGTGGCCGCGATCACCCTCGCGACGACGAGCGGTATGGTCGATATGTTGCGGTTGAGAGAGGCGAGCCGTATCAGAGACGGGCACGATCACCTCCTGCAAACCAAGGCAGCTACGCTCCACCATCTCGTGCCCCTACGGGGCAGTACTGGGACCGCAGCCCACCCCTAGCGCGACGATACGCCGACGAGCCAGTGTATTCCGGATTCCCCGTGGGCTACGAGGAAGCGCATGAACGTGGTGCGCTGCCTGGACCGCACCATCATTATGCCCGCGCCCAGCCACGCCAAGAGCACTATTTAGACTATGCCGATAGGGCGGGTCGTGCGGAGGTGGCCTACCGACCAGCAGAATATGACCCATACGAAACTTATGAAGTCGTGCAGGTTACTGGACCAGAAGGCGAGTACCTGGTCAGACGTCCAGTGCGACGGGAGGCACCGCATGCTGGCCAGAGGGGTTCTGAGCGCCACTATCCGTCCTCGACAGTAACCCCTGCACCCGTACCGTATGATGGTGTCGGCGGAAGGGATGCTGGTGGCATTGTGCGACACGATCGCGCTGAAAGCTACCGCGAGTCAGGCTACGGCGCACGGTCCGAAACCTACGGTGCCGGAAACCTGGCGTACGGACGACGCGTTGTGGGCGAAGGACCAGAAGCAGTACCACACCACTCGGTGGCGCGGTCAAACTCGGCCTATTATGACGAGTATGACCCGCACAACCCATCGAGTGGAGGGGCAATGCAGGAGGCACCGAGTCAGATACAGTACCACTAGAACTGGCAGATGTGCGGCTCAGCCTCAGGATACGAGACCAGTATGGTGCATATGCCGGGCCGGTTCACCATGGCCGGCGGTTATGGCTTTGCAGTAGGTCCCTTATATGGTAGCAATCCTCCAAGATGAGCAGTCGCCTGACTTTGTCCTGGGCATTCATTTTTTTTTTGGCTTCTTGGGAGGGACACTTCGTTGACACCATATCACGAAATATCGATTTGGCACAGCTGGCGATATAAATAACGGAACACAAAAACAGAATGAAAAAAACAGAACAATTTTAGTAAACTTTAATCCACATATGTGACAGAGTGCCTTTATTTGTAGTATTGTACTGTATTCGTCGAGATAGTATCGTTCTATGTAGATGACGGGTGATGAGATTAGGACGTGAGCGGGAGAATTGATGGGAGAGAATGTGTAGGGATCTGAGGAATAGACATGATAGGTGAAGTTGAGAGAGTGGTGTTACAAGACATGTGTATGAAGAAAACGGCAAAAACAATAAACATAGAGCCGAGCGTCGTCCGACAAGACAGAAATAGAATCCAAACCAGCGAAGGATGCGTCAAAACAACAAGAAAACTTTGTGACAAAAGAAAACCCCAACGTAAAGTCAAATCGGCACGTAGAGATACAGAAAGCGCCTCCCTTCTTATTCCATTTTCCCCCTCTCTTCTTTCTCGCAATATATAAACTTGGGTGTATAATTTATACCACCTCGCCAATGATCTTGGCGGCCTCCTTGTATGTCTCCAGCAGACGCTCGCACTTCTCACGCTCCTTCTTGACGCCGTCGTCCTCGTACAGAAGCTCCTCAAAGAGCATCTCCTTGTAGAGCTCGCTGACGAGGCGGTTCTGCACCACGTCCTTGCAGTGGTTGACCAACAGGTGCATGATGGCCTTGGGCACCTGGTCGGCAATGGACTCGCGCACAATGTTAAAGTACGACGAGATGAGCGCGCGGATCAGTTCCGTCTCCATGGCCTCGCGGTCCGTCAGCGCGGGTTCGCCACCGGTGCCGTTCGCGCCAAAGAGGTCCATGCTGCCGCCCGCACCGAGCGCGCCAGGGTGGCCGGTCGAACGGCCGTATTCGTCGCTGCCGGCACCAATGGGCGACCGCAACGGCCGGTCGTCGGGACGGCGCATGCTCTGGCTAAAGGTAGGCTCGGAAGTCTGGCTCACGTGGCGGCCAATGTTCGCATTGTGGTGGTGGCCGCTGGGGCCGGTGCCGCCGATGGCGCTGCCGTCCTTGCCAAAGAAGTAATTGAGGAACGAGTCCTTGGCGTTGTTGATGGCGGGCTGGTTGAAGCGCGTCGGCGAACCCGGCCGGCCGGCGCCGTTTTCCCGCGCTATGGACGAGCTGCGGCCGCCCTTGGCCACCTTGCGTAGAGCCGTGGTGGTCGCGCCGGCACCGCCGGTGACGCTCAGGTTGTCCTCGTCGACCTCCTCGGGTGTCTCCGTACCGGCAGCACCACCGGCCACACCGTTGGTGCCAGTGCCGTTGGCAGCACCAATCTCTTTGAGGCGGCGGCGCTCGCGGCGTTCGCGCTCTTCCTGGATCAGCCGCTTGCGCTCGCGCTCCTGCTTCTCGTTGACGACGTGGCTCATGGCGGCAGCGGCGCCTAGGAAGTTGGGGTGGTTGGTGTTGATGTAGGCGCGCTGGATCGAGATGAGCGACTCGACGTAGTTGGACGCGGGGCCCAGACGCTCACGCAGCAGATCAGAAACGACCTCGATCAGCTTGGCCTGCAGGCGCGGGAAACGGCTCAGCTCCGTGGACCCGCAGGTGTGGCAGATCTTGATGAGCTCCTCGTACACGAGCTCGACGCACCGCTGACTAGGGATCTCGAGCAGCTTGATCTGGGGCTTGACGAGCAGGTCAAAGGCCATCTCGGGGACGAAGAGACTGGGCCGCGGGCCGGTGGAGTTGCGGATGGCGGTCCGGATGTCGAGGGCGGACAGGTTGGAGGTGGGATCGATCGACTCGAGGGAGCTGCCAAAGACGGAGTTGAAGATGTAGTAAATGCGGGCACCACCGCACAGCTCCTTGGTGGAGATCTCCGTGGAGGTACCATCGATGGAAGAGATGAAAGACGTGGCAAAGCGGGTCATGAGCTGCAGGATAAGTGAGCCACGGTGCTCCTTGCCGCTAAAATGCATGTCACCGTAGCTGGCCAGCTCCTGCTGGGTCTGGCCCATGAGGGTGTTGAGGCGGGCCTTGATGTCGGGCAGGCGATCGCGGATGTGGGTCATGAGTGTGCCGTTGAGCGTCTTGGCCAGGTACGACGTGCCGCAGCGCGTGGAGATGTTGCGGTAGGCCGGGTGGTGCTTGAAGAAGTCGGTCTCGGCCTTGAGTGCCTCCTCCATGGGCTTGTTGCCCTGGATGTCCTGCTGCGACCGGTTGACAACGCCGATCCAGCCGAGCTTGAGCGGGTAGACACGGCCCGACAGGATGTCGAGCGCGTTGGTGCCGTGGTCCATCAGGTCGACCTTGGTCAGGACACCGATTGTGCGGCGACCGAGCGGGTCGACATGGCGGGCGAGCTTGAGGGCCTCGGAGTTGACAATGTCGACGTTGGCCGGGGAGACGGCCAGGATGATGCTGTTGGGCTTGGCAATGTACTCGGAGATGAGGTTGCGTGTCTGCTTCTCAATGTCGGTGGGCTGGTCGCCAATGGGCACCTTGGTCAGACCAGGCAGATCGACAAGGGTTAGGTTGAGTACGTCGGGCGAGTAGATCTTGAGGTTGATGGGCTGGCGGGTGATGCCCTTGTTGTTGCCGGCGACGCGGCTCGTCTCGTTCTCAATCTCGCGCTTGACGTCCTCGAATTCGTTGAAGCGGCGGTTCGGCAGGTGATGGAATTCGGCCCATTCGTTGCGTCGGGGAGCATCGTAGCCACGGGGCTTCGCGGCGGCAGAAGAGTCCTCGTCGTCCTCGGGAACGTTGATCAGTTGCAGGATAAGTGGCCGCCTTGTGACGATGCCGCTGCCGCGAGGGAGAAAGTCGCGACCGACAATGTTTTCGAGGACAGAGGACTTGCCGGCAGACTGGGAGCCAACGACGACCTGGAGGAGGGAGAGGAAGAGAAGCGCGAGTTAGAAGACAGGTTCAGTTTTGTTGCGCACGTGCAGCAAGCGGGGCAATGCTTACAATTTGTGGGAGATCGAGGGAATCGTTGCCGATGGTGTTGAAGACGAGGTCTTGCAACTTGTTGACCGTGGTCAGCAGTTCGTCGCCGAGGGCTGCCATGCTGTTGGATTTGAAGGAAGAGAGAGGCAGTGTCGAGAAAGTGGTGTCAAAAGGAGGAGAGAGGCTGACGAAAATGTCGAGATCACGACGCGTATATTCGTTACCGCAACGGATGCTTCAACCTCGGCGGCCAAGGTGCAGCCCGAGAAACTGGAGCCTCGTGTCGAGGTGCCACCACGCGGTCGAGGAGGTGGAGGAGAGAGAGCGGAGGATCAAGAGAGAATGCTGAGCGGTGTCGTCGAGCAGATAGAGAGTGTCGCGCGAATAGCAGGGCGTGACGCACGGTGATGACGGGTAGAAGGTACGGCGATGACGAAGACACAAAATTATCACGAGGGAGCGAGAGGGAAAGCCAGAGTGCCGAAAAGACCAGAACAGGCAGTGTGTTTTTGCAAGCTACTCCGTCTGGGAAGAGGCAGTGGGCCTAAAAGCTAGACGGAGCGATCAGGGCTAAGCTCAAGGAGGACAAGGGGTGGGCCTTGCGGGTGGAGGAGGCGAAAGCCAGGCGATGAAAATGGACCCAAGAGATGCGCGAAAATAAGCAGCCAGTGGTAGATTGGCTTTGGGTAGTCTGGAGTTTCTTTGCTCGTTTGGGGCTTTGTCGTGGTGGGTGTAGATGGTGCCGGAGCTTTCAGTGCGAAAGAGGCCACCGGCCGACGGGAGCAAGTAAATAGGTTCTGACAGTGGATGACGACGAGGCGGCGATAGTGTGGCCAGGGGAAAACGGGTTGTTGGATGTCAAAAAGTCAGTGGGCAGCCTAGCCGTTGTAGTGTTGTCGTCTTTGGTGCTTTTGCACGTTTTGCAAAAGTGAAGCCAAATTCGGGTTGCAAATCAGTCGAAAAGGGGGAATTCGCAGGTTCGAGATGTTTGCAGGAATGGCAAGAGGTTTGCAGGTCGCTATGGGAAAGTACGACCCAATTTGGGGCTCAATCAACACAGAAACGCAGGAGCACATTCTACTTCGTACAGAGATGGAAAGTACGCGAACGACGCGCTGCATGTCACCTTCCGCGCGCAGGTATAGACAGGGGGGGCTGACTTAGTGGTTTGCTTTGTGCCTGTTAAATGGGCAAGACAGACAACACGCCGCCCTTTGTCCCTGCCTTGAGCCTCCCTTGATTCAGCATCTAATCGCAATGCGCTCCTGCCCTGAGCAACTGGAAATTGGGCTGTTATGCGCATTGGGAAGGCAGACAGGACGTACCAGGGCGCCTGCCTATCGTTCGCCGAGTAGCAATTGGCAATTCATGCGGCAGCGGCAACCGCTGGAACCACTTGTGGCATTTGCACGGACAGTCCGACGCCACGGCAAGCGCGATGCGGGCGATGACGAAGGGGCGATTTGGACGCTGAGCTTGGTGCAGTGCGAAACTGCTAATAGAAATACGAGACGCTGATTGGCCAGCCGCATGGTTCGCTTTTTGCCTGGCTCGACTTTTCGTGCATTTCGACTTTGTAAGGTGAGCATGATCGATTGAACTCGCTTTGCAAAGAATCGATCGGCGACGGACGTGAGGCCGGCTTTTACTATTGGCCCAGATTTCTTGTTCTATTTTTCTTCTGTCATTAATCGCATGCTCTTTTCACCGGCGCTGACACACGGCCGCTCCCTGCGAACGAGCTTGATCTCAGAATCAACGGCCGAACCGACAGCAACGAGAGGCAAAAGGCGTACGGCCACGGGTTTCGACGAATAAAACGGCCGGTAGTAAACGGACTGCCCAGTACGTCCTACCTCGAGCCGAGGGCCGAATCTGACACTTGACACCATGAGCACCTTTGGCAGTCCGGGCGGCGGCAGCATCGCGACGAAACCGACACCGTAAGATGGCCTGAACCCACGATATACGATATGGACGGTATGCGATTATGCGGGTTCGAGGACAAAACGACCTAACAGTTTCAGGCCACAGCGCGGCAGCTTTCCTTTGGACCACGAGGGCGAGTGCAAGCGGGTAATGATGGACTACCTCAGCTGCATGAAGAAAGTAAAGGGCATCAACGAAGACGAGTGCCGGAATCTGGCCAAGGCGTACCTGGGATGCCGGATGGACAGGTGAGTGCGGCGGTCGCAGGAAACACAGTGAAAATAAAAGGAAATTAGAAAAAAAAAAATAACCGCACTCGAAACGACGGGCTAACTTTCCAGAAATCTCATGGCGAAAGACGACTTCAAGAACTTGGGATTCCAAGAAAAAGACGACCAGGCTGGCACTGACAAGGGCGGCAAGGCAAAGAACGAGACCAAGACACCAGGCGAGCTGCGATGGTGAGTCGTGTTTGTGTGCGGAATGGTACAAGGTTGTGTTCTCCGTACCCTTGACATGTGATTTTCAAAGCCAAAATATGCAAAACAGTTCAGAACAATAAAAATCGAAAAAGTCCAACTCGTCCCACCGTACTCACCCAAAACTCACGCATCTCAAAGCCAATTGATGCCTCGTGACATCGGATTTACTACACGGTAAGGACAGGTCATGCCGTTCTCCTCGGACAAGGGCCGCCATCGTCGCCGGTGTCGCTCCGAGAATTGAGTAGCCGACCTCACCTCCAACATCTCCACTCTCCCCTCAATTCTGTGACGGATTTAGGCGACCAGCAGCTGTCTCCACTAGCAAGGAAAATGGAACACGACATTTTGTGAGCGACAGCCTGGTCCCCTTGGACTTCCTTTGGATGTGGACTTTTTCGCTTCAATGCTTCTTGCATGCTTCTCTTGTTCGTTAGTCAATATTCAGGTCCGTCCGTCTCTGTTGCACCGAAACACAGTCCGGGCGAGCTCATGTTGATTTCGCTATCCACCAGCAAATACCAGCGAAAAATACCGTAGTAAATAGCCGTGCATCAGTTCACTTAGTCGCCTATATCAGCGCCTGCCACTGTCAACATCCTGCAATTATTCCCAGTTGTCATCATATAGAAGGAGTAGCCTCGGCTTCTGTGCGGTTGCCTTCCTTTTTGTCAATATCTAGGGACTGATTTTGATTTTGATGTTGACTTTCGTTTCCTTCCCCTCACTCTCGTCCGCAGCTCATATTATGCAGAGCGACCTCCATCTCATCCCCACGTACGCCCTCTCCGCACATTCTCCCCTCACGCTCACTTTCTCAAGCTGCGTCATATCGTCTCCGAAATGCTTCAAGTCCGCCCACAGCTTTCCCGGCAAGCACGGCTGGGCCGACCGTGTCTCGTGTGCCGGTCCGTGTGCCGCTACTCAAGCGTCTCCAGCTCAACACCCCCCTCGCCCGTCACGTCTCTCTCCACCGATGCCACTCTCCCCAACCTCCGCATTGGTCGCCATACCCGTGTCGTCTTCCAGGGGTTTACTGGCCGCCAGGCCACGGCCAATGCCCGCGAATCGCTCGCCTGGGGCACCAACATCGTCGGCGGCGTGACCCCGGGCCGCTCCGGCGAGCACTTGGGGCTGCCCGTGCTGCCCAGCGTCCGCGCGGCCGTCGAGACGCTCAAGCCGGACGCCACAGGCATCTATGTGCCGGCACCGCTCGCGCCCGCGGCCATTGAAGAGGCCATTGCCGCCGAGGTGCCCTTGGTTGTCGCCGTGGCCGAGCACATTCCCGTGCACGCCATGCTGCGCATCCACGCCATGCTCAAGACGCAGTCCAAGTCGCGGCTCGTGGGTGCCAACTCGCCCGGTATAATCTCGGCTGTTGGCGCCTGTCGCATCGGGTTCCAGCCGCTGCCGTGCTTCTCGCCCGGGTCGGGCCCCGGCACGCGCGTCGGCATTGCCGCCAAGTCGGGCACGCTGAGTTACGAGGCGGTGGCCTCGACGACACGGGCGGGGCTGGGCCAGAGCTTGTGCATCGGCGTGGGCGGCGACATTGTGGCGGGCACGGATCTGCGCGAGTCGCTGGCCGTGTTGGCCGACGACCCGGAGACGGACGCGATAGCGCTGATTGGGGAGATTGGCGGCACGAGCGAGCTGGAGGCGGCCGCGTGGATCGAGGCATACAGGAAACGGGCGCAGGCGGCGGGCGCTGTGCCCAAGCCAATCGTGGCGTTGATTGGCGGCACGCACGCTGCTGTTGAGGGCCGCATCATGGGCCATGCAGGTGCCTTTGTTCTCCCCGGCGAGCCGACGGCCCAGGAGAAGATCCAGGCGCTCGAGCGGGCAGGCGCGACGGTGATTGACCACCCGGAGAAGTTTGGGCAGGCAGTCAAGGCGCGGCTGGACGCTCTTTCCCCGAGCGGCAGCGGTGCCAACAGCAGCAGCCTGTTTGGGCAGGCGGGACCGACGAGCCAGCGCCGCAGCATGCACACATCGACGCTGTCCCGAAACGGCAACAGCAAGCGGCCTACGATTCAAGGGGGGATGATGTCGCGGCGGCCAGCGCACACCACCACCCAAAAACGCTCCATCTACATTGGCCAGGACGCCACGTTTGATCTTCTGCGCAAGCAGGGCGTCAACGCCGCGCCCTACTCGGGCCAGGGCACCCAGCGCTACCTCGCCATTACCGTTGACCGCTCTTCCAAGATGCCGTGTGTGCTGGCGGCCCCGACCTACAATGCCACCGTTTCGAGCATCAGCAACCTCCGCCGTTTCCCGTTTGGCTACCGCGCCGGCGTGGACGGCCTGCTCGCGGCCCGCGTCGCCGACCACCTTGGCCTCGACACGACGTCCTCGACGAGCGAAACCGAGAGCCTGCGCAAGCTGCTGCGCGTGCTGTACGCCACCTTTCTCGAGCAGGAAGCATACCTTGTCGAAACGGCTGTCGTCGCGCGGCTCGCCGACGTCAAGGTCGTGCATGCACGCCTGGGGCTCGACGACGTCGGCTTCAACCAGCGCAAGGCCACCGGCGACGAGACCACGCTGTGGCTTGCCTCCGTGACGGCGCCCATGGAAGCCAACGCGCGCGAAGCCGCGGCCAAGAAGGACGGCATTGTCTACGTGACTCTCCACGACAACGACAACAGCAACGACAACAGCCACAACAATGACAACAACAAACAAGGGCGACAAGGGGCGGCCGCGCCGGCGACGATTGGCACGCTTGTCAACGGCGCCGGCCTGGCCATGAACACGGTGGACGCGCTCGCCGGCCTTGGTGGGCAGGCTACCAATTTTTTGGACACGGGCGGCAAGGCCACGAGCGAGACGGTCAAGACGTGCTTCCAGGTACTGCTGCAGGATCCGCGCGTGCGTGTCATCTTTGTCAACGTCTTTGGCGGGCTGACGCTCGGCGACATGATTGCGCGCGGCGTGCTGCTGGCGTTCAAGGAGACCAATGTGACGGTGCCCGTGGTGGTGCGCATCCGCGGCACGAACGAGGCCGAAGGCCAGGGGATTATACGGACGAGCGGGCTGCCGCTGTTTGCCTACGACAGTTTTGACGAGGCGGCGGCCAAGGCGATTGAGCTGTCCAAGGCGGCATGAAAAAGTTTGGTTGGGTGGTTGATGGAGATTGAGAAGCCGAATTGTACATACACTGCTATACTGGAAAGTAAAACCAAGAATAGATGATGTTTGATCAGACAAGAACGAGAAAGAGCCATTGACCGAATTGTAGACGAGGCGAAATACGGAAAACCGAGTTAGTGGGTATCTGCCGTGTGGAAAGACGGCATGGGATGGCTGTGCCTGTTTGCTTGACTACGCCGTACAAAGGATCTAGGTGACGTATGAAAGCAGACTTGGGAATACGAGGGCGGCCATGACACCGATTCTCAAAGGAGACAGCAGATACGGGCCATACGTAGATGGAGGAAAAGGCGCGAATAAACGTCATTTGTAGAATGAATACCTCGACTGGCAAATGACAGCAGAGAGGCACAGTGGCAGAGTGGCCGAAATCAATGTGCAGTTAATCTATGCTGAAGTGTCTGGGAATCCTTTAATAACAAGCCGGCCCATCTGGCGTTTTCTTCTGTTCACTGGCACCGTCGTTCTGTCTCTCATCGACGTCCCTTCATTAGAGAGGTGCAATGCCCCAATCCTTCACAATGTACTCTCAAGAAGCAGAGGCGACGCAGTGCAAAAGTCTGCAGCTGTCCTCACAAGCAGACGAAAAAGATGGTCTGCCGCCCGGTTTCAGGCCCTCTATTACGCGGCCGGTAATATAATTAGGCACGGGTGCTGGGCCTTGTCGAAGGATGGCCGGAGAGGGGAAGGAAGATAATTTCGTCTTTTTTTTAAAAAAAAAATAGGAAGTAACAAAAAGATAGGAAGAAGGGCACCGCCACACAATTGAGGAGATAGTCCTCCCCAATCGTGGTCGCTTTCCTGGCCTTTCTTCTTCTTCTTCTTTTTCATTTTATTTTCACCGTTTACTTTATTGCCTTACGATAGCTAGTCGCAATTAAGAAGGCGATCGTAGATGGAGAGGCATTGTGGGACCCGAAATGAAGTCAACATGAGAAATGGATCGTCACCACCCATGGAATGCCAGTATAAGAGATATGCCAACGCACTCAACGACCACTCAACAACCACTCTGTTGTGGCTTTTTGGGATAACCGGTCATTTTAAGTTTAAAGACGATTTAGAAGTCTTTTATTTCTTTTTCTTTGCTTTTTCCCCTTCTTTTTTCTTTCTTTGGTTTACCTCTCTTTTCTCTGCCACTAAAGTTCATTTCCAACTCCTTTACGAAAATACATGATGCCCTCTCTCTTCAAAGTCACCGTCACCGTGGCCGGCTTTCTTTCGGCCGCATCGGCTGCTGCACTCCAACGGCAAGACTGCACTTGGAGTGTCGTCGCCTCCGCAACCGACACATGTGCCACCATTGCCGCTGCCTGGGACCTGAACGTAGAACAGTTTGCCGTCTACAACCCCATCACCGGCTGGAACTGCTCCGACGGCGTCATTGCCGGCGAGACGTACTGCGTGGAGCAAAACTACGGCCTCAGTGCTCTTCCTACGAGTCCGTCCATCACACCGCCCCTACCCTCGCCGACATCGGGCGACCCAAGCAGTGGTGGAACAGGAACTGGAACCGGAACCGAAACTGTTTCTGCGCCGACAACACCCACTGCGCCCAACGGCTCGCCCATCCCGTCGCCCGTCCAAGATGGCATCACACCAGATTGTAAGACGCTGCCGTTTTTTTTTTTTTTTTTTTTTTTTTTTTTATGCTTGACGTTTGGTGTGTTCGTCACTTACATGATAAGGCATCTCTTTCTACAAAGTGGCCAAAGGTGACACATGCGCCAAGGTGGTCTCCAAGTTTGGCACCTTTTCGCTGTCCGACTTTTATGCCTGGAACCCGGCCGTCGGCACCGACTGCTCGGGTCTGTGGATCGACACGTACGTCTGCGTCGGCACCACCGCCACCTCCACCACGAAGCCCACCACCTCCAAACCGACATCGTCGTCGCCCACCGGCTCGCCCCTGCCGTCGCCCACGCAGGACGGCCTGACCGACAAGTGCACGCGCTTCTACAAGGTCGTCAAGGGCGACACGTGCGCCAAAATCGTGGCCAAGTACGGCACCTTCTCGCTCGACGACTTTTACGGCTGGAACCCGGCCATCGGCACCGACTGCTCCGGTCTCTGGCTCGACACGTATGTCTGTGTGGGCGTCCCCGGCACGCCCACCGCCAAGCCGACGCCCACACCGACCAAGGGGCCATCCCCCGTACAGGACGGCATCGACCCGTCGTGCAACAGCTTCTACAAGGTCGTCAAGGGCGACACATGCCAAAAAATTGTCGCCAACAACAAGAACAAGCTTACTCTGGCGGAATTCTACAAGTGGAATCCGGCCGTTGGGGTGAGTCATGACTCCGTGACAAATGCTCATTTGTTTTATGTTATGTATTTTTCGTGATGAAACTGACGTGATAGGATGACTGTTCTTCGTTGCTCCTGGACTATTATGTTTGTGTTGGTGATGGCAAGAAGCGTCGGTTTGTGAAGGTACAGTAGAGTGAGGCGGTGGATGAGCTGAGTAGGCATGGCATAAAGCGGATGAATGTTACATTTTTGCATTTTGTGTGATAGCTTTGACTTACGTTCTTCTAAGCAGATTATTATTTTACGCAGTTCTTGCAGGTTTTTATATTTTGGCAATAATTGTATACAAACCAATTCACGTAAGGCAAATTGTATGTTTTAAAACAGCAAATAAAAAGCCACTTCAAAGGAAATTCACCACACTCACAACCCATAACACGCCATGTCGTATAACTGCATATTACTGTTGAAGACGTCGCGTGGTGAAACACAGACAACTGCCTAGCAATGCTGAGAAGCGGCAGGGGCTGAAGGAGGCTGCCAAACAACATCGAGGGATCCAAGCGTTCAAACAACCGACTCCGAGTATTCCTATTCGTTGAATTTGTTTGCCATGTTTGTTCTTCATGTCTTTTTTTTGAGTTTCTGCCGTTTCACGACGTAATTTTGTTCTTCTCCTCGTGTCTTACTGCACAGCGCTGTGATTCCGATACGATATAATTTTTGCAAAATTCACAACTTGCCGATATGTCTAGCTGCGATGATGCCATGCATATGCCCTTCTGGCTCTTCGCCTTCTTCGTTTCTATAAAAACGGTCTTTGAAATAATTAAATCGAACTGCACCGAACAACCGTTAGATTAGCTGTGGTCTGTGCAGTTGGTAGACTACCCTAGCGCCAGAGCTACCCCTGACAAACACAGCTTCCACTTGAGACACTGTCTGGCTACTCTGAATGGAGATTTTTGGTCAAAAAAAAAAATAGAAAAAAGAAGACGTGGTAACAAATATGAAGTGAGAGCGACCGTGTACGAGCATAGCGTAGACATAGTGAATAAACTACCATCTTGTTCACCCCTGTCTTCCCCAGCAGTGCAATTCGCGATAATTGCTGACCGGGCCTTCGGAGACTTTTAAGAGCCCTTGAAACACGGTAAGCTGAGAGGGAGCGTGCAGCGCGCCACAGCAAAGGAGAGGAACAGCAGACAGCAGGTTGCACAAGAGACCAGCAATAAGAAGAGCCATTTCCCAAACTGTCTGGGCCTAAAAGTAAGCGTCGCGACAAAAGACCCAACGTCGAAAGGCAGATCACGGCTTCATCGGTGGTGGCCATAAACAACACTGAGCACTGAATTTTGGACTGTGCACAAACAAGCACTGCGCCTCCGCCTGTGAGCAACTGGGACTGCAGTACAAAAGAGACGACAACCGGACAGCTGCAGATAAGACGCAAGGCACGCACGGCGTCCGAATACTGGCTTCGCCTCACGAATCATACGGCTGAGCAACAAAAGCCGAGGTCGTTGCAAGGAAGGAGCACGCCAGGCCTGGATACAGCATCGCGCCTTCCCTGTACTTGCTCTTTCCGCCTTTTGCACGTCTCGCACTGCTTACCTCTTCCCCCGTCTCCTTTCCCCCGTCGTCAATATTTTGCCTCGTTTTGACCGCCGCCCACAGACTCGGTTTGAGCGCAACGCTTTGCTCCCCGTCGCAATGGCGACAAATGTGTCCACCGGACAGCACCCGGTGGCCGCCGCCGCCGCCGCTTCGAGCACGGCGTCCTGTTTTACGCCACCATCTGGCGCATCTTTGCCGTCCAACCTCATCGCCACGGCAGTCTGTCTCGTGAGCTTCTTCGTCACTCACGTTGTCGAGTCTCTCACCGCACTGGCTGCCCGCTTGACAGTCGCCCGTATCATTGCCGCTGTCGCGGCCTTTCTCGTGGCGGCCTTCCTGGCGGACTGCGCCCTCAAGCCGCGCTACCCGCGGTCTCTGCCCCGGGTCGGCTACGGCGACAGCGTCGTTGCGACGCTGCGCAACTGGTTCGGCTACATTTTCTACTTCAACGACTGGGTCGACGAGGGCTACAACAAGTTCTCCAAACAGAACAAGGCATTTCTTGTGCCGTCGGCGGCCTCGCGGCCGCAAGAAGTCGTCGTGCCCCGCAACCAGACGGCCTGGATGCTCGACCTGCCGGACCACATCCTGTCGGCCCATGCCGCGCACGGCGATGTGCTCTATACGGAGCACAATTTCATTTTTGACGCCCACGCGCATGCCCGAGCTTTTGCGGCCAAGCACGGCCTGCCACCCGTTCCGCCACGCGGCCCCGGCGACCACCACGACCACAAGCGCTCGCCCGTTGACGAGGATTTCCACACGCGCGTTGTCCACCGCAGCCTCGCTCGGCACCTGCCGGGTCTGCTTCCGGCTGTCGAGAACGAGGTGATTGTGGCTGTCGATGCGGCCTTTGGTGGCGGCGACGCCGCTGCCGCTGCCGGTGATGGTGATGGCGAATGGCACACGATCAAGCTTTGGGACGCCTGGCTGGCCATGGTGCCGCAGATTACAAATCTCCTCCTCGTGGGCCCGGACGCCTGCCGCAACCAGCCGCTGCTCGACACATTTGTCAAGTTTGCCGACACGGTCGTCACGAACAGCTTCCTGCTCAACATGTTCCCCAAGCTGCTGCACCCGCTCGTGGGCCGCCTCGCCAGCATCCCCAATCGTCGTCTTTGGCGCCGTGCCCACGGTTTCTTGGAGCCGCTCATCCTGGAGCGTATCCGCGTCATGACGTCCCCTGAGACGAACGAAGCCAGGGACACGGTCAACGAGGACTTTATCACCTGGCACATACGCATGGCCCTGGCCGAGGACCGCAGAGCCGAGCTCGACCCTGTCGCCATCTCGAAGCGCCTGCTGCCCATTGAGTTTGCCGCCATCCACACGACTGTGCTGACCGGTTTCTTTGTCATGATCGATCTGCTGACGTCCGACCCGGCCTACATCGAGGGCATCCGCGAAGAGGTCCAGGCGGCGCGGGACACGTCACCCGATAACCCCGACAACCCCGATAACCATTGGACCAAGCCGTCGCTCGCCCGTCTCCGGCGCACCGACAGCGCCATCCGCGAAAGCATGCGCGTCAGCAACTTTGCCACGTCGCTGGTCAAACGCAAAGTCATTGCACCGGGCGGCATCACCAACGCGGCCGAGGGATGGCATGTGCCGTACGGCGGCCTCCTGATGCTGGACCTGGCCGGCACGCACCACGACCCGGACTTGTATGCGAACCCAGACCAGTACGATGCGTTTCGCTATGCGCGGCAGCGCGAGGCGTATGACGCTGCCACAGTCGCGGCGCCAGCAGGTGCCGGAGGCGAACAGAACGCCGCGAAAACGCCCGAGCAGATTGCGGCCGACGCGATGCGTGGGCTCAAGCTGGGCATGGTCACCACGAGCGACAGCCACCTGGCCTTTGGCCACGGCCGGCATGCATGGTACGTCTCTTCCGGCTGTGTCGTCAAATGTGAAAAGTTGAAAGACGCGTTCCCGCTAACTGAACAGCCCCGGCCGTTTCTTTGTGGCACACGAGCTCAAGATGATTCTGGCCCACCTTCTCACCAACTTTGAATTCAAACCCCTCGAGACGAAACCAAAGAACATCTGGATTGGACAGACGATCATCCCACCAGTGGATGTCAAAGTGGAAGTCCGGAGGAGGAAGGCGAAATGACGACCCATCGGTGCAGATCATGGCCGTTGAAAATGCATGCCAAATAGTGCGCATAGATACCCCCTAGCACATGAGGAAACGTCCTCACATTAGCAGAGTGTAATTCAAAGTCGGTCTCGACGGCTGTCAACGATCGTCCACGTGCAGTAAAGATGGTCCAGGGTGACAATATCATAACGGCTGATCATTTCCACCTCCGGTATGAGACTGACGTTGAGCGACGAGCCCTCCATCTTTTGGTCTGTACGTCCCAGCTCCAGCACCGGTGCAATGGCTTCCTTGAGATCTCGTGTCGTTGTAAAAGCACCGCCCGTCTGTGTCGAAATGGCCGCCCTTTGGTTCATCACCAAATCCACCACAGCAGGCGGCTAGTCATGGCGGCTTCGGTTGCAACAATATGGAGGAGTGATGAATACTTTGAGCCATGTTTGGAGGCGGGAGATGAGCCCATGTCATGATAACTGCTACTGTCTAAAACGAGACGTTGCATTTCGCAACTTGTCGACGCGGAGTACCAAGATACAGATGAGACCTGTCTCCATATTCGGTAAAGCGTTTTAGACTGCCGACATTGTTTCTACGAACATTGTCAAAGGCCTCTCTCCTTTCCACCCTCCCCAGATTATGGCGGTTATCGACACAACATGTACACACAAGGCCCGTCGTCCTATTTTATTTTCAGTCATAATCTATTATCGCACGACCGTACGGTCGTTGAAGTCAAGCAGTTTCAGCATTACCAGCACTCGATTTCGATTGCCCCAGGCGCGGAAGAACCACGTCGAGATATGCCAGATCCATGGAACCCTCTCCCGCAGGAATTTTGGTACCTTCATCTGTATAGGCAAAGCCATTTTCCAGAAAGAGACCAGCCAGAGTGGCGACGCGCATCCGTTCACGGTCGTCGTCCGAGACGGACCCCAAGTCTTGCTCGAGGCTCTCGTGGAAGAGATTTCGTAGATGTTGCTGCTTGGGATGATAGCAAAAGCCTCTGGCCACCCGGTTCACCCCGAGCATGGTCTCAAGTCCCCCGAGGGACATGCCGAACGGACCCATGGCCGCCCCAGGCCAGTCACAGACGCCAGTCACGGCTCCGGTCGTTGGGTCTACATGGATGTTGTTCTCCAGGAGGTCAATGTGGTTGGGCACCTGGGGCCAGTCCTCTGTGAAAAGCCGCGGAAGCTGTGCAATGATGCCTTCCAACGTCAGGCGGAAGCGCACGGGCAAGCCCTCTCTGAGCATCGTGAGTTGCTCGACGTACTCGGCCGACAAGACACGCGGATCTTTGCGCGGCGTGGCGGCAGGCGTGTTGTGCCAGGCTGAGGCAAAGAACCTGAACAGACGGTGGGTAGCAGAAGTAAGTGATCTGCACGCGTGCGGCGTGGACTTGGATGCAGACGAGGACAGCAGACACACCTGGCAAAGCTCTGAACGGTTGCCCCGAGCAGACGGAAGTCGTCTTTGTGCAGCGCTTCGCGCGCGAGATACATGGAGACGCCGCCCACGTTGGTCATCTTGTACACGTGGAGGCTGCCCAGTCGGCCACGGCCCTCGTGCAGCGGCGTGAAGCCCTTGTAGGCTTGTTCGATGTAGCCAAAGAACTCTAGGTCAAAGGGCGAGTCCTGGTTGCGAAACTGCACAATGCACGTGCCCGCCACGACAGTATAGCTACTTCCGCCCTGCACAGCTGTCGGTGTGACGGACGCGCCGGTCATAGCCGCGGCATATTCGTTGCACTGATCTTGCGTGATCGGCGCGTTCTGCTCGAAGAAATTTGACATCTGGTATTGTGCCAGCCTTGCCATTGTTTGCTCCATTGCGCCGTGTGTCAATGGAAGCAACCTGTGCCGCGCAGAAGATGGTGGTGTCTATGATGCAATGGGAGTCGAAGAAGCTGGGAGTGCAAACGGCTCCTCGGGTGCTGATCAGGACTTGGCACGTGCTTCGACCACGCAAATTTGTATGTGTGTGGCGCGTCGTCTGGGGTCAGGGCTGTGCTCCAGTGTCGTACTCATCTCGGCTTTGGGTCGAATTGGCCATAATGCTCATAAACTTGAACGCAAACAAGAAAAGTGAGAACAAGGGATGATATGAATGCATAGCTGAATGATGTACAATATAATAGCATGGCAGTGGAGTCCAGGGCAGTGGCGGAAATTCAAACGAAACCTAGGAAATGAAAAGCATTGCTTTGAAACAAGAGACCAAGAGTCCACATGCAGAGGAAACTGAAACGATGACAAGTATACCATCAGACCACCAAAGAGAACCTCACCCGCCAACCCAAGACGCCAAACTTTAAACAAAGTCGAATACAAAAGCCAAAAAAAGAGGGAACACAACGAGAACACCCTACCATCCAATGATGCCAAAAACAACATGTCCATCTCTCGTGCCTCACGCCTCAACGATCATGCTCTCGCCAGCGTCGTCGGCAGCATCATCGCCGTCGTTGGTGAGCTCGAGGACGCGGGCATACTGCACCGTCAGGCGCTGCAATTCACGGAATTTGCCTAGGCGTGTTAGAGAAATACAACGTGAAAAACCATGGTATAACGTATACACAGCGGGGCAGACATACCTAAGATCATGACGACACCTTTCAACAGCTCTTTGCGATCCCAGCCACACAGGTCGCCCGTCCGGCTGGCCCAGCCAAAGGCTTTGCTGGTGCTCGCCGTCTTTGACAGGGCGGCGGTGGTCGTTGTCGGATCCTGCAGGACGCCGCCGAGCAGACTGTTGAGCAGCTCCTCCACTTTGCCGCGCAGGCCTTCGGTGCCCAGTCGCTTGGCGTACATGAACAGGTACAGCCGGAACTCGTCGCGGGCGCCCAGCTGCAGGGCCCCGGCAATGCGGTTCTCGAGGTGGGCGATGCTGACGCTGGCCTCGAAGCCCTCGAAGCCGTCGCGCGCCAGCAGGGTCTTGATGAGGCGCTGCAGGGTGTAGGCGCGGCCCTTGAGCAGGAACTCGTTGGTGGTGTGGCGTTCCAAAAAGGGAATGATGCCGGACGAGACGGTAGCGGAGGTCGTTTCGGCGGCGCTGGCGTCCTTTGCAATCGACGGCGCCCCGTTGGCGGCCACATCGGCGGCGGTGACGGGACCCACCGCAGTGGTCTGCAGCGCGCTGACGCTGCTGTCGTTGCTATTCCAGTACTGGCTGCCAACGGCCCACCACGACTCGGATAGGCGCTGCCACGTGTAGAGATTGGGCGCGTAGTAGTAGCCGTCACCGTTGCTGAGGGTGACCACAATGTGGCCATTTGAGTTCAGGTGGGCCGACGTCACGCCGGGCCCTGCGGTGGCCGAGTGTTGGTGCAGCGAGTGGATGGCAATGTCCAGGATCGGCGCCAACGACACAGGCGGGTGTGGTGATTGCATGGTCCGGACGTTCCACACATACGCGAGTCCAACGGCAGTCACACAGAGCAGCCAGTGCTCGCGGCACTCGACAATCACAGGCTGTGCCTCGAGAATCATGGCGTTGATGAGCCGGCGGCCGGCGGGCGTCCAGATATAGACGGTGCCGTCCTCGCAGGCGGCAGCCCAAAAGTGCTTGTTGCCCGTCACCAGGAGCACGGCCTTGGGCAAAAAGTCCTGCCACACGAGCTCGCCGCGTTTGGTCACGGTAATGTGGGACGGGTCGCGGTACTGGTCCGGGTTGCGGGCCTCGAAGACGAGGTTTTCCGAGATGCGCGACGCCTCATCGGGGGTGCTCTCGCCCTGCAGCACGCCCTTTTCGAGGGGCCGCAGGATGTGGGCGCGCACTTTGGGGATACCAAGCCGCACCTGGGAGATGGACAGGGCTGGGCTGATGACGGCAGGTCGGATGAACTCAGGTGTCGGTACGATGCCGCGTGGCGCAGCTTGCAACGTGGCCGGCTCTGTGCCTTCAATGCCGTTGGTGAGGATGGGTGTTGGCCCGGTCGGCGTCGCTCCAGCAGCGCCTGTCAACCCGCTCGAGCGCTTAGCAGACGGGTCGGTCGCGTCATCGTCGCCTTCCAGAACCACGGCGGCTTTCCGCTTCGTGCCCAGCAGCATGGACGCGATGCCACCACTCGGCAGTCCGTCCACCGGCCGTGACAGGTCGAGAATGGTCTGGGGAGTGTCGGCTTGACTGGGTTTCCCTGTACTTGTTGTGCCGACAAGCTGCGACTGCGGCAGCGAGGACTGGCCGGTGCCGGACGACGAGACGAGGAGAGGTGCGACGCGCTTCTTGCCGTCTTTCGTAATGGTCACACGCGATTTCAGTGTTTGTATTCGCTCGGCGCGCTTCTCTGCCGTCTCTTCCTCTGCGGACTTGGGTTCTGTTGCGGCGGGTGTAGCAGCGTCTGTCTTGTCCTTGTCGTCTTTGCCGTCTTTGCCGTCTTTGCCGTCTTTGCCGTCCTTCGCATCGCCGTTTGCGTTCGCGTTAGCGTTCGCGTCACTCCCAGACTTGGTCTTGGGCGGCGTCCCGTTTGTTGTCGCGGCGCCCGGCTGGGGTGTGCTGGCCCCGCTGGCCCCGCTGGCGTCGCCCATGAGCGCGCCCATGCGTGATTCGGCGCCGCGCAGCTCGCCGGCCTTGCTGTGGGCCTCGAGATGCAGGCCGTCGACGTCCTCGGCGATGCCCATGCCTTTGCGGGAGGCGCCGAACTTTTGCAGGGCCTTGTCGGTCTCCTCGGACTGGGCGACCCAGCCGAGCTCGCCCTCTTCAAACTTGGCGACGACGATGCTGCCGTCGAGACTGGAGGCGAAGACCGTCTGGCCGTCGGGGGTCCAGGCGAGGTCGGAGATGGACTTGGAGGCGATGTCCTGGAGGATGACGAGGGGCCGCGACGTATTCGTGTTCCAGATGCTGAGCGTCTTGTCCTGGCCGGCCGAAGCGATCACCGTGACCAGGCTCTCGCCCTCGCGCGCCGCGCTGTTGTTGCCATTGCCATTGCTCAGACCGTTGGATGACTCTCCGCTGGGCGTCGGCTTCTTGGTGTAAAAGAGGCGCGGCGAGAACATGCAGACTTCGGTGGGACCCTCGTGGCCGATGAGGTTGATCTCGCTGTCCCAGCGCGTGCGCTCGATGATGGCGACGGAGCTGACAGGGCCGTTGACGGCGTTGGGGGCAGCGATGTGGTTGCCGTCGGGCGACCAGGAGCAGCGCCGAAAGTAGGTGGTGAGTGGCGAGCTCTTGAAGGGGGCGCTGATGGTGGTCTCGAGGACAAAGTTGTTGAGCAGGTCGTGTTGGGTGGCGTTGGGCGGCGGCGGCGTGAACTTGAAGATCTTGATGGTGCGGTCGTCGCTGGCCGTCGCGAAGAACTTGTTGGCCGGATCGAACGTGGCGCCTTTGACATGGCTCTGATGCACCGACAGGGTCTTGAGCTTCTCGAACGTGTGGCCCGACCAGACAACGACCTTGGAGTCGAGGCCGACCGACACGAGAATGGACGAATCGTGCGACCACGCCAGGTCCTGGACGTCGTTCTCGTGGCCAATGAGGCGCTTGTAGGTCTTCCAGTTCTCGACGGGCGGCGGCTCGTTCGTGCCGAAGGAGGCGGTGTGGGAGGGGGCAGACGCCTCGAGGCGGTAGATGCAAATGATCTTGTCGTCGGCGCCGGAGGCGAGGTAGCGGCCGTTGGGCGAGAAGCGGACGGAGTGGATGGTGCCGAGGTGGTGGCTCATGTGGCAGAGCTGGCGCGGCTCGGTGTAGGAGGCGTTGTTGGAGTTGTAGATGGCCTCGGTGGACCAGACGCGGACGTGGCCATCGCCGCCGGCCGTGGCCAGTCTTTTGCCATCGGGCGAGACGTGGCAGCTGTAGACCTCAAAGTCTTTTTGTTCGCCTGGGCGTGTGGGTTAGCGTGTGTCAGTGTGTGGTGTGTACAAACGCCCATGTGTATGATCCATGTGAACCAGAAGACAGTGTCTGCCGTCCAACCTACCGCTGTGGCTCAGCCAAGATGGCTTGATTAGATGCATCGTGGCCGAGATGCGGCCGCGCTGACCATGTCTTGCGCCGCACGGGGGTGCCGCTGCTGACGGATTCGCAATCGATTGGGTGGGCCTGGGTCTGCAATGATGACTGCGAGTGTCGGAGGGACGCAGAGGAGGGACGGGGTGATGCTGGACGTTGGGAGGTCGCCGGTGGTGAGGAAGCACAGGAAGCTCAGAAAGCTCAAAATGGCCAAATCGATCGTGGGAAGTCGCGACAAACGGCAGAATGGGGCGCGACTTTGAATTGGAGCCAAATGGGGCGCGCTAAGAGGAAAGAGCATGCTGAGCATGGGCATGGGCAAGGGCAAGGGCCAGAAACAGAAGGAGCAACCCAGCGGGCAGCGCAGGCCAGGAAGGCGCTGATTGGTGCTGGCAGGTGCGGGTGCGGTCTGCTGGCTCCATATTGAGCAGCAAAACCTGGGATTGCAATTCGGCGATTTACAGTGGGCACCACCCGCCGAACGTTGTGAGTCCAGGGACGTTTAATACGTGCTCAAGTGCTAACTGACCTGAACCTAACATTGCTTTCACATCAGGCCCTTCTGATGCCATCGTGAGTTTGACCAGCCAACAGACAAAGCTTCCAGAACGCAGAATATTTTCGAAACAGGCGATACGGGATCCTGAATTCTTTACAAACATAATACATAAATGCATAACATAGCTTCGTATAGCCAACATGCTCCGTTTTCCACATTCCCGACCGAGAGCGACCGTTTTCGCTTCCCAGCCGGAAGTTGTCCAGCATGAGCTGCGACTCTGAGCGTTGAGCTCTTTGCAGTGCTCATCTCTTGCTTCCCCGATGACCTTCCAAGTTTCAAGAATTATCCAAAAAAAGAAGAAAAAAACGTCACAAAATATTAACAGACAAAAATAGCACACAGCCACGGTCCGAGTCACTGTCAGTTCATCTTCCCACACGCTGCGTTCATGAAGCAGCGACAGGTTCGGTCGTCTTGGGGACAGACTTGGACGGACCGACGAGGGGGGCCTTGGGCTTGAACGAGGGACGTTAGCTGAATGTCGACACAATGGAAAGGGAACGGCCCGCGAACGATCCGGGAAGAGTGGTCCTCTTACCTTATTTTCCGTCTTGCCGGCAGCTTTCTTGACAACCTTTTTCGTCGCCGCCTGGGCCTATCTGATGTATTAGTGGATGATGTCTCGAGTCGAGGGCCGCACGTTGCAGCCACATTGTTCACGAGGCATCTCTGGAGACGCACCTTGGCAACAGCACCCTCCTTCTTGGACACCTCCTTCTGGGAGATTTCCTTCTTGGGCGCCGCCTTCTTCTTGGTGACGCCTGTCGGCTTCGCAGCGGCGGCAGCAGCAGTCGCAGGCTTGGTCGCCGCCTTGGACTTGGTGGACTTCTTGCGCGCAATAACGGGAGCCGTGTCGATCGTCTGGAAGACGCGTGGCGCGGCGTGGCCGGTCTGCGAGCGCGTGCCTTCGCGAGCCATGGCGGGAGAGGCGGGAGATTGGCGGGATATGGCGCAAATATGACGAGTGCCGGTGATTTTAGTATGCAATGCGCGAATGCGATGAACAGGGAAACAAAGAAGACGATGAGAATCAGCTTAATTCGAAGCAACAGAGTGGAAATGCGACGAGACTGATCTTGGGCGTAAAGCGACGCAGCTTTCGCAGCGAAACAGTGCTCTGTCTTGCGAACCCAACAAGATTGCGGCAAAATATTGTCGCGCGAGACAAGGAGAAGAGAAAATGGATGACGAAAATGGGCAAAGGGAAAAGGGGAAGGAAATGAAGACGGGACGTCAACAAGAAATCCAGGCGGCTAGGAAAGAGGAGCGCAGAGGGCAGGAGCAGGCCTGAGAATATGCGGCCAGACCAGGCGCAGCCCAGACTCCGAAATCACAACGAACCCAAAAGAGAAGGAGGGGCCCAGAGACCGACGAGGTGGCTTCCGTAGGAGCTGTTCCGTCGTATTGGCCGTCGCGGCAACGCAATGCAACGATGGCAGTGAGCGCAGCGGTTGCAGCACTGCAGTTGCAGCACGGACTGGACTGACTGCCGCCACCGAAAACAGTGAGAGTACTGAACGCTGCGACTTGCGACATGCGACTTGCGACTTGCGCACATGCACGGCATGAAATTGGCAGAGCTGGGATCAAGATTGAGAGGTGCAGCAGCCCTCCATCACCCATCGCACCTGCCTGCCACCTGTGAGATTACTTCTTGCCTGCAGGAGGGACTCCCAGCAGTGGTTTCCCGATTGGTGCACGTCAAATAATTACAGAGTACGGAGTACTCCGGTCCTGTATCTGTGCTGTAATGTTTGCGTCTAAATCTGCTTTGTATTTCTGGCTGCGCTGCGTACTGTTATTTTGATGTCACTTTCAAGAAAATGGTAAGCAAATACATCGCGTCTTGGAGTATACCGAAGACTCCCTAAATAAAACAAAAAATATGTACGAATGAAAAATGACTCTTCAAATTTGAAAATATATTGAGGATAAATAGGCACACGTGAGATTCAAGTGAGATATATATATATAAAAAAAAAGATGTATCGATGTATCTGGATTCCAAATCTGCATACACATTTCGCAGCTACCCCTTGACGGACAAAAATGTGAACATTGCCCAACCAATACAGGAGCATAGTTAAAACCCTTTTGGTTTTTGATTTGTCTTCCTTTTACATGTATCTTTATTTTGCTGTCATTTACTTGGTGCCTGTTGCTGCGTATCCTGCCGCCGCATGGCTCAACTTTGCATTCAGAAGCCTGGGCCGCACAGACTCCGGCGGTTTGGGCATCTGTACGGGGGTGGCGTCGACGCTTCGGATTCCGGCGAATTGGTCCATAATCCCCAACTAGGGGGCATGGTCAAGAAGACGCTGCGCGGCTGGAAAATTTATATGCTCGCCTTCTGGGACGTGCTTTTCTAAGCGTCTGGCCTGCACATTTTCGATGGCACGTACCTGCCGAATCACGACTGGAACATGATTGACCTCGTTATCCTCCTCATCTGGAAACGTCCTCGAATCTGCCGAGGCGTTCACCCACGACCCCACGCACGGCACCACAGTCACCTCGCCCGTCTTCCACGGATGGTTAAACCACATTTGGAAGCACAACACAGTCAGCCGCGCGTTCATGGCCGTCACGATGAACTTTGTCACCTTGGGCATGTCCGCTTGGATTGCCATAGTAGTCTGCCCAGCCGTCGAGGCACGGCGCTTCACCAAGGGCTTGAGCTTCACGCTGGCGTCTCTGATGGCCCAGGTCGTTCGCAACCTACACCACCGCGATGAGGATGTCCCCATGGTTCTCTGATGCGATGGGAGATGCTCATACTCTTATATCTTGACTGGCTTCTGGCTGTAGGGCCCTGTTCGTGGTTTCTAAGGCGGATACGACGCTTGAGACTTTGAAAGCTGAATTATGTCGTACTGTACGTCATAATACGAGGGACATTGTAAACAAGGAGATGATGACCCATAATATAGTCACGTGCACCTTCGCCCTATGTGGAGCTCATCCTTCAGCGCATCTCGGCACTTGGGTGGTGACGTCTTTTGCGTCCAACGGCACAGGAGCGGCTTGTGCAACTCCTTGGCAGGCCATTCGCAAACTTTCCGCCTGCGGTGTAAGACGAACCCGTGTACCCCGTACACTTTCGACAGTCCCACTGCCGTCTCAACAGCCCTCTCTCCTCGTGCTCTCTCACCTCGAATCTACCGCAAACAATTTTCGCTAATTTAAGGCGTCAAGCTGCGACATTGCCTTCGAGAAGGTTGTCACCCCAATGACGTACCCAGCCGCATAGCAACGACATAATCCACCCCGCCGTTGCGCGGGCCATTGTCCGATAACCATGCGTTCCACGACGCCCGACGGCGAGCGTGTTGCCTTCCTCAACGGCGGCATTGCGTCGCCGCCACCGTTTTCCTTGGATGACGATCCCGACCCGGACATCATCGGCACCATCGAAAGTACCGATGCCCATGACGCCCGCCATGGGCTCCTCAGCAAGGCAGATATCCGGCCCTACCGGCCGGCCAGCCGGTGGCGGGTGTGCTGTGGAGGACGCTTGCGCCTCTCGCGCCGGGGCCCCAAACGGCGGCTCTTGGGGCTGGTGCTAAAGTACCTGTTCGGGACCGTCTTTGCTCTCCTGGTTTTGACGCCCCTCCTCGCGCCGTCGTACCTCCACCCACCTGCGCACTATACACGCCTGGTCGCCCAGTGCGAGGCCCAGTTCAGCGGACCTGAAGAGGGCCTCGACCGGATACATGGGTGTGCCAACCCGCATCGCGAAAAGGTCTTTATCAGCGTCAGCCTGTACGACAAGGAGGGCCACTTGGCTGCCGGGGCATGGGGCCAGGCCCTAGTTGAGCTTGTGCGCTTACTTGGGCCCAGGAACACCTATGTGAGCATCTATGGGAATGGCAGTGGCCGCCACGGCGCCTCGGCCCTCGAGCACCTGCGCCGCCTGCTGCCATGCCGCAATACGGTCGTCTACGACGAGCATGTGCCCCTCGACCGCTTTGCCAACATCACGATGCCCGACGGCAATGTGCGCACAAAACGGCTAGCCTACCTCTCCGAGATGCGCAACCGCGCGCTGCGCCCGCTCGACACGCTCGGGGGCGTCGAGGGCATTGTCTTTGACAAGGTCCTGTTTCTCAACGACGTCGCGTTCCGCCCCATCGACGCCGCCCAGCTGCTCTTCAGCACCAACCAGGACGCCGAGGGCCACGCGCAGTACCTGTCCGCCTGCGCGCTCGACTACAAGAACCCTCTTTTGTTTTACGACCTGTACGCCCAGCGCGACGCCGAGGGCTTCTCCAACGGCCTGCCCCTCTTTCCCATCTTCAGTCGCGCTGGCAAGGGCCTCTCGCGCGCTGACATGCTCGCCCAGACTGACGCCGTTCGTGTCCAGTCCTGCTGGGGCGGCATGGTCGCTATGCAGGCCGCGTACCTGCAGCACCGTAACGATTCGCTGCCGCGCCCCGATTTCCATAAACCCGGCAGCCACGTCATCGACCCGATACATCCGACGGGCATTGTAGCGCCCGTCCGGTTCCGCTACGAGCCCGAGATCTTCTTTGACGCCTGCGAGTGCTGCCTGTTGCATGCCGACGTGTCCCAGGCCGCCCGCGTCGCCACAGAGCCCGCTTTCCAGTCTCTGAGTAAAGGTGTCTTTGTCAACCCATACGTTCGCGTCGCGTACGACTGGACCACGCTCGACCGTCTGCGCATCGTCCAGCGCTGGGAGCGTCTCTTTGCCCTCCCCCAGGCGATCATCTCGTACTTTGCCTCGCTGCCCACGCACAACCCGCACCGTCTCGTCAAGGAGGGCGACGCCTTTATCGAAGAGGTCTGGAGCAACACAGCCAATGCCTGGACGCTCGAGTCGCGTACTGGCCGCAACGGCATGTTCTGCGGTGTGCGCGAGATGCAGCTGCTGGACACAGCCCCGCGCCAGGGCGACAAGAACTGGGCCAATGTGCACATTCCCACGGGCCAGGCACTCGACTTTCCGAGTTGAAAAAAGAGTGGAGAGGTTGAAACATGATGGAATTTGGAATAATTACATGGCATTTTCGTTCTTCTCTTCCTTTCGGATACCACATTGGCAGGCGTTCTTTCCCTTTTTGACTCATCATATGGTGAGCCGATATTGCATTCTTCTGCGTACCTACATATCTGCATATATATCGTCGTACAGACTTGGATACCTTCAAAATGGCATAACTTCATAACATTGAATATCACATATTGACTCGCGCCTTCCTTGCACGACCGCCTAAACGGGTGTGTGATGGTGGCGGCCACCAACCGACTTGTTCCAAGCTGCCCTACTCTGTATCCTCTGGGTGGAACACAAGGGCACGCACCTCGATGCTTTGCCGCGGTGGTGCGTCCGATCCTCTGCCAAAGGCCGGATCCTCAAATGCCGTGTGCGGCACCCGCCGCGCACGCCCGTCCGTCTTGCTGTCAAAGCACTTGATCAGCAGCGCCTCGTCCGGCGCCAGCCCCGACTTGAAGAACCACCGGTGCCCGCTCTCGTAGCGCACCTGGTACGTCTCGCCCTCGCGGTCCTTGAGCACCAGGCCCGTCGGCACGAGCGCCGCCTCGCCGACCGAAGCCGCTTCGGCCACCGCCAGCGGGTCCCGCAAGACGGGGTTCTCAATCGGCCGCCACACATTGATAATCTGCACGCGGCCGCGCAGCAGCTTCTCTGCGTCCTCGGCCGGCAGGTGGTGCGGCACGCGCGACAGGGCCGCGCGGTACGACTGGTCAATGTGCACGCGCTGCACGGGGCCGCGACGGGACCGATCGAAGTTCCGCTGGCCACCGTCCTCCGGGAGGTCGCGGCGGATGGTGTGGTCAAAGATAAAGACACGAGACGCGCCCGTCACGTCCTTGAGGAGCTGCTCCGTCTCCGGGTAGTACGACGCCCGGATCTGGTCGTCGTCGCGGAATTCCGTCTCGGTGGCTGGGCGCGCGACAAACTGGAAGCCGTTGCCGTCCAGGGTATACTTGGCCTCATCGCCCGACACGTCGTGCACCGTGACGGTGTGCGGCTCGGCCTCACGGTAGTACGTCTCGGGCCGGTCGTAGTAGGTTGCGTGCGGAGGCGAGCCGTCGGCGTTGGGCTTGTAGTAGTTGAGCGTGGTCTGGACATGGCGCTGTGTCGAGTGGGCCGTGGGCAACGTGGAACCGACTTGCGGCCCGGCCAGAGTAGGCGACTGAATTGCAGCAGCGGCCATTGTGTGGTATTGGAGACAAGATGTATATGAAAATTGTTCCGTGGATATAAGGTAAGAGTATTTCGAGGAAAGTCAGACTGAACATTTACTAGTAAACAAAAAAGAGAGTTAAATTTGGATGTAAAAATGTTGTCCACGACATCAAGGGAATATATAGTGGTTGTCATCGTCCTTTGTCTGCTATTTGCGACAGCCATCACGGAGGCGGGCTTTGCAGTGGCTCCGTTTGGCTCACCATTGCGTGCTCACGGCACGCCATCTCGGCCAACCACATACGTTGCGTGGTGATCCGGAACGGCTACGACAATTTGTAAGAACGTCGGAATTGCAGTTGACTTTGTATTTGTCAGTACGGATGAACTAGTACTGTAACGCATTGGGGAGCGGAGAGTCTGCCATCACGATTCCGCTGACAATTTGCTTTCGCCGACTCTGACATCCATCCTCAAGGCCCCGTATGCATGAGCCGGTATTCTCTCCCCTATTTAATCTTTTGCTGCGTTCTCACTCTTCTCTAATCACCATTTGCCCACAAATCGTCCAATACGCCTGACTCCAACTCATCCGAGCCGACCAAGTCCTTCTCTTCCTTCTTCTTGATACGCTCGATGCGTTTGTCTGCGCCACGCTGGAACTGTTCTTCTGTCGGCCCGTCTTGGTAATATTTTCTCCACTGTTTGCTTCTGGCCAAGGCCCTCAAATTGTCTAGGACAGGTAGTGATGCGGCGCTTTTGGCAACTTTGGAATTTCTGACACACGTAGAAACAGTTTCCTGCGTGGGCAATGGTGATAGTACAGTCAACTTGAGGCTTTGTGCTTCCGATGCCACTGCGTACAACATATGTGCCAAGAGGCCCAACTTCCACACGGTGTCGTTGCCAGACGTGCGTACAAGGCTGTGCGGACAGCTGCGCCATTTGATGTCCTCAAACACTCCGTCCGCAACTTGCTCGGTCGTGACAGCCTCTTTGAGGTATAGTCCGGCCGCTGCCGATGCATCCCTCAGGTTTGGTGTACTTTGATGGTGCCCCTTGGTAGGCAGCGATAGGGACGTGATTAAATATGTCACGGCAACGTAGGCTGCAAATTTCACCGCTTGGCGGACTAGGATGAGTTCTTTGTCCAGGTAATATGCCTCTGAACCAATGTTGTACACGACCAATACGAGAGGCGGGCGTCGTCCTTCAGGCGAGCTTGAATTGACAGCAGTACCATCTCCGGTGTTGGTATTTGAAAACGCATCCAAGATGGACGTCAACTTGCCCGCCACGGCCGAAGCAAGATCGGTAGCGTCCACCCATTGAGCGGTGCCAAATTGGAGAATAGGTCGTCGGTTTCTATCTCCTCTCTTGATCTCATGCCTTCCATTGACGCGGAAAGTATACGTTTGCACGTTGTACATATCGGCAAAACGTGCCATATCGAAGGGTGGAGTGTCGCCATCCCCAGATGACAGTCGAAGGACCATGGATGGTGGGAGAACAGACAGGCCGATTTCCGAGATTTCTGTCCTTCCCTTTATGTCGAGCGATACAAAGATAGCGTCCTTGTTGTCGTCAATGTACTGTTGAAGTGCGGCCAGGTCTCCAATAAAAGGAATGTGCATCTTGACCCAGGAATCCGACTTTGGCCCCTGCACTCTTGACGACTTCGGCATTTTGATGTTGAGGCTCTTGTCGAGACAATGGAAAGGAAGAAGAAGGAAACTGGAAAATTAAAGAAGAAGTAGAAAGATTGGGGTCGATAAGCGAAAGAATAACGACACGGTGTGGATGAATCTTGTGGATTTTGAAAGGTGTAGCTCCGAGTAGGACATTTATGTTCTTTGCATTAAGGTTCTCTTCGCTGACTAGGAAACGCAAAATGCTTGTTTTTGTGGAGTCACATGACGTGTTGGTCTAGGTGAAAACCATCCTTCTGATTGGCCAATGTGCAGGCTTGTAAAAAACCTCGCTCAGTTGTGCGCTTTGTATTATCCGTACGGAGGTACTGTGATTTTTTGTTTATTATACATCCCGTAATCCATCTCCTTCGGAACAATGAATTAGTTTTGGGGATGGAATATGTGCTAGCAGCTTGTACAGCGACTTATGGGTCGCGAGAGGCATCAAGATAGTACCAGCAGCCTGGATGGAGCCCATATCGTATCGTGTCTCCCCATTTATTATATAAAAATTAAGATCGGGTAGAGTGAAAAACCTCTCCTGATAAAAACAAGTAGAACCTACGTACTAGGGAAAAAAAAAATTGGGCCGGGCAGGAATCGAACCTGCGTCGTGACCACTACAGTCTAAAGTCCTACCAGCTGAACGACATGCCCTTTTTGGACACAGCAGGACTCGAACCCGCGACACTTAGATATCTGCGGCCAAATCATGACCGCTAGACCACCGGCCCTTCCAATGGCTTTCGCTTTTTGGAACAATATTGGAAATTGCAGTGGCTAACGGGCTTAAATAGGCGTCTGTGCCTTCAAATGGTAGGGAAAGAAGAAGGAGCGATGCAGCGAGGGTGTTGAAAGAGGAAAGAACCGACGATGTCCTGGTGAGGAAGGCGCGATGCGATGTGGACGTTGCCAAGCTTGTGTCGATTGTGGGGGTGGAGTAGCCTAGCTCGGCACCCAACAGTGGGGAGCTAAAGTGGGTCTTGTGCAGATCTCACCGCCAACCGGCCCACCGAAGACCCAGCCTCCAGCCCAAGAAGAGCTTTGTGGGCTGTGTGATTGAAATGTCGTGGCGTTGGCCCTCTAGCCTCCCTAATGGGAAATTAGGCAAGGAACTTTATTTTATACCTTGTCCGAAATTACACACCACGGTGTCGTGTACGTGAATGACGTTTGTATACTACTACAACGACATTTAGCAGGTCAATGGTAGGGAACTCAAGGCCCTTAATTATGATGTAAATTTTGAAATGTGATTGTGGGAACAAAAACGTTGCAAGTTCCGGTACAATCAACATGAAAAGTAGAGTTTCAAAAAAATAAAAAAAAAGAAACGGAAACGGATTTAGAAATTAAACTAAACTTGCTTGTGTATCGGCTGCAACAATAGTAACTGCCTGTAACTCATTTGGATAACGGGCAATTGTCCCACACGTAGTCTTCCTTGCTTCTCCTGCACTCATCTCTCATATTGTTTAAAGTAAATGTGCTCTGAGCCCCGTCACATCGCAGATGTCCTCGGTAATCCATTCGAACGGCGTTGCGAGAGTGATGTCGACCTGTTCGTAGGAAAATTCTTCCTTTCGATGCACAGCTCGGACCCATGGCTCGAACTGTGAGGGGCCAGCATATACCGGTTCGCGAGGTTGGGGCGGAATCGTGCGATCTTTTGGAAGCGGCACGGGAGGGTCGCCGACACGTTTCTTTCCATGGGCCACCAGCAGCTGCCTCTGATCGTCTCTGGATCCGATGCCCGCATCAACCATGGCAAGGACGGTCCCAGTCTGGTCGAAAATGCAAGATCCTGAATCCCCTCCACTTGTGAAGGGGTTTTGTCTGTTCGGCATCGAGCTCTGACCAGTAGGCATACCAAGCACCGGTATTGCCCAAGACACAATGTCCTTGTTGGGGAGCGGCATGCGAACAACCGCTTCGATCGGGCTGGTCCTGCCCATGGTCACACCCGTCGTTGCACCACGCTTGAACACAAACTTTTGCTCTTTCGCTTGACTCAGGGTCGACGCTGGATCGCCGCCAGTACGAGGCTGCAACCTGACAAACCCCGCGGTGTCCATGTTAATGAGCAACGCCTGTAAAGCCCGAAAGGCGTCATCGGGCCAGCCCTCGTGCTTTTCAAGTCGCTCGTCCGCGAGCGTGTTTCCAACGTAGACATTGTTGGTCTCAAAGGACGGGCAAGGTGGTGGTGGAGGCAGGCCTTGTGAAGGAGAAAAGGGCTCTAGGCTTGGGCGATTGCCATCGTCGAGGGCAACCAAGGACCAGTCGCGCCAGCCATTGAACCTGTTGTGGTCATGCCGACTTGAGAGTGCGACCTGTCCGAATTTCCGACCGGCTGAGCCTTGGCCACCGTCCTCAGCTGCAGCCGAATGCTGCGCCATCTCCTGTAGAAGGGAGGGGACATAGATTGACACACAATTCTCCGCAATCTGCAGCTGCGGAACTTCATTCTCGGGAAGTGTTCCATTGGAAAACTGCTTCTGAACTGGCCACAGAATCAGTTCGCGCACGAAGTCTTTCAGTGTCCGCATCTTGCGTTCCAGTTCCAGGTCGCTGCCCCAAGACACAGGAATCGGCAAAATGTCTCTGGGATTTGATTCAGTCGCGGACCGAGCGTGGTGCGTGCCACTGATGAGGGACGCATGCTTCACAGAACCGTAGTCGCGGTGGTGGTCGAAGATGTCGCCGATTGTGACGTGGCGCGATGCCAAAGCAAAAACACCACCATGGGGTGAGCCATCCGCATTCTTCAGGCGCATATAGAGACACAGCGTGCCCCATGGGCGCTCTGCCGTATCATTTGGCATCGAAGGCTGTATGATCTGGCCCGGAAATGGTAGAAATGGAACGACGTGGTTGTTAACGCTCTGCATGGCGGTGAACACACTGTGCTTGTACAACACACCTGTCTCTCTAAGCTCTCCAAAAATGGGGTTGAAAAGGCTGCAGAGACGATTGGGGTGTTGCATTGCGTCAGGCTTGGGCTGCGCTGGTGGGGAGACGGCGATTGGAGGACTTGTGGATGCTGTAGGATGCACGTCGCCAAGTGAGGTGCTGGTTAAGCCAAAGACAGAAAGCTCGCAGACGAGGACACGCATGTCCCCGAGCCCAGATGGTCCATCAGAATACTGCGACAGGCTGTCGCGGTAGCAATGCCGTCGGTCCAGGTGCATGTCCCAGGCTGCACGCCAACCACGAGAAAGTGGCCGACTTGGTGCTCCGGCATGGGTCCGGGATACGGTTTCGCGCCCCAGCTCCTATCTTCGAACGGTACAGCGTCGATAGCAAGCGGTAGAAAAGTGGACCACTGGATAGAATGAGCAGCGAGTGTGCTTTGGATTGCTTCGTACATGGACTCGCGAGTCGACTTCCATTTTCCGATGAGGTCGGGGTCAGTGACTGGGCAAAGGGTACGGTACAGTGGCCGTGTCCACGGTGAGACCACTGCGTCGGTGCGTGCAATGAGACGGGGCTGGCTGGGGAGACCCAAGAAATAGCTGCTCGCTTCTTCATCAGAAGGAGGAATAGGATCACCCGCTGCAGGTGTGCTTGACGCCATGCTTGACTGGGATATGTCTTGAATGGGGATCGCATAAGTGGCCGCCTAGGCCACCGTGCCGAGTTTTTGTTCAAAGTCGGATTTATTTCGCTTATGCGACTCCCGCTGGCGTTTGTGGTCAGGAGTGGAGGGCCTGAAATAGATCGTTTTCTAGAGACATCGGTGACAGATGGACAGACATGGTTTCCAGTAACTGTTGTTGTATCTTGAAAGAGATTCTATTAGAATTGTGGAGAAGGTTACCTCTGAAACGAGCAGGTTGGTGCGGATGATGAAGAAAGCAGGAACGAAGGCCTACGCACGATGTCGCAAATGGCGTAATTTGGGAAGGAACAGAAATGCTGGAAATATGCCGCAAAACCGACGGAGCAAAAATAGCAATGGGTAATAGGGCGTTATTAATGTTATCAGGGTTTGCAGAAAAACGGAAGAACTTTGTTTTGTCGCCGGTTGTGTAACCTGAGGGCTGGCATTATTCAGCCTCCTGACGAGCTGCTTAGTCACTGGAACTCTAGTAACAGATAATACAGTGGTGTCTAATTTCATCCAAGAAACATATGCAAATAAAGGATATAAAGACCAGGAGACAAAGATGATACAGGGGGAAAGAATGCTGAGAGAGGAAGACAATGGCGCGCTTCTGAGGAAGTCGCGATGGGATGCGACCGTTGGAAGTGGGTCCGTAGAGGTTAGGTGATCAGTGGAGTTGGAACAGTGGGTCGGCCTTTCACCTTTCTTTCTCGTGCAATCAACGTCCCAGCTCCGTCTTGGGCACCTTGACCAGGCGCGTGATGGCCGTGCCGTCGTCGAGCTCATCTGCCTCTTCTTCGATCGTGTACCTGCCCCAGGCCGGCAAGACGACGGCCCACACCCACCAAAAGAGCACGGCGGAGGCGAGAATGGAGACGCCGACAATGGCATAGGTGGCGTAGAACAGCCCCGAGGTGGGTGGCGTTTTGGGCGGGAAGAAGGGCGCGGCAATCAGTGACAGGTTCAGCACAATCTTGAGCACTACGGCCGGGATCCAGACGCGGAACGGGCGCTTCAGGTCCGGCCGCGTGTACCGAAGATACAGCAGCCCGCCGGCGATGGCAATCGACACAAACTGGCCCGGGTAGCCCTCGACCTCGAGGATGAACGAATAGACCTCGGCCGACGGCGGCAGCACGATGACGAGAAACGAGGGGATGTAGTGCACGAAGAACCCGCCGAGGGGCGAGCCGAAGGGCTTGTTGGAGGCCAGCAGCTTCGAGTACGGCAAGAGGCCTTGGCGCGCAATTTCTTGCTTGACGCGGGCCATGGTAAAGGCGACGACCATGACGTTGCCCGCCGCGGACAGGGCGATGGCGAGCGAGAGCGCGATGCCGCCGACGCGCCGTCCAAAAATGGTCTGGAAGAAAAGGGCTCCGACCAGCTCGCCGCTGTTGGCAATCGTCTCGAGCGGCACGACCACGAAGTAGGCGACGTTGATCAGCAGGTACAGCACGCACGACGTGACGAGCGCCGAGGCGGTGACGGACCGCAGCGTGCGGACGGGGTCCTTGACCTCGTTGAGGACGTTGTTGGCGTTCTCGAGGCCGGTGTAGGAATAAAAGACCTTGAAGAGGGCTGTCGAGATGGCGCCCCAGTTCCAGTTGGAGCCGGCCCAGAGGCCGGGCAGCGTCATTGTCGGTGCCGCCTCGCGGCCCTTTGGCCGGAAGACCACCACAAACAGCCCCGACAGAATCATAAAGACGACCAGCCCCACCTTGAGCCAGCCCAGTACGTTCTGGATCCGCACGCCCGTCGCCCGGAAGCCGCCGTGCACAATCGTCACGGCCGTCAGCAGGCCCACAGCCAGTCCCTTGCGGAGCAGCTCGCTGGGTGCCTCGATGCCCACGGCGAACAGCACGTACTGCGAGAAGACGACGCAGTTGGAGGCCGTGAACCCGAGAAACACGACGACAAACACGATGAGGATGGACGCCAGATAGCGCGGGTGCCGGTACGTGAACTCGAGGTACACCTTGTCGCCGCCCGACCGCGGCAGCATGCACCCGTACTCGAGCGCGATGCCCAGGCCGCAGGCCGCGACGCCCGCGCCGGCGACCCACAGCAGCAGCGCCAGTCCGGGACTGCCGACGCCGCGCAGGATGGCGCCCGGCGTGGCAAAAATGCCGCTACCTATAACGCGCGAGATGACCAGGATGTAGGCGCTCTGCCAGCTGAGCGTGCGGCCGAGCGTCGACGTTTCGGGCAGGACGTCATCGTCAAAGGTGCGGTAAGGTCGAACTGAGCGGACAGAGGCCGCCGAGGACGAAGCTGGGGAAGAGGAGGAGGCGACGGCCGCGTCGAGTGCGGTCACTTCAGAGGATTTGGAGGGCTTGTCGGCCGTCTGGGTCGGGAGGCTCGGCGCTGCCAGCAGCGGGTGGGCCTCGGTGTTGTCAATGTCGTCGTGTTCGTCGGAGTCGGCCATATTGAGGTGCTGGTGGTGGTTGACAGGAGACGAGGGGAAGGAAGGTGCAGTGGCAGGGCGATGAGATATATACACAAAGACAAAAAGGCCGGAGGAACACGCCGCGGAGGACCAATAAGTGAGCTCTCTGTCAAACCGGACCTCTCGGTACTCCGTACTTTTCTGCTACATGAGAAGTGGCTGAGACAACGGTTCCATGTCTGTTCTAATTACGGTGTGTTTGACCAATCCGTCCGTCGGAATGTCGACAAAAGCTACCACAACCGGAAGGTCCTGCGTTTTGGTGGTCGCAGGGTTTCACACGTCATTTGAATCTGTATCAGTTGACGCCTGCTTTTCCGCTGCTGCCTCTTCCTATTTTGTACCGACTTTTTGTCTCGCTGTTGTGGCGGCCAGCACGTTTCCAAAAGCTGACAAAAGGGGGTCGCGCACGCCATCGCATAGTGTATTGACGAAACCAAAGGGCGCGGCATAGGGATGGGCCCTACAGCGGGCACTAAATTGTCTCAAAAATAAAATAAAAATACAATCATGGAAACTACATTCGTACGTACGCTGAGATCGATGCATATTTGCTGCTGCCTTTGCATTACTTCTCACCCGCGTAGCGAATCATCTTGCACTCATTCCAACAAGGAGGACGCGCGGGACAACAAATACACTCATCGAGATGAGACGCTTATCGAACCCTGATTCATGCTCCACAATAAATAAACCCCGTAAACCCTGTATGCTGCGGAGTTTAGCGCCTTGCTGAGCGGCCCGCTCCCGGTTGGTGCGTTCAGAGAATACCAACGAATGCCAGAGGCATCAACGACAGGCCTGGCCAGCCGTCACTCGTAAGCCGATGCAGTAAATGTCCTGCATCCGCTGTCCGTTCAATTATCATGCTGGATGGAACTTTAAAATTACCACGAGGTAACCTCTGACAATGAGTTTCACTTGTGGGTTGCGGGTTGCGATCTTCTTTTTCCCCGTGTGTTCTGACGCTTTCTAAAAGGCTGTCAGAAAATTCATACGCCATTTATGTAAGCCAACTCCACAACACGAGTGTGAAGAGTATCCCTAGCATTCTGTCAAGGTAGACCTAGGTTCCTCGGAGACAATATCACGAGAACAGGATATGGTTTCTGGTCTACGTCGTTTATTCGTCCTCTTGCACGAGAAGAATGATCGTAATGGCAGTACGTTTGTGGCCCTTGACAAGGTAGAGTCAATAGGGAGACATCTGCAGCAGTACTCCGTGCACACATCACACACCGCCCTTCATACATATAATCTCATATCTAGTCTCTACAGTACCAAAGCTAAGAATATTTGGCAGACATGTGCATTGCGTATCAGTGGCAAGTAGTGCAACTCATTACTCACAGTATTTTCAATACCGTGAACACTGCGTAGTATAGAACTTTAAATCGTAGCGCTTCACGACTTCTGCCGTCCTTGTTGTGCTCATTATCGGGACAACTTGGAACCTTATTGGTATCTCTATAATGGGTAAAAATACACATAAATATCGAGTAGCTCGCATCAGGACTTGCACTGAATTTTGTAATATACACAAAATTCCTTCTCGACACGGCTCCATTTCCCCCGACAACAAAGACGAAACTTGACAACGTGCTCCTTGTGAGTTTATACACTCGACGACTAAAGTACAACACCACGATAATGGAGCCGTGGCCTACTTCGTTCTCTTTCGATACACTCGTGGAGCACAATGACGACGTCCTTACAACACGACGCCCAGGAGACATGCACGCCCTCTGGGTCTGGGACGAGCTGCACAAGTTCAACCTTGAAATGGCCGCCATGGAAGCCGCCCTGTCCAACGCCATCAGCGTGGCCTGCAATGCTGGCCGCCCGGTCATTGACGAGCCGTGGATGCCGGTCCTCGTCGACAATTTCTGGCCCATCAAGAGTCGCGCCCGCGATGTGCAGCGCAGGTGTCTCGAGTACGCCCGCCTGGCCAAGACACTGGACGCGGACAAGCGAGTCCGTCACGCTGCATGGGCCGCCACGCGCGCCACCGCCACCGCCGCCCTCGACACGAACAATGTGGACGATGCTGGCCCTCATGGCCGTACCGTTGGTGTCCATGTGGTCGCTGACACGGACGCCGGGGCCGATGCCAATGCGGATGCGGATGCAGGCAGCCGTGCGGGCGTGGTTGCAGAAGAAAAGGACGTAACGACAAAGAACGACGCCGACAAAAAGGACAGCAAACCAGGTTTCGTCCGATTTGCAATGCTACCGACCGAACTACGACTCATGATCTGGGAAGCGGCCACCATGCCACCACCCTGTGGCCATGTCATGGACATCACCAAACCTCCCAAAACGGATTACGACGTCGCCATGGCCCTCGACATGTTTCCCGATGCAGGCCTCTGGCGGGCCTGCTCTCAGTCCCGCAAAGTGATGCGGCGGGCCTACCGCAAACAGGCCGCCTATTTCAACGAATCGGACGAGTGGGGCGAGCACCCGTACTGTGCCGGCGACAGACAAAACGCAGCCAGCACACTAGCCGAGCGAGACGAGGAAAAGGTGTACGACCGGTTCGCCCGGATGGCGCGGCTCGTCCGCACGGTGGAGAAGGCAGTGGAGTTTCTCATATCGGACGTGGAGCAGTTTATGGTGAGCACCAAACAGGCCGTGCACGAGACGCGCAGAATCGTGCAGCCGCTTGTAGACAAGGACACGTTTGCGGAAGCCTTTGACCAGAGCTTGCGGCCACAGTCGCTGCACCAGTACATCCCGCTGTGGCGGTTGCTACGGATTCGCCAGGACATGTGCCGCGACAGGTGGACCTTTGACAGCCAAAACTTTCACGACTATGACGAGCAGTACGGCAGTACGGTGGTGGAACAGGAGGCGAAGCAGGTGGAGAAGGAAGACGAGAAAGATGTGGAGGACGCTGTAAACGACACGGTGGATGACACCACGAAAAGAAATTTGTTTGACCCTGGCAAAGTATTCACAATTCGGATAAAACGCAAGACCGGGCCGCAATAAGAGACTGCGTCCTTGTTTGTCTAGCGTCGGGTTTATTTCAAAATACAATTATTCAAATATTTTTTACAACTTTCAACCGTGATCCATAAAACTAGTCTCGGCATGCACGTTCACAGGAAGATATGGCCGGCCCGATCGCTTTGCCAAAGAGGGTGTAAACTTCCTTACCAAATCCGGCGCCGCGAATGTCGTAGTCCATTCAAGAATGAGGGACCTCTCCGTGTACGTGTTGCAGCCCTTGGACACAGCTACCCAATCCATGCGCTGTTCAGCCATATGTTCAACGTTGCTGTGACTGGCGATCGCATCGCGCGCATACTCGACAGTGGTGCCGGCCGCAGGAGTTTTCGAAAAGAGAACCAGAATGTGGACTTCTTGCACGAGCGATTTATTCCAGACATTGTTCCAGGTGGACATAGACGACGGTGGTCAAAGGGATTATAAATCTGGAGAATTGGAGCCCATTGGTACCTTTGTGTACTTTAACAACAACACCTGACAGGTTCTTTTAATCGTTTAGAGTTGCCTTGGCACAACTATATAGTTAATATAGTTGTTTTATTGTATCGACTGGGTGTTCATCTCCAAGGGGCTCCAAGATAATGACAAGTAAAAAATATAAACAACTACGAAAGGAATCATCTGTCGATTTATAGACGCTCGCAAGACCCAACCCCAACGGCCAAATCCGCACCTGTCAGGTACTTACGGGGATGGAGATTCTTAACGAGGGATCGACACGGAACGCAGAGAATTGTTTACTCTAGATGGAGGGGGATGATAGGCAGATATAGTCGCGGAAAGTAAAAAAATATTAATTTACAAAAAAAAAGAAGGGAGAGGAGGGGAAGCGGGGAAGAATAAGGCCAATGGGAGAGAGCGAGATTGTGGCCCCTCCATCTCCAAAACAAAAAGGAAAAAAGCGAGGAATGGAGGAACAAAACCTAACCCAAAAACAAACCAAAACCTGCCAGATGATCGCCAGTTTTATTACTCGCCCTTACACTACGCTTATTAAATAACGTCCGGTTAGGCTAGGTAAAGGGAAACCATTTCCTTCTTAGCAAAACCGTGCTTCTCTGCCACCGCTGCCTTGAATACACTAAATCACGCAATGTCATCCACAACGAGCGAAAAGGGTGTCTGTTCCCGCTGTCCCCATTTCCTGAGCGCTCACACCAATCCAAAAATCTCCAAGTGCAAAAAGTGCGGCAAGCGATTCTACGTCTGCCAAGTGGGCGACCATGGCCACAAATATAAACAGGGTGTTGACGCTTCTGGGTGGAGGATCTGCTACATTCCATGCTCCTGCGGCGAGCCGTACTACCCAGACTCGGCTGTGAGCACGACCGAGCTTCAGCCCTGGGAGTACAGACTTGATCATGTCGCCTACCGACCAGTTTCGGACTTTTTTGGAGGTGCCGAAGAAGGCGAGGATGAGACGTGTCAGGATGACCTTTGGGACCTGACCAACCAGCTAGGCCAGGTGAGCATTGACGAACCAAGGGTGGACGACAGCGCCGGAAGCGTTGTATATGTCGATGCCTATAGTAAGACGGGTAAGCAGGTATACTTTTTATATGAACAGGTTGAATACAAAACGAATAGGAGTGACTGGGAGTGGGACGAAACTGTATCCGAGTCTGGCGAAGTGGTCCCGTTTTGCCAATACCAGCGTGATGGCATCAAGTTCTGGACTTATGTGCTGCCGAGCACGGAGCCCGATGAAGACTATAAACCAGATAGGAAGAAAAGGAAAGAACGAGGAAGACGAAGGTAAGATCTCCGCCCATCATAGTCTAGCAAATCTAGTACGACCACGAGCAGCATAAAAATATATCCGTGGAGTAGGAAGGTACTGAAGAAGAAGTAGTCTCCATGGGTTTTCTTCTTTTCGACGTGCTTGATTTTGAATATTTACTGCCAATCATTAGGTAAAATGTTCCAGTAACGTTGCCACCTATGATTTACAAATCCAGGCAGATCTACATTTGCTTCATCGACCTCTCCACGGACGGTAGTCATACAGCAGTCCAACATACGACCCACAGCAACGACGGTCGGACGTTTAAGTATAACTATGTTTAACGGACTACCCTCTCCGTCTTTTTTTTCAGGCTCGAAAACGACTTTGAAGTCATCGTCGATAGTAGCAAATCTGCCCGTTTCGCGTCGAAAGCCAAGGTCGACGGGCAGGTCTTTGATCCGCCATTCCCAATGCGCATACTCGCGTGTAAATCCTTGCTCAAGCGATGGCCAAATATCCAACTCGACATGGGCCTTTTGAATGTGGCCAGACGGCCGCCAGCACGGGCCCATTACCCAGAAGTTATTTTGCAACTGGTAATTCAGGCGACAGCGGAGGACATCGACTTGTTGCACGAGGTCTTTTTCATGCGGGTAACGGGCACATGGAGCTGCGTCGTCGAGTTCCCAGAACGAGTTGGACGCACCCGTCCAGGCGGCTCTGGTAATGTCGGGCGAAGACATCGTCGCTAGGCCACGGCCTCTCGACCCCTCGGTCGTCTCCAGCCAGAGAACCATCTGGTCTAGGATGGCTCGGTCGCCTAGGAGAAGTGCGCCCAACCACCATGGCGCAACGCGAGGGCGGCGCAGGGCAAAGGCTTTCGCCAGGGTGATCACGTCTCCAGCATCAATGAGCGGCTGTACCACGGAAAGAATCCCCCCGAGCCATGGGCTAACTAGGTTGCATACAACGTCCGGCTGCCAGAATATACTCCATAAATGGGGTCCGCGGCCTAACTTGTCTGCGCTGAGGGTCATATAGTACGGGAGGTCTGCAACGTACTGGCGAATGGCTATGGCCGTTCGGAGGGAGACAGAAGCTTTCGGCCGCGTGCTTCTTGTAAGAGGGGTAAGAATAAGATGCGGTTCCCACTTCTGATCGCTGTACAGTGGCAAGGCAAGGGCTGCAAAGAATGCGGACGTGTATGCCGGTAGCGGCTCGGACGGATCTGTCTCTACCGGGCGGCCTCTGCGAGGAGGGTCTTCCGTCCCTGCCTGCACCTCTGTGGCGACGGCCCGCGCGACTGGCCTAAGTCTGGTACTCCGGCGCGGTGTACGGGCCGTCCGTGTAGGAGCCGCCCGTGTCGGCCGTCGCCGTGGTGCCGCTGCTCGTGTCTCCGCCTCCGCTTCCTCCGTCTCCTGGAGACCAAACAACTCGCATAGCTCAATGAGAAGGCCAGCTGCGTCAGTGGAATTCGGCGGTTGTTCATCCGAGTTGAAGCGAACTGGGTTCTCGTATAATAAGACGAAACAGACATCTGCAGACGTTCTCGCCATCCAAGCTGGAGCTCGGGAGACTCGCCAACCGGGACACGGTGCTAAGACGGCGCAGAGCCACCGCACAAGGGAATACGATGCACCCCGCATATCGAGTACATAGTCATTGGCGCGTGGGGTGTAGTCGACAGCACGTCTCGGCAGTAGACAGGCCTTGGTATAGGCCGCCCTCCGGCCCTGGAGTTCAAGGAGTTTCGTCGACACAATGTAGGACCAGCAAAGGGTAAGGATGGCGAGTCCCTTAAAGCTGGCCGGTGGGTTGTGGGTGCTGCTGTCGGCAAGGGACAGCCGAAAGATAAGCGGCTTGGCGGCCAAGACGACAAGGTGCTTTTCAAGACCATAGCAGAGGGTCTCCTCGATGCCATTGTCGCCGCCGGTGCATCGTCGCCAAACAGCGACCCCACCAAGGAACTCTGCTGTGTCGTGCGGCGGAAGGGCCGGCACGTCTCTCAACATGATGGAGGGGTCACAAGTGCCACGAGGCATGTGCGTTGCCGGCATAGCTTTCGCGCGTAATATGAATTCTTGCCAGGTGCACCGAGCTGCTTGGCACATTCGGTTGATCTTGGCGGTCGTTGGAATGAGAAGGTCATTGTGACGCCCAAGCAAAAGGCCATTTGAGGACGACTTGGAGGACGACCGAGATGACGGCGGAGAGGACGGCTGCGGGGGGGAGGGTTGCTCTTCTGGATCATCGTCCAAACCCCCTTCTGCAGAGGTAGGCGCAGGGGAGCTGTCTTCACAGCGCTTGATAGGCTCTTCCACGCCGTTCTTAAAGACGTGGTCGCCAGTCGAGACCCAGTGGCGGATTCGATCGTAGAGCGGCTGCATCGTCCCTTCCTTGACCGATCACTGCCCACCTCGGGGGGAGAAATGTGTTGTTGAAGTGTGGCGTTCCGTGTGATGAGATATTCGTTTGCTTAGCATCGCTGGACAATGTCGGGAAATCAACAAACAGACTGCATCTTACGTAGCGTATATATCGCGCCGGCTCGATGCAGACTGTCGTTTGGAAGGGATACGGATTTTGAGGTGGCGACGACGTTCCAGATTGCACCTGAATGTATGGGTACGATTTGTGGGGCTGCGATTCTGCTATTGTGTGGCTGATGTGTATATTAGTCACCAAAAGAGTGGCTGCGCGCCAGCACCTCCATAAGCCCCTGAATGTGTGCCCAAAACGTCCTCACTTTCAGGAGGCAACACATCTGCCATACAATATAAGTAATTTCTGAAAGGCCTTGTGCTTCCAAGACACCGTATTCATTTCCTGGATAAGCCTGTAAGACAGACGCACAGAGCGCTGCATGGCGAGTCTAGGACGCACGGTAGAAGCCACAGGGTCACACGACATATCATGCGACACTCACGTGACGTATAAATTCAAGGATAAAACTAGGAGACGTGGACTTATTACAGAATTCTACTAGAGACAACGCAGTCTACCCTCACTTATGGTCATCCTGTTTATACAGTACGACAGTTCTACCAGCCACAGTTGGTCGACTACAGGCCTTGTCCACATACACGGGCTCCTTGGTTCGTTACCATGGTACAGTTATGAACATAAGGCCCTTCCTCTTTACACAATAACTAACCCTGACTAAATGTTCATAAAATTAATAATTATTTATTATATATATTATTATAATATTATTTAAGACTTATTATTACACACAAACGTATACGTCACTAGTTTCGTGATACTAAGTAACGGAACAAGAAAGAAAGTATTACAAATATCACGATTCAAAATACCGTACTATAGCTGTAAGTTAAAGACAAGTACAGAAAGAAAAAGGAGGAGGCGGGAGGTGGTAAGGACAGGGTTTGGGAAATGAATCAAAAAACTACCATAAAAAGCCGGAGAGAAGAAGAAAATGAAAAGAAGGGAAAGAAGTCAAGAGTACAAGAGAGAGACGTCGAGAAAGAAGGGCAGTATTTATATGCGGTCGTCAAGGAAGCTGGAAGAGCGGGCCAATCAGAAAAGAGTTATGGCCCCACATTTCCCGATTGGGACGGCCGCCTACTATGGCGACCACAACAGTTCTCCTTTACAGAATGAATTGCATCACGTGCGACTCCTCTTCAACGACTCGGTGATGAGCGTCTTGTATCCCTCGACAGCGCCTTCCAGGTCGGCGACGCGCAAGTGCTCGTGGTCGGAGTGGGCGACGAGGATGTCGCCGGGCCCGTAGAGGTACTTTTTGTGGTCGCCCTGGAGACCGGGAATGTCGGTGCCATAGTTGAGGACGACCGTGTCGAAGCCGTCGATGTCGTAGTCGAGCGAGATGGGCCCCCGGCCATAGGCAAAGTCGAGCGTCAGAGACGGCTCGACGGCCAGCACAGCCTCGGCAATCTGCGTCTGGATGCCCTCGAGCGTGCCGCCAGCGACGCGCACCGAAACGGTCGCGGCGGCCGTCTCAGGAATGACGTTGGCCGCGACGCCGCCGTGGATGGTGCCAATGTTGAGCGTGGTGTTGCCAAACTCGGCGCTGCCGGGGAGGCGGACGCCCAACAGCGCCGAGAGTCCGCGGACGAGGCGGTCGATGGCGTTGTCGCCCTGCTCTGGGTAGCCCGAGTGGCCGGCCTTGCCGTGCGCGGTCACGTTGAAGCCCAGGCCGCCCTTGTGCCCGCGGCCGAGCTTGAGGCGCGTCGGCTCGCCAAAGATGACGGCCTCCCAGGCCAGCCCGAGGCTGTTGGCCGCGCGGATGCCGTCGCCGCCGCGCTCCTCGCCGACGTCGACGAGAAGGGCCACGTCGCCTTCGCGGATGGCGTCCGAGCGCAGCAGCCGGTCGACGGCCACCACCAGAGCGGCCACACTGCCCTTGGCGTCGACCGTGCCGCGGCCCCAGAGCACGTCCGAGGCGGTGACGGGGTCGTCGTCGGACAAGAGGCGGCCGTCGGCGGTCTTGCGCTCGTACGGCCAGAACGGCGGCACCGTGTCAATGTGCGATGTGACGAGGACGCGTGTCTGGCGCGTGGTGCCGACATAGGCCCAGAGGTTGGCCCGTCCGCTGCCGGGGGCGACAGGCTGGATCAGGACGGTAAAGCCACGGGCACGGAGGTAGCCAGCCAGCCAGGCCGTGGTGTTGGCCTCGGCGCCGGAAATCGACGGGATTTGCACCAGGCTTTTGTGGAGCTGGACGAGGTCGGCGGTGGACGGCGGCGGAGGCGATGACGCGAGCGCCAGCGAGGCGGGGGTGGAGATGACATGCTGGTGTGGGTAGGCGAGGGCGTCGAGGGGCGCTTTGGAGGCGACCGGGGAGCGGAGCGCTGCAGCGGACGAGCCGAGGAGGCCCCAGAGCGTGTTTGCACCGAATTTCATGGTCGTAATCAGTTGGGGCCAGCAGGCGAGAAGACAGGAAACGGGGTCAATATTGCCGGCCGGGAGAGACCATGAGACCATAACGAGGCAACGCGCAGGCCAAGGCAGTTCCTTGGACAGACGACGCCCTGCTCGACTAAATATTGCTCGCCTGAGGATGTCGTGTTCACGCGAGCGACAGAACAGGCACAAGCCTCAAAATACTGACAAATGCAAGTTGTTTGTTCGTGTTTGTCGACTCCTTCATAACGACCCCGGAAAAGCACATCACCACGCGAAGAGCACATCATTGATCCTATAGACTGCGATTGGCGGCTCACACTCCGAATTCCCGGCTGGCGTCCTGGGCCACCCGGTTTCGCGGTATGAATATTGGATATAGGTATGCACGCCAATCGCACCATAGCGCGCGCCAAATGCATCACGGAAAGGTGTCAGCGGCCGCCCCCACGTCGACATGCCCGGACAAGAAACGATCAGCCAGTATCGGCCAATCAGCGCCGCTTCGGCGACTTACACCACCTGGTAGGGCCATTCCCCGCCCTGATACCAACACCAATGCGAAGTACGACGTCGACCGCAAAACACGAGGAGCCAGCAGAGATGCAAAGATGCCGAGAGATAAAGTTTGTCCTCGTGTTGCGTAGATGACGCTAATACGACATAAATAAGCCTGCAGCTGCCGGCGGCCACCTGGTGATGATTTGCATTGTGTCTCACGCCGGAGTATAGTCACAATTGTCTTTGCCTGTCCATTTGCCCACCACCTTCTCCTTTTCTGCTCACGCGCACCATCCATCATGTCCCCCGTGTCCGAGGTCCATTCGGACGATCCGTCCGACCTGCCTGCCGCCGCCGACGAGAAGAAGGCTGTGTCGGCGTCGTCCGGCGCCGTGGACGTCGAACGGGGCACGCCGACCGCCGCCAACGGCTTCCACGTCGTCGCGCGCGCGGCCAAGAACGAGGATGGCAGCATCGCAGCCGGCGAGATTGGCGCCATCGACGCGTCGGACATTGCCGGCTTCGACGCCGCGTTCATGAGCGCGCGCGCCAGCCTCAGCGCCGACGAGGAGAAGCGGCTGCTGCGCCGCATCGACTGGCGGCTGCTGCCGCTGCTGTCCGTCATCTACATGGTCAAGACCATCGACGCGGCCAACCTGTCCAACGCGCGCATCATGGACCAGGGCACGCCGCACAACGTCATGATTGAGCTCGGCATGACCGCCAACATGTACAACCTCGTCACCACGGCCTACTACATCCCCTACATCCTGGCCGAGACGCCCTCCAACCTGCTCGTCAAGCGCGTCAAGCCGTCCGTGTGGCAGGCGCGCATCATGATCTCGTGGGGCACCGTCCTGTGCGCGCACGCCGCCGTCAAAAACGCCGGCGGACTCTACGCCGTGCGCGCCCTCTTGGGCCTGTTCGAAGCCGGCCTGTGGCCCGGCCAGCTGCTGCAGCTCTGCTACTGGTACCGCCCAGACGAGATGGCGCCGCGCATCGTCCTCGTCACCGTGCTGGGCAATTTCAGCTCCGTCGTCAGCGGCCTGCTGGCCTTTGCCTTCAACGGCGTGACCGCGCGCGGCCTGTCGGGGTGGAAGTGGTACGTCGCCGTCAGCCGTCGTTTGCAATCGTTTGGAACATAAATGCAGCGTTCTCGTCTGACATGTCTAACATACTAGGCTCATCTTGACCGAAGGCGTCTTTACCGTCCTGCTCGGCATTTTCACCTTTTTCTTCCTTCCCGACTGTGAGTTGACGCATCTCAATACCGTGCTATAGGCCATAGATTTGCACGGAAAACATGTAAAATATACAGCACGGACAATATACTGATGCACTCACCCCCCAGTTCCCGCCAACGCCAGGTGGCTCTCTGAACGCGAAAAGGCGTTTGTCCAGGCCCGCCTGCCCATCAACGCCCCCCGCGCCCAGGAAGCGAACTTTAGCTGGCGCCAGTTCGTGCAGACCCTCAAGGACGTCCGCCTCTGGCTCTTCCTCGGCTGCTGGGCCTTTTACACCGTCGGAACCACCGGCCTCAACTTTTACCAGCCGACCGTCATTGCCGGGCTCGGCTTCACGACCATTGGTCGCGCCCAGCTGCTCAACATCCCGCCCGCCATCTTCTCGTGCGCCCTGACCATCTCCTTTGGCCTGCTGTCCGGTACCGGCCGCATCCCCCAGCCCTCCATCCCCCTGTTCTTCATGGTCGTCATCCTCGCCTGCTACGTCGTCGAGTACACCTACCCCAACGTCGGCGGCGTCTATGCCGCCACCATCGTGGCCGGCGGCTTCTCCTCGGCCTGGTACACCATGATGTGGCCCTGGCGCGTGCAGACCACCCAGGGCGCCACCGGGTCGGCCCTCGCCATCGCCTTTGCCAACAGCTACGGCCAGATTGGCGGCGCCGTCGGCTCGCAGCTGTTCAACTCGCGCTACGCGCCCCACTACACCACCTCCTTTGGCATCGCTATGGGCTTCATCGGCATGGCCATTGTCATGAACCTCATTACCTGGTCCGTCACCTGGCGCGTCGACACCGAGACCCGCCGCATCCGGCGGGCACGGAAGGCCGCCCTCAAGCGGAACGAGGCCATTCTGGACGACGTGCAGATTTAAAGGTTGAGGGGGTAGAAGTCCTGTGAAGAAAAACAGGTGTGGATGTGCAAGACACTGCAGAGATGTGAAACCGGGTAGTCGGCAGTTGGTCTTGTCAATTTGTGTGGTCGTATTCCCTGCTCGCAGTAGCTTGACAGCGAATGATGACCAAAGTATCGTTTGTCCACCACGTCTTCTTCTCCATTCGCTGCCTATTCTACTTCCTATACCACATCCGTGTCGCCCTGGTCCGCCGGTTCTTGGCCTGCAGCAACAAGATGCCGTACATCAATGCCTCGGCCGTCGGCGGACACCCCGGCACATAAATGTCCACGGGCACAATGCGGTCCGCGCCCCGCACCACACTGTAGCTGTAGTGATAATAGCCGCCGCCGTTGGCGCAGCTGCCCATGCTAATCACCCACTTCGGGTCCGGCATCTGGTCGTAGCACTGCCGCAGCGCCGGCGCCATCTTGTTGGTCAGCGTGCCCGCCACAATCATCACGTCCGCCTGCCGCGGCGACGCCCGGAAAATAATGCCGAGGCGGTCCTGGTCGTAGCGCGGCATGGAGACATGCATCATTTCGACGCCGCAGCAGGCGAGCGCAAACGTCAACGGCCACATGGACCCGTTGCGGATCCAGACGGCCAGACGGTCGAGCGTTGTCAGGGTGTATTCGACGAGGTTGGTCGGGCGGTCGTTGTCGACACGGGCGACGGCCCCAGAGATCGGCCTCGACGCCGTCGATCTGTTCGTGTGGACGGCTTGCGAGTAGCTTCGACGGCCGCGAGTGCACATGGCGGGAAGGATCGCGACGGTTCGCCGCACCGGGAGGGACGTGGTCATGACGAGTGTTCTGGTTGCCATTCTTGCTATTGCACATGTCAATTCAGTGGTGAGGAAAAACACGTGACTAGTATATTGACGATCGTTGATGTGCAAGACTCACCAGAGGTTGCCAGAGTGGCCATATGGATCTCAAAAGCAATGTTTACAGATGTGATTCTCAGATCGGAACATCTGAACAAGTCAAAGGATAAAACCGGAACTCCAGCGTCCTCACGACTTCATATCTTCCCGTCTTACACTCTTCGGGAAACGCACACATGTGTGACCCACTTTTCGTGTTAGTTGTGCAGCGTATTTGCACTGTCTTTTCTTCACATATCCACCAATTTTCGGTGGGACCCACCGTGAACTTACCAACTGTCAAACACCTCCACACTTTCAACGTCTGGCGTCGGGAAAAGCACGCATCTGTTTTCCTTTCTTCTCTCCTCCCGCGTACCACAACCGACCACCAGCAGCCACTATGAACGGGAGTCCAATTTCCGCATGTCCTGCACTCCCAAGCACCCACACGGTGCCTACAGATCCCTCGGCGTGCAAAATCTGCCACCTCCCTTTTGCTACCGTCCCGTGCGATGCAGCCCCCAACCGGGAGTGTGCCTTCTGCCGCAGGGTCTTCCAGCGCGCTGACTCGGCTCGCCGGCACGAGAAGACGTGCGGTGCAGGGCGCCCATCACCACGGGTGTACAAACGCGGCCGCAAGACACAGGCCTGCGACGCCTGTGCCCGGATCAAGGTCGCCTGCGATGCCGGGAAGCCCTGCCAGCGATGCTCCGACCGTGGTTTGGAGTGCCAATATGGGCGGCTCTGCACCATTCCTGCGCACCGTGAGACCCAGACATGGCCCACACAGAGAAGCCCCGTGGCCGCTGCCGCTGCCGCTGCCGACCCAGAGCCGACGACCGACGAAAACGAGCGCAAGAAAAAGCGGCAGATCGCCTCGACGTACCAGTTCTTGCTCCGATGCACGGATCCACACGTGAACTTTGTCAACGATGCCATGGTCCACGGCGAGCCAGAGCTGGACCCACAACGGCTGCCGGCGCCTGTCCCTGGTCCAACACCAGTCCCCGAGCCCATCATTGACACAATCGACCCGCAGCTTCTCTTCCGCAGCTTCATGGACCCCTACTTCGGGCTATCCATCGACTACGGCGGCATCGATGGCTCTATTTTCGGCGCCGACAATGCCAGTGACGACGTGAACAGAGCATCAGCCGTCGCATCGGACCCAGCATTCGCGTCGGCACCTGCGTCGGCCACCGGTACCTGGCCGTCCTCGCCTGGCGCAATCTCACTCAACACCATCTTGCCACGCGTCATCCAACTCGAGTCCGAGATGTTGCAGCTCATCGCCCAGTACGACCCGGACACGGCCGACAGGCACTATGCCGCCGTCAAGGCCTTTTTTGCGGTAGCCGACTTTCGCAGCCTACTAACCATCTTCTTCCGGCGTCATCAGCTGCTCGCCAAGCTGATCCACTGGCCAACGTTTGACGCGCGCCACATCGAAACGGGTCTGCTGATGGCCATTGCTTTGTGCGGTGCCGCATACTCGCACTCGAGCGAGACCGCGATCCCCACCGATGCCGCGCTCCTCGCTGCTGCGTCGAACATCCAGCCGCTCGCAGAACAGTTCATCTTCCGGCGTCTCGACGAGGTGGGCAAGGGAGTTGGTGTCAACGCCAGCGTCGCCGTCGAGGTGTGCCAGGCCGCCTACCTCATCGTCATCCTCCAGACAAGTGTCAGCGACAAGGACAATGCCACCCGCCGCCATGCTCTGAACCAGCGCCAGCCGGCCCTCGTCGACGCCCTCCGCCGCATGGGCATGATGGAGAGGCGCGGTACGAGCCTGTGCCTCCCGCACGCCACCGCGGCTGCATGGGCCGCCTTTGTGTACAGCGAGTCGTGCACCCGCCTCGCCTTCTGGGCCATGTTCACCGATGGGCTGCTGGCCCTCTTTTGCAACCGCGCACCCACCCTCGCCATTGCCGAAATGATCGGCGACCTGCCGTGTCGGGATGAGCTCTGGGATGCGCCAGACGCGGAGGCATTTGCGAGGCTAGCGGGCTGCGCGACGGAGACGACGCACGCCCCCTTGTCATTAAAAGCCGTCGTGGCGACGCTCCTAGCCGATGACAGCCATCCGAGTGACCAACCGAGCGATTCCGCCGCGGCCTCTACGATTTCGTCTGCGTCTGCTGACCTCGCCCACCTCAGCGTCTTTGACCTCTATTCCGTCGTCGGCGCCCTCCAGTTCTCCGTCTTCCACTACCGCGCACAGGCCCTGCCGCCCAGCACGGCCGCCGTCGTCCTGCGGGCACTCGACCGCTGGGACCGGCTGTGGCAGGCCGCGCGCGATCGCGTCCCCCCCGATCAGCAACGCTGGCTCGGCATCGCCCGCCACGCGCCCGAGTTTGCGCGCATTGCTCGGCGGATTGTGGATGTGACGCGACAGGTGTCCGAAACGACGGCGACCGGACCGCCCGCCGACGCGCTCGCGGACGTCCACCGTTCGAGATACATACAGTGCCGGTCTGAGTTCGATTTGGCCGTGTTTTACCAATTCATCCTTGAGCACGGTCTGCGGTGACGTGTTGAAGGGAGAGGTGCATTTTATGATCGTTGTGTGATCTGATTAAAAATGGATCTACTCCGTGGCGGCGTTCATCCGTTGCATAGCGCGTGTAGAGCTGTCGACGTCCGTTCTCCTGTGCAGTGGGGTGTGTTTGTCGACAGAACCAGGGATGGCAAACGACATGTCGATGCCGTCCCGCGTGACTCAATTGGCCAGTTTCCGTTTTGGGATATTTCCGACTTTGCACGTTGTGCCCCTGCGTCTCCACGCCCTTTTCATGACAGAAGGTACGATTGACAGAGATCAAAGATCCCGGGGAGGGGAGAGGGGGTAACTCAACTAGGCAGGAGGAATCGGATAACACCTAAAAATGTGGAAACAAGCTTCGAATCAGGGACATCACTGCCGTACAGCAGTGTCAGACACGCTATTTGGCCTTGACTCTGCCGTAATGAGTCACCCTAAAATAGCCTCAGCCCTGAACAGCGCCCAACGTAAAATGACGATCCGTCTCAGACATCTTTTGTCGACTTTCCTTTTAGAATCAACAACGAAGTAATTACGGAGAACCTGCAACCGAGTCAGGGTCGAAAATAACTGCCAATTTCATATAATTTCATTTCATTGCGTCTCGTCAGGCTGCAAGGCATTATACATCTCGTGTCGTCACCTCAATTGCACGTCCAGCAACCCTACTTCAAACAATTTCGCGATCCTCCATCACTCTCCACGATGGCCGCGCCTACAGGATCACCGCCATTGACTTGGCGAACATCCGTGTCCGTACCTGTGCCTGTGCCGACCGATGCCAAGGACACCGCCGACATTAATGCCGCCGCCACCCCGTCAGAGCAGCACTTCATCTGCTCGTCCGACTCGGCCCTTATCCAGCTCGACGCCCTCCACGACGCTATGTCGTCCGACCTGATGTGGTGGGCCAAGCCACTTTCGCGGCCCCAGCTCGTCGCCATGGTCACGAACAGCTTGTGCCTCGGCGTGTACACCACGGACTCTGCCGACGGCGCGCCCCAGTCCATGGTTGGCTTCGGCCGCCTCGTCACCGACCGCGTCACCTTCGCCTACCTCACCGATGTCTATATCCTACCCGCCTATCAGCGCTGCGGCCTCGGCGCCTGGATGATGCGCTGCCTGCGGGAGCTATGTCACGGTAGCGAGCCTGGCCGCACGGGCAGTGTTCCCTCCACGGACGGATGGCCGAACCTGCGGAGCCTGTGGCTTGTGGCCAGCACCGAGTCGGCGGCACGCATGTACATGGGCGCGTTGGACGCCGAAGAGGCCGCGCGGTACCGGCCGCAGCCGGGTGTGCCGGGGAGCGGCATGCTGTTGGTGGAGATGCCGGGGCCGGCAAACTCGATCCGGAATCACGCGAAGCGAAATGAGGAGGCAAAGGCAGCGGCGGGGACATGAACGGCACAGACGGGGAATAGGCGTTGGGCCAGGGCAGCCTCAAAACATCCACAGTGGCGTACGTAATAGATTTGGTTTGCGTCCGAGTCGCTCCTTTGCATGTCGCTTTGTCGTAGGTGAGGTCGTGCTAGACAGTCGTCTTGCCGTAGGCACCGCCGGCGGCCTTGCGCATCTCGAGCGCCCGCTTGTATGGCGGTGCCGTCGGCGGCTGCACGGGGTCCAGAGACACGTAGTCGTCTGGCAGCTTGTACGAGGCGTCTGAATCGAACGCGGACAAATCACCACAGGCCACAAACGGCGCGATCCAGCGAGAGCCGAGTGACGGCGCCGCCCTGGTCGCGTCAGACGGCCGCAGGTCTTCCAGCGTCACCTCGACAATGTGATCGCCTGCCGTTGACGCAGACGACTCCGCCGTGTCCGCGCCGTCTGGTGGCAGGTCCGGGACGATGTCGCCCACACCCAGCGGCCGCTCCAGACTGGCCTGAAAGGCTGCCGGTGGCCGAAAGTCCAGGCACACGATAAACGCCTCCACACTGCTCGCCCGCGACGACCGCGGCTTGGCCACGACGACGCGCGTAAAAAACAGCTTGAGCTGTGCAAAGAGCAGGTCGACATTGCGGCCCCGGAAAATCTTGGCCACAAACTTACCGCCCGGCTTCAGGACACACAGCGCCAGGTTCAGCGCCGCAAACAGCAGCTGCGACTGCACGTACATGTCGAGGTCGTGCAGGCCGGTGACGTCGGGCGCGCCGTCGCTCAACACGAGGTCGACAGGGTTGCTTGCATTGGTGTCGGAGGGTGCGGACTCGAGGTCCAGTGCCTTGAGAAGCAACGGAACCGTCGCTGGGTGCGTAATGTCGGCACGGAGTGTCACGATGCCGGGCAGCGGGCTGATGGGCTGCAGGTCAATGGCCACAATCTTGACGTCGCGGCGGGCGGGAGGAGGCGCCACAGCCTCGTTGTGTGCGGTGGCGGTGGCCGCTGCCGGTTGACCCCCCACGCGAAGCATCTGCTGCCGGACGAGCGCCTCTTGGTTCTGCCACGCCGTGCGCCCAAATGACTCGCCCTTGATCAGCACGCGGGACAGCACCTGTGACCAGCTGCCGGGTGCGGCACACAGATCAACCACGCGGGTCACGCCGGAGAACAGGTCAAACTCTGCGCCGTCAGCCACATGCCATCCACGTTTGTCGTTTTGCCTGGTGACGTCCTCTCACTCACCTTCGTCGAGCTGCAGCAACTTAAAGGCGCTCCGCGCGCGCCAGCCCTGCTCCTTGGCCAGCCGGTAGTAGGCATCACGCTTATCCTTGGACGATTTGCCCATCTTGTCGTTTTGTGGGGAGTGAATCGTTGCTTGTTGGTACAGGCCGTGATGGTGCGTCTTTCCAAGCCAGTTTCTGCGTGAGAAAATTAGGCGTAATTTTCACTGCTGAGCTGCACGTGACAGGACAGAACAATAAGCAGACGCAGAAGCAACACAAAAGCAACTTTCAGACCCTTCAACACCTTGTGCTCTCTGCAGTTATGGATATAAAATGTATTTATATTAAAGTTTACGTACTCTACGCCCCAATTTACGGGCGGGGAAAACAGCGTATGGGACAAAAGACTGACCTTTTTTTTCTCAGGTCAGGCTGATAAGAGTAACTATACACACCGTTTAAGGCAGCTATAGTATGTGATATAATAGCGTGAAATGCAGTGCTAATAGTGTCATTGATAACGATAACGATAAGGCTTTTTTGGCGGGCAGAAAATAATTTGGCAGAAAAAGATCGCGGCTTTTCAGGATACGCCAGCTGCCTCCAACACGTACCACGCAGCCGTCCAATTGCTGCCAGCCACAGCAGCTCTCCATACGTTCCCCGACAATTCTTTCCCTCGACTTCTTCCTCCTCCCAATAATGCAGACCAAGCGCAAGAACGGCAGCCAAGCAGGAGGACCTGGCGCGGACGCGAAGAAACGTCGCAAAGGCAATGGCGGCGCCAAAATCAAAGCGGGAGCTGCACCTGCACCGGCGGCTAAGCGACGCGTCGTGTCGATCAACGAGCAGGCCTGGAAACCTGTCGAGGCTCCAGCCGTCGACGGGTCTGAAGGCGTTGGCTTTGATGGTTTCATGGGCATCGAAGAGCTGACAGGTTTTGACGTTGTTCGCAGTGGGAATGGGCTCCAATTTGTGACGACGGACCCGTACGACAGCGACCAACAGCCGGATGCCATAACCGAAGAGGAATTTGAGGGCTTTGACGACGATGTGGCTGGAGAGGACGACGCAGAAACGTCCGAAAAGAAGGGCAAGGCGCAAGAACAGAGGCCAAAAGACAAGACAAAGGACGACAAGGACAAGAATCAAAAGACCAAGAACGACTCAAGAGCGGACGCACAAGCCGACGCAAAAGACAAGAAGAACAAGAGGAAGGAGCGACAAAAAAACGCAAAGAGCGCAGCGGCAGCGGAGCCTATCCCTGCAGGCGCCGACGACGAACTGAGCAAAAGCGCCGGGTTTGCGTCGCTGGCCGACATCGACATGGACGCCCTTGAGGACAACGCCGACGTGGCTTCCTGGGTGCCGCTCAACCTGTCGCCGCCCATCCTGTCTTGCCTGGCACGGCTCAAGTTCACCACGCCCACGGATATCCAGGCCGCCGCCATCCCGGAGATCCTCGCCGGCCACGACGTCATCGGCAAAGCCTCGACTGGTTCCGGCAAAACGCTCGCGTTTTCCATTCCCATTGTGCAGCGATGGATCGCCCGCAACAACAGCCGTAATGCCGCAAAGAAGAACAAGAAGTCCAAAAACGCAGAAGGAGTAGACGGCAAGAAGATGGCCCCGCTGGCGCTGATCCTGACACCTACGCGTGAACTGGCACACCAGATCTACAAGCACATCAAGGAGCTGTGTGGTGCTCTCCCCACCAGCCCGTACGTCTGTCCCGTGACGGGTGGAATGTCTGTGCAGAAGCAGCAGCGCGAGCTCGAGCGGGCCGATATCGTCGTTGCGACACCGGGCCGTCTGTGGGACGTTCTGAACCTGGGCCCCGAGTTCCTGGAGGCCTTCCAAGGCATCTCGTTCCTAGTCATTGACGAAGCGGACCGGCTGCTGGCGGACGGCCACTTCAAGGAGGCCAAGGAGATTGTTGATGCGCTCGAGCGGCACGATACGCAGCAAGACGGCTACGAGGACGCGCAAGGCAGCGAGGACGACGACAACGACGACGACGACGACGGAACGTCGGGCTCCACGAAGCGGCCTCGGCAGACGCTCGTCTTCTCGGCCACCTTCAACAAGAGCCTGCAGCAGAAACTGGCTGGAAAGAGTCGATTCGACCTGATGGACGAGAGCCAGTCGATGGAGCATCTCCTGAAGCAGCTCAACTTCCGCGAGGACGTGCCCAAGTTTATCGACGTGAACCCCGTGTCGCAAATGGCCGGCCGTCTGCGCGAGCGCCTGCTGCAATGTGACGCCATGGAGAAGGACTTGTACCTCTATGCGCTGCTGCTGCTCCTGGGCAAGAAGCGCACCATCATTTTCACAAACTCCATCGACGCCGTGCGCCGCGTCACCCCCTTGCTGCAAAAGCTCGAGCTGCCGGCCGTCGCCTTGCACTCGACCATGGCCCAGCAGGCGCGTCTGCGCGCGCTCGAGCGCTTCAAGGCCTCGACACACGCCCGCGGCTCCATTCTCGTGGCCACGGACGTGGCGGCGCGGGGTCTCGACATCCCCGGCGTCGACGCCGTGATCCACTACAATGTGCCCCGCACGGCCGACTTTTACGTCCACCGCTCCGGCCGTACAGCCCGTGCCAACACGGCCGGTGTCAGCATCCTCTTGTGCGGACCCAAGGAGGTCACGCCCACGCAGCGCCTCGTCGCCAAGATTCACGCCCGCGATGCGGCCAAGAGCGCGCAGACGGCGGCGGCCGATGGCGAGTCGACTGGCTCCAAGAGCGCCAAGAACTCCAAGAGCGCCAAGAATGCCAAGAAGACGTCGTCCTTTATCCGCACCGTCGACATTGACCGCCGCATCATTGCCCAGCTGCGCGACCGCATCGCCTGTGCCAAGAAGCTGGCCGACTCCACGCTCGCCAAGGAGATGCTGAACAAAGACGACAAGGCCCTGCAGGAGCTGGCCGACGGCTTGGATCTGGACTACGACGAAGTCTTTGAGCGCACCAGCTCAGGGCCCAAGAAGTGGCGCAGCTCCAGCCGCAAGGAAGACCTCGACGCCCAGATCCTCTCCAAGGCCACCGTCAAGGCCGGCGCCCGCGAGCTCAAGATGCTCCTGGCAAAACCCATCAACATGGGCGTCAGCGAGCGCTACCTGGCCGCCGGCGGTGTCAACATGCGCGAGCTGATGCGCAACGGGCCCGGCGATTTCCTGGGGCATGTCGACTACCTGGGCCTGGACGACGATGAAGACGAGGACGAGTAATGCCGTTGCAGTAGGATTTGTATTTCTGGTTTTATATATTTCAGTGAGCGTTTCAATTTTGTACCAACATGATAAAATATAGACTTCTGGCCGGCACTCAACAAGTTGTTTTCAGGGTACATCTTTAAGAAAGTTCAAAATAGTGCATTATATTCAATTCGGCCACACCAAAAGAGCTTGTTTTACGTTTCCGGAAATATACCGAAATTATCGATCCTGTTCTTTTCCGGCCCCCAAAAAGATGAAACAAAAATTCACAAACCTTCTAGGCTGCGTTCTCTTTCCTTTCATATTCACCACCGATATATGTGTCATTTCCGGTCGTGGCAACATTGGAACTTTCCAGTGGCAGCTTCAAAACATCTCAAACTCGAAACCGTGACCAGAACGCAGGACATTCCCTATATGTTTGATGATTGACTTTGATTAGTCGCACGAGATCGAGGCCAAGTTAGGCGGGCGTTCGGCGCTGGATGGGATTGCCGCATTGAGCTGCGAGGTGGTTCAGATCTGAAATGGAGGAGACGGCCATAGGAGGATGCCGTGGAAGCTCTTGAACGTTTTAGAACAAGACAATAGAGAAGAACGATGAGAGAATGGGACTCGGAATATTTAAATAACTTATGGGAAGACAACAAACTATCACTCGGTTAGAAATCAAGGAAGGTGCGTTGGGTGTCGCTTCGACCGCCCCGTTCTTTCCCATTGTGATTATGTTGACACACTCGCTCCTTCCTTCCCTAAACTCACAAGAAGAGGTGCTGACGACATCGCCACAGTGTTGATAAATTTCTTCCGCCGTGAAATGCCAAATCTACAGCCCGCTTCTTTTGCTCTCCAAACAAACGGAATTTCGCACCTCGTCGCTCGCCGCTTCCAATCATCCTATAGCCGCTACGTATCCACTCCGAGACTACCTACGCGACGTCCTGGACCTATATATCCTCTTCACCATGATCTCACCTCCGTTTGCCGCCCTGACCGGATGGCGTCGGATGCTTCATTTTCATTATGTCTTGATGGCCATTCAAGCTGCTGTCTCGGCCACCACCGGTCTTATCCTATTCGGACCTCCATTTCTTCACTTTGTCTGCGGCCACCATCACGAACAGCACCTTATCCACTTCCTCAACATTATTCTTTCCATGCTTAGCCTCGTCCGCGGCTTCTCAATCTGGCCGGCGGCTTTTGTGGCCAACTATGCCTACCTACTCGGATCCCTCTTCTCTCTCGGGGACCCTCTCGGTGTGAAAAACGTCGTTGCTTCCACCGGGATTGTCCGGTACTCCGACGCTACCAGTCTCACCGCAAAACAAGCTGCCCGGGTGGTCGTCGCTATGGCTTTCAACAGTGGACGGGCCCACAGTCTGATTTGGCCTCCTCAATACCCTGCACCAGACTCTGTGCTAATGGTGGCTCTGCAAGGCAACAAACTCGGGTCTGCCCTCTTGCCTAGAGTCTGCCCGGTGGCTATGGTTGTCATTGTATTCCCGGCGCTGCTTGCCACGTTCTATACTACAACGCGGCAGATGTCCCTTCGTCTGTCAGTCCATAGACTGTGCTGTGTCTTCCGCTCGCACGTGGCTGTTCCCACTACCACTACCTCTATCATCGTCGTCACTGCCGTCGATACGACAGTAAACTCAAGTGATCCAGCTAGCTCGGGAACACCCTCACTGCCCGAAAATTCGGCCAATGAATCGGAACTGAGTCCATCTCACGGTACAGAGCAGATGCATCACAACGAAGACCACGGAGACCACGGAGACCACAAAGACCACGAAGAATACCAGCCACCATCCCTGCTCCGTTCCTTTGGGAAAATTATATTCAAACTTCTCCAGGTTGTGTCTGGCACACTCGCCGAAGGTGCTGTGGAAACCCTCGCTCCATTCGTGTTTGGCGCCATCGTGATCGTCACATTGGCCATGACAATGGTGCTCTTTGGTGTCGGTCATGTGGGCGTTGACTCTCTCGTTCAGTCAGGTGTCTTCGGTCTCACTAAGGATGCCGTCGACACTCTGCTTGAACTCGTCAAGATGCAGTGGCGTTTCTTGCGTCAGATGCGTTGGTCGTGGTGGCTTGAAACAGCGGTACGGTACGAGCGCCGGTACGAGAACACAGCCCACCATCACGTTCACGGCAACGAGGATGCCAATGCCCATGCCCATGCCGACAACCACGCGGCCCATGATCATGTCCACCGTGGGTGCATGGACACAAATTGTCCGTTCCACATTTATGGCCACAGTACACACAGCTCTGCCAACAGCAATACGGAACAAAACCATGCCGACGACGGTAAAACTGTGACTGCTGAACAACCAAATGAGCCTGGCCGACGTATTAAAAAACGCCGTCATCATCGTCTCTGTCGTCACTTCCATCGGCACTACCATCATCACCATCATCATCATGGCGAAATGCACCAGGAGGAGGATAATCAAGCACACGACCCAACACGGCACCAAACACAGCACCAAACCCATCATCAGGCCCACCACCGCCGCCAAAACACTCCTGGATCACACATCGTCTTGGAAAGCCGACGCGACTGGCTTCGCTGGTTCTTTGGTCGGCCTCACCGCACCGCATCGAACGACTTCACCTGGCCTGCACCCACAATGGCAACTGCGGCAGCTGAGGTGGCCGAAGGCTTCTTCGGACGCCCGCTAGCGGACGTGGACGGACCTCATAACGACGCCTGGGGTATGTTCGACCACCAATCTCGCGAACACGGGAGTTACTCGGACCAAGACCTGCGTCACCTTCCATCCCAATATCAACAACAGAACACCCAGCCGGACCTCTGGGCAAGTGATCGTGATGATTTTCTGACGGTTGACGCGATTCAGCATGCACGTGCATTTTACAGTCAACAGCCCGACGAAAACCCTGATGAGACTGACGATGTCCCTTGGGTTAATATTGCCAATGGTTTCAACGTTGACCATTTTGATGACAACGATTCCGTTACTCGCGATCCTTTCGTTCGCGACGAAGACGCTAGCGAGTATAATGCTGGTGGTGTCGCCCGCGACTATGCCAATGCCAGTCGTCTCGATGGATATGATGTGGATGGAAACAATTTCGATGGCAATTACCGCGGTCGTTATCAGCCCCGGGATTTTTTCCCGGGTAGTGGCAATACCTCTGACGACGGAGACGCGTTCGGCAGGACCGTCCCGGACACGATGCAGTGGAATGAAGTGGTTGACTCCGGATCGGAAACATTTGGCTCGAATAGCAACCATCGCACGGTCAGCAACGTCATCTGGTAGGGAGACACACTTGGAAATGACGGACGAAATACATCGTGCGAGTATGTAGCGGAGAGTGAAGCTGCCGCTCGTTTCTCTGATGCGGGAACATCCTTTTTTGCCCCTTTTGAACTCTTTGATCCCTTTTGCCTTTTTTTTTCCCTTCTCCATTCTGTGTCCGTTTCAAAGTTTTGGACCTATCTTGATACCGTTTCCTTTGGCGGTAAGGCATACCATTCTTATTGCGGTAGATACAATATCTTTTTGTTTTTCACCTTATTTGGTTGCCTACTTGTCCTTGTCACGTTTTCTGTATACGAATTACGGCGAACGAACTCTTATTTTCAGTGCGGCTCAACATAACGGTTATTCGCAGGATTCCAAGCCACACATCCTGGTCTCATTTCCCACAACCAAACCAAGACTGATAACTTCCTGGCTAGCGGGCTTGGCCACAGCGCCAATGCGTCGATGGACATAACAGGCCAAACCAAGACAGGAAAAAAATGGAAAAAGGCGCAGAGCGTCCCTGAACGAATGCAGAAGAGGAAAAGGTCAGGGACATGAGGCAAAAGGGAAACCGTTTGAACGCCACAGGAGGAACAAACGAATAAAAACCAGAGCTAAGTCTTCACCTTAAACGCCTTCTGTACCGGATCACTAACTACATTCAGCAGAACGAACCTTTTATGAAATGCGATGTAATTGTGCTTGCACCCAAGCATCGAACCCTCCACCATTTCCACCATTAAACATCTTACGGCTACTCTTCTACCGAAGAACACACTGCCTCCTACTGTGGAGTAGCCACAGCGGATGCAACATCACTGAGATAGACCCGTTTTCTAGCCAATGAACGACTGGCACGAGCGACGCAAAATGGAGTCGTTGGCCTGTGGGAAAAAGGTCGTCTGCAATGTCTTTCGCTCTCCATTCCGGTTTTTAAGTCTTACGTTTTGTTCTCTTGCTAAACCTAATACGGTGGAGAACGCAGCAAAACGTCACACAGAGGCGAGTTTACTGACAACGGACGAAAATCCTACAGAGCCGGATAACAAACATTCAACATAGTCCGCACAACAAACAATAACGCCTATCGAGGCATCTGCTAGCCAACTCACTCCCGACTCTTCTGGTGGCCATCAGCCGTCCGGATTGCCGATCACTACTCGACACAGGAAAGCTATGTTTCTGAGAAATGCGCCCCATTCGGACCCCACAGCGGGCTTGGCTGCTGAAGGGAAACAAAGACGCATAATTCCCACGATGCTCACAATGCGTCGATTTCAGGATCGATCTCAAGTCATCTGCAAGCCTCTTTGATTCTCTGCCTCCCCAGACGCATCACCGCGCAAAATGCAACCTGAGACCTGCGAAGCACACAAGAGTTTTTCAGGCCCCCTGCAATCCGCTCGTGAATCGCTGCTCGCCATTCGAAGCCATTTCGTGGGTCTGCCTTACGCTTGCACTGGTTCTGTACTAGTCTTGGGGGTTGTTTTGCGTCTTGGCAGGTTGATGGTGTCTTGAATGGTCGCACTCTCCTTTTCTTCGCGTCCCTTATTCTGAGTTCAGACTGTAAGCGCTCCTCTGCGACAATTGATTGGGGCGTTGCAAGAGCAAGGCGGCCCTCTTCCGCATGGATGGAGGAGGTGCATCCCCTCCCTTTCTTTCAGCTGGCAGGGATCTTTGAGGACCCTTGCAGGTTCTTCTTCCACAACCCACGACTCAAACAGATGGGGAGTTGGAAGGTTTTCTCTAGGCGTGACGACGCACTGAAGTTGACGTCCTTGGATCGTGTCGGTGCGGCTCAGATGCGAGTGCTCTGTACCCCGTGCTCCGTATGCCGTCAAACGAGGCGAGCAAGATGGGAAAGAGATGACCCCGGGAAGACGGTAACGGTGGTGTCTCCTTTTCTGCGCATTTTCAGTTCAATTTTGTCCCCCCATCTGCCTGACCCTACCCGACTTGCAGACTTTCAGACTTGCCTGCCCGGAACCTTCTCACATGCGACCCCTTGGTATTCCCTAGCCAGTCTCCTTTCTCCTCGACGGCTCCTTGGCTGAGTGGGACGCGAACTCGGCTGGTCTCCGCCCAGTCACTTGGGCCCTTTGAATATTTCCCCTTCTCTCTTTTTCTTTTTTTTCTTCAGCCCTGTTTCCCGTTAGTCTACTTTGTCTACTTCATACTCTCTTTTGTCTACTCGTTTGTTGTCTCGCGTCTTGAAGGAGGTAAATGGTGTCGATATCGGGAGACACCTGACCAGCTTGCGACCCCCTCAACGTCGTCGTCCACTCGCAGTTTGTCGTTGCCTCTCGGTCGCGCCATCCTCTATCCTCACCGCAAAGCGTCTTTGCTGTCCCGGTCCGGTGTCTCGCCACTTGACTACCTTCGTTTGATATTCCACCGTCGAGTACGCGCCTCCGTTGTCCTTCCCCAACTCTACACATCGACAACGAACACAGTCTACACCATGCGCTCAGTCGGCTCACGCGCTCTCGCGTGGCTGCCCCTAATGGGCGCGCTGGCGCCGGTCGTCGCAACCGACGTCGTCTACGTCACGGATCTAGACATCTACACATTGCTAGTGAGTTGCAACCACAACGATGCCCGCGGCTGTTGGCGACACAAGTATGTGACAGGGTGCTCTGCGTATGATAGTACTGACAATCCCTCTCCCTCCTTCCCCAGGCACCATGCGCCCAGTCGGCCCTCAGTTACAACGTCATGACCATGACCTACGAAAACTGCCCGGAGGCCGTCACGGCCCTGCAGTCCTGCGTCTGCTCCAAGGGCAACCTCTTTGCGACCGTGTCGGCGTCCATCTCCAGCGACGTAAGCTACAGCTGCGGCTCCACCGCCAGCTCCGACCAGCAATCGGCCTCGCTCGTGTTCAGCCACTACTGCGACCAAGGCGGCTCCGCCTCCTTTGCGACGCCGGCCACACCCGTCAGCCAGTATATCACGGACATCCCCGAAATGTCGTACTTGGCACCCTGTGCCTCCAGCCAAGTCTCGTACGCCGTCATGGAGATGACGTACTCGCTGTGCCCGCCCGACGCCGCCGACCTGGCGACATGCGTGTGCCAAAAGAACCAGAACTCGCTGGTCGTCAGCCAGACGATCAACACCATGGTCGGTTACGACTGCTCGTCGCACACGGCTGACATCCAGTCGGCACAAGCCTTTTTCGCTGCGTACTGCAACCTGAACTCGGGCACGTCGTCGTTCCCCACGGCATCAAACCCGCCGGGTGATAGTGCGTTCCCCGCCTCCCTCGTCATGTTGTGGCTTCCGGCTGTGTTTCCCGCTGACAACTCCAGTGTCATACTATGTTACCGATATGCCGCAGTTCAATTCGCTTGCAAGGTGCGCCAAGGACGGTCTGTCCTCGGCGGTGTTTACTGTAAGTGACTGTCGCGCGTATTGAGAACACTTTATGCAATGTTGATGTGCCTAAGTAGTAGACATGCTAACGTCGCAGAACACATATGATCTCTGCCCGACCGGCCCGCAGCTGCTGGCGTCGTGCGCATGCCTCAAACCGAGCATGTCCAGTATGGTATCGAGCTACATCTCGTCCAACATCCAGTACCAGTGTTCACAGGGCGGCAGCGACGACATTTCGTCGGCCCTGGCTGTGAGTTATCCTCTATGCGCGTGCCATCTGACGTGAGGTACTGTGGCAATACTGACCATCACAGATCTTCAACATGTACTGTAGCGCCGCCAACAACAAATTGGTCGTGACCGGCATCACGACCTCGGTGGCGCAGTCTGCGCCTTTCGGCCTCGGCGGCAGCGGTGGTGGTACCACTGGCACAGGCACAGGCACCGGCAACAAGGCCACGGCCACACACGGCACGAACAAGGCGACCGGTACTGGCGCGTCTGGTGGTTCTGGCGGAAGCGGAAGCAGCGGCGACTCTAGCGGCGATGGCAACGGCCAGCCCAACGGAACCGAACACAAGTCCAACGCAGGCGTCATTGCCGGTGCCGTTGTCGGTGTCGTTGCTGGTCTGGGCCTGTTGGCTGCTGCTGCGTTCTTTGTCTGGCGCCATGCACGTAAAAACAGCAACCGCCCGACCGGCAGCAACGAGTTCCAGCAGCTCAACAACCTGGGCCACGGCACCAACAACCAGAGCATCGGCACGAACCATGGCGGCCCTGGCGGTCCTGGTGGTCCTGGTGGTCCTGGTGGTCCTGGCGAACTAGGTGGCACGGCCGTTGGCGATGGTGCGGCCATGCTCTCGGCCGAGAACGCGTACGGCCCGTACGGTGCCAAACCACCACTGCCGTCGCCGAGCCCGAGCCTGAGCGTCAACAAGTACAACAACACCATCGCCGCCGCCTCTACCGTCAGCCCGCAGTCGCCGCCGCCGAACAGCACCTCGCCCGCGTCAGCACACGTCCAGGGAGCCGCCAACTACGGCTATCCCAACGGCGTCCCGCCACACGCCGGCCCCCAAGCCGAGCTGCCTGGACAGCAAACATACTCGCCCAATGCTCCCAGCTACGCCGAGCTACAAGGTGGCCAGCATTCGGCGGAACTGTATGGCGGCCAAGTCTACAACGGACAGGCCTATGGTGCGCCACCACAGGGACAGCCCATCTACCAGGCAGACTCGACGCCGGTTGAGTCGCCGCACGGAGCAACATCGTCCCCGGGCAGCATGACATATCACTCGGGGCCAGTGCCAACATCGTATTCGGAACTGGACAGCGGTAGCAGTCCTCACGCGAGGTAGTCGTGGGGGAGCGGAGGAAACTGACAAAGGAAGGGGTACAATGCTCTACAACATCACACACCTGCAGCATGATTCACTTGCTACCTAATATTTAGATGACGAGCTTCGCTTGATTATGGGCTTTGCTCGTTTTCGACTTGTCACACGTTTTTTTCGCGTGTCTTTTGTTTCATTGTTTATTTTTATATCCTACATACTTGTGGAGTGTTTCAGATCTGGCAGCACGCATAGCGACAATTGGAAAGCACTTGATTTTGTTACCATATACCTGAACGAATGCCTTGCCATTCGATGTACCTCGACAACGAAGCTGTTACACTGACATCTACGAGTACCAGATACAGATCCGACAGCCCGCGACCTACAATTGCTGCCCGCCTTTCTCCTCTTCTCGCGCTCCTGGTCACGCCGCAGCTGGCGCAGAATCTTGCCGCTCGAAACGAGTTAACTTTCGCCTATTATACGCCGCTGTTATCCTCGCAAACTAGGAGACAGACCACCATCAATGCCTCGTTTTGTCAAAACTTTTGAAGAAAGAAACGGCCTACTTAAAAAAAGGAAACTTCCTTATACAGGGCCTTAATTATGGAATGAAACATGATTGAGGAGTATCAATATATGTAATATTAAAGCTTCCCTTCAGAGAGGATAGAAGACTTGTTCGTCGCCGATTATTTAATATAAACCCATATTTTTATACGACCGTTTTGAATTTATCACGTACGTTACAGCATATCAATTAACGTTTTACTTTTTTTCCTTTTTAGATCATAGTTAAATATAAACTCTTGTACCTCCAGCTGAGAGTGTTGGTCGCAGTCAACAAAATGAATTATCAGTCATATCCAATAAATTGTGATATACTATATTCTAGACCATTTTCATATACAGATACACGCCCTTATTTCCCATTTACACTTGCGCTCTTGGGCATGCCGATGCCCACAGCCGCCGTGACACCCGCATCGACCGGAATGATGGCACCCGTGATCCACCGCGCATGGTCGCTCGACAGGAACACTACAGCGCACGCACAGTCCCATGCCGTGCCCTCCGTGCCCAGCAAACTGCGCGCCTTGCGGGCCGACCGCGCCTCTTCAGACATGATGACTTTTGTCGACTCGGACGCATCCTCGGCCGGCGCCGCATACATCATCGGCGTGTATAGCATCCCTGGGCACACGCAGTTGACACGGATGCCGGCCGCCGCGTGGTGTGCCGCCATGGCCCGCGTCATGTTGACCACGGCGCCCTTGCTCGTCGGGTACAGCAGATGCGGCGTTCCGCCTCGCAGGCCCGCCACGCTGCCCATGTTGACAATCACGCCGTTCCCTTGCTCCCGGCCATTGCGCACCATCGCTGGCACCGCATACTTGGCCATCCGCACCATGCTGGACACGTTGACGTCGAGCGTCGCCGCCCACTGCTCGAGGTCCACGTCCACAGCCGTGCCCGGCGCGCCGGCCACACCGACGTTGTTGACCAGAATGTCAAGGCGGCCAAACGTGTCGAGGGCGTGCTGCACAGCCGCCCGGCAGTCGTCCTCCAGAGTGACATTGCCCTGGCAGGCGACGGCCCGTCCTGGTCGCGGCGTGCCGTCGGCGCGGCCGGCATTCACCTTGTCGACCGTCGTCTGCGCCCACGCCAGGTTCCTGTCCATGCACACCACGTCGCAGCCGTCGTCGGCCAGCAGTATCGAAATCGCCCGGCCGTTGCCGATGCCGTCGCCGATGCAGCCCGCGCCCGTCACCACGGCCACACGGCCCTTGAGCGAACGCGAGGGTGGTTCAGGTGGTGTGGGGTCCATTGCATGAAAAGATGTCGCTCGATTGTTGCTTGTGTCGTGACGACAAGCTGTCGTTCTTTGTGTATTGTATTTGTGGCTTATACTTTGAACGAAGCGTTTTCAACTCAACAAGCAGCCGTTGCAGCCAACCGCCGACCAACAGACGACCGGCCTGTTAGTCAGGGCAAGCCCGTCGATTCGCTAGCTCGCTCATTGTCTGCGGGGATGCGACTGGGGCAGTGGAGGAAGCGCGCGAGCTTGTGAAGTATGGGCTGCGGAGAAGAAGAACCTTGGCTTTGCCGAGGCGACTTTTGGAGAAGACGCGACGCAGTGGTCGGTTGGGGAGGAAGGAGCTACCACCGCATTCGTCTTTGCAGGCCAAAACCATGAAGAGAAAGAACAACAAGTCAATGTTGGCAATACTATGAGGCACAATTGATGATTGTTATTTAATATATAACTAAATAACATGAAAATAAACCATACTGTAAATAGCCGTCGTTTGTGACGATATTTGTTACACAATTCCGTTAATACAAACTCTTACCAACATTAAGTAAAACGAATAGAGAAAGGGCCACAAGACACTGTACATAACGAATATCGGCCTCGGTCGTACCTTCTTGTATCCTACACGGTCGCAATCTCAAACTAGAAAGAGCGACTGGCTTTTCAATTTGTGGTGTGCACGCACGTTCGTTCCTTTCACATTAGGTAATCACGGCGAACCTCCCCTGATAGCAACATCTCCCACTGTCGGCCACTTTGAACGACACAACAAATGCAGCAAGACAGCAAGACAGCAAGACAGCAAGACAGCGAGACAAGCACTGCCGCCGCTGCCAGACACCCCGGCTGTCTTGTCTTCTGTGTACCACGATTTATTGCTGCAACGGCTTCCTTTCATTTCTAACAACGTCGAGCTGGCAAATGAGTTGTCTCGAAGCCACAGTGCACCAGAAGATACGGTCCGCTTGAAAATGCACTGACTGTGGACTGTTCGATGCACAATCGACTATATGCTTCAGACCTTCAGAATTGATGTCGTCGCACGTCTGTTGATTACCCGATTCCATATGGCCGCCATAATGCGGAACGCACTCCACTCAGGGACATTCCCAGCATGCAGCATACTCTTGACGGAGTCGGCGCTAAGGACGGTACATTTGCACTCCGACTCCGTCTTGCGCCATTCTTCCCCTCTCTGCTCACATCAATAAACCTCCTGATGACCGTTGCGACCCTCACAATCTGTTGTTCTGCACCATCACGAAACAACAGCACCCTTCATACTCTCCACCCCCACCTACCGCCACCATGGCCGACTTTTCCAAGTACGGCGGCGCCAGCAGAGAGTGGAAGGCCGTCGAGGCCGCGTTCCCTTCGCCAGCGCCCGATGGCTCGTCTGTGCTCGAGAAGCGCACGGCCGCCAATGCCAACCGCGAGAAGACGTCTGCGGCGCTCATGACGGAGCTCGCTGACAAGGTCGAGCTCATCGACGTGTCCATCCCGGCACGCGACGGGTTTGCCCTCGAGGGCCGTCTCTACTGGCCCAAGTCGGTGCCCAAGGACGCCCAGCCTGGTCTCTACCTGCACTTGCACGGCGGCGGCTACCTGTTTGGCACGCTGTCCTCCGAAGACGCCATCTGCTCCAATCTGGCCATCAACACCTCGGACAAGGGCACGCCACTCGTCGTGCTCAACCTCAACTACCGCCACACGCCGGAGTGGACGTACCCGACAGCGTGGCTCGACGCACAGGACGGTCTCGCCTGGATCCATGCCACGGCCGTGCCCCAATTCGGTGTCGACCCAGCCAAGGTCGTCGTGGGCGGCATCTCGGCCGGTGCCCACATCACGGCCACACTCGTCTTGGAGCAGCATTTGGGCAAGCTACCGGCCGACGTCCCCCGGGTCGCCGGCCAGGTGCTCATGATCCCAGCCCTCGTCAACAGCCAGTGCTACGAGCCGCAGCTGGCGCAACTCGCCAGCCCCAAAGTGTCGTCGCTCGTCGAGAACGAGTTTGCGCCCATCCTGCCCGTCCACATCGCGCACTTCTTCACGGACCTGCTCAAGGTCCCCGCCCACCCGCGTGTCGACGACACGTTCCTAAGTCCTGGCAACGCCACGGCCGAGCAGGTCCAGGGTCTGCCGCCGACCGTGTTTGGCATTTGCGGGCTGGACCCGCTGCGCGACCAGGGCCTTCTCTACGCGAGGCTGCTGTCTGAGAAAGCGGGCGTGCCGACCAATGTCCACCTGTACCGCGGCGTGCCGCACGGTTTCCGGCGCTATGGCCCAGACTGGCTGTCCGTGAGTCGGGACTGGGACGCCACAATGGAAGACGGCATCGCATGGGTGCTCAAAAACCCCACGGCCACAAACACACTGGACATCATTGTCCACGGCGAGGAAACAATGTAAAGAAAGGTGCAAGAAATGAAAGACTTAGATATAGAAACCATCATACGCGTCGGAAACCTCGGAAAATACAGCTCTACAATGCAGTGGAATCTACGATTCTTCTCCTCATGAAATGACTTTAATCTTTTGTTCATGCCTCGCCGCCTTTCCTGAGGACAAAGGTTGAGTATCCCTGCGCCTTGACCTCCTCGCACCGCTTGCGGTAACCCGGTGCCGGGCCGGTGTACCGCGTCAACGATCGCTTCTGCTTGTGCGCCAGGTTCTTGTTGACCCCCGTCATCCACGAGTCCACCTCGTTTGCCAGCAGGCCCTTGCCGCACTCGTGCACGTGCTCCGTCCACGCCGCCACGCCCTCGTCCGTCGCCTCGCAGTACGTGACTTGGTGGGCCGCCGCCCACTCAATGAACTCGGCCGTCCACTGCACCGCGTACTCGATGCTGCGCGGGACGTTGCCAATCGTCTGGTGCGGTCCCATAATCATAAACATGTTGGGGAAGTTCTTGACCGTCAGGCCCAGGTACGTCTTGATGCCCTCGCCCCAGGCGTCGCGCAGCTTCGTGCCGCCAATGCCCTCAAAGGCAATGGCATTGAACGAGCCCGTCACGGCGTCGAAGCCCGTGGCATACACCAGCACGTCGACATCGTAGTCCCGACCATCCGACGTGTGCACGCCCGTCGCCGTGATGCGCTCGATCGGGCTGCGGCGCACGTCCACCAGCGTCACGTTGGCCTGGTTGAACACCTCGTAGTAGCCGCTCTCGAGCGGCGTGCGCCGCGTGCCGAACCCGTGGTCCGTCGGGATCAGCAGGTCCGCCACCTTGGGGTCGTGGATGCGCGCCCGGATCTTTTTTTCGTGGAAGGCGCTGTACAGCGCATTGGCCTCGCGGCTCGTGCCAATGTCGCGTGAGACGGCCACCACCTTACTGAAGCCGCGCTGCGCGTACAGGTGCTCCCAGTGGCGCTCGCGCTCCGCGGCGGGCGTCGCCACCGTGTCGTGGTCGTCGCCGACGTGCACGAAGCACGAGGCCGACTCGGCGCACTTCCGGAAGATCTCGGGGTACCTCGCGCGGATGGCCGCCATCTCCGCTTTGTCAATCGTGGCATTGCGCAGCGGCGCCGTCCAGTTGGGCGTGCGCTGGAAGACTGTGAGCGACCCGACCCTGGGCGCAATCGTCTGGATCGTCTGGATCGCCGTCGCGCCCGTGCCGATGACGCCCACGCGCTTGCCCGCCAGCCGGTCTTCGCCGCCCTGCGGCCAGCGCGCCGTGTGCCATGCCTCCCCCTGGTACGCGTGCACGCCGGGAATGTCGGGCAGCGTCGGCTCGTTGAGGATGCCAATGGCCGTGATCAGGTACCGCGACGTGTAGGTGCGGCCCTGGTCGTCCGTCAGCGTCCACGCGCGGGCGCGCTCCGCAAACTGCGCGCGGCGGATGCGCGTGTCGAACTGCATGTGCCTGCGCAGGTCCAGCTTGCGCGTCACAAACTCAATGTACCGCAGCGTCTCCGGCTGCGGCGCAAAGTGCTCCGTCCAGTCCCACTCGGCCAGGATCTCGGGCGAAAAGGAAAAGATGTACGAGTAGCTCTCCGAGTCAAACCGCGCGCCCGGGTACCGGTTCCAGAACCACGTGCCCCCCTCGCTCGCCCCGGCCTCCAGGACCTTGGCCCGCAGGCCCAGCTGCGCCATGCGGTACATGGCGTAGATGCCGCTGAGGCCCGCACCGATGATCAACACATCGTAGTCGAGGCCATCGTTGAGCGATCCAAACGGCGACGCCTTGGGAGCAGCGCCGTTAGAGTGCGTTCCGTTCGTGCCGTTCACCTTGGGCACGCCGTTTGTGCGGTTGGTATCGTCTTGCGCCATGATGTGTCTAGTATGGGTATAGAGGATGTTGGAGGTCGCCAAGGAAGATGATACACGAATAGACGATGTGCTATCTTACACCCATGAGGAAGCGGACTGTAAAATAACTATAAAGCGACAATAGTATCCTAATGGAAGAAAGGGCGGTGGCAGATGGCTGTGGATATCTTGTAAGTCCTTCACAAGTTGTGTCTGGGTTTGAGACAACTTTGATAGAATGGGCGTGCGGCATGGCACTGGACATGTATATCGGTTGTCCCCGGTCCCTTGAGATCGTCTGGACCGGAAATGTAGAGTGTGCAGCGACAGTAAGATAGGGGAAGCTCGGCAAAGCGGGATCACTCGTGCTCCGCTTGCCGTTCTCGGGGCGCGGCACAGGCAAGTGACAAATACGCATTATTGGTGACAGCCGTCAAGGAGTGGCATTCTTCAAGGACGTGGGGATCTCGAGGCGACAAGACGAGTAGCTGACCTCATCCGGAACTCGGTTGACAACTCGGGACAACTCGTGGTGAACAGAAAGTGAATCGATGAAATGAACGATTGCCTTGTCTTGTCCATACGACGTGTACGTCGTGATGGTAGGACGGTTGGCATTCCGCCAGTTGCGAGGGAACAGTTGCGGCCGCCCATGAGGCAAACGGAAGCATGCCACGACGCATCACTGCAAATGAGGGTAGCCCGTAATTGAAAACAGGAAATAAGAACGAGTGGGTATTGCGACACGGCGGAGGAAGCAGCGATGAAGCGCAGAAGGGCTGGCCTGGAAATGGAAAGAGAGGGGGTCCGCTCTGTCCAGAAGGTGCGAGTGCCGAATGCCGCGCCGGCTCTCAAATTTCGGCGGTACATGCCACTCCCGAGGAAGGAGCCATCGGTAACCAAAGAAATGAATTCAACTATCGAAATAAAAGCGATTCATTTTTAATTCGACAGACGTCATGAGCCTTGCTATCTTGTCTCCTGTTGTTATTCGAGACAATTGTATCTAGTAGGATTATCACACCACTCGTCTGTTGCCAAGAGTCTCGTCGCCCCGGGTGTCAATAAGTCGATAAGCATCTCCGCCATTACCTCCATCTCCATGTCTACGTTTTCAGCTTTGACATTTGAAGCTAATTTATGACAATCATCGTGGATTCCGATTAAGGAACTATGCCATATCGTTGCTGCTCTCGTCAAATATAAACAGACATGGGAGTAAAACCTGCCAGCTGCTGTTCCGTTTGTTCCATCGCACGGCACCGTCCAACCTCGAGTTTATTACCTCTCGTTATCCTCTCATCCTACCCGGATGGTGAAACAATCGAATGAGACCCGGCTGGACTATCCCATTACTTCTTTTCTCCACCACCGCTCTCTTGCGTCGGTATGTCCTTGGCCCCCGTCGCGCCGTCCGTTGGAGCCTGGTCCACATTGTGGTGGACTCCGGCTGGGTTGGAGACAGTCGGTTGGACGTTGTACTTGGCATACGCCTTGCGCAGCGCCTCAGCTCCGGGGTTGTGGTGTGTGGAAGATGCTGTTGTCTGCCCCGATTGGTTGGAGGTTTCAGTAGCTCCCGATTTGGCCTTATCGTCGGCCATTTTGGTCCTGCAGCGGGGAGCTGTGCGGAGTGTTCTGATGTTGACGACGTTTGCGGATTTGTAGTTTGAAAATATAGTGCGGTGTTGCTTGTACACGTTTCGACGCATGAATTGTAGAGTCGGCGAAGTTGATGATATTGATGTTGTTGGAAATCACTGATGGGAGAATGGCAAGACGGAAATCGTATGTCGCGCCTTCCCCCGCAGTCGTTTTGTTACACGGGGGCGGATTGCATGACGTCGTTGTCAGCCCCACGTCATCGCGCCTTCCTCACCAAACATACAACACGCCACCTTCCGCAGTGGCAATGAACAGGCCAAACGGGAAAGCAACAATCAAAGCCAAAACGTTATTCCTTATCGCAGTACGACGTTTTTTATCAGGTATCACTTGTGGCTTGTTGCACCCCAGTCCTGTCAGTCTTATGTCTTGTTTCTAGTGGAAAGACGATCTGATTAGGGGGCGAAACTGGCTAAAAGCTCGGGAGGAATCGTAGCCACTGAGCACCAGATGCTAGACGTGACTGAATAGTCGTACAGCCGTACAGTTCGATAAATTCAACTCCTTGCTGGAAGACAACAAATATTGCATGTGTATGTAACCTATAGGTCCTCGGACGACGTCCAGAACTGGGCCCGCTCGAACCTGCCAAGAAAGTTTAAAACAATGGCGCTGCGGGCCGTTTCGTTGTCTAGTGCCGTTGTATCTTGAAGACGGTACTCTGCTGGCGAAATGATGGGGGACAATGTGTCCAGCCGCCATCCACGCGCCCCAAACCCGTTTGCGTTGAAGAAGGCGTTGAGGCCTATCCAAATCACCAAATGTGTCTAGGATCCCAGGTTCACGACGAACGACGAAACATGGCGCAGCTGAAACTCTGGAAGAGAACCTGGTTTAAGTCTTCTGATCCCAGTCCCTGTTTGGATGCATTATTGTCATCTCATTACCTCACATAACGGTGTAAGTAACACGACAGTAATCGATTTATCTGAAGATTCAATTTTGGCGGCGGTCGGAACAAATATGCGGGTGACTTTAGCCGGCTACTTTGGAAGGCCTAGAATGCCTGGAATACCCGGGAAGAGTTGGATTATACAGATTGTTTATGGATCCGGTCTGAGACAAAACTACCAATAAGAGATACGAGCCCGTGTTGTTCGCCGTAGCCACGCTTATGTCGTCCGATGCGTCCGATATCGTCTAAGAATTGTGCACGACATCCCGGGCACTATATACGAAATATAAATCCGTCCTATCGAGAGCTACGACGTATAAACAAAATACAGACACCAGATACCAGGCACCTACCGTCAAAGCCAGGACAAGACACCGCCTCCCCACATGTTGTCGACACTTGTCTTGAGCATGTGCATTGGACGCGCCTTTGCCACGGGCAGGACGAGTCCACCAAGTGGCAGCATCACCGTGTGCTCTTCGGGCTGTGACTACAATACAGTGAGTTGTCGTTTTTGTCCTTTCCGTACCTCTTTGGCATCAAACCCCTACTGAATATCCTCAGATCCAAAAAGCCGTCGGCTCCATCTCCCCGACGTCAAAGTCTCCGAGCAAAATTTTCGTCTATGCGGGCACGTACACGGAGCAAGTGACAATCCCCGCGCTGGCGGGCGCCCTGACCATCTACGGCCAGACGGTCAACACGGCGTCGTACACCAGCAACGTCGTCAACCTCAAGTGGAAGTCGAGCGCGGCCGACGGCTTCGACGACGAGCACACGGCCGCCCTTATCAACCTGTCGCCTAGCGTCAGGGTCTACAACATCAACATCAAAAACACCTACGGCAAGGGCAGCCAGGCCATTGCGCTGGCTGCCTACAACACGAAGCAGGGCTACTACGGCGTCGGTCTCTACGGGTACCAAGACACCCTGCTGGCCCAGACGGGCAACCAGGTGTATGCGGGCTGCTATATTGAGGGCGCAGTCGACTTTGTCTTTGGCCAATACGCACGCGCATGGATCACCAAGACCGACATTGCCCTCAAAGCAGGCGGCGGCAGTATCACAGCCGATGGACGGCCAAGTGCGTCCGGTGACAGCTATTATGTCATTGACCAGTCGACCGTGTCTGCAGCGTCTGGCGCGTCTGTGGCTTCCGGCACCGTCTACCTCGGCCGGCCCTGGAGCCAGTACGCGCGCGTCTGCGTCCAGAAAACGGTGCTGTCCAGCATCGTCAATGCGGCCGGCTGGTCGATCTGGAGCACGAGCACGCCCAACACGGCCGGCGTCTCGTTCCAAGAGTACGACAACAAGGGCGCGGGCGCCAGCGGCACGCGGGTCAGCTTCGCGACCAAGCTGTCGTCGCCTATTTTGATTGGCACGATTCTGGGCAGCGACTATGCAAGCTGGGTGGATACAAGCTATGTGTAGAGGAGGAACAGTAGACGAGGAGCCTGGGATGTGTCTGGGATGTGGAAAAGAGCAGCTAACAGCCCGGAAGCGGACAGCAGCCAATATCGGCTGTCTTCACTACCACAGCTAATAACGGAATAAGAGAAACTTGGACTAAATTCGTATAAACCAGTGTACTCTGTTTTCACGTACCCTCCGCAGTTATTGTACCGCTGGTGCTGGCTCAAACGCGCCCTGCTCGGCCTCATGACGGCGGTCCGCCGCAGTAGTTGAGGGCTTTCGACATTGACGGCGGGGACTACCGTGAGGGCGTTGCCACCGATGAGTACTGGGCCCAGAACAAGTCCACGAAGCTCGGGGCGACTGTACGGTACGCGTGTTCAAAGCTAGGATAGAGATCGCTCCAGCTCAGACGAGGAGGGAACATGAGTGCATATGTTTGTTAGTAGTCTCATCACGTGAAAAATAATCTTAGAGTCACGTGGTAAGTCACGCTCAGAGCTGAATCACGAGAGGCACAGAAATATCCCACGAAAGCGCATAAGACGTGTGCCTTCAATTAGAATCCGTGAAAAACACCTTCCTTCGCATGAACAGTTAACCTCGTGCTTTCTTGTGCTCATCATCACTTGCTTGCCGTACGTCGTCACATTGGAAGACATTTACCTCGTCGTTCTCTCAAGAATGACCCACTTTAACCAACGGCGCGCTCCCATTGGCCAGAGCGCCTTGATTCGTTGGTCGCCCCGTGCACCAGCGCCAAAACCAGGGCGGCGCCTGCCTGATGCAGAGAGCTACCGAAAACAGCGACTAGGGGCCCCGTCTTTGCAAAATACAAACAAAGAAACATCGATCTCACTGCATCGCATCACCACCCGATCAAAAGCGACAGCCCCGGGCCACAACCGCAGCACGCATCCCAGGAGCTGACAAGCTGCGACGCGAATCTATTTTATCTATCGTTTTCGTCGTAACCATTCCCATTTCCTGGACTCAGCGACCGGTTCACTTCCGCTTCTCGACTCTGTCGACCTCGACAGCTTTCTTGATGGAAGCATTCTAACAAAAAGCCCGACTCCCCCTGCACCCCTCCTCTCTCCCGAAAGGACCTGCATCGCACATCCTTCGCCCCGCCCAACCTCCATAATGGCGGCGGCAGCCGTGGACGTGGGCTACCTGTCCACGCATCTCGGCGTGCCAGAGACGAACCTCACGTCCGCCGTGACCGCGCCGACGCCCGACCTCGTCCAAGCCATCCTTGAGGCCGTCGTCACCAAGGCCCACGAGTTTGATGCCCTGTATGCCGCGAAGCTCAACGTCGACATTGAGCTCGAGAGCGTCGTACGCAGCTCCGAGGCCCGCAGCGGCTCGTTCAAGTCCGCCGCCGAGGCGAGTCGAAAGGAAGCGGACGACCTGCGGCGGAAGCTTCAAGACGAGGGTACACTCCCCCATGTTCCATGTTCCTTACCCCCAGGCTTTTTTCCTTTGATGTACCTACTAACTTGTCCAGAAAACGCCCGCCGCACCGTCGAAAACGAGCTCCAGACCATCAAGGCCTCCGGCGCAAATGCGCAGACCGAAATCGAGCGTCTCGCCAGCCGCAACGCCTCTCTCGAAGCCTCCAACCGCGACACCCTTGCCATCCTCGAGTCCAAGACCTCTGCCAACGCCGAGCTAGCCGAAGAGCTGCAGACCCAACACCAAAAGACCCTCAAGCTCAACCAGGAGGTCACCGCCCTCCAGCAACAGATCCAGGCCGCCCAGGCCACCACCAGCAGCGCCAAGTTCCGCGAGCAGTCGCTGCAGCAGGAGCTGGCCTTTGCCCGCAAGAACAATGAGTGGTTCGAGGCCGAGCTGAAGACCAAGAGCGACGAGTCGCTCAAGCTGCGCAAGGAAAAGGGCGCCCGCATCGCCGAGCTGCAGCGCCAAAACGAAGAGGCCCAGTCGACCGTCGCCGCCCTGACGCGCTCCGAGAAGCAGCTGCGCACCCGCCTCGAGGATGCCCAGCGCAAGGCCGACGATGCCCTGGCCAAGGTCCAGCAGCTCCAGGAGGCCGCCGCCCGCAGCGAAGAGAGCTTCCGCGCCGAGCTCGCGTCCTCGGCCCGTCTCGTCGAACTCAAGGAGCAGCAAACCGAAACCCACCGCAACCGCCTCCGCGAAGTCGAGCTGCGCCTCGAGCAGGTCAAGGACGAGTCCGCCGACGAGGTGCGCCGCGTGCGCAACGAGATGGAGCAGCTGCGCCAGGATCTACAGCACGCCGAGCGTGTTGGCCAGGAGCTCGAGGCCGAGATCGACCGCATTCAGGCCGCCCTCGCCACACCCGCTGCTGCGTCCGTCATCCATGCCACGCCCGGCTCAGCACCGCAGACACCCCGTGCGAACAACGGTGGTGCCAATGCGGGTCTGCTGCGTGCCGCGTCTCCGTTTGGCACACCCGGCTCCGTCCTGCGCGGCAAGTCCAGCATCTCGGCCGCCCAGGCCATGGAGGAGCTGTACAAGACCAAGGGCGAGCTGGCCCGCGAGCGCCGCCGCACACAGGAGCTTGGCCAGGAGCTCGACGAGATTATGAGCGCCCTGGAAGCCAAGAGCCCCGAGATTGCCGACCTCCAGGAAGAGGCCGAGCGCCTGCGCAGCGAGAACGTGCAGATCTCGCGCCTCTGCGAGGAGAGCTTCAGCGAGCGCGACATGGCCAAGAAGGCCGCCAAGAAGGCCGAGGCTTCGAGCATCACTGCCCAGGCCGAGATTGAGATCCTGCGCACGCAACTGCGCGACCTCAGCACGCAGATCCAGCTGCTGGTCTTCAACATCCAGGCCCGCGAGAAGGGCCTGGACGAGCTGTCCGACGAAGAGGCACGCCAGTTTGAGCGCCTGCAGCGCGGCCAGGTCGCCGAGGGCTCGCTCGACGACATGTCCGACACGCACCAGTTCATCTCGGAGCGCTTTGTCGTCTTCAAGGACATCCAGGAGCTGCAGACCCAGAATGCCGAGCTGCTGCGTATGACGCGCGAGTTCGCCATGAAGATGGAGAGCGAGGAGGCGTCCGAGGCCAAGCGCCAGGTCGAGCAGGACCGCGCCGAGCTGCTCAGCCTGCGCGACACCGTAGGCCGCCTGCAGGACGAGTCCAAGGCTGTCACCGTCCGTATGAAGAGCTACATGACCGAGCGCGACATGTTCCGCCGCATGCTGCAGCAAAAGGCCAGCCACGCCGAAATCAGCTCCGTGCTGGGTGCTGCTGCTGCGGGCAATGATCCGGCCACGCCGGGTCAAAACACGCGCGAGGTCCTGGCCAGCATCGAGCATACCGGCTCCGCCACCGACGACAGTGGCGAGCTCACTGTGGCCCTGCGCGAGCTGCAAAACAACTTTGACGCCTACCGCAACGAGCAGGGCGTCGACCGCGAGACCATGCGCGCCCAGGTCGATAAGCTGTCTCACGAGCGCAGCATCCTCCAGGGCGAGATTGCGCGCATCAACAGCCAGCTGACCTTGGCTTCTGAGCGCTACGAGATCCTGCAGTCCAACTACGCCGCCCTCGAGACCGACAACAAGGCCCTGCAGGAGAAGAACCAGTCGCTGTCCGAGTCGTACGCGAAGCAGGACATCCGCACCCAGCAGGTCGCCATGGATCTCGTCGAGGTGCGCAGCCTGCTCGAGAGCATGCGCAACGAGAACGCCAACCTCAAGGCCGAGAAGTCGCTCTGGAAGGGCATCCAGGACCGCCTGGCCCAGGACAACGAGAGCCTCAATGAGGACAAGTCGCGCCTCAACACGCTGCTGTCCTCGCAGCAGAGCCTGCTCAACGAGCGCGAGCTGTCCGAGTCGGAGACGAAACGCCGCCTGCAGACCCAGATCGACAACCTCGAGGCCGAACTGACCACCACCAAGCGCAAGCTGTCGGAGGAGATTGAGGACGCCAAGAAACTGCAGCTGCGCAAGGAGTACGACGCCCAGCAGAGCCAGAAGCGCATCGACGACCTCATGGCCAGCATCACCCAGAGCAAGGAGGAGCTTGTTGCCCTCAAGACCAGCCGCGACCACCTCCAGGCTCGCGTCAACGAGCTTACCATTGAGCTGCGCAACGCCGAAGAGCGCACCCAACGCCTGCAGCCCCGCCCAACGCCGCGCGCACCACCACCATCAGCCCAGCAGCAAGAGGAAGGCGGTGTGGCTGGGGCCGACGGTGGCAGCGGCGGTGACGACGACGGCGAGGGCGGCGGCGGCTCGGCGTCGCGCGCGGACGATCTCGAGGCTGAGCTGTCTGACCTGCGCCGCGACCTCGACCTCGCCCGCATCGAGCTGGCGTCCAGCAAGGAGGAGGCCAACTCGTACAAGGACATTGCGCACGCCATCGAGGACGACCTCAACAACCTGAACGAGGCGCAGGACCAGTACCGCCAGGAGATGGACGGCGCGCTCGAGGCCAAGGAGGCCCGGATCAAGGAGCTCGAGCAGCGCGTCGAGGCGCTGTCGGCCGAGCTCGCCACCTCGACCAACGAGCTCAACGGCCTGCGCGACTCGCAAGCGGACCTCGCCCGCAAGCTGGACGACGAGAAGCGCATCCTGGAATCGGAGATTGCCCGCCTCAAGGACAGCGAGGACCGCTACAAGGACGAGAAGAAGTACCACCAGTCCGACCTCCGCGCCCAGGCCGAGATTGCCACGCGCGCCCAAAAGGACTACGAACAGGAGCTCGTCAAGCACGCCGAGGCCGCCAAGCAGCTGCAGGTCCTGCGCTCAGAGCACAACCACCTGCGCACCGAGGCGGCCTCCTGGCGGGCCGAGGCCGACTCGGCCAAGCTCGCCCTCGCCCAGAGCGAGTCGTCCTGGGAGGAGCGCCGCCAGCAGTTTGAGCAAGAACTGATCGAAATCAAGGCGCGCCGCGACGACACCAACGCACAGAACAAGCTGCTCGGCCAGCAGCTCGAGACTGTCACCGCCCAGATTGCCAGCCTGCAGCAGAGCCGGTCGGCAGCAGCAGCAGGCATCGGTGCCACGGACGGCAGCGACAACAACAGCGCCGAAGGCACCCCGTCTGCCTTTGCCGATGCTGCCACCGAGGGCCTGCGCGAGCTCAACAACTACCTGCGCCGCGAAAAGGAGATTCTGGAGGTGCAGTACGACCTCAAGCTGCAAGAGAACCAGCGCCTGCAACAGAAGTACGACTATGCGCAGGCGCAGCTGGACGAGGCGCGCCTCAAGCTCGAGCAGGAGCGCCGTGCACAGGCCGACGTGAGCCGGTCATCGCAGACGCACAAGGAACTGATGGAGAAGCTCAACGAGCTCAACCTGATCCGCGAGAGCAACGTCACGCTGCGCAACGACAACCAGCATGCGCAGGCGCAGCTTGTGCTCAAGGACGGCAAGATCGAGATGCTGCGTGCACAGATCCAGCCGCTCGAGCAGCGCGTCGCCGAGCTCGAAAACCAGAAGCTGTTTATGGACGAGGAGGTCAAGCAGATCACCGAAGACCGCGAGCGCTGGCAGAAGCGCACCGAGAGCATCCTGTCCAAGTACGGCCGCGTCGACCCGACCGAGCTCGACCAGCTCAAGGAGAGCATGGCGGCCCTCGAGGCCGAGCGCTCGGCGCTGCAGACGACCGAGACGGAGCTGCGCGCCAAGATCACCGAGCTCGAGACGTCGCTCGAGTCCGACCGCGGCCAGTGGCGCGAGACGCGCCAGAAACTCATCGAGCAAGCCAAGGAAAAGGCCCGCCAGCAGGGTGCCCAGATCCGCGAGCTCACGAGCCAGAAGACGGAGCTGCAGGAGCAGGCCACGGCCGCGGCAGCCCGCCTGGCCACCGTCGAGCAGGAGCTCGAGGCCGCCAACGCGGCCGCCAAGGCAGCCGTCGAGAGCCGCGCGAACAACGCCCAGCAAGAGGAGGAGGCACATGCGGCCGCCGCACCGTCCACGCCGGCACCGACGGCACCGACCGCGGCCATGGACGTCAATGGGCAACAGCAGCAGCCGCCTGCTGACACGAACGGCGTCAGCACAGAGGATGTGGCGCTTCTCCAGCACGAGGTACACCAGCTGCGCGGCGAGCTCGAGGTCGTGCGTACCGAGAAAGCAGCCGTTGAGCAGGAGCTCGTCAGCCTGCGGACCCAGCTCGACACCGCCGTGGCCGAGCGAGACCAGGCGGTCGCACAGGCCCAGGCTGCTCTGGCCCAAGCCCAGGCGCCTGCACAGAATCCGTCTGGCGAGTACGGCGCTGCAGCCCCAGCGACCAACGGTTTTGCAGGGAGTGCTGCACCTGCTGCTGCTGCTGCTGCTCCTCTCAGCGACGCCGAGAAAGAGGAGCTGCAACAGCGCATTGCCGCCGCCGAGGCGCGTGCCGCCGCGTTTGAGCAAAAGGCCAAGGAGGTCGAGGACAACATCCAGAGCACGCTCAAGGAGCGGTCTGATAAGATGAAGGACGCGCTCAACAAGAAGCTGAAGGAGACCAAGGAGAAGTCGGAGCAGGAGATCCGCGAGGCTCGCGAGAAGCTGCAGTCGGAGCTGGACCTGCGCGTTGAGCAGGAGAAGAAGATTTGGATGGCCGAGCAGTCGTCTACCGGTACAGCAGCGACCGCATCTACGTCAACTGCAGCAGCACCAGCGCCAGCGCCAGCACCGGGCGAGGGGACAAGCGAGGTGCCTTCGACGCCAGCCAAGGCCGAGCCGGGGACCCCGACGACGGCCGGTACGCCACTCGACCTGTCGAAGCTGGGTGACACGGAGACGCGCGAGCTGCTGGCCAACAACGCGACGATCCGCAGCATTGTGACGGCCAACATCAAGAAGAAGATTGAGTCGGAGACCAGGAAGGTGCGCGACGAGGTCGAGCAAGCCGTCAAGGCCGAGTACGACGCCAAGATAACGTCGGCGCGCGAGTCGGGCCAGATGATGGCAGAGAAGAAGTCGTCGATCCGCATCAACATGGCCGAGAACAAGCTCAAGACGGCCACGGCCAAGCTGGATGTGGTCTCGACCGCCGCGCAGCAGACGCCCCAGCGGCCCGTCGGTGAGGTCTGGGCCATTGCCAAGGATGCCCGGCCGGCACCGGCGACGCCTGCGGCCTCCACCCCAGCGACACCGGCACCAGGAATGCCCGGAACACCCGGTCCGGCTGCGGCACAACCGCCAGCCCGGGCCCAGCCGCACGCAACACCCGCGGCCGTACAGGCGGCCACACCGGCAGCGGCGCCTGGCGCTCTACTCCCCCCTCCACAGCAGCAACCGCAACAGCAGCAACGCGTCTCCTCGCTACCGACGAAGCCTCAACCAGCGAACAGCAGTCTACCTTCCTCTCTCCCTGCGCCTGTCGGTGGTCCGCCGGCGCTCGACAACCCGTTCCTCAGCAAACCGAGCGAGATCCCGCAGCCGAACAACCCCTTTGCCAAAGCAGCCCAGCAGCAACAACAGCAGCAACAACAGCAGCAGCAGCAGCAGCAGCACCAACAACAACAGCAACAACATCCACCCCAACATCAACCCCAGCAATCCCAACAGCAGCCACAACGGCCGCAGTCCGCCCTTGGCCAACAGCAGGGCGGCCCGCGGAGTGGTATCCCCGTCCCTGGTAGCGGCCGCGGCGGCGCGCACGGCAACAACCAGAACAGCAACCGTGGCGGTGCCGGTGGTGCGGGCCGTGGCGGTGTCTATCAGGCACCACGCGGCCGCGGCCGTGGCGGCATGGGCCAGAACCAAGGCCGGGGTGGCGGCAACACCGGTGGTGGTGGTGGTGGTGCCAACCTCAACCCCTCTGCCGATGCCTTCAACCCGGGCAACAAGCGGCCGCGCAACGACGGTGGCGATGCTGCGGGAGGCGGCGTCAAGCGGATGCGCGGGGGCGGTGGACCCGGCGGTGCGGCGGGCGGACAGGCTGGTGGTGCTGGCGGTGCCGGCGGTGCGGGTGCAGGTGGCCAAGCCCAGTAGGGAAAAGGCAAGGCCAAGAGGGGAGGTTGATGAGCGACGAGCGCAGAGTGCTTGGATAGAGAGGAAGTGCGGTGGCCATTGGCAGAGGAAAGGGAGAAAGGAGGAAAGGAGGAAAGGAGGTATGGCAATAAAAATACGGCCGTGTTTTATTGTTTTCTGTTTTACCAATGTTTGCTCTTGGTTCCAGGGATGTTTTCTTGTGTTTTCTTCTTCGTCTTATTGCTTTGACGTTTCTGGCCTTTTCCGCCTGTTGTTTTTTGTCCATCTTCCACCATCTTTCTGTTATCCTTTTTCATTTCTTTTGTTCTTTTCTCAAACACTAAGGGGGCAAAGAATGGTGGTCATTTGTATTTTGGACTTCGTTTTCTATGCGGTTCGACTGCCAGGTATCTCAGTTTCCTATGTCTGTACTATTAAATGAAACATTTAAAACTACATGCGTTCGTTGATGCTCTCGTCGGCATGGCAAAGATCTTTAGAGGTACTACCATGCAATCTTGTCACAAATACAACACTGTGCGTAATTCTTCAATGAGAGTAAATAAAAATCCGCCTTACAGTATTAAATAAGATTTTTTCCCCTATTATTATATTCTTTAAATTTAACCTCAGTTTCATTTACTTTATTGAAATATTCGCTTCATGGGTTTATTCAACGCCGTTCAAATCAACCCTGTCGTAGCATCGTTCATTCGTGTCGTCCACTCATAATATCATCATCGCCGTGCCTACTACAGCCGCAACAGCAACAACTGCCCCCAACGACGGCAGGCTTCTCTGCCGTGTGGTGTCGTTACCCGTCGAGAATCCAGTCTGTGCTGCTCGACCGGAGAAGAGAGTCGAGCACCCAGCCGTATCGGACGGCAAGCCACCGCACGCCTGGTTGCTCAGACTGCTGCAGACGCCGGCCGCCGACGCAGCCGCCAGCGTCGTGGTCGGGTTGCCAATGATGGCCCGTTTCACACCGGCAGCCTCGGTGGGCAGCACACCCCGTTTTGTAATCGTCGTCGATCCGGCGACCACCACCGTAATGGCACCGCCATCGCCATCGCCATCGCCACCCGGGCCAACATTGTTCGACCCACTACTAATGCCGCTGTTCTCGAGGGCCGATGTGCACTGCGAAAAGGTCCGGATGCACTGTTGTACGACCGCAGCGCAGGCATTGTTGTCGGCCAGTGCCGTCGTGGCGGCGATGCCGGCCGGCAGCAGGTATGGAAACGAGTAGAAGCCATTGGGCACGTACGAAGCGGCGGCCGTGGTGGTGACGTAGGTTGAGGGTGCGTTGCCGGTACAGACGGCACTGTGAAAGGAAAGCGAGGGCGAGAAGCAGTATCAGAACATGTATCATCTACGAAGGGGGGGAGGAAAGGGGTTTGGACCTACCCCAATGGACAGCAGGCCGGCCGACTGTCTCCGGCCAGCGCGCAGACCTGGTCATACGGGCAGCAGATGCCGTCAAACTGCGAGCCTTGGCTGGCGCAGCTGTAGTAGTGGGCCGGGCAGTTGTTGCTGCTGCCGCCGTTGTCGTTGGACGCCTCGACGGCGACGGCCATCCCGATTGCGTCTCCGCTGCCGACGGCCGGGGCGACGAGCCAGGCCAGGACCTGCAAAAACAGCATCGTCGCCGTGTTTGCTGCCGCCACCGGGCGAGGCATCGCTCGTTTTCCTCGTATCTGTGTCTGGTGCAGTCGAGCCCAGCGCGGTCCTGGTCTGGTGATGCAATTCCTTGGGAGGGGTCTGTCAGTGAGCCACTACACCATGCGCATCTCGATGCTGCCTTTCGACTCCTCTCCTTTTTCGGTGATCGTTCCTCGACCTTTCTCGCCTGCTTTCGCCTCGCTTTCCTCCCAATTGCCATCGCCAGCCACCTTTGCCGACCGCGTCCGCTGTGCGACGCTTGGCGGTAGACCTGCAGGGCCCCCCAAAGCGACAGCAAAATCAGGGAACGGCAAGCGTCATTCGAGCGGCCAATACAGCCAGAAACAAACGTCTTGGTGTCTTGGGCTACATGGGTGGGTTGTTGTGGGGTCAGTTGAAGCTTCACTCGGGCGAGAAAGGGCCACGCCAACAGCCCTATGACGTGGGCAGTCCCCAGCGGCAGCTCTTCTGCACCTCTCCTCTTCGTTGCAGGTGACCTTTGGGCATTGTAGCAGAACGAGCGAATTGCCGGTCGTTCTTGCTCTTCGAGAGTCTTGGCCGTGGCAGTTGCTGCCCGTTTTGTTCAGATGCCGCGCTGGCTCTTGGCTTTGCGCCGTCGCTCTTTCCTGAGAACCACTACGTACTGTGATAGTACAACTTGTTGCTTCGTCGTGGACATCACCCTCCGTACCTGCCCTCTCCGTCTGGCTGGCTTCCTGCCTCTTTTGCGCATATGGTATCTTACAGAAACAACAACTGCCACTTGCCGTTTTCGCACGTCGTATTCTCTTTCCCCTTTCCCACCGGTCTCGGCTTTTTTTTCTTTCTTTTTTCCTTGAGCATCCGCATCTCCGCCTTGACCGTTTTCTCGATGCCTCAGTGAACACGAGCGTCCTCGCGCCCCTTGCGTAAACACTCTTCCCTCTGATCACGGATCGACGACCATCCGCCAGGCGAAGCGGTCCCGTCGTTCCGCTCAAGCGCCAGCACCACCAGCCAGCACACACTGCACACAACCCACCCACCCACTCCATCCACAACACCCCTGCTCTGCAGCAACCTCCGTTTACCATTCGACATTTCCCATCTCCATTCACCGGCCGCCTCCACACAAACACACATCCCTGCCACGATTCTTTTTTCGGGGTGGCTTGCAGCAAGGGCTTGCGGCGGTGCAGATGGACGGTTGGAATGGATTTTGATCATCGTCCACTTTCTGTTTTTGCATCGGACGTTTGTCTTTTTGCATCGGACATTTGTCTCCTTTTTGCTTCTTTATCTTCCTTTGGTTTCAAGTCCGCTACTCACGGCGATTAGTCCCTTTCCCGGAAACCCCGCGGAGTCTGCCCGCGGAGCCCAAGGGGCCAGGCACGACGGGTGGGCACTCGAAGCAAAAAAGGACGCCCCCGCACGGTCACGCGATGGAAAACAACCACAACGGACCAGACCGGCCACATCGGATGGAAATGGCTCCCTGCTGGGGAGCAAGTTTGGACGGGAGCCTTGTCTGTCTGCGTCCTCTTTCATTGATCTCGCAATTCCAATCCTCTTTGGGCCCCGTTTCTGCGAAACCTATGGTCCGATAGACCCAACAACGTCCACGTCGACGCTGTTCCTGAAGGAGGCTTGATGGGCGTACGCGTCATGCTGGTGTGCACGGCGATTGGACTTTTGCACCGCTTTTGTGTCAATTTCAGTCAATTTCAGTATTCCCTGTTTGGTCGCCGTCCACAAGTCCACAACTGTTCACCCCTGTAGCGCACAGGACTGTTCCTGAAGGATGCACAGGCTCCTTCCAGCGTTTATCGTCCATCATTGTTTCGCCGGTACACACCAAAAACGGCACAACAGTCCGTTTTACGAGTTGCTCTCCTCTTCTGCGGCGGTCCAAGGCCAGACCTTTGTGTCTTGGCCTGCATCGGCTGTGCACCGCTTTCTTCCACCGCCGACGCCTGTCACCATCCCAGGCCAGGAGTTGCTCGGCATGCCAAAATACCCGACTCGTTGTTGTTGAGGTACTCGGTAGACGGGCTCAAACACGCCAATTTAACGGCCCATGGTTAAAACCTGGCCAGCCATTCCCTTCACGTCACTAGCCGTCCACAATACGAGCACCACCACGTCGGCGTTACGACGTATGCCTGCGCGGGACGACGAAAGACAAAGAGATATGACTTCCCAAACAAGGGGAAAAAATTGCTCAGCTACCACGTGAGTACGCAAAGCGCTCCATTCACAATAGGAACCCCTTCCGGGGCTCGGTCAACGTCTGATGGCCTTCTGGGCCCTCTTAAGCTTCGTCAGCTAAGCGGACAAACGCTTCAAAGAAACAGAGAATTACCCCACGATGAACATGCGCCATTGCGCCATACAGATGGACGACGTACTCCACATTACCATCGGAAAAGGAGCCCTCTTTTTCCTCTTACTCGGCAGTATCTGACGCGAGCAAGATGGCAGCAAAAAGGAAGAGAATCAAAAGGTAAAACGGCAATCGCGTCTGTACCATGCCGAAGGGCGATGTGCTGGTGTCCTAATTTATTGCCGTCACCCAACGTCGTATTCACGTCCTGCCGTCTCCCTGTCCACGTCCCTTGGATTCGGTACTTTTGCTCCACGTCAGTGGGAAAGGCTCCTCTCCAGCCTCAACTGCCAAGTGTTGTTTTTTTACGGCATTCCATATTGGGATTCACGGCCGTTGCATGGCGCGGCCAGTTGTGTTTTTAGCGGTTTGCTATCGAAAACGGAACGGCTGGAGGAAAGAGGAGAGAAAAAAGACAATAAAAAAAGAGGAAACAATACGAGGGCTTGCCAAACGTACCGCCCGGTCTCTTATTTGCAGGCGTTTCTTTCGGCCCAAGATGCCCTCCTTTATGCTAGAGATGGGGACACCCAAGTCGCTTTAGCCAAGTTTTTTCTGTCACCGCCAAACACAATAGGACAGGACACGAAAATGCAGGTCCACGCCCCCTCCCTCCTGCGCCAGCGGAGCGGAGTGTGGCTTTCTTCAGCCCTACGGCCGGTGGCCAGCAGGAGAAGGAGAAACGCAGTCAGACGAGGAAAAGGGAGAGGGGAAGGAAAAGAGGGGATGGCGTTATGGGGAAATAACAATCTTACGACGCACCTGGACCACCACTCGGTGTCCACAGAGCCCAGCCATGCACGTTTAGCGACTCGGTCAAGGCATGCCCTTTGTTTCGGAAACGAACGTGCCTTGTGCTGCGGACCTACAGACCCGTAGATTGAGACGCGCAGCACGCAGCGCACAGCGCCATTGCACATCACGCAACGTTCCCTTCGCATACCATGCGCCCAGGGATCCAGGCAATTGAATAGGCCCAGACGAAGAATGCATTCCCCATGCGACTCGTCCCTCTGCATTTCATGCTTTTTGTCCATTTCTCTTTAAGATTGGACGTGAAGGACGCCTGCGATTATCCGAGCCCGCCAATCGCACTGCACGGCCACGGCGCGGCCATTTACGGCGTGTCCGAACGGGTGGGCTGGCTCTACTTTTGTACGAGTAGTGGGTGCACCAGCCAAGTTGGCCTGCAGTAGCCTGAACAACGCCCATCCAGCTCGCCGGCACTGTGGGCTCTGATTCGTTGGACAAGGGCCTGTCGTTCATTACCATGGTGCTCAGGCTTCAGACCGTTGAATCCTAAAAGGTGGATTTCTCTACTTGCCAACGTCCAGACGATGTCGATCAATGACGATAGCTTTGGGATTTCTTTGGAGACACTGTGGTGTTCTTGCACGAAGGAGTTTTACTGGAGACTGGCGGCTCAGCCCACGGAGACATTTTTTCTGTTGCGTCTCGTAGGCGGCGTATCAGATTGCACGCTGCTCCCGGAGCTTGTGACAGCAACAGCTACATTTGGCGAGCTCGTCGGGAGCTTTGTCTAGCTTTGCCGAGCTTGTTGACGTCTTCACATGGTATCAGTTCCAACACAGCCCACCGCTCTAACAGGCAGCCGGCCGGTCCGCATTTCGCCCATTTCCTTTGGTCGTATCGCCGTCCATGTTCTCATTTTCTGCGTCCACACAATCGCCCCTTTCGTCGCCGGCCGTCCGTTCCACAGCAGACGCGTCGTAAATGCAAAACCAGCGACGGACGACAGACGATGTACAAACACGGAACGAAACAATAGGCGGGCGGCAGAAACCATGGCCCCGTCGTGTCTTTGCCAATGCCGTGTGCTTGTCTTCGATTGTCCTTTGTTTTGGCTGTTCTGTGGATCTTTTTCGCTTCTCAGAGGGTTGCCTTGGCAGTTTGTGCCTTGGAGTTAGCCCTACGACCCGGAGTCGCCTGTCGTGCATACCTAGCCTCGCGCCACCGTGGGGGACAAGCAAAGAGGAGCCGGGAGGCGCTGGCACACGTCGTACATGCGGAGTACGACTTGAAGCAACAGAACTGATAGCTTCACCGCCAGAAAACGCAGTCGCAAAGGAGCCATGACGTGTATCCAAACAGCAACGAGGAGTGACACAGCAAGACAACAACACCACAACGCTGAAAAGAGCATCGCGCACGCCGTTCAGAAGGCCTTGCACGTTGCTTCCTCTTTGGATGGCAGCCAACTCGACGCGCGCCACTTTTAGACTTTTAGACTTGTGTCTGTTCGTCTGTTCGTCTGTTCATCTGTTCGTCTTTTCGTCTTTTTCGCCTTTTCGTTTTTAGTGCATCCACGCCCCCGCTGCCCCTTTTCTATTGTTAACGCAGAATGACAAATGTTTGTCATGATGGGGCTGTATATATTGCGTCTCCCGGTCTTTCTTCTCTAGTGCCATGCACGACTTGCCCACTACGCCTTGGTCTGCGGTTGACTTTGTTTTGCCTGCCGGCAGATTGAGTAAGAGGCTGCTGGGTCACCGGCATGGCGACAGCGTGGACCCAGGCGTGTGGATTTTGCTTGCTTCCTGGTCAGGACGTCGTAAAGAAGAGCTTCTTCTGGGAGGCTAGGTGGCGCCTCCGTAAGGGGGGAGCTTGGGTCAACTGGGGTGGCGGAGCGAGGCT